CAAATTCGATCCACAAATACCATTTTCCTATTCTGTTGCTTAGAATTTTTTTGCCTCTCTCCACTAATTTCTTTAGCTCTCATTGATGAAGGGAAGAGTTTTGCCTTCGGGCACACAAAAATGTCATTAAAAGGCCCAGAGCACCTCGACTTTTGACGACTTCATTACAAGGACTTTGGCCCATCCACCTCTTACCCAGTGCAAATGCAAATTGGAACATCGAGAGACGAGTTTTTTGAGAAATAACCCCCAAAGCCTCTCCATTTAAGTCATTTTTCAAAAACTTTTACTTACAAAGAAACTACTTTCTCTATTCTTACTTTTCAGAAAGTCTTAGTTAATGGATATTTTTCTTTATCTTCTTTATCTATAAACAAAAAGTTTGATAAAGAGATACAGTTAAAATCGAATTCAGCTTTCCTGTATCGAATTCAGCCTCGAATTCAGCCTCGAATTCAGCATCGAATTCAGCTTTTTTCATTAAATCACTATTTCTATTAAAGCTTCTTAAATTTAGTTGTTTTCAAAAGATTCTGAGTGCTCATTTAGGAGTTTGGACGGAGAAACGATGTGAGGGAACAGGGAAAAAAAAAGAAAATAGAAAGAAATCGGGCAAGAAGATGAATCTCGATATTCCCACTCATAAATACTCGGTACTCAACTCATTATTTATAGTGCGCAAGCTCTCCGAAGCTTTCTTCAATCAAAACGATGGACAAATCGGTGGGTTTTCTTTATAGTTATTGATTCATTTTTTTGGTTTTTTTTTTCTTTTTACATCTACATCCAGTTTGTTAGGTTTAAATTTCATAAAGCTAATGTATTTCGGCTAATAAAACTCCAGAAAATGGATGATTGAGCTTTCTTTTAGAAGGAATAAGTAGAAGCTTGTAAGTAGAATTTTATAAGTAGAATTTTATAAGTAGAATTTCTATACCAAGCAAAATTAAGTTTTTCACTGCCTAAAAAACTTCTTCATCGATCTATAAACTTTCTTAATTAATTAAATATCTTTATACTGTTATCCTTATCTCAAATACTAACATGATGGTAGAATTTCTATGGTAGAATTTCTATGGTAGAGTTTCTATGGTAGAATTTCTATGGAGAATTCTATGGAGAATCAGGGGGAACTATGGGGAATCTATGGAGAATTCTATGGAGAATTTCTATGGCGGAACTATGGAGAAGTTCCATGGGGGAACCTCATGGAGAATTCTATGGAGAGTTTCTATGGTAGAATTTCTATGGTAGAGGTTCTATGGTAGAATTTCTATGGTAGAATTTCTATGGTAGAGTTTCTATGGTAGAATTTCTAGTGTAGAATTTCTATGGTAGAATTTCTATGGTAGAATTTCTATGGTAGAATTTCTATGGTAGAATTTCTATGGTAGAATTTCTATACCAAGCAAAATTAAGCTTCCCACTGCCTAAAAAACTTCTTCATCGACCTATAAACTTTCGAAATTTCTTAATTAATTAAATATCTTTATACTGTTATCCTTATCTCAAATACTAACATGAATTCACCTCAAAAACCCAACTTCTCACAAGAAAATACAATTAGATTTCAAAATTTCCGATTCTCTTTCATTTAACGAGCATCGCGGCCAAAGAATTGCAATTCGACAAAGAGAAAAAGGAAAACCATAACTATTAGCGATAAGAGGTAATAAATAAAAGAACAAATAGTCGATGGACGGAGAGAGCCGCCTTTTTTTTTCTACTCAGGCGGCCCTAACGAAGTCATTACGCGGAAAGCCGCATATTCTGTTCTGCGCTCCCCTTTCTCTCCCCATCAACGAGACCCATTCCTTTTCTTTTTTTTTTCTTTGCCTTTCATTTCCCTTTACACCATCATCCATTCTTGATTCGCCTTTTCACAGAACTTGCTTGAAGATCAACGAAATTGACTTAAAAAGATGGAGATTGAACAAGAAAAAATTTTTATTTAAATAAAACTATAGGCTAATTGGTGAATTTGTTATTTTTTAACAAAAGTTTAACAGAACAGAACAAAAATACGAAAGTCTAATACTTAAACTTAAACTTTTGCTTAAAGTCTTCTACAATAAACTCACTAGCTAAGATATAACCAATGTCATCTAATAGAGTCAAGTTAAGAAAGCTAGATCCATGAGAAGCTTACTAGCTAGCTCTAGCTCTAGCTCTAGCTCTAGCTCTAGCTCTAGCTTTAGCTCTAGCTTTAGCTCTAGCTTTAGCTCTAGCTTTAGCTCTAGCTTTTGGCTAATTGTAAGATAATCCGGTTATTGAAAAGCTTTGCTTTTACCTTGCATAGCTTCAAACTACATTGCTGAAAAAAAGAGGTAGTCCGACGATTGACCTTTCAATGCGAACAGACAAATGTGGTTGCATTTGCCCTTTCCCCCCTCAGCCTTTCCCATAATCAAATTCCACTAGCTGAATCATAGAAAACAAAGGAAAGATTTTTTGAAAATCTTTTTCCCTTTGAGAAACTTTACTATTTATGGAAGAGAATTTCAAAACGTCTCCCTAGAGCAACCCTTCAAAAATGAATGCTCTATAGATTTTTGCTCGCGGTGACACTAATTTCCTCTAGAAGCCTCCACATTCCGCATTTCATCGCTTTCTCTTTTTCACTCTTTTTCATAAATTTAATTCAGAAATCAAGTAAGTAAACTGCTTGCATAAAGATTTCTTTCTTTATTTTGAAAAGTTTCTTCTATTATTTTAAACTAAACTAAACTCAGTCTAAACTTCACTAAAGTAATATATCTTTTTCTCATTTTTACTCATAAGATCAAAGTTTTCCCCCTCCTTTTTTTGTTTGCCTATCGGCAAAGAGAGAACGCTTGTAGGGCAGAAGTTGATGTATTCTGCGGGCAAGTCAATTATAGGATCTTCATGCTAATCGCAGCCTCATCCTTCGCATTTTCCTTCTTCAAACATTCTTTTCTTTCCAACCCACACAAAAAAGGGTCGTGCACCTCGAAGTGCCCTTAGCCGAAGAATAATTCATGAATTTTGCGCCCCACTTTGCCCTCCGACACCTCCTTCCTCTCTTTTCTCATTCCGACTTTTGTTCGAAATCAAGCCGCTTGTTTTGTTGTTTTTTTTATATCTATTGATCTATTCTTTTATTGAAATCCTTTGCCAACAAATTCAATTTGTTTGATCGCGTTTGATTTTGGTGGATTTTGATGGAATTGAGAGTGACTTATTAAGCATTGGAGTCTCTTACATCTTTCTCAGTGTCCAATGTGCATTCGGTGTATTCATTGGGTTTGCGTGTGCTGTGTGAACGGAATTTTCTTCTTGTTTTTAGTCAGCAAAGAAAGACGGGGATTTCTTCTTCTTCTTCTTCTTTTTCTTCTTCTGCTTTTTGAAGCACACACACACACGAGGGGAGCCATCGATTGTCGCCCCGGGGGCCCACACATGCCCACTCTTCCCCCTTCCACAAGCTCCTCTCCGCTCTTTTTTTAGGCAAAATCTCCTCAAAACCTCCTCAAAACCCTTCATCTTCTCCCCAAATCTGAGAACACCTGGCTCGTTTTGTAAAAATAGAAAATCATTGCGAAAACAAATCAGAATTTGGCAGAGAACCTTTTGATTGTAGTTTATGCATTGAATCTAGATCTGAATCTTTATAATCTAAGCAATCTAAGCACAGAGAGTGATACAATCCTCAATTTAAAGCTCAAGAAGTCAGAAAATAGTCCTTTTGGTGGAAAAGAAGATACTCAAGAGGGACACATGGCGATGAGCTATGCCGGAAAAGGCTCCAGTCAAAAGATTTCAATAGTTTTGCCTCCCGGTGAAGAGAAATTGCGGAGAAATGGCCGGAAAGCGGTGCAGAGAGTGCGCGGTGAGCGGGTGGGGCACAGGGACACAGACGGAACTGGTAATGGGCCGAGGAGAGGCTCAAAAAAGGAGAGGACTGAAGAGGGGGCTTGAGGGCCGCAATGAGCATCTCGTCTCTTCTCTGCTACTCCTCAACCATTCCCCCGAAAATGCATTTCAACCAAATCTACCGGCGATTTCCTGTCAACCGTTTCATCGACTATCACTGATTCTCGTCCGCTTTTTTCAACAATGCCGAATGTGCCACCACTTTTACGAAATATCAGCGGCTTCTTTGAGAAACCGCCAGGTAAAACTAGCGCCTTTTTTCTTGATTTTTCGTTGAATTTAATGGCTGAATCTTCCCAGAAATTCCCAGAAATTTGCAATTTGTTATTCTCATAAATTTGGGAAGATTTTTTTTATTGTAATTTAATTAAAATTCAATTTTCTCTATGTATTCGCTTCAATCCATTAAATCGATTCCGCAAAGCGAAATTTGATTGTGAAATTTGCTTCTAAACCTTTTGTTGAACCTGAAAAAGCACCTAAAAACATTAGAAATGCTGAGAAAAGAGAATTAAGCAAAATTTTGATCTTTTTTTTCTATCTAGCTACCAAATGAAGTAATATTTATGGGATTTCGGGGGGTCATTTGAGAAGGGAAAAGAGTGATGAACTCGACGAAAGTATTTCGTTTCTTTCCCCTACTTTTTTTTCAAGTTTCTTTCGTCAATCGAGCATCTAATTACTGTTCGCGTGCTGCTTGAGGGTATTTTCTATCTTTTTTTTCAATTAATTTCAATTTTTTCAGTATAGCCCGACCCCCCAATTTCTGAAAGCCGCAGACCACCCAGCTTCCTTTCGCATTTTCTCAAAAATTTCCTTTTCTTTAATATTTTAAAAGTTGATGAATCTTGTTTTTCACTTCTAAAAACCTTTCGTTTAACATCCTTTTAAGCAAACGCTTTACTCCTATTGACAAGCGTCTACAAAATCATCAAATGATCTATAGATCTAATAATGTATCAATCTCTGTCATATTCTATGACTAAATAAGTCATAAATCAATAGCTACATAAAAATATAAAAATTTAAAGTAAAACCAACAATAAAGGATTCATAAATGGACGTTTTGTTGGTAGCGATTTCTCGATTTCGCTTCTCGAAATCCACACATTCATTGCCTGCCCCTTCTCACCAAAAATGTGCTCCGGAAATGTGGCGATAGCCGTCGAAAGAAGAAGTCTGTCTCCTTCGCTTCTGACTCCTGTTTTTGACATTTCGACGACAATTCCAGAAGAGTGCGAGAGGGTGAAAAGAAAAAGAGTGCGGAGTGTCCCCCCTCCATTTCCCGAGCCTCATGCATTTCTGAGCTCTCTCCATTTCTCATCATCTTCATCCACCCCATTCAAGCCGGCCAACACAAATCTCACTACACAACTCTTAATTGATGTAATGCCTGCTAGTAGGTTTTTCCTGGGGTTCATTTTCAAACAAGCCTTCTTCTCTGTCCTTTTATTGGGCTGGGGATCAAAAAAGAGTCGGCACCGGGGTTCGAACCCGCCACCTCTCGACCGCGACCCGACTCACTGGACGCTCTATTAATGAGCTACATAGACGCTCTACCAATGAGCTACATAGAGCTACATAGAGCTACACAGATGTCCATTGCCGCCAGAGTATGCCTTACTTTAACATCTTTCGGATTTTCTTTCTATAACGAATCGGCAATCCTTTCAAGAAATCCTTTTCTCATTGGTATGCACATAAGTATGAATAAGGTGCTGAAAAAGGATGAAAAAAAAAAAGGGAAAGCAGCTCATTGTTTCATTGTGAATTCGACTCAATTTCATCAATTCGTCGTCACTCTCTCTATCCTTTCTCATCCTTTCATCCTTTTTTTTCACACTAGACATCTCTCCACCAATTTACACTCACATTTTTTAAGCTTTATTTTCTTTTTTAAAAGTATTCACCTCTTTTCTATGTTCACACGAGTCTATTCGCGTTTTTCAAATCATAAAACTCTTTTTAAAAACTTGCAAATCTTTGGTGATCATGAAAAATATTTAATAGATTTGAATTAAAATGATTTTTGATTTAGCAATGAATCTAGCATGATTTTTGATTTAGCAATCTAGCATGAAATTTTGAAATGATCTAGCAAACTTTCATTTTTCAGTTTTCAAAAAAAATTACTATTTCCTCACCACATTTTGACAAAAATATTAAACGAAAGTGAGTAAGCATTGTGTGGGAATTCTTTCGTTTCTTCTCCTTTCCCTGGAGAAGACTAAGAAGCAAAATCGCTTCGCATTCCATCTCAACCCTTCCCCTGCTATCCATTTCAATTCAAGGAGCCTCACCGTGATTTTATTTGCTTTCTCTTTGATTTATGTGAAAAATTTACCCCGCTTGAATATGAATTGAACGGCGTCGATCCTTTTTTAAAGCTACCCAATCCTATCGTTACCTAGAATATGTTCCTCGTGATCAAAGAAAACCAAAAACATATACAAAATCAAAAAACATATCAAACAAATCAAACAAAATAAATATAAATAAATAATCAAAAATGAAAAGGAGATACACCAATTTTAATAAAAAGAAAAAGAAAAATAACAAAAAATAATCCAAAAACTTGTTGAATACAAAAATAATTAATTAAAACAACATAAGAACCTAAAAATTCATTTAAAGAAATAAAAAAAAACAAAATAAATAATTAAATCAAAAAACACCACAATAAACGGTAATTTTTGGAAGAGTTAAACATTTTCTGAAACGCGTTCCCGAGAAAAAATGCTGGGGTAGGCTAGTTTCCGCAACTTTTTTTTGCGCAACTCACCATAACTTTCTTCTAAGTGAGTCAATCTTTATGATTTTGGTTTCATTTTGTTGCACTTATTGAGATCTACAAAATGAAATCAAAATCATAAAGATTGGCCCACTTAGAAGAAAGTTATGGTGAGTTGCGCAAATGACCCAGTTGCGCCAATGACCCTGTTGCGCAAAAAAAATTGCGGAAACTAGCCTACCCCAAAGCGCGTCAAATCGAACAGCAGTTGCCTTAAATAGGCTTTAACACAAGATATTCAGCTAACAAGCTACAAAAACAATAAATGATTTGGGGCGCGAAATAGAATGAAGGCGCACGGATTTCCGCAATACTTTAGCCAAAATGCTAAATTCAATATATCCTAATGTAAAAATAGAAAACAAAATAAGGCAAAATTTCTAAAAAAATAAACAATAAGCCCCAAATTTTGCCACAGTTTCGAATATCTTAATTTAACTTAGCTGAATAGCTGACCAATGCGAGGGCGAGTTTTTAAAAAACGCAATCTCAATCGCAAACGCAAAACGCAAACGCAAATCGCAAAATCGCAAACGCAAAATCGCAAACGCAAAATCGCAAACGCAAAATCGCAAACGCAAAAAACGCAATTGCAAACAACGCAAACGCAAAATCGCAAACGCAAAAAACGCAATTGCAAACAACGCAAACGCAAACAACGCAAACGCAAACAACGCAAACGCAAAAAACGCAATTGCAAACAACGCAATCGCAAACAACGCAATCGCAAAAACGCAATTGCAAACAACGCAATCGCAAACAACGCAATCGCAAAAAAAATGCACGTAATCAATTAAAAATCAACTAAAAATCAACTAAAAATCAACTAAAAACTAAAATCAATCAATTAAAATTTTAATCATTCAACTTTAAATCGATTAATTGATCAAAAATTGATCGCGGGGAACACACTCTAATCTTTACTATCTTTTATTGTTATGTATTGTTAAAATAGGAATACACGGTGCTTTACGTTTGTTTTTTATGTCTATAACTGTACTATTGTATAGTTTGGATACTGTAGCTACGGTAGTTTAGGTTTAAGTGTTATTCTTTACTTGTTTTACCAAACTAGATTGTGTATGTATTGCTCAAATTGTGTACAATACTTTATTTTAAGACTGTAACCTAAATAGCAGTTGACTTTCAAATAAAATAGCTACAGTAGCTTATCTATAGTAGCTTATCTACAATAGCTTATCTACAATAACTCATCTATTGTAGCTTATCTACAGTGGCTTATTTACTATAGCTTATCTACAGTAGCTTATCTATAGTAGCTTATCTACAATAGCTTATCTACAGTAGCTTATTTACAATAGCTTATTTACAATAGCTTATCTACAATAGCTTATCTATTGTAGCTTATCTATAGTAGTTTATCTACAATAGCTTATCAACAATAGCTTATCTACAGTAGTTTAAAACTTAAATAGCCGTAAAGTACCAAAGATTTCCTCCAAAAGCATGTTCAATTCTGAATAGAAAAGATCGATATGATTTCTTTTTCTACGTTCCTCCTAATTGTGTCGCGTGTCAGTTGTGGAGCATGAAATTTTTAGAGATTCGACCGCAGAAGTCACTTTGCATGCAAGCAGTCGTATGGATTGGCGTGAGTGTCGTTCAATCAATCACTCCAAAGTTCAAACTTTTCCGTGCACAAACATTGATCTATAACAATTCGTTATTGCAAACGTGTTTTACTAGACAACGAGTCGTTTCTGACGTTTCCAATCGTTTTTTATATTCGCAATGGCTTTTTCCTTCTTTTTCTCAGCCTATCAGTTGCCATTTCTGGCCTCGCGTCTCTTCCCCGTTCGATCCACAAAAGAAAAATCGAATCTTTTCACTTATTGACTCAACGCCTTTTTGATGGAGCCGTTAAAAATAAGCGGAGATAAAGTTTATTCCAACAAACTGGACGTGCAATAGATCAAAGCTTCTCAACTCATTTTTTTGAGAAATTCGGGATTTTTAGATCTGATGAATGACTGGGAAATCGGAGGAACGCAAAATAAATGGGTTTGCCCCTCGGATAGACATCTTCAGCTTCGAGCACAGTGAGTTGAGCAATATAGTAACAATATAGTATCTTGAAGTAAGCATAAAAGCCAAAGCTTTTTCAAATCTAATTTTCTCTACCGATTTTCAACAGATTATGAGCAATATAGTAACAATATAGTAACAATATAGTAACAATATAGCATAGAACAATATAGCATTGAAGTAAGCATAAAACTTTAGACTCAAATCGGGATGGTCGGTGAGAACGGCAGCTGCTCGAAGTCCAACAAATGCCGCAAAAGTTCAACCATCAGCAATCAGCGATGCTGAACAAGAGCAAATTCGAAAGGTGACACTTTTTAAGACTTTTTAAGACTCAAACCTTCTAATGATCTCGTTTTTCAAAGCTAAAACATTTTTCTAGGTGCTTGAACGAGTTGAAGAGAGCCGCCAACGCGAACAGCAGAGGATCGGGTGAGTTTTATTTCTGTAAATTTCATGAGTCAATGCCGCAATAATCCAGAGAAATTCCCCATTTATCTCAACGTTTTTTCCGCTGAATTTCTTTCCACATTTCGATTCCGATAGTTAATTCAATTAGTTTAATTGCTAGTGACATTCCTGGTGACACTAAGTTTAAGATTTTCTATTTGACACAAACATTCTATTTCTTAAAAACATGGATAGACGGCTGCTTCCAAATCCATATTATTCTAATCCTCAAGCATATGTACAATGGTAAATCGTGAATTTCTATAAAACTTTCTTGTTTCCAGGAAAATGGTTGACCGATTGGATAAAATGCGCAAACGAGCCACGGGTAATGGAGTGACACATTGCTTGCTTTGTCACACTGAATTCGGTCTACTTGCCAGCAAAAGCTATGCAGCTATGTGCACTGATTGTAGAAAGGTTCGTTTATAGAGTTTGAGTTGAAAAAACGATTCATTTCTAAGCTTATAAAGCTATGTTTTAGTACGTTTGCCAAAGGAATTGCGGTGTCGAGACGGTCGAGCCAAAGACGGGCGAGCTGATCTTTTTATGCAAAATTTGTGCGGAATCGAGAGAGGTGGTGGGTGGATTGATTTCAAAAGATAAAGATCAACACCTTTGTCTTTCCTTTTTCTTCTCTACTCTATTCTTTCTCTCTTTTATTTTCCTTCTTTCATTTGATGTCGATTATTGAAAGCCCATCCTTGCCAAGACACTTTGCTCACAAAGGAATTGTGTAAACGGAAGATTTGAGATTTTGATGGAAAGGCCAGTCAGCAACGGGGAATCTAATAATGGAATCATTTTTGAAGCCGTTTCTTAAAAACATGGATAGACGGCGTCTTCCAAATCCCTATTATTCTAGAGAATTCTCCTCACAAGTTAAGAAGATTAAAAGTCGGGTTAAAAGTTTAAAAAGCAAAATAATATGGGGCCGGAATTGAACCCGAGAGGAAAAATCCTAGTGTAGTGAACCCGCTGCGCCGCCGCACTAACCACTAAACCATCAGTCGATGTTTTGCCGGGCATAATAAAGACCTCTTAACCTCCAGGAGCCAAAAAAAGGCCTCCAAAAAAAAAAAGGCCAAAAAAAGCGATTTTTCTTGTAGATGCTCAAATTTTAAGCGCATTTTGCTCGAGAATAAGGCTTCTTTGGCAAAAACTATATACAGTATTGGATTCCCCGTTATCAAATGGCGTTTTTATCTTCTTACCATCAAAATCTCATCTTCCGTTTAAACAATTCTCTTGTCAGATCATCACCGTGCATGCGGTTTGGCCTTTTTTCTTGTTTGGCAATTTTTTTTCGCTTATGTCAAAAGCGATTTACACACTCAGCTGAAAGATTTCATTATCCAATAATCGACATCAAAAGCAGTTTTAGTCAATCTCCTTGTCTCAAGAGCATTGATGTCTCGAGATCTATCAATCCAGAAAAAACACCAGCTCTTGATAGCTTTTTTTTTCTTTGCATGCACTTTTTTTCCCAAAAAATTTGTGATCACGATGAAAGAAATGCTGATGAGAGGTTGTTTCAGAGTTGAAAACCCTCGTGCGATCGTGCACGTGTCTCCCCAAAACATTCTGTGAGCGCATTCTGTGAATGTGTGTATATATTTTTGTTTTTTTTTTTTTGTATGCAGGCCCACGCATTCCAGCACTTGCTCTTGTTTAGAACTTCTTCCCAATGCCCAGTGTTGTAATCATTTCGTTCTTTAGAATTCACAAATTGACAACAACGCTGGTCTTAGGGGCTTTTTTTTTTAGTTTCGCTTGTCCGACGAATGCTTTTCCTTGCTATTTTTTTATTGCTGCAAATCGCTTTCAATTTCCCTTGTCTATTTTTGTCCATTTATCTACATAAATGATTGGTCTACTTTTCGAAAAAGTTGACTCTGACTGAGCTTTAATTGTGCAAACTTTATCCCCGAGCCATCATCCCATCATGTCCTGTCTTGAAATCAAAAAAAAAAAATTCCTGCATTTGGCTCCCATTCTGGCTATTAAATCAATTGCCCGAATGGTTAAAATGCAGTTCTTGGGCTTGCTTAATGGATGTTTTTTGAATGATAAATAAAAATTTCTTTCAGCTATGGAAGAAGAGCGGCGCCTGGTTCTACAAGGAAATGCCCGAGTATGTGAAACCGGAAATTGCGGGTGAGTGAAGAAATCGATGTTGGTAAAAACAACTTTCACACTTTACACAGCAGAATGTTTGCTATTTAAAATGTATTCAAAGGATTAGATGAAAATTCTCATCCGAAAGAAAATCTCCGCACTCTTTTGATAATCTTTAATGAAAATCAAACCTAAGATTGAGTGAAGAAGTGAAGGAAGTGAAGAAAGTAAAGAAAGAAGTTAAGGAAGTGGAGGAAGTGAAGAAAGAAGTGAAGAAAGTAAAGAAAGAAGTGAAGGAAGTGAAGAAAGTAAAGAAAGAGGCGAAGGAAGTAAAGAAAGAAGTGAAGGAAGTGAAGGAACTTGTAAGAAAAAGTAGATTTCCGGAGAGGGCATTGCTTTCCTTTTCCAGGCAATTGCTCTTGTATCTTAATTTCCCAAGAGAAAGAAGGGAAGAAGAAAGAAAGAAAGAAGGAAATACCCGGTCAAATTCAATAATGAGCAATTTTTAGCAAGCCAACCCGGTCCCTCGTCCCCTCCTGGAGCTTGGGGTGGTCCATCATCATCAAGGAATGGTTCTGTTCGTCGTCTATTGCCAACTCCTCCTTCAACAACTCCTGACAGGTGTGATGATTGGTCAGCTCTCGCTTCTCCCTCTTCCGAACGCCGCAGGTTCCCAAATAAGCCCGGAATCGCTTAAATAACGTTGCGCTTACCTTTTAGCTCTAGACAACTGCCGACGACTCCTGATGAGTTGAGGTTTGAAAAAGAAGCTAGCACTTCTTCTCCTTCAAACAGACTCAAGAAAATAATAGAGTGGCTTTTTTTTGCGCGTGTGAAAGACTCTGGTGGCTTTGCACTAGCATGTTTGTCCTCTGGTTTGGCCAGAAAAAGTTTTTTTTAGTGAGCGATTAGGGATGCACAATTGCAAATGTTTTTCATTATTTCTTCTTTTTTGACGTTTATTTGCCTCCCCGGATTGAAATCCTCAAAGTTTTGCTCTGAAATTCTACGCACTTCTCTCACCAATCTAGAGATAGCTCTTTTTGAAATTAGAAATATTGCAGTCACATGCTCGTCACTAGTTCCCTCCCCGTTTGTTTTTGTTTTGATGCTTGAGAGAAAAGTTTTCAGAAACACAGCCACTCCAAGACCGAGAATTCAACCATCATGGGTGAAAGAGAAAGTGATGACATCGATGTCGGTTGAAGAAGATGATCACAGTTCGAGTGAAAGTAGTGTCTAAAGATGATATGATAACGATATGATAACGATATGATTTCTAGGCGAGTTCGTTGCCTCAGGAGTTGTGCGGAGAAAAAAGGATCCACCAACGAAACAGGTTACAAAGAAAAACTTGTGCTAATTTCTGAAAACTGAAAACTGAAAACTTTTCAGATCACACAAGCACGAAGGGAAGCAAATCTAGAGCGTTTTGCTCAAATCACCAGCAATAATCTAAGCGAAAGCGGTTTGTAGAAACTTTACCTTATAATTTTTAAACTTATAAACTTATAAACTTTTAAATGTTTAAAATATATTCTACTAAACAATTCGCTTTGTTTTTTTTTGCAGACAGCACCTGGGATTTCTAGTCGGTTCGGTCACAGCACCTCTTTATAACTCTAGTTTTCGTTGCCTACAAATTTAGATGGAAAATCTTGGTTTGAAACTCAGAAGAAAAGCTTCTAATCAGATTTTTCCATCTCTCACCGCTTGAAACGTTTGATTAAGTTTTATAAAAGCTTCTAATTTTAGAAGAGTCCTCATCCCCAGCCTCTTCAAGAAGCGGATCTCCGCGACGATCGTTGGCTACTCCTTCGTCATTTGATTCGGCTCATGTTGGCGGCCCAAATCCAATTCCTCGCCATCCCTCACAAACTCCCACTCATTCAAGCACTCCCGCTAACGCTGGTGAGAATAATTCTAACATTTTAAAGCTAGGCCTTTGTACAATTCGAATATCTCAATTGATTGATTGATTTGATTCAGGTGGAATCCCGCACGAGGCGAAGAGTGGAAATGAGGATGCTCGCTCGATAGATAGTGGAGGTGGTTGGGAAATTTCTCCTGCTCTATTTCTAAAGTTTTATTTTATATTATTCCAAATTTTTCTTCCCATTATCTTTTCAATTTTATCATTTTAGTGGTGCAATCCGATCATTCAAATCCAGTGGCTGCGATGACATTGTCCGTTTCATCACTAGCTCCATTAGCAGCCTCGACACAAGATGCACAATCAAGAAAACTTCAAAGCCGACAAGGTAAAGAAATCATAAAACATTGAACGTTAAAAGTTGTTAAAACTTTTTCATATCAAAAACAAAAACAATTTCAGGTTCTTGCGACTCGAGACGTGTCTCTAATGAAAGTACTCCAAGAAGAGATAGTGCAGATCGGGAAAACAGTGGTAGTCGAAATAGTATTGGTAAGAGAAGAAAAAGTGATCAAAAGTGATCAAACTTCATCAAAATTCAGGTCGTGAATCGACCAGAGTGACCACTTCGGTTTCGGGTTCATCTTTGGTTACACCTCCTCCCTTGGCAATGGTTCATTTTTTCTCTTTTTATTATCAAAAGAGCCTTTCTAGAATCAACGCCGAGAGTCACCGCTAGACATTCGCAAGTTGAGCATCAGTTCGGGCAGCACGAAAAGAGCAGGCACGTCCACTGACAGCATGAACATCATTGAGGCGATTCGATTCACCAATGTATTCCCTTGAATGCCTATGTGTTGATTGCCTTGAGTTTAGAACGCGAGAGCCGACTCACCGGGCGCCGCCTTTATGAGTTCACCAGACGATGACTCGAGTTCGTTTTTCGATTTATAGGATCTCAAAAAAAAATTCCATGGATTGACATGAGCAAAAGAAACTAAATTGTGGCTTGTTTTGAGCCTAGAAAAGCTGTAGTCCAAGAGCTGTAGTCCAAGCGTTGCAATTGTGAGTACAGTGTGTTTCTCGTGATTCACTACGGTAGCCTTTTTGAAGCGCACACTTTAGAAAGGTATTAATCACGAGGAACATTCTGATTGTGAGTAAGGCTTGTCTCAAAGAAAGCCGTGTGGCCGTGCAAGGCCTCTAGGATGTCTTTTGCTTGGCGTTGCCCCGATAGTTGGTGGCTTTTTTCGCTTGTGACTCAAAATGATCGACTATATCGATGCAACTCTTTGGTTGGCTGCTTATATTGAAACGAAATTCTTAGTGAGTAAATGATTCCTCAGTTTTGGCAGATAAAAAAAATGAAAGCTTTGCTCCGTGCTACAGTACTGGACAATGAAATATGATATTTGAAAAACGATCGTCACTTTCGCGCGTCTGTAACTCCCTTGTCTTTGAGTTTAAACTATTAGTGTTATACATTTTCTGAAAGCTCTTTTCAAGGGCTACACAATGGTAATATTAATATTTAGAAATACGGTAAAGACAAGGGAGTTACAGACGCGCGAAAGTGACGATCTTTTTTCAAATGTCATATTTCATTGTCCAGTAGTGTAGGTTTATTGGTTGCTCGCACGCTATGGGGCCACCAAAAAAAAAAACAGAAAGACCTAAAGACTTGCCTAAAGACCAGAATTTTGAACTTATTTTTTTTCTTTCCGAACATAACTTTCTTTTTTAAATTTAATCCCCACTCTCCTTCACGTGAAAGATGAAATTGTTGTTGGAAGAAACGCCAATGACAAATGTCTTCTTTCCCCTCACCCGAACACTTCTCACATCGGTTTTGAAAATGATTTTATTTACGCACGCCCTCATTTTCGGTAGCCAACAAAAAAAGTTTTTTTTTTTGGGTTGAATGTTTAGCGCTTTAAAAGGCCCATTGGTGTAAAGAAAGTTTAGAAAATTTCTAGAGCAACACGGAGCAAGGCGGAATGCATTGGCAAGAGGGAGTAAAGCAAGGCCACCACCGACGAGGGCTCTCTCGGATAGAGATCCCACTCGACAATTGAGTCAGGATGATGAAGGGGGAAACCCAGCACCAGCCTCCCTTGTGCAAGCGTCCGTTCGTCGATCGGCTTCAGGACTTGAGCCGTCTTTGGTCGCCTCACCAGTGGCTACACGAGCTGCCACTCCACTCAGCGACGAGATCGCGTCAACTTCCACTACTCGTCCTCCACTAGAGCCTGGTGCGCCAAACAAACGAAAGCCTTCCGTGTTTGCATGTGTTTTCTCGCCTTTCCAAAGTGACAAACGTATGGCTTTCTTTTCAAATCAATAAATATTAGGCTGTTTACAGACTTTCTAAACAGCTTAATACGTTTGGCGCTCAAATTGGCAACGAATGCTGCCTGTTGCATCTTTATGCACAACTTTAAAGCTATAGCACCATTTTTTTTGTTTGATACGTGTTTTCTAAATGTTGTTAGTGAAAATTTCTCAATTCGTTGGGGGTGGGACAAATGCGACTTTTTTTTTGCGCACCCGGACATTTGCGCACCTTTTTTTTGCTGGAAAAGGCCTTAGGAAAGGTCGTAGAGCTTCAAAAATGTTTTCATGACAGGGAATCGTATGCGTAGATTCAGAATTTCGACAAATCAGACCTCGCTGACACGTCAAATTTGGGCTAAAAGACAAAAACTACACAACTTAACGCTTTTCCGCAATTTTTGCCTTTTAGCCCAAATTTGACGTGTCAGCGAGGTCTGATTTGTCGAAATTCTGAATCTACGCATACGATTCCCTGTCATGAAAACATTTTTGAAGCTCTACGGCCTTGCCTAAGGCCTTTTTCGAGCAAAAAAAAGGTGCGCAAATGTCCAGGTGCGCAAAAAAAAAAGGTCGCATTTGTCCCATCCCCAATTCGTGCGGATAACTTTGATTCTTTAACTATCACTAATTTCTATAATATGATTAACAAAATAACTCAAGCTTGTTAGTTTTTATAATTTTTGATGTGGTTTTGAAATTCACTTTAATGGCTTGAAGAGTTTTGAAGAGTTTTTCACGATCTTGATCACACTGTACTTTTAAAAAAAAACTTTCGCTCACCTGTTTGCGCTAGAGCTGGTAATCATTGTCGTAAAAGACTTATATAATAAGCAAAGTTCAATGCGAATGATTGCTTTTAGGTACTCTTGGGTCGATCCAGTTCAATATCACTTATAAACAGGAACAAAAGCAAATCGTTGTACATCTAATTCGAGCAAAGGTAGGCAAGACGATTCGAAACCAAATCCTAAACCAAGCAAAGCTTTTTAGAACCTTCGTGCCATGGATAAGAACGGTTTTTCTGATCCATATGTGAAATTGCATTTGATTCCTGGAAACGCAAAAGCCACCAAGTTAACCTCAAAAACTATTGAGAAGGTAAAAGAATTGCAAAACAAAGCTTACAATAAAACGCAGTGCAAAGCTACAGCAATTACAGCAACTACAGCAATTACAGCAGCTACAGCAGTGCAAAACTTACAATAAAACTTATAGACTTTGAATCCCGAGTGGAACGAAGAGCTCACCTATCATGGGATCACCGAAGAGGATCGACAAAGGAAAACACTACGCGTTACGGTAAACTTTTTTCAAATAAGCCACTAGTTGGAAAGCTTTCCTCAGCTATTTTAAAATCAAGTTTTAGTAAAAAGTTGTACGAGAACTTTTAAATCACCTTGTAAAGCTAAAACAACGCTTTAGGTGCTTGATCGCGACAGGATTGGCTCAGATTTCTTGGGAGAGACGAGAGTTGCCTTAAAAAAGCTGCCTTCGAACGAAATTAAGAAGTTTAATCTCTACCTTGAACACGCTATTCCGGTAAAAGAAAACTTAAACATAAGATGGACTTTTTTCAGATACAACAAGACAAAAAGGAGGGAGTCACTGAGGAAAGAGGAAAAGTCCTCGTTGGAGTCCAATACAACATCCAACAAGGATCCCTCTTTGTCTTCATGAAACGCGGCTCGGAGCTTGTCGGAATGGACAAAAGTGGATTCTCAGATCCTTATTGTAAAGTGTAAGTAGAATAAAAGTGAAGAGTTATTGATTGTTTTCAAGATCATTGACACCAATCACTTCAAAAGCGCATCGTCAGAAAACAGCGATCAAGAAGAGAACGCTGAACCCGGAATGGGATGAGACACTGCCATTCATCGTTCCTTTTAAAGTAATCAAAAATTGTGATTAGAAAAATCGAATTTCAGGATCTTCCGAAGAAAACTCTTCAAATTGCTGTTTATGATCATGACGTTGGTAGTCGAGATGATTATATTGGTAAGTGATTTTTGAATGATTTGAATAGAGAAAGAACTTCAGGTGGTATTGTCCTTTCAACGTCAGCGAAAGGCGAAAGGGGCAAGCAGTGGATTCAAGTGAGTTTGAATAGACAAATAGCGACTATCTAGATTTTATTGGATCTTAAAATAATGTTAGTTTGGTTAGATTGGTGAAGAAGTCTTTTCGTTCCTTTTCGTACTTTGTTCTTCGTACTTCTTTCCTTTTTGTACTTCTTTCTTTCCTTTACGAAGTATGAAAAGGAAAGAAGTACGTAAAGGAACGAAGGAAGTACAAAAAGGAAAGAAGTACGAAGAACGAAGTACAAAAAGGAATGAAAAGACTTTCTGGACAGCTGGATATACCAAGATTGGCATTCTGTTTAAAAATAATGTCTTTAGGTAATCGAAAATCCGGGCCAAACATTTGAGTACTGGCATCGACTCGAGTTGGACAGTTAGAGATTCGGCTTGTTAGCTTTTAGACTTTTTTTTTCTATCATCCATTCCACATCCATTCCACTTCATTTTAGCTGAATATCCTTTATTGCATATCATTTTTATCGACCATTCCTCAATTGCAATAATCTCATTTTGTTGCATTGATCGACTTACTCTTTTTCGGGTTTTTTTTTTGATTGGCTTTTTTCTAAGCCAATTTTTTCGTGTTTCTTTCCCTGTCGCTCCATACCCTTTTAGATCAAAAAGCTTTTTGTTTCAAGAACTGTAAGAATTGTGAGCTATAAACAACAAAAAAAAAGATAGCTTATTAGATATTAACTTAAAAAGATATTAGCTCAGTTCACAGTTTTTCTTTTTGTTTCTTGTTTGAATTGAACAAAATGAATAGAATTTGAAAGATCAAGTGTTTCTTCTAAATTTTCCCTAGTTTTACTGGTTTTTTTTTCAGTGAATACGGAGTATTCTAAGTAGATATGAAAGCATACCTAGTAAATATTAAAAAAAAAAATTAAACATTGCCCATACACAGAATTTTATATCCTTTGAATTTTCTTGCAAAAAAAATGATAGAGTTTGACCAAATCGTTTTTCTGTTTTTGCGTCTTTTCCCATTTGGCTATAGGTGAATCGTTGATTCTTTAAATGAACAATAAAGACATTTATTTACGATGTGAAACTAGTGAAACTTCATGACGATAATTTGAAGCCGACAGTGGATACGGAGTATTCTAATGCATACCTAGTAGATATGAAAAAAAGAACTAAACATTGCCCATACACAGAATTTTATATTCTTTGAATTACTATTAGAAAAACCTGATTAAAAATCAACCATTTCTGAGTCACCATTTTTCTAGAAGCTACCTTGAATCAACCAAAAGCATGCCAAAACTGGTCCTCCATCCCCCGCATTCATGCAAACTTCATGGCGATAATTTGAAGCCGACAGTGAATACGGAGTATTCTAATGCATACCTAGTAGATATGAAAAAAAGAACTAAACATTGCCCATACACAGAATTTTATATCCTTTGAATTTTCTTGCAACAAAAAAAATGATAGAGTTTGACCAAATCGTTGTTCTGTTTTTGCGTCTTTTCCCATTTGGCTATAGGTGAATAGTTGATTCTTCAAATGAACAATAAAGACATTTATTTACGATGTGAAACTAGTGAAATTCGTCGGAATACGCGGGAGCTTTACAGACAAAACTCGGGTAAACCGTCTTGATTGGGTAGCCACTGATCGACCTGGAAAGTTGTCGTACAGGAATTTTTGTTTGACAAAGTTTGACAAATTATTACTGCATATTACTGTAGTAAGACAATAAATATCTTACTGTAACAAGACAAGATCTTACCAAGTTCCGTCAGCACAAACACCCCCACAAGTTGCCGGGTAAGCCGAGAGCTAAAATTGAACAAAGAACACATTTGAAGCAATTCTTGTGGCAGCAAATTACTATTAGAAAAACCTGATTAAAAATCAACCATTTCTGAGTCACCATTTTCCTAGTAGCTACCTTGAATCAACCAAAAGCATACCAAAACTGGTCCTCCATCTCCCGCATTCATGCAAACTTCATGACGATAATTTGAAGCCGACCCATCACTCCAGACAACCGCATCAGCTAGGAAAAAGTATATGCCGCAATTTGCTCAATATTTTTTTCAATCAGATTTAAGAGCTTTGATTTGCCAAATGATATCGAGTTGAGCAATGATTTGATGTTGAGCAATGATGTGTCATGATGATTAAAATCATTTAAATCAACCGCCAATGATTCAAATCATTTTTTTTTGCCAAAATCACTCGATTTTAAACGCGTTTACAAATTTTAAGGTCAGATTTTAAGGTAAACATTTTGCGTTTATTCTGTTGTAAGCTGAGTGTTTAGATTTACGACAGTTTGTCCCGACGAACAACAACTTCATTGGGGTTGAAGACGTGCGAAAGACGGAGACGACTTTCCGCTCAACGATTGAAGCCGAATCTCTGGTTCTCATCGTAAGCTTTTGACATTATTCATTTAATTACTTTTAGTTGTAGGTCACAAGGATTTAAAATGCAAAGTGGAAGTGTGAATGGACGTTTTGTGTGCCTCAAGCATGTTATGTAACAGCTACACATTGATCTTAGCCAGAGACCAGAAGCTACACATTGATCTTAGCCAGAGAACAGAACCTAGACATTGATCTTAGCCAGAGACCAGAAGCTACACATTGATCTTAGCCAGAGACCGGCATTGATCTTAGTTGCTCCGGTGATCTTAGCCAGGCGAACCTAGATGATCTTAGCCAGAGACCAGAAGCTACAAATACCATCACAATAGTAACCCTTGTTCGAATAAATAATTGTTTGTTGTTGTCACTTTAGACATTTTTGTTTTTTAGACATTTGAATTGCCGTAAAATGTTAATGTTTGTTGTTAAAATTGCCAGCTTACTGTCAGCAAATTCTGTTATATTTTTAGATAAATCATTTGAGGACTAAGATTGCTATAAAGTTCAGAAGATTTTCACTAAAATAAAAGCCGATTTTACATCATTTTTCAATCATTTTAATCCAAGCGCTGGTTAATGCTAAAAATATGTTTTATATCTCAAAATGTCACCCATTTTCTCTACTTTAATTTGATACCTAAGTTCACAGAAATAAACGTACTAGTGTCGAGATATGAGCGTTTGTTTGAGAGTAGACTTAGACTACGCGACGCTCCTATAAGGCGGCTTTTATTAGAGTATAAAAATACTTAATTTTCAATAGTTTCAATTATCGGCAGCTACAAAGAACTGTTTTTGAAATAAGCATAGTTTACATCTAATATGAAACGTCGATCAATTGTCAATAAATTTCTTGGGGTTTTTCTCACCAGCTTTGTTGTATCTCCCGCCTAAAAGCGTTGTCCCAGCCACCCACACATCCACTTCTCGAACACATGTCGCTTTATAAGCCAATTCTACGCACGTTTAGCATTATTTTGATTTTTGATAGCTACCACTTACGGAAGATGAATTCGTTTTCCACTGAATCGTGAACTGAAGCCAAATGCCCTCCAAATGAGCCACAATATGTTTCAGCGTCTTCAAAGGATTTGTTATGACCAATCTGAATTTAAATTGATTACAACAGTACAAAACCGTTTAAATCACATGATAGCATTGATTCGTTCTCTCATAAAAGCTCCACCCGGCTGCACATCTTTCAACGACATCTGAAAACTTGTAGTTTTTATAGTTAGAGCATTTTCTAATCATCTTATGGTTAGAGCGCGTTTCAAACTTTGAAAAACGACCGTAATCTTGTCTCTAGCTTTTATCTAGAACATTATACTAAATTCTCAACCTGCTAGTTTGCAAATGAACGGAAATGGAGTATTGCAATCGACGGAGAGCCAAATCAACCAATCGCTATGCAAAACGGCACAATCACCAACAGTTGGTTGATCTTAGAAATTGAAAATTGTTGAAGATTCTTTTTGAATTCTCTTTTAAACACCAAACATTTTTTAAAACAGCAAAACAAAAGCAAATCTCGGGGGTGGGACAAATGCTACCTCTTTTTTGCGCACCTGGACATTTGCGCACCTTTTTTTGCTGGAAAAGGCCTTAGGAAAGGTCGTAGAGCTTCGAAAATGTTTCCATACTAGGGAATCGTATGCGTAGATTCCGAATTTCGACAAATCAGACCTCGCTGACACGTCAAATTTGGGCTAAAAGGCAAAAACTGCGGAAAAGCGTTAAGTTGCGTAGTTTTTGCCTTTTAGCCCAAATTTGACGTGTCAGCGAGGTCTGATTTGTCAAAATTCTGAATCTACGCATACGATTCCCTTCTATGAAAACATTTTTGAAGCTCTACGACCTTCCTAAGGCCTTTTCCAGCAAAAAAAAGGTGCGCAAATGTCCAGGTGCGCAAAAAAAAGGTCGCATTTGTCCCACCCCCAAATCTCACAAAACTTCAAAACAAATCTCACAAACCACTGCCCCATTTGAAGTAATTCGCCGTGCTTCCATCAATCCATTGCCACTGATTGTTAATTCTTTTCAAACCAATATACGCTTGCAAAGAGTTGAAATCTAATTTTTCATCTTAATAAAAGAAGCAAGAGAAATCGAACCTTTTGCCATGTAAACGGCGGCTAAGTTACTCTCAAAAGCACTGTGAATCGAGGTAAGATTTCCACCATAAATCCCACAGATTTTCTCAGCGGCTTCATAATTATTTGCTGAAGTGGATTTTTAAAAAAAAAACTTTTTATTTCCCTATTTTCAGCAACAAACCATGGTTGTAGAAAATGAGGCACGCTTCGAGTGGCTGAATGTATTCACTTCCTGATGGGCATTGTCCCCAAGAAATCGTCAATAATATGTGAAAATACAGAAAATTAACGAAAAAACCCATTTCAAAAAGGAGTTTTATTTGAAAACCATTAGAGATTAACTGTTTCCAAAAAAAAATTCCGTCTTTCGAAAAGGCGCTTAGTGCCTGAGAATTTGGCGATCAAACATCGATAAGGTAAGAAGGGGAATCGGGTCGAACCAATGTGACATCTTCAATCACAATTTTGCTCAATCATAATTTGATTAATGTTATTTTGTTGGAAGAATAATTGACTTTTCTAATGAAACAAGTTTAATTGGTACATTTGTTGGTTTTAAATGAAAGTACGAAAAGGAACAGAAAGACTTTCTGAATAGCCTAATACTTATGGATCAGAAAATCGGAATCCATTACCTTTTTCTCGATCTGAACAGTGTAATATACGATTTTTATAATAAAATAGGTTGTCTATTTACTTTTCTCTGCTTCAATCAAACATCGATAAGGTAAGAAGGGGAATGGGTCGAACCAATGTGACATCTTGAATCACAATTTTGCTCAATCATAATTTGCTTAATGTTATTTTGTTGGAAGAATAATTGACTTTTCTAATGAAACAAGTTTAATTGGTGCATTTGTTGGTTTTAAATGAAAGTATGAAAAGGAACAGGAAGACTTTCTGAATAGCCTAATACTTATGGATCAGAAAATCGGAATCCATTACCTTTTTCTCGATCTGAACAGTGTAATATACAATTTTTAAAATAAAATAGATATCTATTTACTTTTCTTTGCTTAGATCTAATACTTTGCCATTTTTTTGGAAGCTTGCTATTTTTTTGCAACTCCTGCTCTTTGCAATTCGCTGTAGGTAATTTGAATTTGAATTTGAATTTGAATTTTTACTCCCACTCCTCCCCGAAATTCCTGCTGAGGCAAAGAGCATTTTTTTTTAATTCAACTTATTCAATCAAAGCTTGTGTTAAGCATTGGTGAGAGGAGCTTCCTTCTGTCGATCGACGGTGGGATTTCTTGCGGAAATGAGAGCTCAAATTGGATAATTGCGAGATCGCTCATTTCAGCAGCCACCTTCACAGGAAATTTCATGGTGGGCCAACCGACAAATCAGTAGAAAAAAGGAGAGAGAAAACGCAAAGTAATTACTGATTTCCCGAAGAGTTTTTGCGAAAACGTTTTTGTTTCCAAAGAGCAGATGTGCAAAGGAAAAGAGAAACGAAAAAAGTTGACTTGAACGGAAAAATAACAGCATACACCTTCACTCTCACAAGAAACACCAAAACTCAAAAGGATGCATTATTGAAAAATAAGCTGAATTATTGAAAAATAAAGCTGAATCACTGAAAAATAATAGCTCAATTATTCTTGCAACGTTAGAAAATGTTTTTGAATTTACTCAACTACTTGAGATCCGAACCAGTGATCATCAAAATGTGATATCATCAAAATAACCGTTTATAATATTTCAAAATTTTGAAAGCTTAAATTTTTTAGATGTTTTGATCTTTTCCTAACAATCTTTGATCTTTTTGATCTTCTTGATCTTCTTGATCTTCTTTTCCTTTTCTTTTCCTAACGTACACAAGCCCCGATCAGTTCAAATAAGCCCATCGAAGCTCAGCGTTGAGATACAATCGTTTTCATCGAGCTACAATCGAGCAATCGAGCTACAATCGTTTTGATTTGAAATTTTATTTTGGTTCAAACAATACACCTCTTTTGAGTATTAAACCAATCAACATTATCCAATAAACCAACCAACATTAGCCTATGATCTTTGAAGATGGTTACAAAAGGTTTCAAAGTTCACTTTTGTTTTTTCTCTGATTCAGCTCATTTTCCTGTTAGCTTGTTAACTAATTACTTTGTTTGAAATTCTTTGAAATGAAGTTTTCTCTTCTCGAAAATTACTTTAGAAACCACCTTCAAAGAGTGCGGAAATTAGAAATTTGAGGAAGAGCTGGGAAAATGGGAAAATGGGAAAATGGGAAAAAAATGTTGGTTTGAAACTAATTGGTCGGATGTGTCGTCGATGGATGAGCCGGAAGAAAATCGAAAATCGCAAAAATTTCTGATCAATTTTTGTTGATACGATATACAATATACGATTTTAAAATGTAAAATTTAAATTTAAATGTGGGACAAATTTTTGAACTTGTTGCTTAGGCTTAGGCTTAGGCTTCTGCTCAAAGAAACTGCTTAGGCTGTTTCTTTGAATCTTTCAGTTGAATCGTACAATTTCTCAAAATCTAGCATCTTTTTGAGTTCATAGGTCAAATGTTAACTTACCCAAACCAAGCCTCGCTCCGTCCACCCGATTGTGGGGTTTGACGACGCTGAAAGAGTTTCTTCAATAGTACTTAGCATTTCTGGCTTTTGATCAAAGAGAAATTGTTTTGACTTTTAAGCTTTTGAGCTTTTGAGCTTTGACGACCACTCTACTCTAGATTTAAATCCTTCTAGCTGAACTCACTGGCAGAGCCGGAAAATGCACTTTGTCGATGGCGGCTTGCTTCTCGAGAAACCTATCGTGATAGTCGGCAGTGACTTGCTGAACAGTAAAAAGTGATCTATGCTTTTAAAAAAATAGAAAAACTCACATGTTTCACAGGAACAAGTGTCGAGTTCTCGAAGACGAGCGGCTGCGAGTCGCCGAAACACACCAAATCACCCAAACTGATTACATTCATTATTGAAGTTTTTGTGTTCATCGAAATGCGACATTTCAGTATCGTATAGGAACAAGTCTCAAAAATGTAGCCTTTCTTTAAAATAATAACTTTATCTTGTGTTATTAAGCTAAAAGGAACGAACACGTTCACTCGGCTGAAACAATCGGCTGAAACAGCTGAAACTTCTCCTAAAGCTTGTGACGATTCACGTAGTTCTTGGGGGTTTAAAAATCGTTTCAGTTTTGAAAGAGAGTTCGTAGAAGTTTGGAAAGATGATTTTTAAAGAAGTCAGCTATTCTTCTTGGAAAAAGATTTTTTTGTCATAAACAAAAGCTTTTTTTCGATTTATTTTTGGTTTAATCATGTAGGGAATCGTTTTTTTTTGTGTTAGATAAAGTAAAAATGACTCAAAGCTAGATGAATTAATGACTAATTGATATGCGAACAGTTTCACTTTAAGACAAATTAATTCATTAAAATTCAAGTTGTTTCTCCAAATAAAGATTCAAGAAAGAATGTTTGACTGAATATCTTTTAAAGTATGATAATATGATAAATAGTAAGTTGAAAAGCACAGAATCTTCATTTTCTATTTCGATCCCTTTACTCACACTCTAAAGTTTCGAAGCTCTCTCACGCCTCAGCCTACGATCTCGCCATTTACGTAAATTTTCCAAAAAACACAACACATACAGGTGCTTTTTGCTCGATCCAATTATTTATAAACATTAAGAAGAGAATTTGTTTGGAGAGAAATAAAAGAGAAATAAAAGACAATTGTTCTTGCGTGGTCGTCTAAATTAGTTTCAACGGGATCACTCTTTCAATCGGGTTGAGTTAGATGTACTCAATGAAATTGAGTTAACAACTCAAATGATTGAGTTGTTAGCCTTCTTTTTCAATCCCACGCACTCCAAGCCTACGATTACCACCGTATCAAATTCTAAATGAGTTAACGAACGAGTCAAAAAAAGGCTTATCGAAACTAGAAAGATTGTAAACAAGCCGACGACATTTCGACATTTGTTAGCTCGTTAACTCGATTTTGGTTTGATAACAAGCTTTGTCGATTCGATCAAGTAACTAGACTTGAGTTGTTATTGATTTAAAATTGTACTGACTTTATCTTTTGATCATTTTCTTGGAAACTTGTCCAATTTCTTATACCCAATCATGCGTCATTTACAAATTAAGAGCGATTCATGAGAGAGATTCATGAGAGAGATTCAATTAATTTAGTGAGGCTCTTTTCTTAGCGTTTACACCTGTTCACAAAGAGGGAAAATTTGCAGAAAGAGTGAAAGAAATTCGTGTATCTGTGTGCCGTTGACGCATTTGAGCTTGAGAAATGAGGGTGGGGGAAGAGGCCATAATTGGGATCGACAAATCGTTTCGTTTCGTTTTTTTCTTTCTTTCTTTCTCTATGCTAAGAATGAAATTTCATTTCTACCGTACCTCAATAAAATAAAATAAAATTCAATGCTAATGCAAAAACTTGTTTAAAAATTAGGCTTTAATAGAAAACATTGATGCATTGAGTTGGAACAAGGGCAGATCAAAAAATTATATGCCGCTGGGACTTGAACCGACTACCAGACAACTGTGCTACCAGACAACTGTGCTACCAGACAACTGTGCTACCAGACAACGGTGCTACCAGACAACTGTGCTACCAGACAACTGTGCTACCAGACAACTGTGCTAGCCATTACACCACATATCAATTGATTTCTCTACTCCAGAGGGACTTAACTATCAAATACATTGAATACAACTGCAGTTTTGGAATTTTTCTGTCAGCAACTTTTCAAAGTTATCATTAAACTGGAAATCTCGAATCTAAAACACAATCTACTTTTCTAAAATCTAAAAAATAATCTAGTCAAAGAAAATTGAGATCATTTCTTTTAGAAAACCGCTCTTTTCCCCCAACTTTGATCCCAATTTAGTCACTCATTAAGAAGTTATTCCCCAATTTTTGGCACTCATTTACCATTTCAGCGAATTAATTAAGAAAATCTCTTGTTGCCACAAATTTCTTTTCAATTCAATGCGCAAACCATGTGGAGTTGTGGTGGAAATGAGACAAAAAAAATGAATGCAGAAAAGGGAAAGAAAAGAGAGATGACGTAAAAAAGGATTAACCGATTTCGATGTGTCCAAGATCGGCTCATTTTTGCGGTTTCTCTCTATAGACTTTTCGTTGAAATTTGACTCAAAATCTTGCGTTTTTCTGATCTTTTTCCGTTTTTCTAACCGTTTACTGTATTTCTCATCGTCTTTTGAAACAAAAAGACCAATTAAATGCATTCGTTTATGTTTGATTTCCCAATTATCGTAAGAAGTGACCTTTCGAAATTTGGAAATTCAAATGATTCACTTTTACATGATTTCGAGTGAGATTTTAAACCAGATTTTTAAACTAATTGATCTAATTTCTTGAAACACAATGTTCTATAAAAGGAAAATTTCAAAAAAGATCAATGCAACAATTGAAAAAAAAGAGAAAAGAATCCAGGGAAAATCCTTTCTAATTGAGCTGTATTATGTCATCAGACTATCTTTAGCTTTTTTGGTGATGAGCTTCTGAGATCTGGTGTTATGAAAAAGAAAACTTATAAGAAGATGTAGTTAGATACAATAAGTAGCGGTCTGCGCCACTCCCTCTGGAGTAGCGCAGACCAGGTCGGTTGTGGTTAGCACAGTTGGTGGTGGCTAGCACAGTTGTCCGTTAAGCGAAAGGTCGCAGATTCAAGTCCCGGCGGCGCATTTTTGATCTGCTTTTTCTAACTTGCTGAAAGATTGAAAACTTTTAATCCTTAAAGGAGTTACTCTTTAAAGCCTAAGTTTCCACTTACTTTACACTTTTACTTTCTTTACTTGAGCTTTATAAAGTCTCTCTACTTGAATCCTTTCTCCATTCACTCTTTTCCTACCCAGCTTTTCATGTCTCAATCTATTAAAGGAAACATTGCTTCAAAAATAAAATTCTAATTACTTTCCCAAAAATACGCAAATAGTTTAGAGAAATTGCTAAAAATAGCCAAATTTTCTAAGATTTTCGTGTAACTGTGGTGAGAGATGAGAAATGACAGTTTCCCACAGAAAAATGTTCACCCAAGTGATTTCACGTGGAAGGGGAAACCTAGGGGAAACCTATCTCACAAATTGAGTGCCAACTTTGCAACCCCATCACCGTCACCCTTGTACGCAATTTTCCCACATCAACAATTAAGCTCTAAATTGATTTTTAAAAAACTTTGAGAAAGTACAAAGAAAAACAAAAGCTAGAACGTTTCTTTATTATTTTTTGGGGGAATATTTTTATGCGTTTTTGTTTGTAGTTCTTGGAATCGAGAAAAACGTGTCAACTTTCGCGTCATTACGGTCAAATAATGAGCACAATGATTTCGCCGATGGGATCCGGTGATTTGATTTGGGCTTTTCTTTTTCTTATAGATAATTTGAGCACTCACTTGGGAATCAACCCTATTCCCATTTTATTACTTGAATTTTTGAAATCGGAAAAGAAGGAAAAGTTGTCTAGAAAAATCGGACCGCGCAAAATGTTACGATTAGTACGATTAATACGATTAATACGGAAAAAGATTAATACGATGAGGTCAGCCCCCGAGTTGATCTATTTATTACACTTTTACGTAATCAATTAAATCAAAACCAAAAAGAAGTTCTTTAGATACTAAGGAATTATATTAAACATAATTACAAAAGTTTAGAGCTCAGATTTGACAATAATTTTGCTAGCTACGTTTTTCAAACTTCAAACTAATTTGCTGCAATAATTGTAAACTCTTGTTTCGTCATGAATTACGATAATTTCGTTTCCTGGTTTTTAGCAGAGACAATGCTACGAAAGTAATAGAAAGAAATGGCAACTTTTAGACGAAAATTGCTCTGAAAAGATATGATGCGCTAATTTCAAATGTCTGGGGATTTTTTTACGAAAAAAATTAGCTCTTTTCCTCTCATTTACTGGCGATAATGAAGACAAAAAAGACGGTAATCTGGTTTGATTAAGCAAAACGACACAAAGTTTGAGTTTCTTTAAACAATAAAGTAGTAGTAGGAAGCGAATAATGTTAGTGTTTTGTTTTGTTTTGTTTTGTTTTGTTTTGTTTGTTTTGTTTTGTTTTGTTTTGTTTTGTTTTATTTTGTTTTGTTTTTTGAAAGAAAAATGAATTCAAAGTTTTGCTTGAAAACTATAATGGTTTAAAGTTGAAATCCAGCCGATAAGCGTGTCTTTTCTTCATTTAATTTTAAAAAGAATCAAAAAAACACATCTATCTTTGGTTATTTCAGAAATTTAGCTAATTTCTCAGCTCTTCAAAATAGTGAGCGTCATGGTTGTTTTCTCGTTTTTGCAAGGAAACACGAGTCTCCGAGATGAGTAGCTTCGATTTGTCATAATTTCCAAATTTATTTAGTTAGAAGAGTTCTTCTTATAGCTTTTAATGATAAGCTTCTAATGATAAGCTTTTCAATTAATCTATGAAATTCTGGTGAAAGTAATTAGTTCGTAGATCCGACTAGGTCTGAGAACAAGCACGCGAGGTTTGTGTGTCTGTGTCTTGATCGTCTTTCCCTCTCAACATTTACCATTCATTTCTGCCATTCTCAATTGTATTCTTCTCATATCATGCAGAAATCAAACAAATTATGTTTTATAGTTTTTGTTTTTTGTTTTGTTTTGTCTAAGTTTTTGATCTTTTAAGAGCAAAAACTTGGGCAAAACAAACCCAAGCCTAAGCCCAAGCTATGCAATTTTAAATTTACTTGGGCAAAACAAACCCAAGCCTAACCCCAAGCATGCAATTTTAAATTTACTTAAGCAAAAATAAACCCAAGCCTAAGCCCAAGCTATGCAATTTTAAATTTACTTGGGCAAAACAAACCCAAGCCTAAGCCCAAGCTATGCAATTTTAAATTTACTTGGGCAAAACAAACCCAAGCCTAACCCCAAGCTATCCAATTTTAAATTTACTTGGGCAAAACAAACCCAAGCCTAACCCCAAGCTACAATTTGCAAGCCCAAGCTATGCAATTTTAAATTTACTTGGGCAAAACAAACCCAAGCCTAACCCCAAGCTATCCAATTTTAAATTTACTTGGGCAAAATAAACCCAAGCCTAACCCCAAGCTATCCAATTTTAAATTTACCACAATTGTTCAGAAAACACAAGTTTTTATATCAATATTTTTTTTTGAATCAGCAAACACTTCATCCTGTTGCTATTCACCAAAGATCCAATGTTAGAATTTTCGATTTCTTTAACTAATCCAAATGTAAACACCTGGGTGGTCAATTTTGTTCTCTTGTAACCGCTTCTCTGATCACCTGCTTATTTTGCTAAAGCGAAAAAAAGAAAAAGCAGAAAACAATTGTTTAAAGCAAGAGAAATACGAGAAATTACCATAGTTGAGGAAAGGGCGGGTCTTCGGGTGCTGAAACGAGAGGCTTTTTGGAAAAGAGGGGAAAAGAGGGGGAAAGGCGGGGCCTACTTTAGGTGAAAACCCCTCGGACCTCGTCTGTACCCTCTTCCTTTTTGATACGGGTATATAGGCTCAATCGGGTTGGAACCCAGAACCCATAAAGTTTTCACTTAGCTGCTGATTGAAACATCAAAATTTGGCTACATTGTCCCAAGGGTTTCATCTCTGCAGTTTCATCTCTTTATCTTTCATCGTAGGCTTAAACTCTAGCTAGCTTGTACTTGTAAAACTGTGCTTTGCTTTGCTTTACCTTGTTTTGCTTTATCTTGCTTTGCTTTGCTTTGTTTTGATTTGCTTTGCTTTACCTTGTTTTGCTTTATCTTGCTTTGCTTTTCCTTGTTTTGATTTGCCACATACTGTAAAACAAAGTGAAATCTAAACTTTCAAATTTCACGTCTACATTGGCATTTGAGACCTGCGAGAGGCTCATCTAAAATTTATGAATTATGAGAAAAGAGAGCTTTTCCTTTGGCCATACACTGTAAAACTGTGCCCGGTAGGCAGATGCTCTTCAGCACTTAATTCATTCACTTTCTGAAGAAGGCATTTATTTTCTTTATCTTTCCGTTGATCTCAAAATCTATCACTCTCGTTTTGTTTTTCTTTTCAAATGGAATTTGCAATTTTTCGCGATTCGTCTTTATGATTGTCACTAAATGATTTCGATTAGTTCTTTTGATTTAAAAATAGATTAGTACTATCCGGTTAGACATCTCATACCTTAATAACTAATTACGTTAAATATTGTTTAATATTGTTATTGTTTAATACTGTTATTGTTAATATTTTTATTGTTTAATATTGTTATTGTTTAATATTGTTATTGTTTAATATTGTTATTGTTAATATCGTTATTGTTAATATTTTTATTGTATCTAATATTCTTTTATCTACTTTATTTGTGTATGCTTCTAAAGTATCTTTGTTCTGAACTTAAACAAATCTGATGCCTTAAATTATTCATATTTTTTTATGAAAAGGATTTGATAGAATACATAATGATGTATAACCGAGTACCTAACTTTTTCTAGGGGCTGGCAGGGCCTCCGTCTTCCTCGCAGTGGATGCTTTGTCTGATGAGCTCGGCTCCAAGCCCCACTCCACACACAACCACTCTACCACTATCTCCACTTAATGTTATCACATCTGGTAACATTTGAAAGAATTTTATAGAAATTTCTTTCTATCCAGGTCTTCAACTTCCGTCAATTCCCGTAACTTTAGACGAATCCGTAATGCAAACTTGTCAACAGGTAGAACAAAAGCTAATCTTCAAACTAAAAGAACTTTCAGACAAATCTTGAGCTTTTACTTCAACGAGTCGGTTTATATGCGACTACCGGCTTTCAACTTCCATTCGCACAACTTCCACAGACTTCGTAAACATTTCCGAAGCTTATGAAAGCTAAATCATAATTTAGACTTGTTTCCCCACTTGAGCTCAACCAAATGACTATTGCTGGTTTTTCTCAACTTGCTACCTCGCCATTAAGTAAGAAAACGATTGGTATTAAATCTAACAGTTTTTGCAGGCAATGCTTCAACGTTGTCCACCCCTTCTCTAGCTGCTTCAACTCCAACGATGACCACGGCGCCGATCAACGCTTCTCAAATGCCCACTCCATCTTTTCATCTACCACTTCCACAAGCTAATCTCACGTTGGCTTCTGGCTTTGTGGCGCCTATTCCACAAATCATTACACCAATGCCGGTATTATTAGACTTTTTTTCAAATATTAGAAGTTTTATAGTCGGTCTCGGTCTCTCCTCCAAATGCTTCAGCTTCTACTTCTTCTATGCCCCAGACGAGCTCCACAAAACTTGTTTGTTTTCAACGACAAAATCAATATTTATCTATTCTTTAGCGTCTACTTCAAAGGCCTTATAAGGACGAGCTAGCGGTTCCTAGCTGTTCTTTCAATCGGCGACAATCTGCTCCTGAACAGTCGATTCAAATCATCTCACGTGCTTCTGAAAGACGACGGTGATTTTTGATCTTCTTCATTTTTAGAAAACACATTTTTATCCCTTGTTAATTATCAATGATTTTTAGCTATTCTGATTTCTCGATTGACGCCCTTTTGAGAGCGCCCGCACAGCAAAGAGCGCTCCGGGGAGATGAGAAAAAGAACAGTGAGCTCATTTTCAATAAACCCTATAATTTGCACAAGTGATATCATCAAAGTTTATGAACTTACGAAAATTTTTTTTTTTCAGATCGAAAACAGCGAACGATTTATGGGTTAAGACAAACGGAAGTTCTGGAGGAGGCCTTTCACTCACAGCGCTACATGGTTGGAACAGGTACGAATTGTCAAATCTTATGAGTAATCATTGTTTCAAAAGTTTGAGTTTAAACTTTAAATTACTTGAATGTAGTTTTCAAGAGGTGAGACATTCTATGACGGGGGTTTAAATATTATTTGAATGGTTGAGCGGGTTCTGACGCAACAAAGGGTTGTTGAGGGGCTTTCTTTGACTCAATTAGACTCTTTTCCCTGAAATGAGCTATTGTGATCCGAGATTTCTTTTCTCTTCATAGATCTTAAAAAAATGGGGGTGAAATTATGATTTTATAAATAGTCTTAAGCTCATCTTAAGCTTAGGCTTAGGCTCATCTTAAAGCTTATCTTAAAGCTCATCTTAAGCTCATCTTAGGCTCATCTTAAAGCTCATCGTAAGCTCATCTTAAAGCTCATCTTAAGCTTGTTATATGGAGTACTTGAACCTGATATGAGATCTAAGGTCAAGCCAAAAACTCTTGGTTAGTTTGCTTGTTTTTTAAGTCAATCCATTCCAAGTTGATCCCTCTAGACTCAGGCTTAAATTAACCATTGATACTATAATCTTCTTTCCTCAAATGAAACTATGATTCTTTTCATAAGAACTTTAACTTTTTGATCTATTGATTAACAAATGCCCTTTACTAAACCACCCAAGAGATATCGGGGGGAAAATGTAGACACTTTCTACGTGTAAAAATTGGATCACTCTCGGGTACATCTTGGACGAAATCTCGACCGGAAGTCGAAAAGAGACACGGCGATTCCCAATTACGCACAATTTCGCAGCACTCCCAAAAGGCAAAATATAATCCGATGTAGCCCAAAAATAGTTTGTAAATGATTCGAGGAATCCTCTGTGAACACTCTCGTTTTCTTGTCGCTGATCCCTTACACGTGGATCTGCCCTTTTGCCTCTTCAGAAACTTTCCGATTCATTTAAAATCTTACTTCAACTTTTTTCCCCTCAAATTTTTCAAGTACACAAATCGAAATTCATATGCGCTAGCATTTTTTTTGATTTTGAAAAAAAGTTTGTAATTTAAATGTTTTGCAAAGCACCTGCCGAGTTAAAGGTCTTGTTTCGGGAGTTTTGCTGACAAAAAAAAAGTTTGAGCAAGCAATTCGGTACAATATTGTGCTTTGAAGAAAAAAAAGAAAAAAAGAAAAAAAGAAAACTTTGTGGAAAGACCACAAAAAGGTTGAATGTTTCCAAAATGCTATACATGCAATAACTTGGGTGGAGGGTGAATTTGTTAGATAAATCGGCAATTTCCGCCGGAAAAACATCGTTTCGTGCTTTGCTATGAAGTAAACGAGGAAATTGAAATCAAGGAAAAAGTGATCCGCTTGGTTTTTCTGATAGTTTTTCTGATTTAACACATTGGAAATCGGCTTGTTTCTCGGGAATGACTAAGCCAAAAGTTCTGGAAATTTGTGAGGAAATGTAACCTTTTGTCCCCTACCAGGATCTAGTTTTAGTTTTTTAAAAACTCGATTTAAAATCTTTTTTTGAACTAGTATAATTACCCAAGTGGCGCCGCTCAATATGTCGCGTTTATGTCAAACATGAAAATTTTCATGCTTATGTAATCGCCCCGCTTCTGGCACATGGCTTTTAGATATAACAAGACAGAACCAATGCTTTTTTTTCTTTTCTGCCCATTTTGATTTAATTACCCAGGTTTTTAACAGGCTTGGTGAGCCTAGGTGGCCTGAAAGCGAGAAACTAGAGCCGGTTTTTGTTTCTTGACCCTAAAAAGCTTTTGGGTACAAACTTTCAAGCCTCTAGCTTTATTGTGATTGGCTGATTGTGATCCGAGCTGAAAGTTGTTCGAAAAACCAGCCAATGTGTTGAATGTTTTCATTGTCGGAAAATCTCTACACCAACAGTAATCGTTGCCCAATAGATGTTTACAATAATGTCTTTCTTGCAAAGTCTACAAGATTTTGCAAATCTACAAGACTGAGATTTACCTCCTTAAAGATAAAGTGTAGAGTAAAATCTGAAACGGTAGTGGTAGAAAAAAGTTTTGATGAATTTGACGGATACTTTTGTCAGGCTATAACTACTGCAAAGTTTGACTAACAATAAGCGTGCTCAAATATGTAAAAACCACTGCAAACTGTAAAAAATATTCACTGTACTGTAAAAACTAAATTCATCAAGAAAAATTTCAGAACGGGAAACACTGGCATCGAGACTCGGGCTCAGCGAGGCGCAGGTTCGCGTATGGTTCCAGAATCGGCGCAGTAAACAACGCAAAATGAATCGACAAGCTGGCCAAAGCGAACAACCGGGAAGTCGACTCTAATTCGCGGTCTTCTGGCCCCCAAAAATAGCCCAAAAAATTTGCATTTTCACACAATAACACTTCTTTTATCTCTTGCCAACCCTTCGCTCTCCACCATTGATGTGTGTTTTTGCACGGATTTTTCTTTGTCTTTTTTTCTTTGCTAATCCTCATTGTTTTTCCTGATGATGCCCCAAACATTCACCTCAATATTCCTTCAAAGTTTTTTTGTTTTTCTTTGATAGGTCACATCCTTTCTCTCTCTCTCTCTTTTTCTTAGTTCATTTTGACGCAAAAACGGTGATTACCAAACTAGGCGACTAGTTCTGTGATACAAATTTTAGGCTGTTTTGAATGTTGAGTTTGGCCAAAAATCAGATGTCTATCTTTTCCTGTTTTACTTTATAAAAATGACAGAAATAAAATGAGATTGTTTTGTTTTATTTAAAAAACGATGTGCGCATTACAAGTACAAATGAATTCTGTAAATATACTCTATCAATTTTGTATCAATTTGCAACGAAAAATTTTCTACAAATTAGCATTTTCTTAACATTTTCATTCGTCTTTTCATTTAAGAAATAATCACTACAGCATTCCTGCTTTTAAAAAAGATTTATCGACTAAAAGTGTCAACTTTTTATAAGTTTTTTGCCCCTAGAAGCACTCGTGTTTTTTTGAAAACGCGCCCTTTCTACCGTACCCTTAGCGAAATTGATTCAGGCCGTATTTTGCTCTAATCATTGGTCTTCTAGGGGAAATACCAGGCATACACGATTCTCTATTGATTTATTCGCATTTTCCGCAACGAATCATTCTTTAAATTTTCAGTTAACGACAATCGAGCATATTCGAAGATGTCGGGAGGTGGAAAGGATCGAATTTCTGTCTTCCCATCGCGCATGTGCGTTTTATTTTTGTTTTAAACTTTGTTATCCTTTTTTACGAAAATTAGAATTTTACCATAATGGTTTCACGATAGAGATGAAGATTTTGTGTTTTTAAACAAATTTCTCATTTTAGGGCGCAAACCTTGATGAAAGCGCGTCTGAAAGGAGCTCAAAAAGGACACTCGCTTCTCAAGAAGAAATCCGACGCTCTCAACATGCGTTTTCGTGATATTCTCAGGAAGATTGTTGAGGTTTATTATTCAATACTTGCCTATAGCTTATTTATGATGTTTAGAACAAAGTTTTGATGGGTGAAGTCATGAAAGAGGCTGCTTTTTCGCTAGCCGAAGCCAAATTCACGGCCGGTGATTTCTCGCACACAGTCATCCAGAATGTTTCCACTGCTCAATACCGAGTCCGCATGAAGAAAGAAAACGTTGTCGGTAAGGTTTTGGAAATAAGTTAACGTTCATTGTTATTGTATTAATTTTAATCCGTGCGGTTCAAGAATACCATAATCTTTTCATTTTATTCAAAGTTTAATGTTTTAACTTTAGGAGTATTTCTGCCGGTGTTTGACGCATACAAGGACGGCCCAGATGCCTATGATTTGACAGGTCTTGGAAAAGGAGGTGCAAACATTGCTCGCCTGAAGGCTAACTACTCAAAGGTTGGTTTTTCTTACTCTAATTTCTTGTACTTTCCTTTGATCACGTTTCTCGAAATGAAAATTTTTTGATTTCTTCATAATCGACTAGAGCTCTTTTACACAAAATCACAAAATCTTAAACACTAAAAACGAAATATGTGATGAAAAACGATTGTAAAGAGGCCTATTAAAAAGGTTAGCTATCCAATTTCAAAACTATATTTTAGGCAGTCGAATTGCTGGTTGAGTTGGCCACACTGCAAACATGCTTTATCACTCTCGACGAGGCTATCAAAGTCACGAATAGGAGAGTTAACGCCATCGAACACGGTTTGCTTTGAGAGCATAATCTTCAAAGTTGGATTTTTAGTCATTATCCCTCGAATTGAAAATACATTGACCTACATCGTCACCGAATTGGACGAAATGGAACGTGAGGAGTTCTTCAGGTAATCTTAAAAGCTTTATATCTTTTTTTAGATTGCGATTTTTAGAATGAAAAAGATCCAAGCCAACAAGAAAAAACAAAGAGAAGCTGAAGCTGTCGAAAAAGCAAAGGCCGGCGTAGAAACAGAAGGAGTTGAGGTCGGTAATTCTTTTTTAATTGAAGAAAGCAAAAGGATTGAGTTTTCTTAGTGCTTTGCATCAATGGCTTGTAAAAGAAAAACTTATTTTATGTGACTGACGTTTTCGAGATAGGTATTCAATTAGAAAGTGAACAAAAAAGATATCTTGAAAAACACGCTGAAAACAATCTATTTAATGCTTGATTGTTAGCAAAATTTTATTGTATAATGGCAAAATTGACGGGAAGCCAATTCAATTATAGAAACTTTTTTTGCTTAATACTAAGAACATTTATTGTCAAGGAGTTTAATTTTTACAATGAATCAAAACATACATTGTTTGTTTACAGAGATCGGCTGCTCAAGCGAAAAACCTCCTGCAACAAGAAGACAACTTGCCCGTACTATTCTAGATTATTTCTTCGATTCCAATACATGTTTCCATTTGTAGGTGTTTAACTGGGATGTAGTTAAAACAGCGCCGAATAGAAAATGTTCAAAACAATGCCGTCAAATTTCTCGTTAAAGTTGTTTAGGGTTCAAAATAGAACTTGGATCAAAAAAAATGGAGAGATACTCAGTTGACCAAATGAGTATCACTCGACACATATTTTGAACACTAATTTTCTCTATGAAATATTAACTTTTTCAAAAATTGCTTCACCCCATCATGTAGCCAAGAACGCAAGAAATTTTTTAGCTTGAAGCTTGAACCGGTTTTTTAGATTCTTTTGTTTTGAACGTTTTCTATTCTGACGCTGTTTTAATTACATCCCGTTTAGCTAGTACTTTTCATGCCTGTACCTTTCCATCATATGTAGTAGGTTGACTAAAGCTGTGAAAATGTGATATTTTATTTGAGTATGTTTAGTGATTATTCACAAATCTACCATTCCATGTTTTTCTAAAAAGACAGTGACTAGACACTATGTTTTTTAAAGAAATATTTGAATAAAATTTTGCCATTCATTATTTTTTTGCCTTTCTGGGGTTGGTAATTTCATCTGCAATTGGCAAGCAGATCCAATCTCGAGTCTTAAAATGTCGAGAAAGAGCCTCAGGCAAATTTGATTTACACTTCACTACATTGCTGAAATAACCATATTATTCTTTGTGTTTCAGTTCAAAATAATTGAAATCGTTGTGAGAAATTGAAAGTCAAACCGGTTGTTTGTTTTCGCGCGTTCTCCTGAAATACAGGTGTTGGATCTTTCGATATCTCTTGTCAACAAACTTTCAGGTATTTTATTCCTTTTAAAAAGGCTAGTCCACTAAAAAGCTTTTTACTTTATTGCAATCAAGCAGACTTTCATCTCGCCGAGCAGAGAACCCCTAAAAAGGGCGCTCCCCCGTCGCTGCCCCCATCCCGTATTGATTGTTTTGTTTGCCTCTTTCTCTTTAGCCCCTTTGCTTCAATTCGCATCGTTCTCCCCAAAAAACTATAACAAATTAAATTTCTTTAGTAGAAATTCACAATGGCTCTGATTTTCGACCCTAATTTTACAATGCTGACTGAAGAGCGCAGTTGGAAGTTATTCAATCAAATCCTTGTCGCATCGCAAGTTTTCGGTAAAAGATTTCGAAAGTAAAATTTGATGCAAATATGATTAGGCGGTCTGGCGATTGTATTTGTCGCGATTTGGATGGGATCCTATGATGGTGGATATGGATGGTCGGATGACCCGAAAAAGGAATTTCACTATCATCCAACTTTCATGGTGATGGGATTGGTGAGTTGGGCTCAGAAAGTTAAAAAGCTGTTTCTCCTTTTTGTAACTCAGAGTTTCAGGTTTTTCTCTACGGTGAATCGATCTTGATTTACCGGGTGTTTCGCAATGAGCGCAAGCGCTTCACGAAATTGCTTCACATGGGCCTTCACTCAATGGTTTGTTTTGAAAAAGTTAACTTTTCACAATTTTAAAAGCAAATACTGACAAAATAACAGTAAATTTTGAAAGATTATAAAAGTATTTGTGTTTATTATTTGTCAATTTATTTATTTGTGTTTAAAATTTGTCAATCTAGGTTCTGATCTTTATGTTCATCGCTTTGAAAGCTGTCTGGGACTCTCACGATCTGAACATCAAGGATGGTTAGTGAAAAAAGAAATTATTCATTTTTTTTCGAACCAATAACGTTTTATAGAAATAGAAATAGAAATTTTGAAATAAGATTTTATAGAAATAAAATCTGAATTCAGGTAAGCCAGACCCACTTCCGAATCTGATTTCTTTACACTCGTGGATCGGCATCACCACAGTAGCCGCATTCTGTGGACAAGTGAGAAAGCAAAGAATAGAATACATTTAAAAAAATTGATCTAGTATGTGCTTGGTTTCTCTGCTTTTCTCTATCCAGGATTTTCGATGGCGACAAGACAAATTGCGATGCCATTTCATCAAGTAAGAAAAGAAATTTCCGAAAAAAATCAAACCCCATCGCCTGTTCAGCTTTTCGGAGTGGTGATCTTCGGGATGGTTTCTCTAACTGTGGCACTCGGTATCTCCGAAAGAGCCGCTTGGGCACACACGTAAGAAATTCACACTAATTTCAACAACAAAAAAGGATTTATAGTTGCTGGACTCAAGAAAAGGAACTTTGCGGGAAACAAGTGGTGTCGAATTTTTTGGGTCTCTTCGTTTTCCTCTACTCAGCTTGCGTGATCGTTTTGGTGGGTAAAATGTGGCAAGTAATGCAAAATAGATTATAAAATATAAGACATATATATATAAAGGCAGTATTTTAAAATGTAAACTGATTCAAAACAACTACAGGTCGGAAATCCACGTTGGCGAAGAAAGCCTCTGCCAGAAGAGGAAATGCTCCATGGAATGAGCCTTTCTTCAAGTCGTGATCCGATGGATTAATAACAGAAAACATTTTGGTATTAATAAAGTTTGCGGGGCACTTTGATCCGATTTGATCAGAACGTATTTTTCAAGCGTTTTACCAAACTTATTTAATTTTTTCTGAAGTAATCAAAAATGCTGGATCTATTCGTGATATTTTTAGAAAGTTTTAAACAATCTTTGCTAATGTTTTGTTGAGCTAGCTGAAGTATAACTGTTGCAGAAAATGAGGGTGAAATCCAAAGTGAAAACTATTCAAAACATTCTAAAAGTATCATCAATAGATTAAGCGTATTTGATTACCTGGAAAATGCAAAACCAGAATAGAAAAAACGCGTAAAATAGGTTCTGACCGGGTCAAGTCAAAGTGCTCCCCCGCAAACTTTAGTACCTACTTTAGTACCAACATTAGCACCAACATTTGTACCAATATTTCTTATAATCCTTGCATTAATAGCTTTCTTTTCTTAAATACGGATCCTGAACTTCTAGTCTCCACAGTCCAGTATTTCACATCAAAATAAAACCATGTTCCACCGATTTCATTGCCATTTTTTGATTTCAATTTACTTCTAAACTTAAAAAAAACAAAACTAGTAATTTATACGAGATCCTCACATATCGCAAAAAAAAAACAACTCCAAAAATGACTATCTTTGATCTCATTTATCTGTTTATACGGTGATTATTCTTTATAAAGTGTGATCGCTTTTTTTTTCTATTAAAAATCGTCGTTGTCGTTGTCGTTGTCGTTGTCGTAATAAATTTCTCACTCAGAAAATAGAAATCGATAGACGGAGAGAATAAGTACAAAATTTGTAATCGTAAACAACGAACCATTTTCCAAGCACATTTGGGGAAATCTTTGATCACAAATTTGACGATGTGCACCAAAAGAGCATTTTGCATCGAAATCACAGCAACATAAAATAGTGTTATTGTGAAGATGAATGTTGGGAATTTGAGTGAGATCGGGAGTTGAACCGAGCAACGAATCACTCAGCACAAGCTCATCGATTTGCCCTAACACCGATGAACCGATTCCTTCAATAGAACTCCCGTTTATCCTCAACTTTTCTATACTAGAGCTGGCAAGAGCCCCATTCTCTATCCCTTTTACGTAAGAGTTTTCGAGGTTAAACTCAAAAATTGTACTGTTTGTAATGCTATCTTTGGGTAAACTCTCGAGTTTTGAGTTGCTAATTGAAAGAAGAGAGACTTTACGCGAAAGGAGGGCACGAGGAGTGAGGATGACTTTGGAATGGAAAATCTCGATTGTGTCAATGTTTGAAGGAAGTTCTTCAATAGATATTCTTTTCATTCTGTAGAGATAAAGAGCACGCAGCGATTTCACGTCGCTTCTCAGTGTTACCTAAAGTCTGTGAATGTTGTTTACTTTTTTACGTACTTCTTCGCAATCACCCAATACGAGAATTGTCGCATTTGTCATTTCAGGTAAAGTAACAGATGAAGAATCTGAAGTTTTTATGTTTTTTTTGTATTATTTTTTGCATTTACAGTACTGGACAATGAAATATGATATTTGAAAAACGATCGTCACTTTCCCGCGTGTGTAACTCCCTTGTCTTTGAGTTTAAACTATTAGTGTTATACATTTTCTGAAAGCTCTTTTCAAGGGCTACACAATGGTAATATTAATATTTAGAAATACGGTAAAGACAAGGGAGTTACAGACGCGCGAAAGTGACGATCTTTTTTCAAATGTGATATTTCATTGTCTAGAAGTGTACCTCCACAAATACATTCTAGCAATCGCCAATGCGAGCGGCAAACAAGTCCTTGATGATAGACGGTTGAGGGATTCACACAAATATTCACCGTCTAGAAAAGTTTCTTTGAAAAATTCGGCTCTGTTCAAATAGGGAAATTTTTGATCGGCTAGATCCGGCTAAACTTGGCTAGAATTTGTAGCAAAATAAAGTCAAATTTAAGGCAAAAAATGTTCTCAAAGATTTGGGCATATGCAGAAAAAGAAGATAGCTGTAAAGAGCTGTAGCTGCAAAATTTACAGCTACAGCCTAAGCTGTAGCTGTAGATTTTGTCTACCGGAGGAATTTCGGGGTCGGGGAATCGATTGAAGCTATTCATTTTGTTGAGTCTACCAATCCAATTGGAGCTCGGGGTTTAATTGGTCTAAACTTTTAGAGGATCGAGATCTCCTAGACACTTCCCTTAACAAGCACTTCTGAATGTCAGAACATGACAAAGGTATTTAGTACAAGATGTTACAGTAATCGGTTCAAAGATTCATGCTTCAAATCACTTTGTATCAAGCATAGAACAAAAAATCTTCAGAATCACTATGTCTAATTTTTTGGGAACAATTTTTATCTTAACTTTAGCTGTGTTTTGCTACAAATTCTAGCAAAGTCTAGCCGGAACTGGCCGGTCAAAAATTTCCCCTTTTTTTCGCACCGTTCTTTTTTTCACTGCCATTTTTCAGTTCCTTGTTTTGATTGCTTTTCAAAAATCTCTCTATTCTCTGATTCTCTGATCAAAAACTGATAACAGAATCAATATCAACCTTTCCGCGACAAGAGTTGTACTCGAATTTCCATAACAGTGGATGAATTGATGGATGAAGTTGAAGGGAATTCGCCTCGCAGGCTTCCGTATTGCAAGTGAGCTTGTTGTGCACAATCTGTCTTGTCAATTTTCGAGTTTATACTTTATATTTACCTGTACACGTGTTGGAGTCACATCAGCCAACAAGGTTTCTTCTAACGGGCTACCGATTTCACTATTCCGAATCGTTAGACTTTTCACCTAGTTATTTCCTTTTTTCAAATCTTAACCCTCGCCTTACCTGTGAGTTTCGTAAAACTTTAGGCCTGATCTTTCCAATATGTGAATGTAAAATCTCAAGATTCTTAAACTTTGCATGAATCCAAGCCTTTTCCTCAATATTTTCGAAAGATGTGTCATGGACAAGCCATGTACTCACTGAACAGTTATTCATCGAACGTTTCTAAAAAGCTCTTTAGACTTTAGAGAGTAATTGTAAAGTAATTAAGCTTTAGAGATTTTTAGTGCTATTGGAAAAAAGAATTTCTTACTTGCCAAACAGCCACCGAGCTTTTTGTGAATTCGAGATGCTCGATTTTCGCTGCAAAAAACGCTGAATCACTGATGGAGCCGATGTGAGCATTCTAAAAGGTTCTAACATTAGCTTTCGAATAGTTTTATTGTTTTTAAGAGTACCAAAAATTTTATATGATCCGCTTGGATTTCCGAGAAAGCTTCTTTTTCAATAGAGGAAATCGTTGTGTCAATCATTGTAAGATTTGAGAATTGCATTTGGCTAAATGCTTTTTTTTTTGCTAACAAACGCATTTCCATTTCTCACCTGAAAGCAGATGGCTCAATTGTTTCGATTTTTGTTTTCTCAATTGAAATGAAGATCTTTTTTGGTATTGGAAGTTCTCGGAATCTAGGAATATAGATTTTCGTGTAATCTTTTTGAATCACACCTGATTTTAGAAATCTGACTTTCTGTAATTGAGATCTGAGAAAAATCGGCAAACAATCTTGGCACAAAAACATTGATAGAGGCATTATAAATTCTAAACATAGTTAAAGTTAATTCTTTCAATAATATACAACTTGAGGCTTGCATTGGTCGAACGTCCAAAAGTCACTCTATCTCCTCGAGCAGTGATTGAAAGTTTTGAGTTCGATATCGCGAACTCTCGTGTGTTTGTACCTAATGTAAACTGTTCAGTCAGCATGTTTCCTTTCTCTTCTCCTTTGTATTCCCTTTTTCTTCCTTCGGGAAAAGATACCAGATGGCTCAATGATTAGAGTAAGTCCGGAAAGTCTGTCCGGAAAGCGCTAGGTCTAATCGATGTCCGGAAAGTCTGTCCGGAAAGCGCTAGGTCTAATCGATGTCCAGAAAGTCCGGACGGAAAGCGCTAGGTCTAATCGATGTCGAGGGTTCATTTCCCTCTCCGGATTTCTTTCTTTGCTATTCCTTTTTTTTACTCTATTACTTTTAAACAAATAAAACAAAAGAAATGAAAGAAATAATTTCTTTAAAATAACTTACCAGCCAGAAAACCCTCATCGAATTTCCCGGTTAACTCGTCGAAAACGATCTCATCAATGGTAGATCCATGAAAGATTTCGTGCTCACCACTTTTTACCTCAACATTTCCTCGCAAGTAGAAATGCTTGATTTCCGTGATTCCACCTAGATAATATGTTTAGATAGATAAATAAAAATCGTTAAACTAAATGCCCGAGAGTTGAGCTGATCAAAGCGAACATCACGAAAATAGACATATCCCACATCTGAGACTCCCTCAAAGGCTCCTTCATGAACGATTCCAATCGATGAATTTCTATATTTGCAAAAAAAATGTTCTTTTTTCTATTTCCCAAGTGAATAAGGTCTTTTTTGTAAGCCTCACCGAAACCACAAATGCTCAAAGTGAGATAATCCACTAAAGGTGGAGGTCATCAAAAGTGGGAGATGACAACGATCGATCACTAATCTTTGTGGAGCCTGAAGTTATCGATTCTTTTGCTATTTTCCATAGCCTCCGAAAATTCTTTTGACCATCTGCCCCTTTCCTAATAAATTTCTAATTCTTCCGCTCTTGAGTGCAATTTTCTTGGAGAATGAATAACCATATGGCAATGTAAGCCATAATTAGAGCTCACCAAAACAACTAAACTTGATTCTTTATTTTCTTAGTTAAAACTAAACTATTTTACATAACAAGGTCTAAAGTTGGAATTGATAAACCTAAGGGATTTCCGGTATGCGGGTTTTATGAAAGGGGCAACATCTGGACATGGTTGGATGAACGGAAGAGAGGATAAAGGGAAAGGGATAGAGGGGTTCCCCAGCTAATGCGTTAATTGTTATGGACTAGAGGCTGGCCACAATATCCTTGGGTCAAGCTTTTGTCGATTGGAGTTGCACCTGGGCGATACCCCGAAAGGCTTGTGGTTCGATCAACAAGCGTCCGATCGAGATCAACGACAAACGATCCGCAATCACCACACCTAGATTTGTTTTGATTCAATGTCTTTTCTTGATCTTGTTCAATGTCTTTTCTTGATCTTGTTCAATGTCTTTTCTTGATCTTAATACCATTTTAGCATTAGAAACCTATCCTTATTGAAAGAATTTGAATTGTAAAGCTTCGAGATTTTTAAATGAAAGTTTTAATCAAGTTTAGGCTTTATTAAGATGCTTTATTTAAGATTCAACTTAGCTTCAACTCAACTTTGTTTACCTTTCAAAAAGTCAAAGCGTAAACAGTATCAAAACTCTTCAGTAAACTGTTTAATCTTTTAAGCTAACTATTCAAGGTTTACCGTTGAAAGAGTCGTTAGCGATGGAGACTTGGGCACACGAATGCACTGTGAGTGAACGCACAAAGGCATTCCCAAGAGAAACAAGACCCAACTTCGAGTTGATCGTGTTTTCACAGCTGCAATGCGTCTCTTTATCTATTGATACACAAACAGTTCCCCTCTTTTCCCCATCCTATTATTCCCCTTCATTGAATTTTTCATTCCATTTATTTACCAAACATTATAGATTTTGCTAAAAAAGCCTCTCAAATTTTTTTCGTTAAAAAGATCGTTTCGCTCAATGTTTTTGATTTGATTCACGCTGTTTTTTCTCTTCTTTGACGATTCTTTTTTTCTAACGTATAAAAAGAAATGTTTAGACTTCAAAGTAATCTTTTAAATTCTTTACACAAAACTTTTTACCAATCATAAACAATTTTTTACATATTTTAAATGAAGAAAGGGTTTAAAAAAGGGGGAAATGGTTAGTAAAGAAGGGGAAAAGTTTCGTTGTCAAAAGAAAAATCCCCCAAAGAGCCGCAAAAACGAGGCCACCTAGTATAATGAAATACAAACATCAGCCCGTTTTACCTAGTCACAATTGGAGCAATTGCATTTTTCTGATATTTATATCAACAGATGGATTGCTTTCAACAGAATTCTTGTAATTGATCGTAAATTTTTGCTAGAAATTATTTGGAGGAAAAGTTTTGTGTTTCTTACTGGATAGCTCTTTTCTTTTAAAACATTGAATGTTTTTTTTTTAAAAAGATTGTTATTTCTTTGGGGGTGGGACAAATGCGACCTTTTTTTTGCGCACCTGGACATTTGCGCACCTTTTTTTGCTGGAAAAAGGCCTTAGGCAAGGCCGTAGAGCTTCAAAAATATTTCCATATAAGGGAATCGTATGCGTAGATTCCGAATTTCGACAAATCAGACCTCGCTGACACGTCAAATTTGGGCTAAAAGGCAAAAACTGCGGAAAAGCGTTAAGTTGCGTAGTTTTTGGAAACATTTTTGAAGCTCTACGACCTTTCCTAAGGCCTTTTCCAGCAAAAAAAAGGTGCGCAAATGTCCAGGTGCGTCGGTGTCCCACCCCCTATTTCTTTAAAAAAACTTTCATTTTTCTTCAAGAATTTGTCATTTTTAAATTTTGTTGTCCAAAATTTGAATAATTGCACAGAAAACAGAAAACTTATGGTGACTCCAAGTAAAGATTCCAATTTTTTTGCCCCCCTCCCCACCGAAAATTTTTTCTGACTACGGGCCTGTAAGGAGCATACAGAAGGAGTGTAGAAGGGGCAAAGGTGTTTCGGCCTTTGCTGTCGCTGTCGCGTTGAGTGGTGGTCCATTCTGCTAGCGGCTCTCGCGCGGGCGTTCTCTCTTTGCCATCTCTCTTCTCTTTCTCTTCCTCTTCTCTTCCTCTTCTCTTATTTTCCCTTCAGGGAACTCGCCACTCCTTTTCCCTCCATAGACGGCTGGGGGACGCGCGTGCACACTGTTTTCCGTACAAGAACACCGCCCGGTCTCTTCCCATCTCTCTTGGCTTTCTTCTCGTTTCATTTCATCGTGCTCTTCATTTCCCCAATTTCCGTCCAACTTTTTGTTGTTTAGTCGCTTTGGAAATTGTTTTTTGCTTAAATTTTGGCAAATGTTTGGTGGAGAGAGAGCGATCGATAGCGATGAGTCACCGATCCCCCGAAAGGAATGACAGCGCCCCGGCTCCTCCCTATCTCAACCCCAATATTGCCGACCCAATAACCGATTTTACTCATCTCCTCAAAAAAAATTTCATTGACTCACTCGATTTTTCTTTTCTTTCTCTTTTAGAAAACTGGTCTTTGAAGAAAGACGCATTTTGAAACTTAATATTAATCTACTATGCATAATGTCTGTCTGTTTGTGCGTACTCCTCAGCCCCCAGTGAGCAGTTTCAAATTACTTATAGTTAGTTTGGTTTAGAATTCCATCTAGTTGTGCAAAATGTTTTTAAATTCTTAAAAAAACCAAAAATACCGACGCGGGCGGGAGTCGAACCCGAGTCGTCTGGGCTAGAGAGAAGTGCGCTCGTATTGCGCGCATTGCGTATTGCCGAGTGGTTAACGCGCGCGTCTCTCAAACGAACAGAAGTGAGGTCGCAGGTTCGACTCCTCTTGCCGCCAATTATTTTGCTTTTTGTTCCAAAATTTTTTTGCTGCAAGCTGATTTCAAATAAGCCATTTATTGAGCAATGGCTGTTTTCTAATTGACTCACCTGCAGACGATGTCATTGTCAGCACAAAGGCACTGTGCTGGACATATCGCTTCTCCTCGTTCATACAGTACAATTGTCAAACAAGAAATAAACAACCAGCAGTTCATCTTTGACGTTAGCAATTCTGATGACAGATAGTGTTTGTTATTGGAAAAATATTGGAATTTAAGTGACAAGGGGCATTTGGTAAAGATAAAGATTGAGGAGGAGGGATGGGTAGTTGTAAGTGGGCAGTTCTGAGAGTCACCCACTACTTCACCCGCACGCTTTTCTCCTCCACTACTCGAACTTCATTGTGCATAAGTTATGGCCCGTGACGGGGACAGAAGCGAGAAGGAAAGGAGTACCCAACGAAAAGAAGACCGCTGATTGCCGCTCTATCGCCCTATTCTTGCACCTTTTGATCCAATTTTCGTCATTCTTTTCACATTACCATATTTTGTAGTTAAGAAAATTCTTGCCTTTCTTTGTACTGATTCTTTTTTAGAGAATTCACAATTTAGGGAGATCAAAATGGCGTGGCGTTTTAAACCAAGCAAGTACAAAAACACAACGCCCAAAGTGCCGAAAAAAGAGGTTAGTTCAAGTTTCTTTGATGTATAAAAAAGAGTTTTAATTAAAGTTTATAAATTTATCATTTATTTATTTATAGGACACGATTTTTGATCTCCCAATTGGTGCTCTTTCTGTGACGAACAATGGGGTGCAATGTAGTGCAACACATATCGTCTTTTGCATTAAAGGAGAAGGTTTGGATTTTAAAAAAGAGAAAAGATCGAGAAATTTGTTCTTATGTTTTTTTTTTAATCCGAACTCTTGTTTAGGAGGAAAACTGGGAGTAGTGCCGGCGGAAGCGAAAGGTCGCCGTCTCCACAAGGATCTCTCGGTGATCTGCGCACACAGTGATCAAGTCGACGATTTCTCATTCTTCCCTTTTCATAATCAACTCCTTGCCACTTGCTCTCGAGATGAACCGGTATGTTTTGGAAAAGTTTAGCATTCATTCAAAACTAGAGTGTGTTCCTCGTGATTAATTTGGAACACACTCTAGTTTGGAATGAATAGAAACTACGATAACCTTTCTAAAGCATGTGCTTCAAAAAGGCTATCGTAGATATGGAAACGTGTTTATGCAAATTTATTTAATTAATTATTTAATCATGAGGAACATACTCTATTCCAAATTCTTTAGGTCAAATTGTGGCGCGTCGGAGAAGAAGGCTCAAATCCGATCCTCGAGGCATCAATGGAGTTGGGATCCGGGCAATTACTTGGATCTCTTTCGGTTTGTTTCTTTCAATCACTTAATAAAATAGCTCGTACTCATTTGACATAATCCTTTTTGTTTTATAACATATTGCTTCAATCTTCAAAATATCATGGCAAAATTTAGCCTCATTCAACGGCTTCGGGACTCGTCGCCTATACAAGCACCGAATCAACTATTGTGGTCGACTGGGAAAAACAAGCAGTTTCCTATGGTAGAGTTACCTTTTTAAAAGTAAAGCAAGAATTGTTTAGAGTTGAATGGCCTAGTGACACAAGGGTTATCGTGTGGATGGTCAGAAGACGGAAAATTGCTTGCAGCATCAAGTGATAAGGGAAGAATGGGATCGATCTGGGATCCGCGAGCTGGAAAAGATCCGATTCAAGAGCTCAAATTGCACCAGGGAATGGGTCGCGAGGCGAGGATTCTATTTGCCGGACAACGAATTGTCAGCAGTGGATTCTCAAACGTAAACTACATTCGTATCTTTTTTCTTAAAGCCACAAAAACGTTTTAGAAACGAGTTCAAGAGATTCGTGTTTTCGATCACGGTAAATGGGATGCGCCGGTTCATTTGGAGGAATTCACGGCAACTACTGGATTGCTCATCCCAATTTATGATCCCGACACACAACTTGTTTTCCTCGCCGGAAAGGGAACCAATAAACTCTTCATTTCCGAGCTGCAAGAAAGACAACCTGTTCTCTCAAAAGGTTTCATTTTCTATTGTTAATATTAATTGAAAAATTTTAGTTTATGAAATGACACTATCAGAGCAATTACTTGGTGCTTGTTTGGGTACAAAGAATGGTTTGAATGTGATGAATGGAGAAGTGGCGACATTTTATGAGCTCTCAAGTTCTTCTCTCATTCCATTCCCGTGCATTGTGCCTCGAAGGGTATTACAATTATTGCAATTCTTCTAACAAGTTTTAGTCTTACCGTGAATTTCATGCGGATCTTTTCCCCGATACTCGGGGAGATGTTGCTGGATGTTCGGCCGAACGATGGAAAAATGGATCGGATGAACAGGCATTGAAATTAGATTTTATTTAAATAATGCAAAAATTTAGCCCGGAACAATTTCTCTGGCTCCGAAAAATTACATTCCTTCTGCAGCTACAAACTGCGAAACACCAAAAGCTGCGCCAGCTCAACAAGTCGCAAAGCCAATGGTAAGAGAAAGACTTTTTTTCACCAAATCATTCTTGATTTCCTAAAATCCCAAAAATTTAGCCAACTCCCAGACTTAATGAACCAACGCATGCTCCAGTGGAAAACAACGGACGAACAAAGTAAGCAAATCTCGCGTTTTTTATTTTAGAACGATTTCAGTATCAAAATTGCATCGAATGAGAGTCCAAAGAAAGTCGATTCGGATAGTCGGGATCCATCACCAAATAGCGAGGTGATAAAGCAACTCTTTTTTGAAAATTTGTGATATTTTAGAAAGAAAATATTAAAGCGGCGAATATTCCGAAGAAAGAGGTTGAAAAGCCAGTTATCAAGCTTCGCGAATCAAAGCCTGGAACACCAGGTAAGCTTTGCACCAATTTTTTTGCGCAACTCTCCATAACTTTCTCCATTAAGTGGGCTTTTAACTTTATGATTTTAGTGTCATTTTGTTGCACTTGTTGAGATCTACAAAATGACATCAAAATCATAAAGATTGACCCACTTAAAAGAAAGTTATGGTGAGTTGCGCAAAAAAATTGGCGCAAAGTAACCATCCTCCAAGTAAGCAGACCAATATCTAATTGAAATTTACTTTGAAAGCAATATAAATTTTTGTTTTGTATGCTTAAATGATTATTACAGCGAAGACATCAAATATCCGAGCCTCGGTGCTAGGCACGATGGTCTCTCGCTTCCGCCATGTCGAAGTCCTTGCCGGTCTTAAAGCTAACGGAATCTTCACAAATCTTCGAGATATCAACACCCGACCGCCACTTGAATCAAGCAGCACTTGTGTCTCAAATTCGTTCGTTTAATCAAATTTGTTTTTCAATAAATTCTTTTTAGCTTTGCGGCCGTCCCACTCGTGAGTGTTGCCGGCACATTTCTCATTCTTGATCTTGAAAATCCATGCAAATTGAAAGACGGGATTCCAGATGCAATTTACAACAAAGCTTATGTAAGTTTGTAAAAAATAGCCTTTATGTGCGTTTTAAGGTCACCGATCTTCAATGGAATCCTTTCAATGAAAATGAGTTGGCATGCGGTACAGATACTGGATTGATCAATATTTGGAGACTTTCAAAAGAAGATGAGAATCGTTCTGAAATGAGTCCGGCTCGAGTATTGATTGTTAAAGAAAAGGTTAAAATGAAAACTTTAATAAAAAATGACTTTTGATTAGGTTACCTGTTTACGCTATCATCCATTGGCAAGCGATTTGCTCGCTGTGGCTCTTTCCGATGGATCAATCTCTCTATGGAACACTGAAAAAGGGTTTGTTATAGTAAGATTACAGCGAGATTTTGAAGTAAATTCAGGTGACAAGGTTTTAAAGTAAAATTTTAAAGTAAATATCAATTTACTTTAAAAACTATAACATTAGAGCTCTTGCAGAACTTGCGAGCGTCAAGTCCAAGCACATGATGGAGGAATTCTGTCAATCACTTGGAGCGCGGATGGGAAACGGCTTGCCTCGATTGGAAAAGTAAAAATAAAGTAATTGAAACCTAATCAAAAAATTTTCTAGGATTTGATGCTCAGAATTTGGTCGCTGCAAACTGAGGCAGTTCTTTTGCAAGAAAAGAACTGTTTGGAGAGCGGAAAAGCCGGACGAGTGGCTTTTGTGTGTGAAGATCGGGGTATTCTTGTGGTCGGATTCACAAAAGGCGCTTCTCGACAGGTGCTTGAACCATTCTAATTTTGAAAATCAAAGAAAATACCAGGCTTGGATGTACGATTCGAACAATCTCGACTCAGTCTACACACATCAACTGGAAAGTGGGGTTCAACCGCTCATTCCACACTACGATTTTGATTCATCGGTGTTGTTCTTGACTGGAAAGGTAGTTAATCTTCAAAAGTTTACAATTCAAGTCTTGTTATACATGTATTAACAATGGCTTAAACTTTAGTTAATATTTTAAGGGTGATCGCACCGTGCAAATGTTTGAGATCTCATGGGATAGCCCCTATTTCTTGCCACTCGCCTCGTTCACTCAACCAAGTGGTCATCAAGCCGTCGCTTACCACAATAAATCAATGTAAGAAATATCTAAAAATAAATTTTACAACGAATTTAGTTGCAACGTTATGGAGATCGAGTTCCAAAAAGGTTGGCGGCTAACGGAGAAAAGCCTTGAGTCGTTGATCTTCCGTGTTCCCAGAATAAAGGTAACAAACCCCACAAAATCTAACTTAATTTAATGATATCTATTATTTATTTACTATTTAATTTATTATCTAATCTATTATCTATTTTTACAGAAAGATATCTTCCAAAGTGACCTTTTCCCGGACGCAATTGTCACATGGGAACCGGTGATGGGCGCCCAAGAATGGCTCTCCGGCAACGAGTCACCGCCCAAGTATCGCTCTCTGTGTCCAAGTGGTATCACAGCTAAAGGTATTGAGCATTTTATTTTAAACATTATTACCCATTTCAGCCGTTATTCCAAAACCCCAGCCAGCGCCAGTGGCCAAAGTTGGACCAAAAGTATTGGACGTCGTTCAAGAGACCACATCAACAGAAGGCAAAGAAGAGCCATCAATGACAGCTCCTAGCCCATCAAATGGAGTTCATAATGATAATTGTAAGATAATATTAAGAGAAGAGATGGGAATCAAAGTTTAGTGGGAAAGAAGAGCACGAGAGACCAGATTGCTGAGCATCAGTACAATGTTCCAAAGAAGGCACCATTGGCTGTGATGGATGATGAGGAAGTGAAAAGGGAAGTAAGTGAAGAAAATTTACATTATCCAAGACTTTATTTTTTCTTGGATTTTTCTTTTTCAGCCTAATAAAACAAATGCTTCTAGGTGGAAGCCTCGTGGTCGCATAAGATCGATGTCGATCACGCTTTAGAACAAGATCAAATGGAAGGTGTTGCTGAAGAAGAGTGGATTGATGAATGATTAACGAACAATAACAACAAAATCGAATACTTTCTTTTATCAACAAAAATACTTCTGGTTCTTATTTCTTTGCTTATCAGATTATTCACATCAGCTCTCGTGTCTTTTCATGTCAAAAGCTTTACATCTCCGCCGAATCTAAGGTCCTGACTTTTGAAAAAATGGAACTTTACTGGTGGCATTTTTTTATCCAAAAAAAGTCGACTTCTAGTCACAAAATTTCTTTTTCAATCAAAAGAAAAGCCTTGATTGTCGTACAGAAATATAGTCTCTGTGTAGATTTGCCTTTTTTTTTCGTTTTCTAGATTTTTCTCAAGTTTCCCTTTTCAAAGAGCCTACTTCTCTACCAAAAAAAACCAATCAAAACACACATTCCTTAACATCAAATTTAACTTTGTGAAAATGAACCTCATCTTTTATCTCCTTTATCGTCTAATTTTTCTTTCAGAAAGTCTATGCGATTTATTGGCGATCATTTAAAAAGCTCAATGTGTGTAAACTCTTGCTCGTCTCGAGTAACACGGGCATTTTTTTTTCTTAAATAAATGCTTTACCAAAAGTTGAAAAGTGGAACAAGACTCACATCCAAAGACATTAAATTAAAGACAGTTTTATCAACTTTCAGTAGAAAACAAGTATTTTAAAGTACTAGAACAAAGACAAAGACAAAGACAAAACTGTAAAAAAAAGATTTCTATAAAAAAAAACCCCCGAAGACCACCGTGAGAGTTGCCCACAAAAAACAAACGTGTCCACCGCATTGTCTCGATCACTTTTTGTGTGAACAACGCGAACGGTTAAGGGCAAAAGAGGGGTCTTTCCTCCACTTTTTCAGCCACTCTCACTCACTTATCGCCATATTTATATCTGGGAACTCGTGTCTCTGTGTATACGTTTTGAGGAATATCGTTTTCACTTCTTTTCGTCGATATGAATCGCGTTGACACACTTCTGGCATGCAAATTTCGCGCCTCATCCAACGCCCCTTTTCGAGAGTCGATTTTGATGCGAGTCAAGCATTTCATGATTTTACTTTTGTTTTGCCATTTCAATTTTCAAGCAGCTGTATGTTTTTTTTGTTTTCTCTATGTTCTTTGTTGGTTGGTCATCATTGGTTAGCCGTTTCTTTCATTTAGCTCGTTTCTTTGAATTAAACTCCTTAGTTGGACTAATAATAGTTTATGTTGTAATTGCTTTTAATTACTTTAGTTTGTGAAAGAAAGTGGATGTTTGCTCAATCTCACCGTTTCCCTGAAGTTAAAAACAAAAGCACAATTACCAAAAGCACAATTACCAAAAATCCTTTCACTTTCAATGCCGCAATTGTTTTCTCATTCAATAATCTCGTTGAACAAGGCTCTTGTTTCAAAGTTTCAAAGGTTTCAAAGCTTCAAAGGTTTCAAAATTTAAAAAGCGTTCAAAAATAACGATCTTTCCCATCAGAACCTCATAAAGGGTAGAGCGGAGAAAAAGAGGAATGGGAAAAGAAGAGGATGATGTGCCCAACGATGAATCACTGGCACTGCCCCTTCACACCAACATGTCGATTCCCTTTCTTCAAACGATCACAAGCATTTAAGCATAACATTTCACATATTCAACTATTCAACTTCTTGAGATTTTGCCATAAGATTGTCATATTTGCTTATGAAAATTGTATCATCAGAAGGGGGATCGGCAGCGCTGCGTGCTGTCAATCGGGGAAAGACGAGGACAGCGATTGAAAAGAGATATGTAAAAAGGGGAGAAGGGGGTTGACTTGGCGATTGCGATATTTGCATAGGATCACGCCGCAGCCGAGGGGGGACGAGATGGACATGATGCTTCGCACTCTCTTGAAAACCATTCCACTTGAACCATCACATCACAGTGATACTCTTTTCATTTTCTGTGCTTGTTCTTCTGTACAAAATTTGATCACTGTTCGTCTATTTCCACTTTTGCATTCAGTCCACTTTTTAACAAAAAACCAATTTACAATTTACAATTTACAAATTGCAAATTGCAAATCGGCTTTCATCTCAATTTTGCTCAAGTTTAGAGACAACAAGATTTGGAGATGAGGTAGTAATGGAGAACACAGTGATCCCGAATAATCAAATACTTTTCACACGGCTTTTATTTGGTAAAACACCTTTCTGATTTACTGATACCGTATTTTCTGTAATAGTAGTGCGGTCTATAATAGTAGTGCAGGCAGGAGGGGGGTTGAAAAAATAGTAGTGCGCACTACTGTTACAGAAAATACAGTACTGATTCTTTTTCCATTTAGACGGCGATTTCGTGGAAGCGTTTGCTTATTTGAATTCTCTCTTGGAAAACTCGGAGGATGGCTTCTCGCAGTTGCTCGATTGCCTCCACGCATGGAATGTAGGCTAAAAAATAACTATCTTATCTGCTGACTTATTTGTAAAAGTAACACCAATTTTAGGAAATGGGTGCTCGTCGCGAGGAACACCTCCTCTCGCCACTCCTCGAAGCCCTTTTTGATTGTGACACCGCAAGTGCAACCGTTTCCGGCCTTCGCCTTTTCAACAACTTACTTTTTATGGTCCCCACTGAAACACGAAGGATTCAACTTGAAAAAGAGTTGCAAGGTTGGTAATTTTCTATTTTCGACTAATAATAAAAATCGAATTCTTAAATCTATAACTGTTTCCAAGTAAGGGTTTTACAAGATACAGTACTGGACAATGAAATATGATATTTGAAAAACGATCGTCACTTTCGCGCGTCTGTAACTCCCTTGTCTTTGAATTTAAACTATTAGTGTTATACATTTTCTGAAAGCTCTTTTCAAGGGCTACACAATGGTAATATTAATATTTAGAAATACGGTAAAGACAAGGGAGTTACAGACACGCGAAAGTGACGATCTTTTTTCAAATATGATATTTCATTGTCCAGTAGTGTATGTAGGGTCAATTCTAGAATAGAAATCAGTAATTACTTTTTTCGCCATCTTCTAAAAAACTTCTAGTAAACAAAATTGAAAGTACTCAAAAAAGATTTACTAAGTTCGCCCTATTTAAAATCAATTATTCACTATATTCAAATAGTCTTACTCCCAAAGGTTAAAGCTTTTTGGCTTAAAATCTCTTCACCTGGTCATTGATTTGATACAAGGCTTCAAAATCTTGAAATGCAATCACTTAAACTCATCTCTGTTTAAGGATTTCCTTAAAATCTCTTCAAACACAAGGCGTGGTTCTCTTCTTTTACGTAATGCTCTTTTTAAGGCGAAAGTAGGGCTTGAATCTTTGGCTCCTGCGTAGTTTCTGGGTATTTTGGAAAAACCCGGGTATTTTGAACGGATCGGCACGCTTTGAAGGCCTATAACTTTGTCCAGAGATAATATTTTTGTGAACTTTTTATATCATTGTATAGATGACATTTCAGGCTTTCAAATGATATAAAATAGAGCTTAATTGGATAATCTAGTCCAAGAAAATCAGAGCCAACTTTGAGCAAATGAGCCCTATCCAACTCGGGTATCTTCTCGCCTTGTTGCATGAGAATGAAAAATCCAGTCAAGCTCTATTTGGTATCATTTGAAAATCTTAAATGTCCTCTGTATAATGATATAAAAAGTTAGCAAAAATATTATCTCTGGACAAAGTTATAGGCCTTCAAAGCGTGACGATCCGTTCAAAATACCCGGAAGCTACGCAAGAGCCGAATCTTTTTGTTCAAGAGTTGTTAGAATATGAAAATCTCTACTGAAGGAATTTAGGTGAATTTAGACTTATCAAGTTCTGTGCTAGTTTTAAGATTGCCTTAGACTCTACTAATTTGTAAGAGTCTACTTTGTAGGGCTGTAAGACTTTGTAAAACTCTACTACTAATCTCTGTCGGATATATCTATTTAGTCGGCTTTATTTATCATGTTTTTCGCAGTCCTATCAGTTTTGGTTTTAGTTTTAGTTTTTTTTTTTACAATTTTATTCATAGTTGAATAAAGTATGAGTATTATAATATCTGAACGTGAATTGGGCGGCGAGTTGTGGATTTTCGCAGATGGTTTTGTCTCTTTCGGCCCCGTTTTCTTTCCAATCGACGAGCGCGTGAATCATTTGGTAAATGTAAATGTTGAGAGGAAAAAAAAAAGAGAGAAACGTCTAAACAGACGGATGAAGAGACGAGAGTTCACGTGGAGATGCCGTCCCGAATCTAAGATGAATCAACGTTGATACACTTTTTTTGATTTGCCCCATCAAGATTGTGTGATTATTTTTCGGGATCATGGACAGGATTTTGATGACGCTATCGTTTTCTTTGCGGCAACCTCTTCGGATGATCTTAATGACCGGTCCAATCCCTTCTTTTCAAAGATCTCAAATCCCTCTTTTCTCACCGAGCCCCCCCCTTTCAAATGTTTTGTCTTTATCGTTGAGACAAAACGATTTCAGCTTCTTATTTTGTATTTGTAACCTTTTGCTTTTTTTGGGGAGACAGTTTTGTTACCATGTCTGATGGAATTTGTTTATCTTGACAATTTGAATCAGATTCGCAAGTTTCTTTAGAAATTGATAAGTTTTTGAATTTTGCAAAACTAACATCAGAATTAGAAGGAAACGCTCTGAGAAAATGAGTGTTTTGGCGTCTCATTTGAATTTCCGATCAACTATTGCCCGTTCACGATTCGCCCATTTAAGAGTTATTTTTAGTGAATCATTGAAAGGAATATCAATTTTCTTCTTTTCTTTTAGTCACAGCTCATCTTCATAAAATGTTTTTATTTTTTTGATTTAGATTTTGCAAAAGAAAAACAATTTACAATTTAGAGCTTCATTACGAGTCACACATCAGCCAGATTCGGTGAGTTTTTTGATGTTCAGTTTCAAAAGTTTACTTTCAAAAGTTTTGTTTCAAAAATCAGCTTCTATCTGAACTAATTCACCTTTGAAAACCTTTTTTTGAAAGCTTTATTTGAAAAAAGTTTTCAAAACAATGCAGGGATAAAGGCTTTTGATACATATAGTTTAACTAAACAATGCTTGTTTATTAACTTGTTTATTAACTATTAACTTGTTCATTAACTATTAACTTGTTCATTAACTATTAACTTGTTTATTAACTATTAACTTGTTTATTAACTATTAACTTGTCTATTAACTATTAACTTGTTTATTAACTTGTTTATTAACTATTAACTTGTTTACTAACTATTAACTTGTTTATTAACTATTAACTTGTTTTTGGTTTTCTTTCTTTTAAAATTAGAAAGTTTAGTGTAAAATTCCAAATCCAAATCGTTTCATTTAGATAAAAAAAAGACACATCTGTGTTCACACCCGTTTTTGCACCATTTTCCCATTTCCTCTAAAGAAAGAGTACATTTCTTTTTGCATATCCATAAAAACTATCTACTTTCACTTCAGCATCAAATATTCAACAGTGTCGAGTGTAGTCAGAGAAGTCGAACGATTTTATTCGATCAAGAGGAAGCAAGAGGTGAGTGAATGAATTTAACTTTTAATTTAAGCAATTCAGCAAGGACCTATCACACCAGTTTTGATTCCAGAACAGCAAGTAATGGATCTTGATGAGAATGCGGTAAGATTTTAAAGATATCAAGTCATAACCTTTTCAATCTTTAAGAATTCTTCCTCAAGCGATTCCGATTCGAGTCTCTTGGACTCACTCAAAATGGCGATTGGTAAAAGTGGGGAGGCGATGAAAATTCGAAAGCGGCTTCTCGAAACGCTCACCGAGGTCAGTACTATTTAAAGTTTTAGTTTTAAAGCACAATTCGTCATTTTATTGGCAATTCTAATAGTGTCTATTAGAGTACAATTTTACTCTCTTAGGTGCTGGTAACCAGAGTCCATGCCGTTTCAGGTACTCGAGGATGTTCATTCGGAGAACGATATCGACCCCGTGTTGGCAAAGTGTAAACGATTGCTGGGAAGCTCACTCAATAACAATTCCTCGTTTCAACTGCCAAGTAAGACTACAAGATATTAAGCTATCTAGAAAGACTTCCTGCCTAATAAAAACATTCGTTAAAACTAATAAATTTTCAGCCATAACTCCGTCTGCTCCACCGCCACCACCTCCGCTAATGAATGGACCTTTACCTCCACCTCCACCACCTCTCACTGGCTGCTCTATTGGACCTGGTCCTCCCCCACCTCCACCTCCATTTAATTGTAAATTTTTAAAAATAACTTAAATTTATTTTGAAATCAGTGGGAAACAAGAAAATGAGCGAAACGACTCACGAGTTACCAGTCGCTTTTAAACCGCCGAAGAGAGCCGAGACAAAGATGATCAAGATGCAGGTTGGACTTGCTTGTTGCTTGCTTCTTATTCCTTATCTCAACTTTTTAGTGGACAAAAATTCCCCCACGTGAAGTGACGAGCACGGCAAATACTTTGTGGGGGAAATTGGCAAAAGACGAGTGTCCGATCACTTCTCGTGAGCTCAAACAGAAAGTTTAATGGATTTGAAAACGATTTAGAAGTACCGCTTGATTATTCACAACTTGATGAGCTCTTCTCTCAGCAAAATCCAAGAAAAAACAAATCGTTGGATAAGGTAAATGTTATTGCACAGATCACAGAGTACTTCAAACTTTAGCCCATCATTGGTTCAAAGAAAACGGACGAAGTGATCTTGCTCGACACAAAGCGTTTCATGAATGTTTCAATATTTATCAAAAAGCTTGGGGTAGGTGTGAAGGATTGAAATCAAAATTGGGATTTTAGGATGTACAAGAGTTGGTGAGTGATATTCGAGAGTGTCGAGGGACGACCCGCCTCGACACTCTGCAGATGCTTCTTTCAACAGCAATGCCCACTCGGGAAGAGGTAAACGTTGTAGATTCAAAATAAAAAGACAATTTTCCAAGTTTAGCAAAATCCAATCTTTTTACAGGTTGATCTAATTCGAACGTATACGGGTGATTCGTCGAAGTTGGCTCCGCCTGAGTCTTTTTTCTTGCATCTAGTCGCCATTCCCGATTATTCGCTTCGGATTCGAATGCTCAAATTTCGGTTTGTTTTCATTTTAAAAAAGAAATCTGACTTGGGACCAATTCTCACTAAAACCAACTTATCTTCGTTTAGAATTTGTAGAAAAATACGGCCAAATTTGAGGCAAAAAATTGATCTACTACCTACCTGGCAATACTTTGGTTTTAATGATTTAAATGGTCATAATTCCTATTTCTAATTTAAATGTTCCTAATTCAAACTTCTTTAAACCTTTACTGACTCATTCACAGAATGGACTTTCATCTTTCAATGGAAAAACTTGCTCCACAAGTCCGACTTCTCAGTGACGCTTGTGAACGTAAGTTTTGTGCTAAAACTGCTAATATAATCTTTCAGAGATTCTTGCTTCAACAGCTTTACTGAGAGTTTTTGTGGTGATTTGCAAGGTAAACTGTGTGCCTTAGCTTATGTCAAAATTTTTAGATCGGAAACTATTTAAACGAGGGCTCATCGGCTGGTGATGCTGCTGGCTTTAAGTTGAACTCTTTATGGAAAGTGATCGAGTTAAAAGCAAATACTGGACATGAAACTCTTCTACACTTCATCACCAAAGTAATTACAATTAATTACCATACAATTTAATCACTTACAAATTAATAAAGAATACATTTTCAGAATGATCCGATTTGCGTGGATAATCTGAAAGCAGAATTGAGTCTGATTCCGGAAGCTGCGAAAATGTTCGTTTATCAAAGCTGTATCCAAAATATATTAGTATTAAGCTGTTTTAGAAAGTCTTCGTTCGTTCGAAAAAGGAACGAAAAGACTTTCTGAAAAGCCTAATACAAATATTTTATTTCTTTTGTATTCTTTATTCTTTATTTTCGATTCAGTCCCTCTCCTAGCGAGATCGAGACAGACTTTGGTGAGATCGAGAAGCAACGAGCGGAGCTTGAAAAAGAGTTGAACGGAAAGCAAGAACCTGTATTCAAAGAAATGGGCTCTTATATCAAGGTACAACACTTGACGAGTTAAAAGAACGTAAAATTTCTAGATCGAGTGCAAAGCTGAGATTGAAGTGCTTGCGAAGAGCTTCTTTCATCTTTCCGATCTTCGTTCCCGTATGGCCACTTATTTCATGGAGAAACCAAACGAGTTCAAGGTTTTTGAGCACACAAAATCTCACTGAAAAACTCATTTTAGATTGAAGAATGCATTCGAATGTTTAGAAACTTTTTGTTGCGACTTGAAAAAGCGCATCAGGTTGAGAAAGAATCATTCGTAATAGGCAATGTTTTCAGGAAAATTTGCAAAGGGAAGAGAGCGCTCGAAAGAGAGAACAAAAAGCGAAAGCTGTTGGTGAGAGGTAATTGAAGATTTTTTCTGATTTTCACAATAATTATATATATATATATATATTTATATGATATTAGAAAGAGAGCAACAAGACTTATTTTGCAAAGAAGCAAAAATAGGTAAGTTTTCGTATGTGTTGAAAGATTGTAAACATAGATTTTCTCGAGATTTCCTGCAAGATTTCAATGATTCGCGAATTTTATTCGACTTTCTACAAATGTTTTGATTTTTTAACGAAAAACAACCCGTAAAGCAATAAATTTAAAGACCAGGAAATGGGGAAAAGGGGAATAAAGCTCAAAAGGGAAATGGGGAAAAGGAAACCGGTTTTAAGAACATCTAGAAACTCTACCAGGAAATCACAAAGACATCATGCATTAAAGGAAATAGACATATAGACAATGATTAATTTTTTAAAACATTATCCGAATGAAGGAATTGAGCCGGGTTGTGCCTGAACGGGCATCGGGGGACGAGGTGGTGGAGCAGCAGCAGGAACTGGGTCTGGCGGCTGAATTGACATAAAAGTCAAAAGGAAATTTCCCTCTAGAATTACCCTCTCCATTCCGCTAGACATTGGCGGACCATTAGGTGGAGGTTGAGGTGGTGCCACGGGGATATTTGGCTGCTGGGACACTGAAACATCGGCAGCTATTGGCGCTACTGGTGCATTCGGTCCCATTGGTACTTCTGGCTCACCAGGCTCTAAAATTGATTTCATCCAAACACTTTTTTTTTGAGTTTCTCACCTTGGAAACCAGGCCATCCTCTTGGTTTGAAGCTTTGCTCTGATGGAATTGGAATCAATTCCCATGGAGGTGTCACCGGTGGGGCTACTCCTGAAACAATGTATGCAATTTCCTTGTTTAAAGTTAGTTATTTTGGAATCTAGCTTTGAACAATCTAGTTCTGAAGTCATTTTTCTGAACAGTCTTACCTTCACTTGGTTTCGTTTGTTGAGCCACCGATTGTTGAGAACGGGCTCCAATCACATGATCTGACGGGAGAACCTGAATTTTAACACGTTTAACATTATTGAATTCAGTTATACCTCGATTTGCGGCACTTCTCGAACAGAATCCATAAAGGTTTTGGGTTGAGGGGTTTGGTTTTGGATTTGTGGTGCCACTCCACCACCAGCAGGCCATTGATTGTTTGAAGCCTGTGGGATCGAGGGTTGATCATTGAAGTTTGGTTGACTTGGATGATTAGTTTGAATAGGTGCAGGAATTGGCGAGTCTTGCGTCGGTCTGTTATTCAAATCCCCAACATTGCTTGACAAAGGATATTGCGGGTTGGTCGATGGCCGTATTTCGCTTGGGATTGGATCCTGTTGGAGGATCGGTGGTTGGGGTTTATTTTGTGGAATATAATTGGGATTAGGTGGTAGAAGAGGTTTGGTGTAGGATGGTGTAGGACTTGGCTTTATGTAGGTAGCTGGGGGCTTTGGCGGTGGAACGGGTGGTGAGGGCTGAGGATTGTAATTGTTGATGGTAGGTAGCTGAATTGGTGGAACGGGAAGCGATGGTCTTAGATAGGAATTTCTAGGCGGAATATATGAATTCTTGGCCGGAGGAGGGATATAGGAGTTTTTGAGCGATGGTGTATAGGAGTTCCTATAAGGGAGGGCAGTTGTCTGCTGATAGGCTTCGTAGCTTGGACCTCGATTACTGATATAGGTGTTCACTCGTGGCTGCGGCTGCTGCTGCTGTTGTTGTTGTTGTTGTTGATAGCCGGTGTTCATTTGATTCTTCCAATAATCATTGTAATTTCCATTATAGTTTGGATAGTCCTCTTGTTGCCAGTTCTGATAAGTATACGGGTAATTCTGATAGCCTTCATTCTGATAGTTCCAATAGGGTTGCTGTTGTTGCTGTTGTTGCTGCTGTTGTTGTTGTTGATTATCGTAATATCCTCCAAAACTTTGTTGACCATAGTTATAGCTGGGATAATGGCCATAAGTTCTGCCATAAGATTGGCGTTTGATTCTAAATTTATAGCTAACAATTTACGTTAATTTGTGAATTACCTCGGAATTCCATGGGAAAACGCAATCAGTGTTGTCAAGAGTAAAGCTCGAGCCATATCTGAAAATGTTTGCGTTAAGGAAACGAGGTAGAAATGATCAGCGAACAACTGAGCAACAATCAGAGAAATCCCAGTTTTAAAGAGAGCCATTTCCTCAAGCAGAACCACTTGAAAGCTCTCAAGTATATCCGAATCCCTGTGGCTCAATAGGATAAGAAAAACAAGTCAAAAGATAGCTAAATATAGCTGAACAGGTTCACAGAAGAGATTCTATTAAGCCGTCCAGAAAGTCTTTTCATTCCTTTTCGTTTTCTCGACCGTTTCTTGTCCGATTGCTCTGAAATTTTGTTTACAAGCTGAAAAGACTTTCTAGACTCGATTTCTATCTGTAGACAAAATTTCAGAGCAATCGGCCAAGAATCGGCTAAGAAAACGAAGGTGGAATTAGATACGGATTGAAATTTTCCTATGTTTAGTGGATACCGAAAGTTGTTGGGAAAATTGTAAACCTTTTCGAAAAATGGCACTCTTGGGGGTCAGGCGGGGATACATCCTTTTATGCCCTTTTTTTTCTATCCATTTCCCCATTTCAAGACGTCTCAAGTGTTCGTCAAAAATGATCGCGACTCTCTGCATTTCCCTTTTCCTTCTCTCGAGTATAAGTGATCTTTTTTTGGATTAATGGGATCGTCCCAAAGACGTCCCAAAGAGTTTGACTCATCCGCATATTTCATTTCCCGCCTCTTCAAATATTTATCCCAATTTTTTTTGAGGCCTTGTTTTTTTAGATTGAACTAGAAAAAAAAAGTGATGAAAGAAAAAGCGTTGAGAAAAATGAGTCAAGAGAAATTACCCATTTCTTTTACTCGAAAAAAATAACATTCAAGATGTTTGCTATTCGCCAAATCGGGTTTTACTCATTTTCACTGCTCTAGAAATACAAGATAAAAAGAGATTCTTTATGTAACTACGATTTGCAAGGTGTGATAAAGATCATGATCATCATCAAGGGCAAAGCTAAAGATTCGAAGAAATAAAAAAACGTTTTAGTCCGGCAAACGCACGACGAGCGTCTTTCTTTCCGAACACAGAGAATGGAATCGGTGATGAGTTGGCCACACTGCTTCATAAAACTGAAACAGTAAGTTTCTAATTTTCAAAAATTTAAATTGTTAGAAAATGGAGGAGCTGTTTGAATATTCTATTGCTAAACGTAACTTTAGATAGCTGGCCGACGAAACTCTGCAGTCAGCTCTAGAAAGGGCTCTGATGAACCACCAGTTTGTTGATTTTCAGCAATTTTTCAAAAATTTTCTTTAAGATCCCTGTCTCTGGCCGCCGATTTTCCGTAATTGATCGAATTCGAGAGAAACGAGAAAAAGAGGAGCGCGAACAAAAAGAATTGGTGATCAAGATCTATGCTTAAAGTTTAACGAAATTTACAGGAAAAGCAAAGCAAAGAGGGACTGAAAGTAAAAACTATTGCAGAAGATGAAAAGGAATCAAGTTACGAAACATGTTTTTTAGTAATTTTAAAATTTCAGCCATTTCCTCAAACTTTTCTCCAAGAAGTTCCGATTTGCAACAAAATGCTACTCAGGTTTTTCTCTGATTTGACTCATCACACAGCTAGTTTAGGAAATTGATTCAGCAAGTCGAGCTTTGGTTTGTAGAAATGAACAAGTGGTGAGAGTTTTTCGTGTTATTATTGGATTGGTGGGTATGAGTTGTCGTCAACTTTCAAATTCAAATCCTAATTTAATTACATACCGTAAATACTGTAATAGTACCCCACCCCCATAATGAGTGTTGCGTAGGCTAGCTTTGGACGAGTTTTTCTCGACACTGGTTTATGCTACAATGCGCGCTTAGGTATCAAAAAATAGCCCTGAGTTTCAGCTATTTTTTGATACCAAAGACGCATTTTTTGAAAGTACGGGCGCTTTGAAAAAAATGAAATACTAAACAATGACTACGCGACTTTGGGACTACGCGACTTTGCGACTACGCGACTGTACGAGGGGGTGGGGTACTATTACAGTATTTACGGTAAGTTGTTAAATTCCCAGGAAGACCTCTTCAATAGATGGCAATCAATAGGTTTTCTAAAAAATTGAACTTTTATTGAGTTGAGCCTCCTTTCAAATGTCATTTTGTAGAAAAGTAGCTAAGCTTTCTAATGATACAAACCGCTTATCATTTAGCAAAGTCTACGAGAAGTTTTAGAAGTCTCTTTGCTTTTTGGCGACACATCATACCCACCAATCTAATAGCTTTCATTTTCTTCTCCAATCCAACTTCTTGTAGTGTTCTCCTGTCGCTTGTGAGACTCCTCATTCCGACATTTCCGTCGATTCAACTTATGGAGTGTGTTCCTCTTCTTTTTTTCACTTTTTCTATCTATCTAGAGCCAAAGTGGTCGACAACTTTCACCGTTAACACCAGAAGAAAAGGGGAATGCTTGGACGAGTAACGATTCGATTCCGATTGGAGATTTACCTAGTTTATCTTCTACAAATAAGGTTTTCTATATCAATTTCTATATATAAACTGTTTTACTCTCTATTACTTAAAGCTTTTTGCATTGGAGATTCATTTAGCTTGCGTCCAACGAAAGTGATGTCCTTCAGAAAACTCAAGGATCTTCCGCAAAATCACCTCTTGTAAAATTTATGTCACTTGATCAGAATTCAATCACTCATTTTCAGAAAGATCAAAACAAAAAGCCGACAACAAATGGATTGGACTTATGCGGGATTCGTGTAGAAGAAATCGATGAAAATAAAAAACCAAAGGTAAATCTTTGTGATTTCTTGAAGAGATTAAACTTTAGATTGCGCAACCAACGCGGAAAATGCTTACACGCACAATCACACAAACCACTTTCACAAAGCCGGCACCCAAGAGAAGCGATTCTACGGTGAAGAATGACCCGTCAAACACAGCTACGGTGTGTTGATTGAGCATGATTTGCACTGAACACATCCGAAACCCCAGTCTACAGGGTCACCGCGAATTATGGCTTTTTTTGAAAAAGTTACTAGCAAAAGCCTGACTTATTACCAAAGAACCAAGTGTTGGCAGATCGCCGGTGAGAGGCTGACTTGAGCTCAGAGCTTATAAAATGAGCTGCAAAATTTCAATCGAGAAGTTCTTTATAGATAAATGATGCCAAGATGAAGGGCTTTATTTTTTCTATATAACTTTGGCAATAAGTCAGGCGTTTGTCAGCAAATTTTTCAAAAAAGGTGCCACCATAATTCGCGGTCATCTTGTATTATGAGTTTTTCTTTTGTTTCTAGACAACAACAACGACAACATTTCCGCCTAAACGCGTAATGCCCGGTGTCATCAGAAGAGCGGATTCATCAGGATCGGAAAGAGGAAAAACCTTATCACAACCATCAAAAGCCCCGTCCACTACTTCTACTTCTACTAGCAGAGCCTCAATCCGAACAGTTCCAATCACGACTTTGACTGAAAAAAAGCCTCCCAGTCCGTTGAAAATTTTACCAAGTAAGGTTGAATTGAAAATTGAATTGAATTGAATTAAATAGAATTAAATAGAATTAAATAGAATTAAATAGAATTAAATTGAACTGATCATAAGTGAATAGTGGTATAAATGAAATGAAAATTGAATGAATTTCGTTTTGAAATGACTTTTCTAGGTAAAAAAAATAGATTTCGAAGATACAGTAGCGGACAAAGACTTAGCATAATTTAGTTTACAGAGTATACCACTACTGTATACAGAGTGCGGCAAAAGTTCGGAGCCGCTATGAAAACATTGCAGAAAATTTAGCTCACGCTTTTTTTTTGTGTCTCGTATACTTTTTTTCCCTTTTTTCGAGTATAATTAAGGTGATTTGTTACAAAAATTTGCTTTTTAGGAGAAAATTCGTAAGAATGAACGCCAAAAAACGACGCGATGTGATTCTCGGATTATACCAAGGCGGAAAAAATAGCCCGAAGCTTGTAAAAATCACGAAATATCCTAAAGCTAGTTTTTAAACCTTTAACTATCTTAAGAAGCGGCTCCAAACTTTTGCCGCACCCTGTAAAGAGTCTGAAAATCGGACGTCCAATTTGAATGATTTCAAAATCGGACGTAACATGAATCTAAACTTTGCACGCATTATCTTCAACCAATCCAGAAACTCCATCAACTACCTCATCTACTCCAGCAACTCCAGCAACTCCAGCAAATAAACCCTCAAGATTGCCGCGTGGAGCCACATCAAGTGCATTACTGATGAGCACAAAGAGTCAACAGTCTTTACCGCCCATCAAACCACCACCACAACGGAGAGTCACCGCTCCCGTTGCTCCTATTCTTTACAATCGACAGGTTTTCTCTAAAACTAGTGAAATGTAACAAATAAAAAGTTTAGGTAAGCACCTCTGCTCGCCCGTCTTTAGTGCAAACGGGTGTCGTGCAACCAAAAACCGCAAACATTGTCACGACGACCATTGAAAAGCCGAGACTCCTCCGAGCCACCGTTGTAAATAAGAAACCGGTATAAGATTGTAAAATGAATGAAAACCAAATATAATTTTAGATATCGAGTGATGTGACTGAAAAGCCAAGAATGGCAAGAACATTGCGGTCTACGGCGAGCGCTGACCTTGTCTCTAGTGGTACAAAGCTTCCTTCAAGGTTTAGTGAAGTTGTTTATAATAAACGAATTTTGTTTCAGTCCATTGACCATTTCACGGACTCCAATGCCACCAAAAGTGTCAACAAAAGTGTCAGGATTGTAGAACAGATAGAACAGACAGAACAGATAGATTGTAGAAGAGACAGAACAGACAGAACAGACAGAACAGACAGAACAGACAGGACAGCCAGGACCGACAGGACAAACATATTGTAGAACAGACAGAACGGACATATTGTAGAACAGACAGAACAGATATATTGTGGAACAGACATATTGTAGAACAGACAGAACAGATATATTGTGGAACAGACATATTGTAGAACAGACAAAGTTTACTATTCGTATAATTGATGAAATTTGTTATTTTTCAACGGAATTACGAAAAGGAATGAAAAGACTTTCTGCCTAATAAACTAACTAGATGAAAATAGTATATTTAGTTCCCCAACAAGTTGCACCTTTGCAAAGACATGGATCAGCGAGGGGACTGCCTCGGCAAATCTCAAGTCCCACTTCTCCCATTCCTCTCAATGGGATTTCCAGTGACGCGAAGAAACGCCTCAAATCTCTCGCTGAACGCTCATCGCATTTAGCAGATTAGAAAACTTCTCTGACTTTTTCTTCATTTACACTTTGCTCAGCTTTTTAATAAATATAGATTTGTGACAAATAATTTATTGAAAAGCAAGAACAAAACGCTGTCCGAATTATTGGATGAGAATACTAGGACTTTTAAAACTAAAAAAAAACTCGAGAGTAATAAAAAGCACCATCGATATAAACCGAGAATTCCTCGAGATCGAACTTTGAATTTGTGTTTAAAACAAACTCTAACGCTATAATTTTATAGAAAATCTATGAGATCAGCGGATGGGGCTCTAAATTTGAGCAAAGCATGGCGTTATTGTCTAGAAGTTTTTGAAAAACTGTAGTTTTAGAATCATAAAGCCGAAATACAAAAAAAAGAATTTGGAATCTCATAGTCAGAGATCAAGAATTTTCCAATAACACACCCGCAACGCGTTTAGCAAAAAAGAGAGAGAGAAGAGAACAGAAATCAAGAAAAAAAATAAATGGATACCGGGGGGAAGGGTTAAGAATAAGCGAAGAATTCTACGGTCAATGAAAAGTTTTGTGAAGTTCGGTGAAGTACTCTATAGAGTGTCAGCGTATCGCTTGAGTTCGGTAAAGATCTCAGTGAAAAAAGCGGACGAAGCGTTTAGTCGTAGCATGTCCGCCGATTTGGCTTTGATGATCTCAACAGTTCGCTCCCAAAAACGCTCACGATCCTGAGAAATTTGCTTTATCATTTGGAAAGTAGAAAGAATAAGCTTTTGTGATTGTTTTCAATTATTGAATGACTTAAAAATCGGATGACTTAATGGATTAAGTCATCCAATTTTAAGTCATTCAATTTTAAGTCATCCAATTTTAAGTCATTCAATTTTAAGTCATTCAATTTTAAGTCATTCAATTTTAAGTCATCCAATCTTTAAGCCATCCAATCTTTAAGCCATCCAATCTTTAAGCCATCCAACTTTTAAGTCAAAAGTCATCCAACTTTTAAGTCATCCAATTTTAAGTCATTCAATTTTAAGTCATCCAATCTTTAAGTCATCCATTAATTAAAAAGAGCCTTTTCTTTCTAAATTGTAAGCATATAGTTTATTTAATTGTTTAGCTTTCTTTCATCGATAAAACTAACCGATTCGATGATGAAAGGCTTCAATGGATATGAGATCTCATTACCCATGTACGAGTAACCAATGTAGAGACAAGTGAGCAGCCATTGATGCAATTCTTCCAATGTCTCTGCAACATTACATTACATTTCCCTCATCAAAGACCCGAAAAAGTAAAACTTACTGACTACATCATCTCCGGGTAACACATCTCTCACTAATAAATAGACAAAAACAAGATTCGCTGGATTGATAAAAGCCACGTCTTGCCAGCCCTGAATAAGATTGGTTTTTGAAAACTATAAAGACTTAAAAGCCTTTCAAGCCTTATAGTTTTCAAAAGTTAACTTATAAAGATACTTTTTAAGAAAACTTTAGTTTCATTAAAACCAGTGCAAGAAAATTCCAGATTGAATGCATTTCTTTGATGTAAATTTTATCGATAACACTTTTACCTGTAGAAGAAGAGCTCTATCCACTGTTCGTAGCCACATCACCACGTGTGCTGGCTCAAAATTGTTGACCTAAGAAAAAATAGCATTGATAAATTTATGCCAACACTTACCGGACACCGCTCTAACACAAAAGTGCCTAGAGCTCGAAGAAGTTCTGAGGTCGAAGCTTGCACCACTGTTCTTCTTGCACTTGATCGATTTGTCTAAAACGAATCATGTTGAAAATGATGTTGAAACTATTGCATGACTCACATCATTATTGCTTTGATGCACTGCCGGATTTGTGGTTCTTCGGAACTCGGTTTCCAATGGTTTATGATGAGTTTTCGCAGAGATTGATGGTTCATTGCTTGATAATTGTGATAATCGATAGCATGATTGACTCTTCAACTCCACTCGTTGCACAATTCCCTGTGATGATTGACTCGAGCACATTGAGTCCGATTTGCTCAAAACGTGGGTGAAATGGCTGAAAGGTTAATTGTAAGAGATGATTGGAAAAATAGATTAGAAATAGATTTAAGTTTTATTAGGTTGGTAGAGGAAACCATGCATAAATACTGTAATAGTACCCCACTCCCAAAATGAAAGTGCGTCTAGTTTTGAACGAGTTTTTCTCGACACTGGTTTATGCTAGAATGTGCGCTTAGGTGTCAAAAAATAGCTGAAATTCAGGGCTATTTTTTGATACCAATCATGTCAGCTAAATTCTTTTCATTCCGACATTATAGTAAAACAAAAACTTAGAACTTTGTTCTTCTCATTACTCACCGAGTGTGCTTTGGACTGACGGGAGTTTTCGCTTTATCTTTGAGTGGAGAAACGAGATTGTTGTTGACGAAATCCTGCTTACTAAATCGTAAACTTTCCCGTTGTAGCTCGTCGCGAATGCTGAAAAAGTCTGTTTCCAAAAACATCTTTTTCTATTATTACCTATAATAATTTGGGATTACGGTAGTCTCGGGCTCATAGTTTCGATAGTTTTGATTGTTGTCAACGGTTATGGGCAGCTGGGTGTATGGTAGCTCTCGCTGCGCACGCCACGTCGGTCCATCATACGAGCGGGATGTGTGATGATTTTCTAGATCTGCACAAATTTTTTTTTCGAACAAAATCCCCTCACCATGCTCGTGTTTCCTTTCCGTGGGACTGATCGCTTTTTTACCCCAATGCCATCCCTGAAAGAAATCTTTATTTTTAAGTCATTGTCCTAAAAATTATGCACAACATTTAGCTTTTTTTTAAAAAAATTGTAATACCTGAGCCAAAACGGATTGCCGTTTCCCATTCGATGGGAAAAGGGGAGCATCGGTCGGAGAAAACAAGTGATTACAGACCTGGAATTCTAATTTTACTCAAGCAAATTCGAGTGATATCACGCGGAGATGAGTTCCGTTTTTTTTTAAGCGGAAATGAGTTCCGTTTTTTTCAAATTTCCTCTGCTTATGTGTGATGGGAAGTGCCATACCGCGTCAAGCAACCCATCAACCGAAGAAAGGGAAAACCCCGTACCCTAGGGATCCCCATGGGTGTCTCCAATCTCCCGTCCGTCTCCCCATCCAGACAAGATTTGTTCTTTCATCTTAAAACGATCAATGCATTCCATGGCATGTTCGGAAGTTATTTAAAAGAAAGATATTGAAAAACAAGTTTGGCTTGAAGCTCAACTTTCCCTTGAACTTAGTTTGCTCTTTAGTTGGACACGCCGGTCCTTTTATGGGTTGCGAATACAAAACATAGTCGGTACCGGGATTCGAACCCGTGACCCTACCAGCGAGAGCCGGGTAAACGTTTTACCAATGAGCTACACTCACCAGGTTTGTCGGCAGGTTAGGGCCTTTTGGTTTACTCTTTGAAATGACACTTGTTTTGAAACGGGTGAACCAAATTGACCAAAAATATGAAACGTAAATCCACTATGTGTTGCCCGTATCTGGATTGAGCCCTCGTGATGTGTCGCCGTCTTCCCGCTTCCCATCCTTTCACACCCTAATTCCATTACCGCTGACGGGCTCCTCTAAGCCCTAGGTTTGCCCAAAAGAAAGACACGATGGTTGAGAGTGAGGGTGATGGGGAAGAAGAACCCGAAAGGAGAGTGCTTCCGCTAACCGTGACGTGATTCATCCCACCACTAGAGCCTTCCTTGACCCCTCCGCCCTTCCGGGAATTAGACTCTCAATTGCAACAGTTAAGACAAGGAAATTAAAACAGGGTGATGTTTGGGTAAAATGAAGCTTTGCAGTAACGATTTGGCTAACTTACTGATGTGGGTGGGCGATGCGGCAGCGGTGAGGCCAACGAGGCTCCCATTCTGCTGTTAGTCAACGATCACTGAAAAAATTCTTTTAAAAGCAGCAAGCTTTTCAGCAATTTTTGATTTTTTAGATATTTTTGTGAATCAGACTAGTAAACTGGATGCAGAGGAAAGTAATTTGGGTAATAAACGACTAGACAGACTCGATTTCGCAATCTAACAAGTCTATTACTCAAGTTTTTGCTAGTTAAATTTTTGCTAGTTAGAATTAAGGTAAACTTTAGAGATAATTTGTAGAAGAAAACTTACCAGACACTTCAAATCGAATTCTTCTAGTAGATCTTTGTACATAGAAAGTGATCCTAAGGTTTATCTTTAGTTTAGAAGATCAGAAAAAAAGCTTTACATTAAAGAAGTGAAAAAAAAGCTCTGTGTGCATTTCGAAAGAGCTGAAGACAAAAAAAAAAGATCTTTATGGAAAAGAGGAGACTTCCGCATTGGCCCTTAGGGAGGAGTTCTCCTTAAATGAAGAAAAACTATTAAAGAGATTTCTCGAAAATTATTCAACTTTCTATATTCTGCAGAAATAGAGCAAGAAATAAATAGTTTTTTTCAAATTTGAGCCGCTTTTTGCTAGAACAGAGCACATCAAATAAACAATGTCGAATCGGGAAGCATTTTCGTCAAAAATTTCCCCACTCTCACTCATTTCCCTTTTTCTAAACTAGAGACGAAATCAACAACTAGAAAAGGCAAAGATTTCTATTTTGGAAAAAGATTTTAAAGATTTAAAGCTTGCATAAGGCTGCATAAGGAAAAAAAATGGAATTGTATGCAATGAGCAGCTGAGGTAAAAAAATAGAGTAAAGGAAGACGTTCTTCTTGAGCTGAAGAGGCACACATAATATATGTAGGTGGTTGACTTCAGTTAGGCGCTTGAGGCCTGAAGCTAGGGTGTGCGCGGGTTCACTCTGAGTGGTCGCGGGAAAGGGAAAAGAAAATGGGGCAGCCCACAGGAATCCGATGCATGGGGAAAAAGAGAGTCGGCTCCTCCAATCGATTCACTCTTGCGGCCGCTGGGGCCACACTCTTTGCTCCGATCGAGCGGAAGGGACCTTCTTGGATTCCCGGCTTTTCTCTCTCTCTCTCTCTCTCTTTCCACTCTTTCTCTTTCATCCAACTTTCATCTTTCCCCCCCCCCTTTTTTTTAGTCTCCTTAGTCGATATTGATGCCTAAAAGAAAGCACATTTCTATTCATCACCGAGTGACGGGTGTCCACTTCTGAATGACTCGTTTCTCCATCGAGGTGCTTCTGGGCTTAAAAGATCTCTGAGATCAACTTTTTCTTAAGTTTTTCTAGGTAATGAAAACGAAATTAAAGCGATTTGCAATTATTATTCCAATAAACTTGCAAGAAATGATACATAAATCTGAGAAAAGGGGAAGCGGATCAGAAGGGGCTGATGAGGGGAAAGAGGGGCCTAGGCGGCTTTTCTTTGGTGTGACTCATCCATTCCCGTTTCTCCACCGTATAGCTCCTCAAGAAACCAATTTCTTCCCTCTTTCAAAGCCATAAGGCTTTTCTAACAGACCAACCTGATCTCACAAATCATTTGTTTTTCCAAATTTGGTTTCATGAAGGCTTTGAGAGGAAAAGGCGTGGAAAAGTAGCCGACCAATGTCTCCACATTGCCAGAGCGATTGCCAGAGCATCTGTCTATCAATCTGATGGTGCGGGGTTCGACCCTGTTTGCAATCTTTTTGCATCTTGCAAACTTCTTGCCCTTTTGTTCCCAACTGTTACTTGATAAATCAACAAATTCAGGATGATCGATTCATTCACAAAGAGAGCGGTCGACCATTAGTTCCCAACAACCCAAGCAGATGATGAAACTCTTTGTTTTTGTGTTGTGTTTGGTTCATAGATAATATGTATCTTTATTCATTAGCAAACCTCTGAATGAACTGAAAGGCGGAGAAGAACTATGAAAAAAAGTGATGATGAGCAACTGAAATAAAAATAAACTCAATACAAAGTTAAGCGACGGTTTCTCGGAGTCCCTCATAGTCGGTGGCTCTTCTCCGATTGCCCCACGATCGACTCGCTGGTGTCCATTCACCGGCACTTCGTCGTGTTCCCCTAAATTTTTACGAAATTTTCAATTTTCTTTCGACTAACCATTCATAACCAGTGTTCACATTTGTTTCACTGGTGCTATCATGAAGAAGATTTCTTGTCATCGTTATTCTTTCTTGTCGCCAACTTCCACCATCAATGCTATTCGCGTGCACCTGAGACAAAGCATAGTAAAGGGAATAATTTTGGTTTACGATTTGAATTTCTCTTGTATGCTAGAGTCATTTTAGTTTTCTAGATTGAGAAACATCATTTAAACAAATGGAACTTTTCTATTAGGCTGTCCAGAAGATCTTGGAACAACTCTGGAAGATAATCCAAGAGTAAGTTCCTAACAGTTCCTAACAGTTCCTAACAGTTCCTAACAGTTCCTAACAGTCCCTAACAGTTCCTAACAGTTCCTAGCAGTTCCTAGCAGTTCCTAACAGTTCCTAACAAACTGGAAACTTTGCTAAAATCTCTCACCGAAACGCTTGGTTGTGGAGAAATGAAGACACTGATTTCTGAGCCTCGATAAGATTTATTTGAAGGAATCGGCTCATCAAAAGAGGTTGACGAGAGGGCGGTTCGTCGAGAGAATGAGTGAATTGGTTGTCCTTTAGCACTGAAATCACCCTCTGAACTGCTTGCCGCACTCGGGATATCATGCCGATAAGTGAATTGTCGATTTGTGGGCCTTCCAATCCACACCCATTCTTTTGTCTCCTCGGCATCGCGTCCGCCCGACGAACTCGATGAAAGCCGTGACAAAAGTGGCACCACCAGCTTTTCATACCTAGAAGATAAATACCTAGAAGATTCTATAGTCAATACAATTCTCAAACTATTTACTAGTTTCAAGTAAAAACAAAGAGCCATCAAAAGCAATGATATACCCGTTGAAAGCTCTTGCGCGACGACTGACAAGTCGACAAAGTAGAACCAAAAGCAATGTAATAATGACAATCGCGGCCACTGTATCCACTCTCCATGGACTCGTGTGACTTGGAGTGGTTGTTGGCACTAAAAATCGATTTCAGCTTTTAATTAGAAAGTTTTAAGCGCACTTGTTGTGTTTGATGTATAAATTCCAGAGTTTCGGTGACTATCAACAGAAAAAGTGAGTCCAATCGGGATCTCGGTCTCTAAAGGTGAAACTTTTAGAGAAGTTTTCTATTGAACAAACCGGCAAGCGCATTTCCATCGGGATCACGACACTGTGCAGGTGGTCTTACCAAAATGCGCACAGATGCGTCAGTAATATCATCCAATGCTGAAAATGACGATTACCGTATTTACTCTATTAGTGGGGTCCCCCACTATTTTTTCAACCCCCTCCAGACGACCCCACTATTAGAGAGGACCCCACTAATAGAGTAAATACGGTACTTTAATTGAAACACATCTTTTGGTAATTAGCTGGAGGAAGATAGCTTTTCTGAAACATTCTTTATATTTTAATCTTCTTTTTAGCCTTCTTTTTAGTCTTCTTTTTAGTCTTCTTTTTAGTCTTCTTCTTCACTTTTTTTCGTAGTATTAACTATTTAATCTATTAGCGTATATGTCGTAGCCGATTATGAATTTCAGCCGATTATGAATGAGTGGGTCTAGGAGCGTCCAACCATCAAGTATTTAGTATCATTCAACGCAGAATCATTGATAATTATGTTAAATTTTTTAAATTAGCAAGATTTGATAAAAAAGAAAAAAAATTAGAGCAAAAAAACTGTTTGTTCAAGAGAAAACTTTGAAGCCCCATAATTTTTTTTCTTTTTTATCAAATCTTGCTAATTTAAAAAATTTAACATAATTATCAATGATTCTGCGTTGAATGATACTAAATACTTGATGGTTGGACGCTTCTAGACCCACTCATTCATAATCGGCTACGGGGGTCCCGCCGATTTTGAATGAAACGTTGTAGCGCCGGCAATTTTTAACCTAAACTCACAAATTTGGTACCAATCGACGCAGAATTGATTTCGCTACAAGATGATATAATATTGTCCTCATACATTAAAGGGTTGCTCTACTAGAAAGATTTGCCAAAAAATTTCATTCATAATCGGCTACGACATATATAAAAGTATTCATTCTTTCAAAACTTATTTATTGAATAGGTAAGATTTTCTTAGCACCAACCAATCATATCAACGGAAGAAGTCTGGCGATGAGCGATGGCAAGTGAATGCTCCTCAGTTGAATGAACAGCAAGGCTGTATTCATTCAATGGTACATCCAACAGAGATTCCATCTTAATTCGTTATTAATATTAGATTGAATTGATCACAAAATTCTTTCCTTTTTAGTTAGTTACCGTAAATACTGTAATAGTACCCCACCCCCATAATGACGGTGCGGAGCGTTGCGTAGTCTAGCATTGGACGCGTTTTTCTCGACACTGGTTTATGCTACAATGCGCGCTTAGGCATCAAAAAATAGCTGAAATTCAGGGCTATTTTTTGATACCAAAGACGCATTTTTTGAAAGTACGGGTGCTTTGCAAAAAATGAAATACTAAAAAACTTTTGCGACTACCCGACTGTACGAGGGGGGTGGGGTACTATTACAGTATTTACGGTACTTACTTGTTCGTCTGAATACAGCATAAACAACGAGAGGCTTCCATGCTAAAACTTTACTTTATAAACTTAAATCTTTATCTACTGTACCTGATATTTATGCGTGAAAGCGGTTTGAATATTTGTTTGAACAAAGTATTGCCCGGGTTGACCCTTAAAATAGAATTCATAAGGTTATTTTTTAAAAAAAAAAAAAAATACCGACTGGGGCTACCAGTGGTGAATTTATCGCATACACGAAATATATCAATCACAATACAACGACACACACAATACTAGGCTATATCTTAACTTAACCCACGTCATGACAGACGGCTCCCTAACCCTAAGCTCAATGGGGAACTAAATAGCTTTTTTGGTGGTGAAGGGAAGATGACGATGAAGGAGTGGCTTGTCACTTTAAAGAACTGGGGCCACAACCACCAGACTGCCCTCCAGAAAACCTCTCAACCCGAAGGGAAAGGAAATCCGAAGGGGGTGACCATGTCGCATGTGGGGTTCGAACCCTCGGCCTTTCGATTAAGATAAAAGACACTTAACCAGTCAGCCACACGCGCTCTTATTTGAGGAAACTTACCGAAATCGGTATCACGCGAGGCTCGATGGCAACGATTGGCATCGCTGATAACTTGACGATCGTCACTTTTTTAGGAGAAACCTGGAAAAAGTTTGTGTTTTGTTTTGAATTTATGCTCAACTGTGAGCACACTTGAACCGTAATCGATTTGAGGTGCCGAGGATTTGAGAACAATTCTGAAATTTGAGATTCATCGATCGCAGATCGCGCTAACCTGGAAGTGCCTTTGTCTTGAGCGTAGGCTAATAAACGACCATCAACAATTTTGATTACAGCCACCGATCTTTCAACGGAATGCACTCTGAACTTTGGTTTCTTAATTTCTCAACTATCCAATCAACTATTAGACTATCCAGAAAGTCAGAAGAAAACGAAAAAGACTTTTCTAGACAGCTTATTTCTAGACAGTGTGTCCCACAATTATGGTGACAAAATCTCAATAAGTCTATCGATCTTATTTGCAACGTTTTAAACCTTTTCTTTTCATTAAATCCGTCAAAAATGTTCTTTTATCTCTTTTCTGGATTTTCGGCTGTTTTGAGGATTCGATGAAGCAAACTTTTTCCAATACTGGCCTGGACTTCGACTTGGCTTGGACTTGGCCATTTTTTGAACAGAATTTGGTTCATCGAATCCTCAAAACAAACGCGCTTTGAGGAGTTTGAGCTCCTTTTAAGTCCATCAAAAATCTTTCAACTGTTTCAATTGTTGATAGTCTTTGGTAAGCCTCGTCCTTTGCAATCTTCATTGGAGCTCTTTGAAACGCTTCAAAGCGCGAAAAACATTCTGCATCTTTTCCTGCAAGATTCGTGATATCTCTGTGAGTGTTTTTCCTTGCTGATAAAGCGTGATAATGGCTAAACGCTCTTTCCTAGATCTCACACCTAAAAAACAATCAAATCATCGATTAATAACAAGAAAAAAACAGTATGTTCCTTCTTCCAGCCAAGTGTAATCTTTCTGCTGTTCGCTCATTGAAGAAAGACAGAAAGCAGTTAAAGATAGTAAAATGCGCGTCACCATAATTGTGAGACATCCTTTATAAAATCAAACCTAGACGCAGCAAGTGTCGTCACATCAAACAGCATCTCCCTTCTTCCAGCCAAGTATAATCTTTCTCCTGTTCGTTCATCACCAACTTGAAACGAAGCTAGTACTTTTATCTAAAAAGATTTGATTAAAGATTTGATTAAAGATCATTTGTTCACCTCAGAATGTTGAAATCTTTCCGTGCATCCGAATTGTCTTGCAGCTCCGGCGGATTCCAATTGTTTCCATACAGCCACCGGCCAATTTGTGATTCCATGCAATACAGGATTACTTAGCCAGATCTAAACCTTAAAAATAAGCAAATAAAAGATTTTTTTGATACCGTAACTGGCAGACGCGGGAACCAAACAGTAAACGCGACTTGGGTAGTCCATTGCTATAATAAATTTGCATTTATTGAAACAACTCTTGTTTTTCGGGCTGAAAATTTACCTCATAGTGAACATGGACGCGTGCTGCTGGCATTCCTCGAAGCTCCGATCCATCAACATACACCTTAACTTTTATTATACAAAGATTCTTTTTTAGATTTACCGATGAGCAAGTGGGACTCGTCTTGAGAACTTTTACTTCACTGCTTATACAATGTGAAAGAGCAGTTACATCTCGGGTTGAGCCACCCAACTAAAAAGAGAAGAAATGGTTATTCAATCAGTCTTTTAGATAAGAAATGGTTATCTTTTAGATAAGAAAATGTTATTTAACTAGTCTTTTAGATAAGAAAAGGTTCAACTATTACCGTCACTGAGATGATTCGCATTGGAAGCGAGTACTGTGTTGCCGAAAGTACCGCTACATTTATCAACGAGTTTGACTAAAAACTTGTTTATTTGAATGTAGTGAAACGGGACTTTTAGATTTTAACTTTGATCTTTACTTAGATCTTTATTTAGATCTTTATTTAGATCTTTATTTAGATCTTTACTCAGATCTTTACTCAGATCTTTACTTAGATCTTTACTTAGATCTTTACTTAACTTTCGACTTACTTTTGTTATTGCAACAATTGAGTAAACCGAATCCGGAGCTACACGAAACGGTGTGGCGACTCGATGGGCATCAATCTAAAACGTTTTCAACCATTTAAACATTTCTCATTATTTACTCGAGAAATATTCGTAGCTGTCTCTGATCGAATCTTCCGTCGTACCTGCAATCGAACTATAACATGAATCTATAAGTTAAAATTCCGACCTCCCAATGAAGCGATGCATTGTCCCCATCAAGAACACTTTCACTGTGCCGCGCCGGATCGTTGATAACCACTCCACGCAACTTTAAGAGTAACGCGAGAAGGTGACCGTCAAAGCTGAAAAATCGCATAGAACAAAATTTGTATCAAGCATAGACTCTTTCCTTGAAAAGTGGTCTTTTGAAAGTCTTTTAGCCTCTTCAGTCTTTTAGCCAAAAAAGTCAATCAGTCTTTTGAATTTTTGCTTTTACCCCTGTTTTTCTTCATCAAGATATTCAATAATAATGGTTTTAAAAAACATTTTTTGCACGACGGGCATTTTCTTCACAGTTTTAGAAGTCATTTCTTTATGTGTAGATGTTAAAAGATCACGTTTCAGAGAAAGAGCTAAACTTTATTATACCTCGAATTTCGATTGACACGAGTACAGATGAATGAGACATAGGTTCCGGGACGAGCGGCGGTGAGTGGCCGAACCGTCCACGAAGATGGCGATAAAGAAGCTGCGTTCACAACTTCGAATCGAGAATCCAACCAAGCTCTATAATTAGAATGTGATGCCAAAACGATTGTCTCGTCTAATCAGGTAAATTCAGAAATTCAGAACGTTTTTCAGTGAAAATCTTTTCATACTTTAGCTCGATTTCCTCCAATTCTTTGTTTTTTTCATTGGTGAGATTGTAAGATAAATGCACGAAAAGGGCATTGAGCGAATTGAGCGAAAAGGAGAGATTTGATCTCGACAACAGCGATAATTCCCTAGAAACGATATAATGACGACCAAGAGAGCTACTGACGAGAAAGCTACTTTTTTGTTACTTACATGCCATTTTCTTTATGTAAAATGTGCGCCTGAGCGGTTTCAACAAAAGGGATCAACGTGATGGGCACCTTTAATTTGAGGAAAGCTTTGAGACATGAAATTCAGGGATTTACCTGAGGTCGATCGAAAAAAAGTGCATCACAATGGGTGGCTGTTACGTGGCTCAGTGAGAGGATCTAATTTTGTTTTTCACTAATTTGAAATAATTATTACCTGTTTTGTTGCATTTATTCCAATAAGACCAAACCAAGAAAACGGGACCTGAGAGTAATTTGTAGACTTCGGAAAATAAAACTTAACCAAAACCAAAACCAAAACCACCAAAACCAAAACAGACCAAAACCAAAACCAAAACAAACCAAAACCAAAACCAAAACCAAAACAAACCAAAGCTCGTCAATATCTCGTGATTGGGAGGAGCTAGCGAAAATCTGTTTGCAGATTTGAAATCAGCGTCCAAAAATCTATCCCATAGGCTATTTTTTGTTTCGAAATTTCGAGGTCGTGTTTTGGTCCTTTTTTCGGCCCCGAGATTTTGTGGAGTAAGAAAAAGTGAAAGGCAAATTTGCATTTTACATTAAAATTTGCATTTTACAATTTTAAATTTACATGCTAATTTATATGCAAATTGAGTTTTGGTTTGTTTTGGTGTTTTGGTTTTGGTTTTGGTTTGTTTTGGTTTTGGTTTTGTTTGCCGAACTCTAGTAATTTGTGAAATGCTATTGAAAAACCTTTACCTGAATTCTTACAAGACATGAGTGCCGGCTTTCTTCGAAAGGACTAAGCTCGCAATGAGCTGTGACTGAAAAGTAGGAACTAGAGGATTACTGTAAGTCTAAAGCGTTACCTGTTCCACCAGATGGACTGCTGACACGCACTGAAACGCAGAGCCTTCGTCGCAAAGAGGATAAAGAGGCGCCATCCGATTGAGCCACCACATCGATGAAGGGTCGATCCTGAAATAAAAAAAAGTGAAGGAATTGGGAGTAGAAAATAGATTCACGAGAGGGGATTGAACCCTCGACCTTTTCCTTTCCAGGCCTTATCCACTGAGCTATCTGGTTGACCCAAACCAAACCAAAACAAACCAATCTAATGGTGTCTTGCACGACTCGCACCGTCACTGCACAGTTCACATTGTGCAGGGTTGACTGGAGTTTTGTGGGAGTTTTCTGTCCTCCATAGGCTATGGAAACGAATTGTTCGCTGTCCGCCGGACAATCATCCTGAAGTTGCTTCTAGTTTTGAAACTTTTTGCTGGATCTTAGCTTATTTTTGCAAGAATAAATTTCACAAGTTCCTCGAATTGTTTCTTGCTTTCCTTGCTTTGCTTTCCATTGTTCCTTTTCCTCAAAACTCACATGTAAATACAAACGGTTCTCTGTGGAGTTTGCGGCCACTGGAGAGAAAAGGAAAAACGCGTTTTGCGGTGGTTGCACTGAGAAATGCTGAGCTAAATTTTCTCGAATTTCTTTTGGTAAACGAGTTTCCCAATTGCAAAAATATCAAAGCTCTTTATCCATCAATTTTCATTCATATATTTCTTTTTTCGTACTATTTCACCGCTGCTTTTTGACGAAGCAGAATTTTTGATTGAATGGGTGAAAAGGAGGGGAATTTCTCAAAGGTCGATTCTTTTTTTCCTCTTTCCTCTTTCCAGTCCTCTTTCTTGTCCTCTTTCCAGTCCTCTTTCTTTTTCTTTTCTTCATCACAAAACAATTAGACCGGAGTCTAAAAATATACTACTAAAGATGTTATAAACAACTTTGCTTATAACATCTGTTTAATTACCTATCGTTAATAACAAACCTTTACATAATGAAAAGCATTGAATGATGGTAAAAATTAGGGTGAAAGGCAACGAGAGCCTCATTCTCGTTTAGAGGGGCGGTCATCATCCGCCCATTGGAATCTCCATTCATGTATTCAGTGATGTACAATTTCTTGAATTTCAAATTATTATATGATTCATAAAAATGAAAAATTCTATTAGAAAACCGGTTAAAAAAGAGATTTCTTGGGGGGAAAAATCGGGGAAAAACTATATTGAAATAGAATTTGAAAGGCTAATCTATGATTATTTGAGAATAAAAGGATCAATGAATCGCTTAAATTGAAGCTAGAATTGGATTACGGTCGTTTAACGGAGAAGTACTGCAAGTAAAAGTATTTGGCTATCGGGAAAAAAACCATGTGGTATCAATTACAAAGGGTTTTTCTCGAAAAAAAACAAAACTTTTCTGTTAAATTCTTTAAGCAAATTCTTTTTTTCCCAGTGAGAAATAGCTAATTAGTAAAAAGGGAAAGGAAAAGGGAAAGAAAGAAAGAAAGAAAGAAAGAAAGAAAGAAAGAAAGAAAGAAAGAAGAAGAAAGAAAGAAAGAAAAGAAAAAGAAAGAAAGAAGAAGAAATAAAGAAAGAAACCTCTAAGATTAGCTAAATTATAGCTTCAAGTAAAAATCGAAACGCAAAAAAAGTTGAGTTTATAGTCTATAAAGATGTTTATAAAGAAGTTTATAAAGAAAAGAAAAGAAAATATCAGAAGAAGTTTGTTTCAACTATGAACGCAGTTCATGGAAAAAAAAAGAATTGGAAGTGGGAGAGTCGATGGCCGAAAAAAGGGGTAGAATGGATGAGAGACAGATGAGAGACCAAAGGGGATAGGGATGTATGAAGATAAGAACAAATTGAGATCGAGGCTATGAAAGGGGCGAAGAAGAACAGAAGACCAACTTTCATACACTGAAGACTCAGAAGAAGAGGCCCGTGTCTGTACTATGGCCGGGGCAAGGGGGAGTGCTGCTTTTTGCCGCCTTTTCCAACCGCCGCGGGCCTCCGAAACGCATTGGGGTAGAGGCCTATGGACGCCTCAATCTCGTAAAGTGAGGGTCCGCTGAGGCTAGCCCTTTCCATTCTCTTTTCATTCTCTTTCCATTCCCTCCAGCAAGAGTCCTCTCTTCGGGTGCTCTATCCATGAATACTCCTCAGAAATGAAAGAAATGGGAAAACACTCTTCAACTCTTTCATCCATCTTCTTTTCCCCTCTTCTTCTTCTTCTTCTTCTTCGATGAAATCTCATGCAACAAACGCTTCCGTTTAAGCTCTACTCCATATCAACGGCCATTTTTATATTATGGTTTTTGATTTGAAATGAATTGATTCTGAAAATTGATTTGGGCTTGTCTGCTCAGCGATGTTCATCGGTAACTGAAAACACCTCGAATTCTCAGAAAGTTTCAGATTGTTTGAGCCGAACTACTTCCAAGAAAAGGAAAATGAGAATGGATTTTCGTTTTCGAGAAGGAGTTCAAGTTATGAGGCTGCTTCAAAGAACCCGGCCTCGGCCAGTTCTCGGAGCTAAGGGACAAGCACTTGGCGATGCTCATACGTTAGGCTCAGGCTCAGGCTTAGGCTCAGGCTCAGGCTTAGGCTTGACTTTAGCTTGGCTTGGCTCAAGAAATCTGGTCTGCTTTCTAAAGTCAGCCGTAATCTCTATTCAATCTCTATTCAATTCTTTGAATTCAATTTTAAAACGTTTGATTTGTTCTTTGAATTTAATTTTGAAAGGTTTTATTCGTGATCACAGAGAAAAGTTATATTGTTTATCCAATCGTTTATCCAATTCAAGAAAAAAAAAATCGCTAGAAAAACAAAAAACACAAAATCTCAAGAAAAGATTAATGAAAATGGCAAAAGGCACATCATCAGCACAAAGAAATCAATTGAATTATTCGTTTGACTACGTTTGACTACGTTTTACTACGTTTTACTACGTTTTAATATTTAAAAATCGTTTTAAAGAATATAGAAGAAATTGGATGATGACTGTTTAAAGTGAAACGATTGCGCTAAAGATAAAATTAAATATATAACAAAGAAAACTGGCATAGTTGGCTTTAAAATGAGACAAAGTACCCGTAAATCTAAGCGTGTCTTTTACCTTCACGTTTCAAATGCGTACATTGGACAAAAAGAGAGAGAGAGCGGTTAAACGTTCAACTAGAAAGGAATGCTTGAAAAAAAGTCACATAAATATACAAAAGTAACCGTGATTTCAATCAATGACTAACAAAGAAAGTATGAAAAAAAAAATGAGAACAGCTCTTAAAAAGAGTGAAAGCTATTGAGCAAAAGAGTCTAATAAACCAGTCAAAAAAAAGCGAGGGGCAACAATCACCGGATGGCACGACTTGGAACACCTTAAACAACTTAAAATCTATGAAAATCGCTGGATTTTTTCGGATTTTGTGTTAATGATGAACTGGGATGAGATAGAAAAAAAAATGCAATGCAAAAGGGCAATGTTTGAGAATGAAAATTGATATGTGTGTACACGGAGTCGATCCTCAACTCACGGTAACCCGAACGTCGATGCTGAGCTCTAGAAAAATGGGATTTAGAAATAAATTTCCAAACATTTTAAGTAATTCCTAAGAAATATTAGACAAGTACAGTACTGGACAATGAAAAATGATATTTGAAAAACGATCGTCACTTTCGCGCGTCTGTAATTCCCTTTTCTTTACCGTATTTCTAAATATTAATATTACCATTGTGTAGCCCTTGAAAAGAGCTTTCAGAAAATGTATAACACTAATAGTTTAAACTCAAAGACAAGGGAGTTACAGACGCGCGAAAGTGACGATCGTTTTTCAAATATCATATTTCATTGTCCAATACTGTATAAAAAGCTTTATTCAGAGTAAAGAAAATATCGATTTAAAAAGAAAAGGAGAAAATCGTTTCCAATTTCCAATTTACAATATCTTTTTTTTCTTTAAAAAATGTGCCAATTTTGGGAAAACTACGGATAATTTTAAGTAATTCCTATGCCTTCCGATATTTTCTTCTACGAGATTTAGCTTTAGAAATTTGATCTATAGCTACACTACTGGACAATGAAATATCATATTTGAAAAACGATCGTCACTTTCGCGCGTCTGTAACTCCCTTGTCTTTACCGTATTTCTAAATATTAATATTACCATTGTGTAGCCCTTGAAAAGAGCTTTCAGAAAATGTATAACACTAATAGTTTAAACTCAAAGACAAGGGAGTTACAGACGCGCGAAAGTGACGATCGTTTTTTCAAATATCATATTCCATTGTCCAGTACTGTATTTGTATAAAGAATAATTCTAAAGTATTTTTTTGCAAAGCACAAAGAGCTGAATGCGCACCAAATTCTCAATCGAAGTCGGTGGCTCTCGAGTCGATTTGAGAGTCGATGTGGCTGATGAGCTCGACCAGGAGAAATCCTTAAAGAAACTGTAATTCCTTGACCATATCACCAAATTTGAGATGGGTTTTCAGAATTATTAAATCTGAGAAATGGTTAAATGGACAACAACTACAGTTTCCTTAAGGATTGCCACATGCACAAAGGGATTCAGTCAAAGCTCTCGCAATGACATTCAAACAAAGCAATGATATTCAAACTCACAATGGATATCTGCTTGTGATGGCCGGGATTGTCCACAAGTAAATGTCTTCTCAAGAAATTCTCAAATGGTAACGCGAAACCGTTTTCGACTCTGAGATGTGACTTTTTTTTATAAAGAATTGGCTGAATAGAATATTTTAGGCTAATCGTTTTTATTAGACTATTGGGTACTTGTCGGTTACACATCCACAAAGACTGATCTCGGTCAAGCATCTCCATCTTCTCCGTTATCGATTTTCGTTCGACTGATCGACTGATCACTTCAGGCAAGCACTCTACTTCATTGAACATAAGCACCACTTACAAGTTGTCAGCTCCTTGCTTAACCGAGTTGAGTCTCTGTGGATGTATAGCCGATAAGTACCGACTATTGAAGTGCTTTTGAAAATCAGCGCCTAGGAAAAGTTGGTAATTCGGCGAAAAAGGAAGGCAACTTTACACTCAACGGAGATCAAAGTTCTCCGTGTACAATAGCCAAATAGACGTGAAGGAATTGGCAAGAAAAAGCCGATTTCCTGAAAGGGGATTGAACCCTCGACCCAGACAATTGCTTTCCGGCAATTGCTCTAACCATTGAGCTATCCAGAGTCTTGAGTTGTCAAAGAAAGAAAGAAAGAAAGAAAGCGCACTTTTTAGAAATCTAGTCTAGTAAATAATCTAGTACTCACTTTCCAGGCACAATGTTTTCCTCAAGCCATGAAACGAGCTTCATGATCCAGACTTGATGAAGCACGGACTGTCGTCTTTCTACCAACATATCCACTTCCACATACGCGTGATATATACTGTAAAGGAAACTTTAACAAAAACCCCCCCTTTTCAAGACTCACATAAACACAAAATTCGTTAACCAGTAAGCGAAAATGACATCAATCGTGTAGTGGGTGTGTGAAATGATTAAGAAAATCATGCCACAAATTGAAATCGTATAAGGCACTAAAATTTGACTCAACTACCATGTTCAAGTAAAGATAAATAAAGAAAAAGTTGTAGCTACCAACCAATCGAAAGAAGTTTCCACCTTCGGGGTAAATAATGGGCTACACACAGTGTGCAAGTCATCATGACAAGGGTGTGACCCGAGAAAAGAAGATCTCCGCAAAGCATTCCCTCTTTCGACTAAATTCTTGATATTACCTTGATTTGTTTAAGAAAGCTGAGTTTTTTTTTATTGGGTTGGTGAATTGAAAACTGCCGGACTTTGAGCTAAAATTTATTCAACATGAAACCATCAATTCATTCTAAATAATTTCCATTATTACTGACGACTTCTGCCCATTTTACAGGCAATTTGCGGATTCCTCTTTCGGATTCTCTTATTTTTATTTGTTAACTTTTTCTTAAAAAGTGCGTCTATAATTTTTTTGACAGTCATAAAAACGTACTCTGTACGTTTCTGTACTTTGATTGGTTGAAATGATGCTATTTTTGAGATAAAGAAACTAAAAAAAACACTTTCTAACATAATGGCGCACTTAAAACTAGCAAAAAAACAGGGTGCGTCGATAATTTTTTTGACAGAGTTAAGACTTTAAGACTTTAAAACAAAATTTTAGGACAAAATTAACGATTTTAAAACGAGTACCGAATGCCAATTGTCTCTATTCAGACTAGAAGCAAAAAAAAATTGACGAAATAAAAATATTGAATAAGCCATTATTATTGACGACTTCTGCCCATTTTACAGGCAATTTGCGGATTCCTCTTTCGAATTTTCGATTCTAGTAGGATTTTGGTTTGTGTGTGAGACAAAGATTTTCGATTCTAGTAGGATTTTGGTCTGTGTGTGAGACAAGTGTGAGACTCAAAAATCGAGGACTGTAGATGTCCCAGTTTGAGCACTTTCTTCAAAAGAAACCCATTTTGGTGTCAATAAAAAAGTTGTAGAGAATCAAAAATGAGGCTTATAGCCAAATTTCCAAAAAGATACACTTAGTAGTTTCGCTTAAAATGCAAGTTTTGTGAAAATTCAAAAATTTGGCATTTCTTGAAAACCAGTTTTTGAATCGTTCTGAAAATTTGGATATAAGCTTGATTTTTGATTCTCTACAACTTTTCCATTGACACCAAAATGGGTTTCTTTCGAAGAAAGTCCTCAAACTGTCACGAAACTGAAAATGGCCGGCAGTTTTCAATTCACCAACCCAATAAATGTCTATTCTTTACTTTATTCTTTATCTACCTGGAATCCCATTCGAATCGTTTGTTCACCTAATCTTGAGAAAAATGTCTCTAAAGTTGTCGTATTTTCCCGGACTCGGCATCGTTTCGCATTGTTCACATAGCCTGAAATTCTCATTTATCGGAAATCTCAACTTTACACGTCATTTTCTCAAAATCAAAACCCTTATTTCACTTTTCACGTGAAACTTGTCTCTTCCCCAAGTACTAAATCGTTTTGTATTCAAAAAAGGATGAAAAATATTTTTCTGGGTAACCAAAAAAATGTATGGAAAGTTTTAGTCCTCCTTTCTTCTCCTCCTCGAGAAAATGGATGAACGAATGACCTTGAAATCCCCCTTTACCCCATTCTTCTTTTTATAGCTCTTTTTATAGAAATACACAAATTTTAGACCTTGACATCGGTTTTAAAAAAAGAAACAAAAACATTTCTTAACCGATTTTGAGATCAAGAGCTCAAGGATTAAATTTGAATTGACAAGGATTTGAATTTAAATTCTTAATCCATTTGATGACTCAAAAAAAAACTCAGAAAAGTTTCAGGCCACTGGGACAAAGTTATAAAGATTACAATGAGGTCGTATGATCAGCGAAAGTAAATAGAAAAACTCCTCTCGCGATGGAGATGGAGAGCTCATTTTTGTTAGGGAAAGAGAGGTAAAGAATCGAGGATTTTCTACACCTTCAATTAAATTCTTAAAATAGATGTTTTTGTTTACCCTTTTCCTTAATCAAATTGTTCAAGATCAACGCGTTTTTTTCAACATCGCATCATCAAATTTTAATCAATGAAAAGTTTTTCTTGAAAAGTTCAACAAGTCATTGTTTGTTTTTACGTGTGGACGATGTAAAAGATAAAAAAAGGGAGGAAAAGAGTGAAAGCTTTTCAAGCTTTTCAAAGAGTAAAGAGAGAAGGGCAAAGATGCAAAGAAAGGGCAAAGATTCGAGGACTGTCTCAGCTTCAGTTAAAAGAGAAAGAAGTTCTGTCAATTTTGAGGCGATGTTTACATTTCCATACCTAAGCGCTAAAAGATTTCATCAAATTTGACAATAGCTTACGTTTTTGATTGTTGGGGAAAAGAAATTGATCAACATCAATTACAGTTTAAAGGCCAACTCTTTTCTTTTCGTTGACTTTAGCCGATTCCCGCAAACATTAGTGGAAAAGTTGTTTATAAAAGTAAACATAGAATGTGAATTGGCTAGACAATGAGATAACAATTGAGTGACAATTCTTTTGTAACAATGATATTGTGTTAAAAAGAAAACGAAACCTGGTGGTAATTGAGTGAAAAGAAGTGAAATCGAACGCATTGCATACAAAGTGCCAGCAATGAAAAACGCTCGTCGTGCAATCAATAATCGAAAGCGATGCAATGAAATTAAACCTGAAATCATTGATACTTGCTGATTGGTACTAGTACTTGCTGATACATTGGTACTAGTACTTGCTGATACATTGGTACTGGTACTTACTGATACATTGGTACTAGTACTTACTGATACATTGGTACTAGTACTTGCTGATACATTGGTACTGGTACTTGCTGATTTTCCTTAATCAACCAACCTAATAGACATAAAATATTCGCAGTCACCGACCAATCACCCCATGTGGCTGCCCACTCTTGCTCAGGTAACAAATCGAAAAGAATATCCGGTAATGGTTCTCTGAAATGAAATCTTGTCTTATGCTTATTGTCATTGTCATCACCATTGTTATATTTTCTTTGAAAACAAACCTTCCTGCTCGATCATGCGTAAACGAGAAAACCGCCCAATTACTGCAACCAGCTAGCGCCAGGTAAATAAAAAGAAAAGCAATTTTCCCGAATTCCCATGGAATACGTTGAGGCATTCCTAAATCAGATCTTTTTTTTCTCAATATTTAAATGTTGTCGACTATTTAAATGTTGTCTAAAGCTTTTTTTTTGTATGCTTGTTATTGGGGAAAAAGTGCACTCATCCCAAAAAAGGATGAAAGGAAAGAGAGACTCCTATTTTGAAAATTTTGAAATAATAAATTTAACTCGAAAACAGAGATTTACCACTTTTACAACGTCGACCCTCTATTTTATATGCTGGTGGTGATGTGACTGAAAGGGGTCGAATCTCTTTCGCAAATACTCGAGGCATCGTCCGTCCAGGGTTTTTTTTTTTAATTAATTAAGAAAGAATTTTTGAATAGAAGCCGTTGATCGTCTTGGAGAGAGAGTGGATGGCAATCGAGGGAAAAGAGAAAAGAATCGGTGTAGCGGTTGGCCGCGATGGGAGCAAACAGTCGCCAGAGCTCTTGAAAAAAGGAAAGTGATGGAGACTGAAGAGGTCAAAGGTGGGCAGAGTAGAATGAGCAAAGGATTGATTGAAAAAAAGGGGCTCTGGATGAATTCGAGAATAAAGGGATGGGGAAAAGGGAAAGAGATAGACGATCTCGAAACACAATCCTACCTGGGACGTGGGCGGAGTCTACAGCTCCGCCCTCTCGAGACGCCGGGGCGGATGAGCACGAGCCTCGCCGAGAATTCTGAAATTTTCATTGATAAATTCCATTGTTCTATTTACTATATATAAAAGAGATGTCTGTTCGTCTGTACGGGCTTTTTGTTTTCTTTTTGTTATCCGTCTGTGTCAGTTCATCGTCTGTTCAGCTCCAAAACATTTAGGTTTTTTGGCTGCTTTTTGGAAAAAAAAAAGCAAATGACGAACTGACTCATTGCGAATCATTCTTTTTTCTTTGTTTGGCCAAAAATAAAGCTTCCAGAAAAGTTCAAGAATTTGAAATTGAAGAAAAATTTGAAAGGAAATGTTTTTATTTAAAAAATTTTCTTTGGAAAAAATATTTGTGATAAAAGTCATGGAAAAACTCAAAAATAAGCAAATTTTCCGTAGACAATGGAGATTTATGAAAAGTAAAAATAGATCAAAGTTGTTTAAACTTGTTTTTTGTTTTTGATTTTAGTGAAAGAAATGGGGAGAGAGCCGTTGGAGGAAATCAATGATCGGAGTGTCGGGTTTTTTTGTCGGCCTTGATTGCCCCGCCTTTCCCTTAAAAACGAGGACACCCCAATGATTCATTCTCCGAAAAAACATAAAACCCTACAAACCTTTTTGCGCTTTACCCAAAATATAGCCCGCTTGCGAGTTGTTTATTTTCGTGAATCATTTTTTTTTTCTGATTTACAGTCTCTTGTGAAATACTTATGATTTCAAAAAAAAAAAATAGAGATTAATTGCATTTATCAATCAAAAAGTTAAGGAGAAAGTGAAGAGAAAAAGAAAATATCTCGGAAAGAAAAAGAAACTCCGCGGAAGTCTTGTCGGGAGTTTACGTCCAACCGAGGGGGACGGACGGCATTCATCTCTCTTCTCTTTTCTCATTCCAAAAAAAAAACTTTTCTGTGTCGGATTGGCGTTTCAAACGCTTTCGGCTTTGAAACTGGTTTTGAATCAAATAAATAACTTTCGAATTTTGCCTAGTCGATCACGAGCATTCTTTTTTCGATTAAACACATGGGAAATTGATAATATTGATAGATTTTCTGAAAGAAATTTGAGAAAGATTAACTCGATTAAGTTCCTTGTAGAATGAAATAAGATATAGCGGTTGAAAGATCAGGTTAAAGATTAGAAAGGACGAAGGACGAACATTGGATCTTTTCAATGTGGATAGCTTTAGAGGTTGGTAAAAGAAAGGGTTTTTGATCGGAAGTGAGCAAGAAAATGTTTAGAGGAGATGGATTGGGAGGAGGAGAAAGTGGGGGAATCGAATCGAAGAACAGAGGAGACCCATCGAGAGGCACAGCTGATGCCAACCATTGTATATATGTCTCGAGTCTGAGCATCTGGTCTTTCTCCTTACTCTCTCCTTTCCCTTTCCCTGCAGTTTGTTTTTTTCCACTTTGTGGATATGACCTAATGACCCGGATTCAAAAAATTCAAAAGTATTCGCACAATTCCCGAACTTCTTTCCCAATAGTTTGTGACTTTTCTAACAATGATTCATTCAATTTTGAGCGTCAATTTCTTTAGTTTCATGAGCTTTGAAAGAGGCCACGTTGCGTTCATCTCTCAGCAAACAAAATATCAATCCCCAAATGTAGGCTATCGATTTTTTTCCTGCATTTGGTTCTTTCTTTCAATCAAGAACTCTTCATTGATGCTATTCTCAGCTTTTTGTCAATAGAAAAGAAAAGAAACAGAAGTACAGAAGAGAAAAAAAAATGAAGCAAATTTGAAGAGGAAAATGTTTGGTTTGCGAATTCTGAGAGCAAATTGCTGCCACCTAACATAAAGACTTCAAAAGAAGGACGTCAAATGGTCTTTGAATGTTAAAGGGGTGTGTGTGCAATGAAAAGGTTTTTTTTGAAGCCAATGGGGAAACATTGCCTTCCCTCAGCCTTCCCTCCCTTCAGCGACCCAGGGCCACTAGGCTAAATTTGGTAGGCTTTCACTCGGCTGGGCATTCTCTTCCCTATCGTGTCCCCGTTTTTTTTTTCGCCTTTCTTTACCTACTTTCATCCCAATCCCTCTCCTTAGCCTTTACCTAAAAAAAAGACACAATTGCAAATTGTTTGCAATAAAAATTGCCGACCATCTAGCAATTCTTGATTTTTGATCATTTTTTTGAAAGAAATTTGATTAATATTTGAATAGATATATGTCAAAAATGTCAGTGAACGTTTTCGTCAACTTAAAAATGAACTCAAGCACACAAAAAAATATTTTTATTCATAAAAAGAAAGGAGTTTTCGACTGATTTGAGTCAAAAGGAAAATCAAGTTTTAGAAAAAGGCAAATGTTTTGCAGATTTTAAAAAATAAATAAAAAAACCCATTCTGTTTTTGGGAAGAAGAAGAAGAAAGAAGAAGAAAGAAAGAAGAGAGGGATTTTATGCAAGCAAGGGGTAGGAGGCGGTTTGCAATAATGCTCCGGGTGCCCCTGACCACCGTTCCCAATGGCTTCAAGACAGCGTGCGTCGGAATGCGTTGTCTTTTCTATTTCTTTCCGTTTTTACCCTTTCCTCATTTGTGTGTCCTGTTGTATGTGTATGTGTGTCACTTTTTCCCTCTCACGTACCGCGTGGGCCAACCTCATCAACCAGTCCAACCCAGGCAATCACCTATTCGCTTTCCTATTTCTTTCACCAGGAACCAAGGAACACTAGTCAGCACTTCTTGAAAAAACCGAAAAGAAAAACCCAAAGTGAAGATCGAACTTGTGAGGCATCGCACTAAAAACGAACGCTGTACCATTTGGTCACGGCTGCAACACGTTGGGTTCGCAAGGCGGCCGCTAAGACCCAAATTACCACATTTTCAGAGTCCTAACAAAACTAGCTTTAGACGCTTATAACCCCTGGCAGAATGTCATTTAGCAAGAACGGAATATATATTCGGAATTAGCATGAAATTCTGAGTCGAATGATATAGATCGTATAACATAGGTCGTATAGCATTTGGCTGCTCAACCAGTTGACCTTCCTTTGTAAGAATATTAGGAAACTAATGATACCTATTTTCATAGTGCACCGCGGTGAGCCGAGTTGCTGACGATTTTACGGTTTCCAAGCTTTTGCAGAAGCTCAACACTCTAATCCCCCACTAGATCTGATCGTCAGCTACATTTTCCGACCCCACATCGATAGGTTCTGCTAAGCGGTTCCTGAGATTTCGAGCAATTTAGGCGACGCTCAGGGTGCACTACTATTAGAGAAAATACGGTAATATCAAGCTCATAATCAGCTCATAAGCTGATAAGAGGCATATGTGACAAGTAAAAGTTGTTAAATGAATGGTGAAACCAAGGAGTTTCACATCAATATCTACAGGGTGCGTCAAAAATTATGAAACGGATGCTTATTGATGAATTAAAAGAATAAAATGAAGACAAAACTCCGAGTGTTACATATTATTTGAAAGCTCTTCATGAATACTACAATATAGAATAGCTAAATCTCTAAATAAATTTCTCTAAAATTGAAACAAATTGTTGATTTAGCTATTCTATTTTGTAGTATTCATGAAGAGCTTTCAAATGATATGTAACACTTCGAGTATTGTCTTCATTTTCATTTTATTCTTTTAATTCATCAATAAGGATCCGTTTCATAATTTTTGACTGTGAACTGTTACCGAATTGATGCAAAATGTTCGTAAGAGTCTCTAGAATAAAACTTATCCCCTCGTTTTTGGTTCTAGACGCTCGTTGTCGAGTTACGAGCTCCAAACTGCAGGGTACCACAAAATTTCCCATACAAAATGACCAAAAAAACCGCTAAAACTCAATTTAAAAAATTTCTGTCAGAGGGATTTGAAAAATTCCTTCAGATTCGGAATCAGCACAATTTTCCGCATCTAAAAAAGGTACTCCCAGAAAAATCCTATAGAAAACGCATTTTCGCGCCGATGTGTACCCTGTGATCAAAGCACACCTACAGATTGATCTTGTTTTAAAGCTACAGGTGAACTGTTACCATATAGATGCAATTCTGTTATATAATATGCTAACAAAGTTAATGAATCTGCTCTAAACATACTGCTGAGAATCGTAGCCTCGATTTGTGAATGGGCAATAGTGATGTCTCTTCCAATAACACTTGCCGCATTAGTCCCGAAATGGCGACCCGAGCCGGTCGCCACAGAAATCCCCGAGTCCGTATTGTGCCCGAAACTGAAAACTTTCCTTGATCTAAAGCAAATATTGTGTACTTCCCCAAAAAAACTCTTGCCGGGTAACCCAACTCCGAAAGGGGTGCAAAACGGTGCTTAGACACACACACTCGAATTTTAGCAAATAAACTTTAAGGTGCAATTTTCAAAAAAAACCCAAACACTTCAATCAAATCAGGAAAGTTGGAAAATAACCTTATTCGGGAATCTTGGAGCTTTGTCTGAAAATGGGAATGATGCTAGTTTTGATGGTGCTTTTAAAAACAAACCTATTTGACAAGTACAAAAGTTTTTTGTCCTTCCTCGAAGTGAATGAAAGTGTGCTTAGATTTGTCTCCGATGGTGCGATAAACTCATCAAAAGTTGGATTTCTGAAAAAATAAACAGTTCACTTTAATCGTCAAATTCACAATGGTAAATTGTTGTTCAAAAAGTAAGGAAGTAAGGGGGGAAATCTTGGATTTATCTTTAACAAGCAGATAAATTCAAGGTTTATCTTTAACAAGTAGATAAATTCAAGGTTTAACAATGCAATACAGTTTTATTAAGAGATGATTAATGTGGAAATGTTACCAATAGCTTCAAAAAACAAAAACTTTGGAAATTAGCTTAAGGCAATGTTTTCTTGTAGTGCGTTCTTGCTAGAGTGCATATGCTTTCGGAGAAAAGCCTCAAAATATTTATGCTTTTTTGAGGTAAACAAATTGCTCAAGCTTTGAAGCTTTTAAATGATAAATTTTGATTTCATAAGTTTTTATATCCTTTTCTTTATTCAGGAAATAAAGTCTTCATAATAAAAACAAAAAAATTCTAGTATTTGAGGATTTTATGAATATCTGTGAATGAGTTTTCCTTGTGATCGCACTATAAAATGGGCTTACGATCCGAATTCACAAGTTGGACAAGTTGCCAGTAAAATTTCTAGAATTCAGGAAGTATCTCTGTGGCAAGAGGGCTTAAAAATAAGCAATAGGATAAAAATTGAAAAAAATCGGTTCATTTACCGCATTTTAATCAAAAAAAAAAAGAAAGAATTAGGATTTTAATAGCTTTGATACTCCGCTAAATGAATAAAATTATTGCCTATCAAAGCAAAAAAAGTTGTCATAGGTGAGCAAGGTGAGCAAGGTATGAGACTTAAAGATCCAAACCCGTCATGGCCGATTGGCTGAGTCCCGTATCTTAGTCGAGAGGTCAAGGGTTCAATCCCGCTGGCTAGATTATTAGTTCTTTTTCTATATTTAGAGCTAAGGGCTGCTTGTGCATTGTTTCTACCAAATTATTCGTCAATTATTGTATTTTAAATAAAAAATTTTTTATATACTTGTATTTTAAAAATACAAGTTATATACTAAAGGCAAAAGGGAATCGAAGAAGGGAAAAATGAAAGGAAACCGACATGATGAGTGGGCCGATCGAAAGTAAAAAGGGATCAGGCGATAAGGAGCGCACAAAAATCGAATCGAAGAGAATATTGGAAGGGGTGGGGATGACGCGAGGGAAAAGAAGAGATGGAGGCGGTGGAGGGGAAGGCAAAGAGTCCCATAAAGAACAGTCAGCCGCTTTTATAAAAATTCGATTGAAAAGATAAGAGGAATGGCCGCTTTTCACTTTTCTTCCCAAAAAGGTGATCTGGCAGAAGAAATTCTACGCTACATATACTTTAAAGTAACGATGACGCTATTGGAAAACAAACACTTACCGTAAATACTGTAATTGAACCCCACCCCCATAATGACGGTGCGGAGTGTTGTGTAGTCTAGCTTTGAACGAGTTTTTCTCGACACTAGTTTATGCTACAATGCGCGCTTAGGTATCAAAAAATAGCCCTGAATTTCAGCTATTTTTTGATACCAAAGACGTATTTTTTGAAAGTACAGGAGCTTTGAAAACAAATGAAATACGAAAAAACTTTTGCGACTACGCGACTGTACGAGGGGGATGGGGTACCATTACAGTATTTACGGTAGGTGTTTTTAGACAGAAACTTCACTTACAGTTAACTAGTAATTTTAACTTTTAAAAACAATAACGCTATACAAAACATATCTTTTTTTGAAAAAAAGCGCTATCTAAAGTTTTCTGAATAGCAAAAAGGAATGTTGGTTTGGAATAAAAATGCGGAATTTTGAATCAAACAAAAATTCTTTCTTTTGCACATTCACATAAGAAAAATCCTTTTTTTTTGTGTAAATTGGCGGGAAAGATTCACTACTTCACAATAAAGAAAAAGGAAAAAAAAATTGCAAATCAACGAATATTGAATCATTTCTGAATCATGGTTTGATCTAAAACTTAAGAATAAACTGTGAAAAAAGTACAATCTGTTAGTTAGCTTCTGGATTTAGTGATATACGCATTTGACCAGTGCTCAGCGAGAGAGTTTTATCGTTTCCAAAGCATCTAGATGAATAGAGAATTTCAAATTTATCTAGCAAAAATTGTTTCAAAAAGGAGCCGATAATCAATCAAAAATTTTTTTCAGTAAGACGACTTTTTGCGGTTTAAAACGTCGGTAAATGAAAAGAATCAAATGAAATGAAAATTTGGGATCGTCAATCTTACTGCCAGAAAAGAAAAGCCACAATGGGGAAAGTGGGGAGTCAAGAACGAAGTCTTTGAAAAAGGAAACATCTCGGTCTGATAGTGTTTCGATGTGAGTTGGACAAGAGGTGAGAAGGACATTCTGAGAGGGACATTCTGGAATTTTGATTCACCCTTCACCCCCATAGATATCACTTTCTCTTTTTTCTTTTTATGAATATAAATATAATATTTATTTCCTCTATGATTCACCATTTTTTATCGTTTTTATCGTTTTCTTATTTTCCGAACATCATTTATGACTGGACAAAGAGCTTTCTTCTAATTTTTACACAAAGCAGACTATTTATAGATGGAAATTCTTTAGCTCGAGCAATTGCAAAGAAAAAATATGAAGACAGAATGTCTCTTGGAAACGAAAAAAACATAAACAAAAATAGTGTCAATCGTATCAAAAGAGAGATGTTTTTTTGGTTTCATTCTACGATCATCACGGGAAATTTGCATATTCGTGCACGTTAACGCATAAATATTGACGCAATGGTCAGCTCAGGGAAACTATTGGAACCGTTTTGGAACCGTATTGGAACCATATTTAATCAAAATAGGAACCGTTTTGGAACCGTATTGGAATCGTATTGGAACCGTATTGGGTCTAAAAAGAACCGTATTGGAACTGTATTGGAACCGTATTGGGTCTAGAAAGAACCGTTTTGGAAGCGTATTGGAACCGTATTGGAACCGTATTTGATCAAAATGGGAACAAAATCAAAATCAAAAAAAATGGTTTTCAATTTCAATTTCAAGATTTTCTGTTTATCTATCTATTTCAAATAGATATTTAAATCGAAAATCTTTTCATTTCTTTTCATATTTTCGTTTAAAAAATAACAAATTCATCAATTAATCTATGATTTGCTTTAAAGAAAAAGTGTTTATTGTTTAATTTCCCATCTTTTTTTAAGTCAAAATCCAGCCATACCACATTTAAAAGCCGTTTTAATGTTATTTTATAGAAAAATAATTCACCTAACAAACCGTATTTCAATTGATGCATTTGTTGGTTTTAAACGGAAGTACGAAGTACATTACGTACGAAGTACATACGTACATACGAAGTACAAACGGAAGTACATTTTCTGAACAGTCTAATAGATAGATAAAAGTGCAAAAGTACAGAAAAGTGCAAAAAGATCAACTGATTTAAGTATATCAAAGGAATTCTGAATGAAAACAAATCAAAAAATTCTTTCAATCACCATAAAAGGAGCAAAAAGACAAAAAAGAAGCAAAAACAAACACAGTTGAGCAAAAAAAAGCCGATGAAATCGTGTGGTGCGAGGATCGATTCATGCATTGATTGTGGGCAACGCGCGCAATCGAAAAAGAGAGCAGCACATTGATGATCTCTCGCTCGAATTCTTTTAGCTATTTAACAAAAAAATGAATGAAATGATGTGTGTAGAGAACGGTGTTTTTCGTTTTTCTCTCAATTTTCCCATCGCTCTGACCATTTCTCTCAAATCTCGATCGCAAAGCTCGCCACGATCCCGAGAGAGCCTTTTCCTTTACCCATTTCCCCCCTCAAAACCTACCTTTTCACAACACTGTCACTCGAAAAACCATCAACTTTTCCCCAATCTTTTTTGATGTTTGAATCTTTTTTCAATATCCCAACTTTGTTTTGCTTTGCTTTTCTTTCAACAAAATTTTCTCGCACTCTAACTTTTCTATTTTTTGAGTCACTTTACATGTATTTTTCTGATTTTGTGATTACAGAAAGACATTTATTTGACAAACAATATTATGTAAGGCAGTAAAGCTCTTGAGTGGAGATTAAAAAAAATACACCAAGAAAAAGAAGAAAAAGGAGGATACCCGTTTGAAATGGTGTGCAATACTGATACGTTTACGTTTTGGGCGCTTTTGCTTTGTTTTTGTTTTCTTCGGCTCGATCCTATTGGTCGACTTTTCTTTTTCTTAATACCCGTAGAACAAAATCTCAAGTCTTTTAAACTAAAAAAGAGGTGGAGTAAATCGCAAGAGGCTTTAAAAAAAAGGCTTTAAGATATCATAAACCCCTTGCGATTCAATCAATAACACAGAAAATTCAATTTGACTAACAAGAAAGGCAAGAAAAATATACAATCATGAGAAATTTGAGTGAATTTTATGCATGAATGCTAAAAGTTGAGGGCAAAGATCAAATAAATACTATAAAATGATTCTTGGAGATAGGGCCTCAAAATCCGGATAGGAAGAGACATCAGATGAGTATCTGTAAAAAGATTGTTTGAGGATTTGAGGATAAAATGATGCTTGGGTAACTCACCCAGAGACATGCCCAAGTGGGCCAACGGTCGTCCGAAGAACAGTGTCACGACTTCGAAGTGGTCTCCGTCGAGGCACAGATCTTGTTCTTGTTGGGCCGGATCTTCTCGAAACTCTGCCGGGAGCGATCGAGAGAATTGCCGGCACAAAAGGATCATTTGATGGAGGAGATCCCTGTTGAGTGCTTCGAGGCAACGCTGTTGTCTCATTTCTCTGCATCTCCACCAGATATGGATATGGAGAAGATGGCCGAAGAAGAGGCACTGTTGGCGTATCTCGATCCGAACTAAAAGAAGCAATACTTCTAGCTTCAAGCTCGAAAAAGCTTTTTGTTCTTTTGGTATAACATTGGTATAACTCTCTTCACACCAACCTTCCCTTCGTGTCATCAGTGTGCGGATACTCTTTGTAAACCACATCATATTGACATAAAGGACATCGTCTAAAATTTAGCTCTTTCGAAAGTTTACTTTTCATTGTATTACCTATGAGAAAGTAGCCATGGATCAACGCATTTTGGATGAAACTCGTGACCACAAAAGAGCACTCGAAGATCAGATCCTTCTCGATAATCTTCTAGACAAATAGCGCATCTTTCCTAAAACAAAGAAAATTTGTGAATTTTGTGTGAATGAAATTTCTTCAACCTGTCCAGCTACTGTATGTGCAACAGAGGTGAGAGATCCGAAAACCGGCAGATAATTCGGTCTTGACAATCTGGTGAAACGATTTGGTTTGGAGTTGCCAGAGCTCTACAAATTTAGGATATAGTTAACAATTTCTTGATAATCAAACCTTTGTGTATTTCCGAATCTCCATTTTGTGTAGAGCATTCCTAGCGAGAGCTCTCATCCACAAATCACGATGTGCATTCGGTTTGCAACTGAAAAAAATTGTAAACTTTCGAAAGATTAAAGGACTTTTTCTTAAAGCTTACCGTATTTTCACAAAAACCATAATCGAAATGAACAAAACGAGAAGAGCAAGAAGTCCAAGAAGGCAGAGATTCAACGGAGTTACTCGAAAGACCTAAGCAAGTTTGAAGTTTGGGATTTGAACAAGTGCTATATAGTTACTGGAGCTTAGTTACTGTAGCTTAGTTACTATAGCTTGGTTGCTGTAGCTTAGTTAATGTAGCTTGGTTACTGCAGCTTAGTTACTGAAGCTTAGTTGCTGTAGCTTAGTAACCGTAGCTTAGTTATTGTAGCTTAGTTACTGTAGCTTAGTTACTGCAGCTTAGTTGCTGTAGCTTAGTTACTGTAGCTTAGTTATTGTAGCTTAGTTATTGTAGCTTAGTTACTGTAGCTTGATTGCTGTAGCTTAGTTACTGTAGCTTAGTTACTGCAGCTTAGTTACTGTAGCTTAGTTGCTGTAGCTTAGTTACTATAGCTTAGTTACTGCAGCTTAGTTACTGTAGCTACATGGTTACTGTAGCTTAGTTGCTGTAGCTTAGTTACTCTAGCTTAGTTACTGTAGCTACATAGTTACTGTGGCTTACTGTAGACTTAATTTGACTTATTTCTTCCTTTCACTGATTATGATAGCTTTTTTGATTAAACCAATCCAAATGCCAATTAAAAAATTCATTGGGATTATAGTAGCTTTTTCTTTCAACTCTTTCAACTTTCAGAAAACAATTTACTTACATGAATATCTACTTGTTATTTTGTATTGATTTTACTCTCAAAATCTACCTGTACTCTCAAAGTGTACGATGGTTTTGCCTCAACAAATTGCAGGGACAAACGAGCCACCAAACCTTTCTAAAAACATGCATACAATTATTATATTGATATTTATAACTCTGCACTTTTCTTTTCTTTTCAATTTTCTTAGCAATCAAACTATTGCTTTCTCTGAAATCCTTTGACAATAACAATTAAATACTTGTATCTTTTGAGTCAAAGTTTAATCCCGATCTGATACTTTTTTCTTTGAAAAACAGTTTTTAAAGCAAAGTTAGTCATTTTTTGATCAACGCCATAACTTAATGACGTCTATAGAAAACATGTTGGTTAGAAATTTAATTAAACGATGATTTGAGAATTGAATGATTGTCCTTTATAATCAAAACGAAACCACCTAGCTTGATAAAACAATAAAACAATAAAACAACAAAAAATAAAACAAAATAAATGTTCTAGCCTCGATTTCTTACTTCAGAAAAATCTATCTCCCCTATCCTAAAAGGAACGGTAAAAAAAAACCTTTCTGAAAACAAGCTTACAATTATTAGTTTGTTTTTGTTTTCAAAATTTGAAAAGTTAAACATTAGGACATTATTCTGACAGTATTCTGACATTATTCTGACATTCTGACATTATTCTGACATTATGACATTATTCTGACAGTATTCACACAATTCTGCTCACTTTTTGTGTCTCAGCGAGCTCTTTCTGGAGTCGTTGGGTCTCCGTCTCATCCAAAACCACAACCGGAATTCGAGCGGCTCGCATCTAAAGCATTTATAAGCCAAGAACTTGTTTATGAATAAACTGTTAAACTCTTTATTCATAAGCATTCATAAACTTTTCTTTTGTTTATTCATTTGTAAAATAATAAACTGTTTATTATTTTATCCAGAAAACTAACCGATAACGCTTTGGCATTGTTCAAAATGCTCGACGCTGGTCCAACCACTAAAGCCAAAGCTCCCGAATTCTCGGCAAATCGTGCCTAAAATCTAGTCTTAAAAACTTTTTTCATCAAGATTCTTTACAATCCCTCTTAAACAATGTTCTTTATGAGAGATCTATACGATTGAGAGCTGCTGTAGATCGTTCACATAACTCTCTTTTTATGAGATGGCCTCGATGGGGGAAACTCTTTTGCAGAAGGGACAAAAGAGTCAAAAAGGAAATAAATCTCTTTCGATTTTTGCTTTAAAATGCATATTCTTGTCCAATTTTGAAAGCTTTTATCTTCGAAATCACTTTTTATCTAGAATCTAGAAAATCTATCTAAAGAATTCATTTCACAAAGAATTTCATTCGATTTTTGCGATTAAATCTAGTCAAATCAAACACAATTCGAGTTTTCTTTAGCACTTAAATTGAAGAAAATTTGCAATAGGTAAGCAAACCTGGTTATCGACGGCTACACAACCAGCCAAGAATGGTTGAACATCGTCAAAGAAGAGTACAGCAATATGTCCCCTCAAAGTGTAGTCGGGTCCTTTGCGGCGATTGTCGCACGCTCGATACGTGGAAACCTAAAATTAGTGGTTAGCTTTTTATATAGTAAGCTTTTTTATATAGTAAGCTTTTTATACAAGCCTAGTATCTTCTATTATTTTATCAGCTACTCTTTTGAGCGAACAGGAGACTTATCAAGTCCATTTTTCAACGACAATAGCTTAACAGAACGGTTGTTGACCCATTTTTCGCTAAGAAACTGCAATTTCATAGCTCAAGAGCTTAAGAGTAATAGACAAGAGACTATCATGTCCATTTTAAACTTGTTCTAACTTTTTAAATGTCAAAATTTTTTTGAATGCTACAATGCACCAGATGCTTTCTTCCATAATCTCATCCCGATCCCCAATTCAATCCAAGTCCCATTTCGGTAAGGGGCAAAAAGGAGAAAAAGGAAAAAGAATAAAGAAAGGATTTACGGGGAGAATGAGACGACGGATCGAGGTGAAGAGAAGAAGAGTAAAAGGGGGGAAAAGGCCGTAAATAAGGCTCGTTCCGTGGGGGATCTGCTTTGAAGTGGCGGCCGTTTTACGAGCACCCGTCAGGACGGTGCTCCATCCGCGCACCTACTGTTTTCTATTTTATTTGCATCTCGTAGCTCCGCTTTTTGAAGATAGTATTTTGAAAATAGAATACTAAAAACGATTGGAAAAGTGAAAGGAAAGTTTAGACATTTGTTTAAATTCTTATGGGCTTTAGATGTGTTTTTAGATTGTTGATATGTGATGTAAATTGTTTTCATAGTTGAAAATTCCTTCTTGTTTTATTTATTAGTTGAAAGGATTCACGGGGAGAATAAAGACTAAATTCTTTAAAGGCGAAATCATAGGGGAAAATCTGAATGCAGTGGAGTACCGGAAATTAAAGCATTCGCCTTTGTGAGTGCACAATTCCCACGCAGATGGAGTTCACGGGATCGAGAAGGGTTATTTTCAGTATGGCCAACTAGAAGGGACCCAATGACCCTAGAAATCCACAAGAAATTGTATGAAATGTACAGCTGTACAGCAATGGTACAGCAATGATCTACAAGGGATTATATCAATCGATAGCTATCGATGACCGGCTCTTTGATACATCACCGCTCTATCGAGTCGGCCTTTTTTGAAGTTTACAACCGCGTCCCCTTTCCTCACACCAAACAGTCCCCAGTGCAAATCTTTATTGGCAAACAATGGCCTAATACCCTGACACCTGTTCTATTTTCCTTGCTTTTCATATCGATTTTGTTCAGCTCGACAAAAATGACTTTAAACGATCGCCGACAAACAAGTGTGCTTTTTTTTTGCGAATTTTTACGAGCACGCGTAGAATGCTGATTTTATTGTGTTGCTGAATCGAGCGGGTGAGGCCTTTTCCGGGCATCTTTTCGACGACTCGCCTAATTCGATTTCGCTGCCCCCCATTCTACGAATCGTCATTCAAACATTGGCCACCCTTATTTTCTAGATATTGTCAGCAAAGAGATGCAAAGAGTTTCCCTGGAAATCAAAGTTCGAATCAATCATTCGTCTCGTTCTCGACACACATAATTCTTCGTTTTCACTTTTGCCTAGAATTCAAGTGAAATGATTGCCGGAAAAGCAGCGTGTCTTTCTCGATGCGGTTTCAAAAAAGATGGCAAAAAGATGGAAGAAAAGAAAAACGGGTCACAAATTTTTGCGTGCGCCGACACGCCTTTGTGGAAAGCCGCCGAGAGGACCCTGGGGAGCGATCTTTTTGAGCGTATGTGGGTGCGGAGACTCGGCTAAAGAAAAACCCTTGAGAAAACCCTTTCCCTAACCTCTCTTATCATTTTCTTAAAGTCAATCAATAGAAGAAAAAAAAAAACAAGAAGATTTTGGTAAAGTGCAATTGTGGACAAAGGGTCATTCAAGAGAGTGATTAAAGAGGTTGGCGGAGGTAGAAAGGCGGAGGTAGGACAGGTCAGGAGGTAGGTTCAAGCCCTGGGTGGTCTCATCAATTTTAAGCAAGTTCTAGAGAATCTAGAGCCTTTATAGGGAATCTAGAACACTGAAGAAACAGAACAGATGGGCTGGATACATAATTTTCCCCGAAAAAAGCTTTTAGTGAAAAAAATTGAGTGAAACGAGAAAGGGAGTAGTTTAATTTGGATAATTGAAGCAATAATTGAAGTGGAGTGGTAAAGAAAGAGTCAGAAAAACACAAGGAAACACAGGAAATGGCCCACCTGGACAAGGTCGCCGCTCGTCTCATAGTTGAGGCCGACTGGAGAGAAAGCACCGAAAAGACGTTGATCTGGTAGAATCGAGCCTCGTCCAGCGCCACTGTCGCTCAACATCGAATTTGTTGACGAGCCGCCCGGTTGCACGTGCGTCAAAATCACGTCCACTGCATCAGCCGGCGGCAAACTGAAGTCACTTTTTTAGATCAAAAAAAAAAAACTTCTGCAACTGCCCATATGGGTAAAATTGATTGCTCAAGTCCACAAAAATACTATTAATCTCTTGAACTTTATGGGAATTCAGGTTCACCGACTTTCGACAAAAAAACTCACTTTTTCATTGGTTCAAGTCGGCCTCTTCTCAACGAGGCGCTGATGGAGTGCCCAAAGAAACAGGCAAGCAAAATCCACTGTAACCACTTTACACGCATATCCGCATATCTAAAATTTGCATCATTGAGAAGTAAAGGATCTGATTACCATATCAAAGCAAAAATAAATCAAAAAGCAAAAGCAAAAGTCATATCAAAGCAAAAATAAATCCAACTGGTAGAAAGAAAGATGGAAACAGATCTTGGAATGGTGGATTGGAGCAAAGAATTGTGTTTCTGAATGGGGTGTGAGTAAGGAAAGGGGTTTAGGCTGGGTACAGCATTGGAGAGATGAGAGAAATGGGTAAAGAAGAAGAAGGAGAAGAAGAAAAAAGGCAATGCAAGGATGGTGAAGAGGGCGGTGCCTTGCCGCAATAAAACATCCCCCAAACACTGCTTCACAACATCCACTCTTACTGTCAACATTTCGCCCCTCTCTTTGCGAGAAATTCTGGAAATGTCTTCAATTTTTGACTTATAATTACTTTAGTTTACTTTAAATCAAAGTTGCTTACTATGCTTGCTACATTCTTTCCAAGTTATTCAGTTTACAAGCTACACTACTGGACAATGAAAAATGATATTTGAAAAACGATCGTCACTTTCGCGCCTCTGTAACTCCCTTGTCTTTACCGTATTTCTAAATATTAATATTACCATTGTGTAGCCCTTGAAAAGAGCTTTCAGAAAATGCATAACACTAATAGTTTAAACTCAAAGACAAGGGAGTTACAGACGCGCGAAAGTGACGATCGTTTTTCAAATATCATATTTCATTGTCCAGTACTGTACTTTCAAGTTTCCAAACTTTCAATTTAACACAATTCACAAAGAACTTTGCCCACACATTTCCCCCATATCGCCTAGGTCATAAAAATAGGAGAATTTCCAAGAAAACGGCACTCATTAAATCTAGAAAAACTTTGGAAGTTTCAGAAAGAAAAAGTTTCAAATTTTGTGAGCAAAATCGTTTAGTGAAACGGTTTTCGATTCTTCTCACGAATCGCATCAAGTGGGCTTCTTCCCGAATGCAAATCGGGAAGAGTTTGTGAAAGAATGAGAAAAGGAATGGGAAAAGAAAGGGTTCTGACCATCCAAGACCCACAAAAGAGGCAAAAGTGAATAAGAAGGGCCAGATGATCGCCTTGAATCGATTGCGCAATGGTTTTAAATAAACGACGCTCTAATCGAGAAGTCAGTCTACAAAACGGATCCAATTACAGTAAACCACTTGTAAAACATAGTAAAGAACTACAACTCAAAAAGATTGTAATCGAAGAGTTGAGAGGTGTATTAGATAAGCGAATCGAACAAAAGGCTAAAAGTAACGATTGTTGCATTGGTGGATGTCCCGAGGGTCTTTTTAAAGGAAAATGGAATGGGAAAAGAAAGGGTTCTGACCATCCAAGACCCACAAAAGAGACAAAAATGAATAAGAAGGACCAGATGATCGCCTTAAATCGATTCCGCAATGGTTTTAAATAAACGACGCTCTAATTGAGAAGTCAGTCTACAAAACGGATCCAATTACAGTAAACTACTTGTAAAACATAGTAAAGTTGTCTCAAACAACTCAGTTGTCTCAAAAAGATTGTAATCGAAGAGTTGAAAAGCTTATTAGATAAGAGAATCGAACAAAAGGCTAAAAGTAACGATTGTTGCATTGGTGGATGTCCCGAGGGTCTTTTTAAAGGAAAAAGACGTGAGAAGAGTGCAAAAAGCGAAGAATACTGGTGCACGGATATTCACTTTGTTGGGGGTGGATAGAGTGAATCTAGAGAAAAGAAAAAGTCGGCGATAGAGATAGAGGAGATCGTTGAAAAGAGAAGGGGCAATGTGTGCGCACCATTTGTCAAAAGCACCGCTCAAAACAAAACCGAGAAAGAGAGTTGAGAGAAGAGGCGGCTCCACAACTCGGGCAGACCATTCAGCCGTTCATTCCACACATAAAAAAAGTGCTAGAAAAGTTTTCTGAACTAGTTCTTTACAAAAAGTTTGACTCAAGTATGGTTTGAATCAACTTGAACTTGAAAATCAACTTGAAAACATCTTTTTTTGGGTAATTTTCAGCGTAGATGCCGAATTTCAACATCAAAAGAGTTCAAATGCAAATTTAGTCCAGGAAAATGTGCCCAATCTACTCAAAAACAATTAGAAAATTTCCTTCAGACCTAAGGTTGATTATTTACTTAAAACTTTTGCTTTTGGATGAAACAGTATTGGACAAAACAATAGAAAAAACAACGGAAAGAACTTTTTTTCTTCAATAGATTCAACAATTACAAGCAAAAAATTTGATTAAAGCTTTCAAATCAATAACTCTATGCATAGATCAATGCAATTGTTATTTAAAAGTGAAAATGTATAACACTAATAGTTTAAACTCAAAGACAAGGGAGTTACAGACGCGCGAAAGTGACGATCGTTTTTCAAAAATCATATTTCATTGTCCAGTACTGTATATAAAGTTTTAGAAATGTCATGTAAAGAAAAAAAGATTTCATGAGCTGAAAAAGCTTTTGGATGAAACAGTATTGGACAAAACAATAGAAAAAAACAATGGAAAGAACTTTTTTTCTTCAATAGATTCAACAATTACAAGCAAAAAATTTGATTAAAGCTTTCAAATTAATAACTCTATGCATAGATCAATACAATTGTTATTTAAAAGTGATAAACCGAGTGGTTTCTCAAAAACACTCAAATGAAATGATCTGAAATGCCTGCGGGAAATCGCTGAGTTTAGCCAACGGCGTTTCCGTTTGACAGCGGCTTCCTTTTGAGCTGTTATGTTTTTGCTTTCGGGAAAAGTGTTTTTCTTTTCGTTAAAGAGAGAATCTCTTTAGATTTATGCCCTCTCGATCTCTTTTGTTCACAGAGAAAATTGATTGATTGATTCAGAAAACTTCCAAAAAAATCCAAATCTTTGTGTTAATTTACATAAAATTTGGCCTATTCAAAAGTTCGAAGAAAGAAAGAAAGAAAATTTGAAGCGAAAATTCACTATTTACAACCGGAAAAATGATTCAGTTTGCTAGTTTTTTGCTAGTTTCTCTTCTATATAAAGTTTTAGAAATGTCATAAAAAGAAAAAACATTTCATGAGCTGAAAAAGAATTTCTATTTGTTATTCGATACGAAAATAGAAAAAATTTGTTTGAGAAAATTGTGGTATTTATTGTGAATTGGATTTTCGAGCGGAAAAAAAATAGGAATTGTAGTAGGAGAGAAGAAAAAAAACGGCGGGGGGAAAGAGGGAATTGTTTGGGTTTGGGCAAGACAAAAATTCAAATGAAATGAGGTGAGTGGAGAGCATTTTCCACAAATGAAGCGGAGGTCCGATGAGAAGAAGAGGCTCGATGAGAAGAAGAAGCTCAATGAGAAGAGAATTCACCATTTCTTTGAGCATTTCTAGGAAATTTGACAAAAAAACCCCCCATTTCTTTAGGGTTGCTTACATAGCTTTGTGGCAACTGTTTTTGAATCCAGTGACTAATTGGAAGTACCTATGATATGATATAATTTGTAGAATTCCTCCAGATAGGCATTTGTTACCAGGCGTAGACTTTTTTTGAATGGGATATAGAGTACCCCTAATTTCACTCTTTAAAGCAAAAACTTTTTCCTTCATAAGTGAATCTTTTCTCGTTGTTTAGCCAGTGAAATCTCTTTTGTAGATGAGCAGCCGAGGCTTCGTGGCATAATCGAGAGCGCGCTGTCTACGGCTCACACAAGCCGGGCTTGACTCCCCATAGCTGAGGAAAAGCCCATACACACATATATTCATAAGTGAATCTTTTCTTGTTGTTTAGCCAGTGAAATCTCTTTTGTAGATGACCAGCCGAGAGCCCATCGTGGCATAATCGAGAGCGCGCTGTCTACGGCTCACACAAGCCGGGCTTGACTCCCCATAGCTGAGGAAAAGCCCGTACAGACATATATATAGTAGATTCTTTTTGTAGATGATTGGAAATTTGGGAAAGAAGAAAGAAGAAAGAAGACAGAGTAAAAGGCAGTGCAAAGGGCTTGGTGGACCTTGGAACGGCCGGTGTTGCCCATTTTACGAGGCAATCAACGTGCGGAATGTACCATCTGGACTCGAGAAGGCATAAAAGCTTCCTTGCCTTTCTTTTCATTTCCCCTCAAATATTTATGTGAATTTTTGAAATAAAACTCAAGATACATTGCAAGAGTTTAAACTAAAATAGTGTTTTAAAAGTGTTAAAGGTAAAAAGGCGCCTTGAGACAAAAAACAAAGATCTACTTGATAATTATTTATCATGTAGGTCTTTGAACCGATTAAAATAATCAGAAATATTGGATACTATGCAAAAGAAAGCAGAAAAATAATGAAGGTGATGATAATTGGAGAATAAGTCGAAAAAGAACAAGGTCATCGTAAACGCTAAACACACGGCAAACCCCCTCGATCAACCATCAACCTCCTTTTCCACACACACCACCCATTCCCTAAATTTATGAGCATCTTGAAGGCCATTTTTCAGAGCCAAACGCTTGCGGATGCAATGAGCAGAAATGTTCATTCAATAAAAACCCTCTCTCAACCATTTTGAAACGATAATGCGATTATGCAAATTGATATCTTTTTCGATCTTTTTCAATCTTTTCCCATTTCAGCAAAATGTTCCAATTTTTTTGCTCCATTCTATGACGCAAATTGTGACCATTGTTGGTCAGAAAATGATCTTTTTTTAAATTTAAATTTGACTGAATTCAAATTTGACTGAATTCAAAAAGGATGAATCGTCATAAGAAAGTGAATTTAAAATTGATGAGCTAAAAATGGTCATAAAGAAAGGCCACATGATTGGAGTCAGATTTGAAACACGTTGTAAGACCACGAGGGGATAAAGGAAAAACAAAGACGAGAAAAAGCAATGGATCGTGCTTGCCGAAATGTCTCATATCAGAGATTGGGGAATGGGGAGTGGAAGAGGCGATAGCGCCCACTTCAAAGGATTCTTTCCCCCACAACGACACCCCCTCTCCCGCCAGAAGACACAAAACAGCCCCAGCATTCGCAAACGCCATTATGAGTCTTTTCTATCCCTTTTTCATTTCTTTCTCTCCGACGATAGACAACAAGACGCTTTTATGGTTTCGTTGGATTGAATCTAGCCTCTCCTTTCCCTCGGTGATTTCTGATTGATCGAATAATTTTAAATTTTTCGACTTTAAAGTTGTACTAGCTAACTGATTATAAATTGAAAAGATAAAGAGAAAATATAGAACATAAAAGAGTGAGAGAGACTTGTCAGCTTTAGCTTGGCTTGGATTGAATCTAGCCTCTCCTCTCCCTCGGTGATTTCTGATTGATCGAATAATTTGAATTTTTCTACTTTAAAGTTGTACTAGCTAACTGATTATAAATAGAAAAGATAGAGAGCAAATATAGAACATAAAAGAGTGAGAGGGACTTGTCAGCTTTAGCTTGGCCACATCGGGGCCCCATTAGAAGTGGTTGATTTACGGTAATGCTTTTGGGGGAGTCACGGGCGACGAGAGCCACTTGAGAAGACTAATTTTGTGGCTGGGAGGAGAGATCACCTTTGAAAGGGAAGATTTTTACAAAAAAAAAAAGAAAAAAGACTAACAAGCTAATAAGTTGTGATGAAAAATATGATAAAAACTAAAAGTTTGTTTGATAAATGTGTTCAGAAGTGAAACGCCACTTTAGCCGCCGGGAATGAAGAGGAGAAAGGATAGGAGTTGGGGGGAAAAGGGGTGTGGACTGCTAAACTAAACATGTCACCACGAATCAGTCTCATTTGAACGACAAAAAGCACATGAAAGGAAGCCGCCAAACGCTAAGCGAGAAATGGAGAGAACAGAGAACAGAGAAAAGAAAAGAGAGAGAGTTTTCCCCATCTCTTCAGCTTCCTCACCAATAAACAAAACATTTTGATATTTGTTTTCTGATGATCACAAGATTTATTCTTAGACATTTATGAAATAGAAAAGTGCAAAGAACGATAAAGTCAAATGGGATCGTGAAATGGATTTAGTGGTTGTTCTGGTTGTGACAGTGCTGGTTGTAGTGGTACGTTTTGCAGTAGTTGTTGTTGTTCGTTTAACTTCAGTTGTAGGTAAAATTGTAGTCGAGGTTGTAGTGGAAGTTGTAGTAACAGTTGCAACTGTACTCATGTCAGTGTCCGTTGTTGTGCTTGTAGCTGTGCTTGTAGTCGTTGGTGGTTCTTCAATAGTGCTTACTCTAAAAATTTTTTATGTGTTATACCGTATTTTCTCCAATAGTAGTGCATCGCGGCGAGCCGAGTTGGTGACTATTTTACGATTTCCAAGCTTTTGCAGAAGCTCAACACTCTAATCCCCCACTGGATCTCATCGTCAGCTACATTTTCCGATCCCACATCGATAGGTTCTGATAAGCGGTTCTCGAGATTTCGAGCAATTTAGGCGACGCTCATGGTGCACTACTATTACAGAAAATACGGGAGTGGGACAAATGCGACCTTTCTTTGCGCACCCGAACATTTGCGCACCTTTTTTTCCGCACCTTGCCCATTAGCGCACCTTTTTTCGCGTTTTAAAAAAGCTCTAAAAAGCTAATATTAACCAATTTCTATTCCAAAAGTTGTTTTTCTAGGTAATTTTAGGGCGTAGAATCGAAATTTTGACATATCAGAGCTTGTGGAAACAAACGGACGGAGTTATACAAAGAGAAAAATCGACAATTTTCTCTAATTTGATCTAGCCGTTTTGTCTTTCAAATTGGTTCCACACGCTCCGATATGTCAAAATTTCGATTCTACGCCCTAAAATTACCTAGAAAAACAACTTTTGGAATAGAAATTGGTTAATATTAGCTTTTTAGAGCTTTTTTAAAACGCGAAAAAAGGTGCGCTAATGGGCAAAGTTGCGGAAAAAAAGGTGCGCAAAAAAAAGGTAGCATTTGTCCCACTCCCGAAAATACGGTATTCAATTTTGATTAACAGAATCGTCCGATTAACAGAATAATGTCTTTGCGTTAAAATCGCTAAATATTTCACAGATAAGAGATTTCAAAGTTTTCAATTTCAATTCAATTTTGAATATCAAGCTTTTCAAAATCGGACTCAACATATGCTGGACTCTTTGGCGAGCTTTAAAAGTTACTTTTATTGCTTGTTACTTTTATTGCTTGTACATTAAAGTTGTATTAAAGCTATATTAAAATTACTTGTATCTAGAAAGTTGCCGAAAAATCATTGATAGCAAAAATGGCCTCATTAATGAAATTAATGATAAAAATGACATCATTATCCTTGCTTAACCCCCCCCTAAATTCTCATTTCTCACCTTGCAATAAGCCTCCCTTTCCCTGTTAACGTCGAATTGTACACAATTTGTGTTCCATTTTCAATCAATCTCGAGAAAATCCCATCATGTCCCGAATATCTAGAGTTTAATTAACATTGAACAACAATTTCCACGAACTTTCGACTCTCATTCCCAAAAACCAATTGTCCATCACCGAGAGCTTGAAGTAACTCAAAGAATAACACTTGCTGTTGAGTTCCTTTCTAGAAAACTTTTCTTGAGTTTGTCGTTAAAAGCTCAAAGCTTTTTAAAAGCTCAAATCTCACATAGAAAATCGAGGCCACAATGCCGCCTTTAAACATGTTTTGATCATCGACTTGCAGATAATCTGATGAAGCAACTAGAGCTGAATCGCTGTCGGATAGCCAGATTTCTTGCTCTAATTTTTTAGAATTATAAGAATGCTTAGAAAAGTCACCAAAGTTTAGTAATAGCTGTTCTTCATCAGAGAAATTTGCGGGTATAAGAATGGTGAATGGAGCAGCCATCCATCCGACATAAAGGTTTAAAGGTACATCTTTTGAGCTGAAATTTCAAGCTTTAAGTTCAAGCTAAAGTTTCAAAATTAAGTAAATAGATTCATTTTTGATTTCTAGATACTTTTTAACATACTGTAATACGACAAAACGCTTTACTTCAAGTTGAACCAACCTTGGAATCAGTTTATCTTTATCTAGAGTGCATCCAGGGAAAACGGGAACAGCGGCTGTGGTTTGAATATGAGCTGTGATCTATAAAAAGTTATCAGTTATAAAACAAAGATTGAAAAAACAACACAGCTCTTACTTTATCAACGTATAACACACATCCTTCAACACTTGAAAGGTTAAACGTATTGTAGGTGGAATCCGAGAACATATAATGAATGACTCCACCGCAAATGTTCCCCTCTTAAAATATCTGTTGATCTCTTTGTCCAGAGATAATAGTTTTGTGAACTTTTTATATCATTGTACAGAGAACATTTTTGGCTTTCAAATGATACCAAATAGAGCTTAATTGGATAATCTAGTCCAAGAAAGCCAGAGCCAACTTTGAGCAAATGAGCCCTATCCAACTCGGATGTCTTGTCACCTTGTTGCATGGGAATGAAAAACTCATTCAAGCTTTATTTGGTATCATCTGAAAGGCTGAAATGTTCTCTGTACAATGATATAAGATGTTAACAAAAATATTATCTCTGGACAAAGCTATAGGCTTTCAAAGCGTGACGACCCGAATGTAACAAGGTTCAAAATACCCGGAAACTACGCAAGAGCTTAAAAAGACTTATGTTATATAAATTTGTTTATGCAAACTTATACACTTAATTATTTAATGACGAGAAACACGCTGTAATCAAGAGCACATACCTTGATCTGTGAACGAATCACTGGCAACAAATTCATAAACAGGATTTGCTTGTGGTTGCATTAGAGAAAGTCGCAAAGATAGCATTCGACCCGAAGAAACAATAACCGATCTGAAAATTTAAGTAACTTTTAGCAATTTCTAAAAAAAAACCCTTGATTCGTTGAAAGTCTTGGCCCTTTATCAAATTCACCATCATAAACTTCATATAGTCCGGCGAATGGGTCAAGAATCACTAGTGATACCCGGCTAAGCATTCTGTATGAGATATCAAATCTTTTTGAAACCCTTTGCATGAGGTGATTTGATATTGCCAAAAAGCTGTATTTTGAGGCATCAAAACGTGAGCGAGTGAAGTCATGCACAGATCAATGAAAGTCGTTTGTGGTGGTGCTAGAGACAAAATATCAAGCTATTTTAGTTTTCTTTACATAGAAACAGTTTAAATCTTGATTTTTGAAAGCTTTTTCTTTACCTGTAATGGCCAAGAGATCAAATCCCGTATCAAGTCTTGAAAATCCCGAAGCTCGTGGCTTAAACTGAATGCTCACCGTGCTTCGATTGAAAAACCAATTCTTCGGCTGCGTCCTAAATACCGTATTCTCTCTAATAGTAATGCACCCAAAGCTTTGCCTAAATTGCTTGAAATCTCGAAAAGCGCTCATCAGAACCTATCGATGTGGGGTCGGAAAGTGTAGCTGACGATGAGATCTTGTGGGGGATTAGAGTGTTGAGCTTCAGCGAAAACTTAGAAACCGTAAAATCGTCATCAACTCGGCTCGGTGGGGTGCACTACTATTAGAGAGAATACAACATATAATAACATCAAGCGCCAACAAAATAACAAGTAATATGTGTAAAATGTAGCAGACGATGAGATCTAGTGGGGTGATTAGAGTGTTATTCTTCTACGAAAACTTCAAAACCATCAAATAGTCCAAAACTCGGCTGCACTACTATTAGAGAACGGGGTGCACTACTATTAGAGAGATTACGGTATCTACTTTTTTATTACTTTTATTTTAAAACTACCAGTAACTCTTTTGAGGTTTTAAAAAGGTTTTTTTTTTTTTTTCCCACCAATAAATCCCACTCCAAAATTGGCCATCTAAATACAAAATCGGCACATCACGATCGATATCATAACGATAAAGGTCCAAAGTAAGCACTTGACTTGTATCCATTGTGAAATTCCACCAACATTCGATTCCTCTTAACAAAATTGTTAATTTTTGGGTAAACTAATTTTCTTTCAGCACCTGCAATATGAAAAAGTACGATTTGGAGCGGAAATTGGCATTGAAAAGCTTAAATTTCTTGGGGTTCTCATGTCAAAAACACCACCCGAACAAGTGCAATCTGAAAAGGAAAAAAAGAAAAATAGCTGAACAGTCTTCAGCCTAAGTGATTCATTTACCCAAAATATGCATTTTCGCATTTACTCCAACTCTGGATCCCAATTGATCAGAGGAAATTTCTAAAGCAGCGCTTTTTTGCTCTAGCGGATATGCATAATATCGGTCATTTCCATCAAGAGAAGATATCTAAAATGTTAAAATGATAATTGAAATGATTAATGACACTTTTTAGCAATTGCTAATCCTTACTTTTACATTCAAATCGTTTATTTGAAGAAAATCGGCTCCACTTTCCATTCTCAAGTCGAAAAGCTCGAGCACCGCCTGTGAATTCACGGCTAATCCTTCCAAAACGATTGAGCAATTCAAATTGTTTGCATAATTCTGGAAATGTTTTCTCAGTTAGAAAATAACTTCTTTTACCGAATACGAATCGTAGCCAAATGTTGAAATGGCGAACTCTTTATTGAGAAAATTACGATTTGCTATATCACAGATTGACGGGTTGTCTAGAAGTGCTCAAGTTGAAGGTTTATGGACAATTATTGCATTCAACTTGAATTCTCAAAGAATAGGCCACCATCCTTTTTGCCATTGACAATCTAACTTAGGCCATCGTCCTTTTTGTCATTGGCAATCTAACTTTAACTCCTTGAATTTTCTCGACTTACAATTATCCGATTGAAACAATTTTGGTATCATTAATTTTCCCACTTCTTCCTCTGTTAATTGATACAAAAATTGTTTCAATTCGACAATTGTACGCCAAGGAATTCAAGCTCAAAGTTAGATTGTCAATAGCAAAAAGGATGGTGGCCTATTCTTTGAGAATTCAAGTTGAATGCAATAATTGAATCGAATATAAACTTACCTAAAAATGGCTCCGCATACAGAAGATAGTAATTTTTCGTGTTTTCAGATGCATTGCTCATTTGAATGTCCAAAACGACTTTAGCCCGAAAGTAAAAAGTTGTTGTGGCATTTTTCGAGTCAGAAAAACCACTGAATGAAAATATGGAAAGGAAATTCTATTTGAAAACCTTAAATCTAAAGAAACGTTGCCGTATTGTAGGTCGAGACCGGTTAGAGTAAAAGAATCATCGGGAAGTAGGTTGAAAACGGGGATGCGAAGACGAATTGCGGAGTTTGATCGAATTTCAATGCTGCACGCAAATGGGTCCTCATTTAGTGATGGATATCCTTAAAGGTAGTCAATCAGATCTCTTATTTTATATTATGGAAAGTATAAAATATACTGTTTTGCTTTTGGTTTCTTTTGGGATCTGGGATTTTCAAGACTTGATACGGAATTTGATCTCTTGGACTCTTGGATTCTTGGACTCTTGGACTCTTGGACTCTTGGACTCTTGGACTCTTGGACTCTTGGACTCTTAAACTCTTGGACTCTTGGACCCCACATCGATAGGTTCTGATGAGCGCTACACATAACACGAAAAAGGTGGATAAAAAGCAACACGATAGAATACATGTAATATATGGGTAGCACAGATAACGTCAAGGATCCACTAGAGCTTCAAGATCAAGATCATCTACAGATAATTTTAGGACCCAGCCGAAGAATTGGTTTTTCAATCGAAGCACGGTGAGCATTCAGTTTAAGCCACGAGCTTCGGGATTTTCAAGACTTGATACGGGATTTGATCTCTTGGCCATTACAGGTAAAGAAAAAGCTTTCAAAAATCAAGATTTTAACTATTTCTATGTAAAGAAAACTAAAATAGTTTGATATTTTGTCTCTAGCACCAAACCTGGAGAAATCACATAGAATGGATTGATTTGATGAGAGATGTCAACGGTGGAATTGCATTGGAAATAGGTGGTTGTATCATCTGAAAGTTTTTCATCTTCCTGCAAGTGGCCACCATAGCCGATTGGTTTAGAGTTCTGTAACTTAGTCGAAAGGTTAAGGGTTTAATCCCGCCGACTAGATATCATGATTCTTTTTCCCCATATACGGTATTCTTCCTAATAGTATTGCTCGGAGGAGATTGAAAAAATATTAGGTTGATGCAAAAGTCTTTTTCATTTTTTTCGTACTTCCGTTAAAAAGTAACAAATGCACCAATTGAACAACGGTTTATTGCATTCGAAAGGCCAATTATTTTTCTGCAAAATGACATTAAAACGAGTTTAAAATGTCTTATGTCTAGATTTTTTTGAGAGCCTGAAGTCGGGTAGTCAAAAAAGGCGACGGCTCGATGATGCATTTTAGACGCTTTAGCTAAGGAAACCAATCTTGATGTTAATAAATAAAAGATAGAGCACAAAAAGTTAGATATTTTTTCAGATTTTCAGAGAAATTGATTCAGCCAATTTCTTTATAGAGGTTTTTATAGATTTTTATGAAAAACCCGTTTTCACTCTCGAATTTGCTTGAAAGTGAACCCAAATTGAGTTAAAAAGATGGGAAATTGAACAATAAACACTTTTCATTTAGAGCAAACCATAGGTTAATTGGTGACTTTGTTATTTTTCAAAAGAAGTACGAAAAAAATGAAAAAGACTTTTGCATCAACCTAATAGTTATCATGTTTTGCTGTTTTTTTAAAATAAATTTAAAGAAAGTGGTTTATTTTGCAAGAATTTTTGGAGAAAATGCTATATCTTTTTTGATTTGAAATTAATTTTGGTAAGATGCTAAAACTCTAATAGTTTCGAGAAAGCGCAATGGTGTTTTGGCTCTGTGGGCCAGCGCACATCCGCGCGAAACAATGTTAAAATGTGTTTTCTGATGAAATTTCTTCTAATATATACCATTCGACGCAGAATTTTGTGCTGATTCCAAAAATGATAACGATTTTGAAATCCGTTCGACAAATTTTTTAAAAATCAGCTTTTTTTGAAAAGTTCAAAAAGTCAAAAATTTTTATTTTTAAGTTCATGGAAAAAAAATTCTATTGGGCAATCAGACCTTCTTTGGTTTTTATTTAAAAGAAGACATTTAAAAAATCTTTTTAGATTTTAAAATCTAACAAATTAGTTTATAAACCCAGAGTTTCTGAAGTAGAAAGTTCGCCTATTTTCCAAAAACAAGGATAAAGTTTGGAGGTCTGGCTCTCAATAAAAGTTCATTAACAAAAAAATTCTGTCTAATAATTTTTATTTCACGAACCTTTCTAACCATTTTAGTTCAAAAAGTAACTAAAAATAATCATTCTGCGCAAAGTTATAGCTTTTTTTCTTGTCCTAATCAGAAATAGGGCCCTGTTTTCCCAAAACGCTTCAATTACCGTACCCCTGGATGCCCTCAACGTCTCGTTTTATGATATGCTCGTTTTTGAAATAAGAAGTCAAACTTTGTTTGTTTTTGTCAAACCTTATAACTAACTTCTGATCAAATGCTCCTTTTAGGTATGGCGGCAAAGAAAAGAACACAAAAAGCTGCTGTTTTGCGATGGAAGAAGAGAACGGATTTGCCAAATAATATCAAAGTGAGCCAGAGAAAAATGCTAAGCAAGAGATGAAAAAGTTGTCGCGTAAAAGAATTGCAAAACATCGCCAGAGAAAGCAAAATGTAACGATTGCTTGTCGAAAGCAAGGATGATTCGAAAGAAGTATCGCAAATTTTTTGATTCGACAAACAAACGAGACCACATATTGTCTCCACTCCAATCACTTGCACTTTTATCGAAATCAAAAATCTCTCGTGATGCCCACAGACTTTACATCAGCTCAACGAAGACTCTGTCCACCGAATATCAGATGCAAAAAATTAAGAACACTCTTGGGACGCATATGGAATACTTCATCGATAACGGAATTGTCAGACTAAAGAATTTGCTCGAATCTGTGCGTTATAGACTTGATCAAGTACCCGAACATGAAAAGAAGAGAGTCGTGATTCTGGGAGATAAAGGCTTTGAGACAACAAAGATAACTCTTATGTTACCAGATAGAGCAAACAATCCCCAATCTTGTTTCAATCAACTGATTTTGGCCGTTTAGGAAGGTAGTGATAACAACGAAAGCTTGCAAAAAGTGAAGGATATTTTTCAATTGCTATCTTCTCTAAAGTGCACCTTCTTTCTCGGCGGCGATCTTTTCTTGCTTCGTCGTTTGGTCTCTCAAATGCTTCTAAATTTCCATGTATTTGGTGCAAATATCGAGCAAACAAAACCAGAAAAATTGAAGGTGAACTTGATGTTATCGACAGACGCACTTATCCAAAAAGGACTCTAGCAGAATTCTTTACTTTACTTTACAACAAAGCAATCCGTTCACAAATCGATTAAAAAACTTAACTTTGTGTAGTCGTTTTTGTAGAAGACAATATGTTGAAAAAATAATAGAAAATATGCGAAAAAAATTAAAAAAAAGGTCAAAACGAGCATATATTTGACACTGAGGGCATCCAGGGGTACGGTAATTAAAGCGTGTTTGGGAAAACAGGGCCCTATTTCTGAGTAGGACAAGAAAAAAAGCTATAACTTTGCGCAGAATGATTATTTTTAGTTACTTTTTGAACTAAAATGGTTAGAAAGGATCGTGAAATAAAAATTATTAGACAGAATTTTTTTTATAGTGGACTTTTCTCAAAGTCGAAGCCTTCAAACCTTGGTCTTGATTTTGAGATTTTCATACCTTTCCCTTTCTAAAATTTGAGTAATTCTAACAAATTGCTTATAACTTACAATAATAAAAAAAGCTGGAAGTGTCTATTTTTAGAATATTTAAAAAGTAAGCAAACTGGTCAAAGGTGAAAGATTTTATGGCCGTTTTACGAACTTTAGTTTTGGCTTTTTTGCGTTTTTTGAAAAAGCCCATTTTCTAAAAAACTGTCGATGGAATTTAAAAATGATATCGAGATTCGGTTTTATTACACTTTTTCCCATCGAATGGTAGGTATAACATCAATTTTCATCAGAAAACGCACTTTCGCGCGGATGTGCAGCGCCCAATCGTGTTGAAGGGTCAAATTCGGATGGCTTCTCTTCCACGGCACCACAGCTTTCTCGAGAATCTCTTTTTCATAGATTTTTGCGTTAATCTTTTTATCGATAAAAACCAACGGGGTCTTGCCCGAAGCACTGATTCCACCGCAAACCATCAAACTTTTTGGAAAAAAATTTAAAGAAAGTGCAATTTTGCAATATTTTGCAAGAATTTTTGGAGAAAATGCTATATCTTTTTTGATTTGAAATTAATTTTGGCAAGCTGCTGAAACTCTAATAGTATTGCGGGCACGGAGGGGATTCAACAAATAGTATGGCACAATACTATTAGGGAGAATTCGGTAGATGGGTTTTTTTTCTTCCCTACATTTAAGAATCTTATACCTAATTCAAAAATAGTCGCCCTGTAACCGATTCTTCTTATTGGAGAGGATCCATTCATGGGAAATCCTGGTCGAAAAGCGAGAATCATTGGCCCATTAGAGGGTGGCCAAAATTGAGCTGAATATAAAATGAATTGAATTGAATTGAATTGAATTGAATTGAATTGAATTGAATTGAATGAATGAACGTTTCCCCTCACTTGTTGTCCAAAAATCGAAACCGTTGCAAGGACACGAAATATTTGAACAATTTCGATACTCCTCTTCTTTGCAAAAATACAAATTATCACTCGAATCAAGATCGATCGTGTCGAATTCAGCTCTCAGCTTTCCTTGTATAGCCGATAAAATCAGCCAATCAACCCTAAGCAATGTTTTTCTTTTTTCATTTTCTAACTATTCTTGGGGGTGGGACAAATGCGACCTTTTTTTTGCGCACCTGAACATTTGCGCACCTTTTTTTTGCTGGAAAAGGCCTTAGGAAAGGTCGTAGAGCTTCAAAAATGTTTCCATACTGGGGAATCGTATGCGTAGATTCCGAATTTCGACAAATCAGACCTCGCTGACACGTCAAATTTGGGCTAAAAGGCAAAAACTACGCAACTTAACGCTTTTCCGCAGTTTTTGCCTTTTAGCCCAAATTTGACGTGTCAGCGAGGTCTGATTTGTCGAAATTCGGAATCTACGCATACGATTCCCCAGTATGGAAACATTTTTGAAGCTCTACGACCTTTCCTAAGGCCTTTTCCAGCAAAAAAAAAAGGTGCGCAAATGTTCAGGTGCGCAAAAAAAAGGTCGCATTTGTCCCACCCCCTTATTCTTACAAATCGACATCCACTCCATTCCCTGTGACGATCTGTTTTGGAAAGTCGGTAGAAGTTATCGCTGCATTGCCGTTAATGGTCACACTCTAAGCGCTTAACGTTAGAAAAGTTGCCACTTTAAAGTATTTTTAGTTCTTTTATAAAGTATTAAAGTAAAAACGATTTTACTTTTAATAAAGTCTCAGCTTGAGTATTTTGAAGAAAAAGTAAAATGAATAAAATTGGTAGCATAGTCGAAAAAGAAAAAAAAAATCTCTTTCTTTTTCGAGCGCCACTGAATATTTAATCGCATCGAAAAGCTTTTTGATAAGAAAAATTCGTTTTTTCTTATGGGATTATAGTTCATTTGTCACAAAAAAACGTAAAATTTTCTCGTAGACTCGATGCTACTTTTCGTGTACGATTTACAGTCATGGACAAGTCTTTACAAGTCTTTTAACGTTGGTTTTTAGAAGTTTGTTCTTTGTATACAGTACCGGACAATGAAATATGATATTTGAAAAACGATCGTCACTTTCGCGCGTCTGTAACTCCCTTGTCTTTGAGTTTAAACTATTAGTGTTATACATTTTCTGAAAGCTCTTTTCAAGGGCTACACAATGGTAATATTAATATTTAGAAATACGGTAATGACAAGGGAGTTACAGACGCGCGAAAGTGACGATCTTTTTTCAAATATCATTTTTCATTGTCCAGTAGTGTATCTTGATCCAAATCCGACCAATTTGCAAACGGCTAAAAGATTTAAAAAACTTTCTCTTTATCTCTATTATGTTTTGTGTTTTGAGAGAGTGCAATAGTCTTGAAACCTTTAAATTATCTGTAGATGATCTTGATCTTGAAGCTCTAGTGGATCCTTGACGTTATCTGTGCTACCCATATATTGTATTATATCGTGTATTATATCGCGTTGCTTTTATCGGCCCTTTTCGTGTTATGTGTATGAATTGATGTGTTTTAATCTTAAATCTAGCGCACTTTATCTCAGGTTTTGAATAAAGTATCTATATGTCGTAGCCGCTTACGAAATTCAGCCGCTAACGAATCATTCGTTAACGGCTAGCCGTTGACGAATGAAATTTTTCCCTACCCGCTAACAAATCATTCGTTAGCGGCTGAATTTTGTAAGCGGCTATGACATATATATTAGAGACACGGGAAATTTTGGTTACACAGAGTCTTTTCATGTACTAGTTGGTACTTTTCATGTACTTTTCATGTACTAGAATAAAGTATCTATATATTATCTCTAATTTTAACATTATAAAAAGGCCCTCATGGTGTATTGGTTAAGTTCCCACTTCCAAACTGAGGGTGTGGGGTTCGGCCCCCCTAGGGTTCTCTTCCCTAGCCCGTGCGCCCAGACTAGAGGTGTCTTCTCTAGAGCTGACTAGAGATCCCTTCTCTAGCGGAGTTCACTCTTCCACTGGGTTGGCCCATTCATGGCCTGAGGTTATTAAAGCAAGAAGCCTATCTTCTATCTATCTTCTTTTCTCCCCGCCTCCACATCGCCGAGTAAAATATCTCATCTTTCTCTATGTATTTATGTGTAGATTTGTGTATTGTCTGACTGATTACGCTTTATTTCATGTCCTGAATAAAGTATCAATATCATATATATCAAAAAGATGGATTTGACAATTTATCAGGTGTCATGAACTTTTTAATAAAACAAAAATTGAGCTAAAAATTAAGCCAATAATTAAGCTAAAAATTAAGCCAATAATTAAGCCAAAAATTGATGGATTTATGTAAATAAGACAATTTATTTCAAGCATACAAGCGCAGAGTCTATGGCAAAAATTATGCAAGAAAAGATTGATTTAAATAAAACATATAAAACAAAAATATAAAGCAAAAGCGATAAAGTGATTCGAAATTGAGTTGATAAAGTTGAGTTTCTGGTGTATGAGCAAAAAGGAAAAAAATTGAGGAATGAAGTTTGGAGGGACTCGTGTTCACGTTATCATCGGGATATTTCTTTTTGGAACAATCACCGAGTATAGTAACCTGTTAAATATATCTCATATTTCATTTATAATGTTTTCACAGAAAGCAAAGAATTAATTAATAATTCAATAATTAATAATTAAGCTATTAAACAAAGTAAACTTATGGTAATACTAGAAGCAAAAAAAAATCAAAGCAAAATCATATTCCCGAGGAAATAGTGATTCGAAGACGAAACGAATACTGTAGAGAAACAGTATATGAAGCAGTATATGAAAAAATAGAGTTTAGAAACGTCCATTGAAGGGCATTGGTTGAGCAAGGAGAAGAGATTTGAAAGCCGACACATCGACACCGGCAAGATCGGCTGGGAAACCGCCTTGGCTCTGGAAAGGCGATGGGATAAAGTTTCAATTATTGTGGTTCCAATTTTGTGGTTCAATTAAAGTTTCAATTATTATTGTGGCATCAATTATTAGCTAAAATTTCCGATTAGGCTATCCAGAAAGTCTTTTTGTTCCATACTTTCGTTAAAAAATAACAAATTCATCAATTAATCGATGGTTTACTCTAAGGTCGACCTCTACAATACTCTAGAATACTCTACAATACTCTACAATGGCTTTTGAGAGAAAGCTCAAAGCTCACCTTAACTCAAAGCTCACCTTAACTCAAAGCTCACCTTAACTCAAAGCTCGCCTTAACTCAAAGCTCACCTTAACTCAAAGCTCGCCTTAACTCAAAGCTCACCTTAACTCAAAGCTCACCTTAACTCAAAGCTCGCCTTAACTCAAAGCTCACCTTAACTCAAAGCTCGCCTTAACTCAAAGCTCACCTTAACTCAAAGCTCACCTTAACTCAAAGCTCACCTTAACTCAAAGCTCGCCTTAACTCAAAGCTCGTCTTAACTCAAAGCTCGCCTTAACTCAAAGCACGCCTTAACTCAAAGCACGCCTTAACTCAAAGCTCGCCTTAACTCAAAGCTCGTCTTAACTCAACACAAAATTCATTTTTCCGTAAAATCTTCAATTCCTGTTTTAAAGAAAATCGTTGAATGGATCGTTTTCATTTTACAGACTTATGTAATCAAATGAGCTTTATCTTTTTTACTTTGATACCAAAATAGGTTTGTATTAAAGAAAGTGTCCAAATTACGACTTCAGCATTGGAGCAGCTTTTGCGCTTTTTGAAAATTCACAAAACTACTTCCAAGAATTTCCCAAAAACCATTTTGCAGAGAAATAATCAAGCTTTTTAATAGTTTAAATTAGTTTAAATTTATTGGTGGCGACATTAGTTTTCAATAATGTTTGAAAAAAAAGTTGTAAAGATAGTTTACCGTATTTTCTGTAATAGTAGGGCGGACTACTATTTTTTCAACCCCCCTCCAGCCTGCACTACTATTACAGACTGCACTACTATTATAGACTGCATGACTATTATAGACTGCACTACTATTACAGCCTGCATTACTATTATAGACTGCACTACTATTACAGACTGCACTACTATTATAGACTGCACTACTATTATAGACTGCACTACTATTACAGAAAATACGGTAATAGTTAACTTAACCATTAGCTTAATAGTTAAGTTAACAGTAAATTTTCCAAATTCAACTCACATCGTTTGAAGAGGAATCCCAAAGTCCGCCACCAGCCGATGCCGAGGCAAAACGATGAGCGGTACTTTCGGAAGAACCTGACCAGAGTCCTTTTGAGCGATCACTCTCGGCTGCATCCATTTCTTGAGAAACTTTCTCTAGCAACATCTGGAAAAACGGAAAAATCTTTAAAGTTTTTCTTTAAATTGTGTAACTTTTATTTCACTGTTCTGCTAAAAGTTCTATTTAGTTAGATCAGAAAGAAAGAAGAAGAAACTCTCCCGAAATTGTGGCCTTGAGAAAAAGTTGGTAAAAAAAGTTTTTGCTATTGGTTCGCGCCTTCCCGCGTTTTGGATGGCACTAGTCGGCACCGATAAACCAAAAAACAGTTTCTTTGCCATTTTAAAAAAGAGTTATTCATTTGTATTCCTCTTTTTTTTTCAAGTCTTCATTTGTATTTCTCTTTGAAAATACAATGTGTTGAATATGTCTTGAATACAATGTCACTTCATTAATCATCTTTCTCCCAACCTCAAGCGCGTTCCCACGTGTGTTCCCGGGAAGTGTATGAATCACTCGACGCATTTTTTCAAAAACAAGAGCATCTTTCGAGCCAACACAATCCTGATACAGAAAATTTCATTTGACATTTCATTTTTCTCGGGCATACTTCATTTTCTCGGCTGGTCATTGAAGCAATTGAAAGAGGAGTTGTTGGCGATGGTGTTGATGAGCTTGAAGCCGTGAATGAGCCTGAATTTTTGTGGGAATTAAAGAGAGAAATTGGAATTTAAAAATTAAAAGCATATAGCTTATATGACTAGAATGAAATCAAGAATGGAATCGATCTTCTATTAGATTAGATAGCTCGATCTTCTATTAGATTAGATCGATCGATCCTCTATTAGATTAGATCGATCGATCTTCTATTAGATTAGGTGGATCGATCTTCTATTAGATTAGATCGATCTTCTATTAGATTAGATCAATCGATCTTCTATTAGATTAGATCGCTCGATCCTCTATTAGATTAGATCAATCGATCTTCTATTAGATTAGATCAATCGATCTTCTATTAGATTAAATCGATCGATCTTCTATTAGATCGATCGATCTTCTATTAGATCGATCGATCTTCTATTAGATTAGATCGATCGATCTTCTATTACATTACATCAATCGATCTTCTATTAGAAACAAGCATTGACCTTGATTTTTGTCAAAATCAAACGATTTTTCGAGGAAGTACAAGAATTAGTGTTTGATAAAATAAAAAGAACAAAGGAATTGTGAGGAAGGACAATGTTTGTATGACTGTCCTCTCATCTCTTTCCCCGTTCTCTTCCATTCCTTTCAATTCAACGACTATGCGGGTGGCAGCTAGTGGGCAAGCAAGACTGACCTTGTCTCAATGTCTAGACGTTGTCATTCACAAAAAATTACACACAAAAAAAAGCTTTTACTTGTTTATTCTGAATCTCTACTTGTCAGAATAACAATAGCTTGTTCTGTTCAAGAATTACCTGAAAGATCAGAAGCACAGCTGCCTCCAGACATTCTTCTAGTCCGAAATCCATTGCATCCGGATGTGCGAGGCTGAAAATCTCGAGTTAGACGTTTTTCATCTTTATCACCTCATTCCATCCAAGCACATTTCTAGTTTTTTCCTCAACGGACAACCCGAGCATGACTTTTTCTGAAAATAAAAGCTTTAAAAGGTTCAGCAATCAGCAAAATGAGATTCTTCAACAAAAACCTAATAAAAATTTCAAAAGGAAATGATCGAAATGAATTCCGGAAGAAACTTGCAGCTGGCGGGGAAAAGAGAAAGGTGTGAAGGGAAGTGAGAGGAAAGAGAAATGCGCGGCATCCTTGGTGCCGGTATCGCCGACCGGCACCTTATTGCATGAGTGCCTGGGCTCTCTTGCAAGAAAGGCAGCCAAGGGGATGTCTCTCATTGAGGGTCTCCAGCTCTATCGTCCCGACTCTCTCACATCACCCATTACAGTATCTAGGCGCCAATCTCGAGCCCTTGAAGGTCATCCATTCGCCCGCAAAAATTGATCTAGCACCTTCGTCCAGCTGATTTTCGCCACTTGTTCGCCTATCTTTGTGACTCTGCGTCAGTCATTTGAAAATAATTCAAAAAGAAAGTGACAGAAAGTATCTATTCTTAAGAAACCAAGAATGTTTTGAATGTCACTAGCCAATCAGTGTTGATTGGCTTCAATCAACCAATCATGCCAATCATTAGAAAGTTTGCAGGTTGATGAACGCTTGTCTAAAAATCTACTATATATAAAGGGAAAGGTCTGTTCGTCCGTCCATCTGTACAACCTTTTTCTCAGTCATATTTTGAAAAATAAAGCTGAAACTTCTTTAGAAAACCTTAGAATCTAATGTAGTTGTGTCATTTTTAATAAAATGAATTGAAAAGGCAAATTGAATGGCTCTACGGGAGGCCGAACCCGGCTCGTGAGAGCCGTCAACAAATGCGCTCCCGACTGCGCCACGGCCACAAGCTGTCAACCCCAAAACATCCAGCTAGAAAAATCCGCAGTTAGGCGCGTTTTTCGGCTGGTAACTCTATCTAAACCTACGTGTAAATTCAGGTAATCCCTAAGAAATAGTATGAGTCATATCATTGACTCCATTTGAATAAAGAATTGAATAAAGTTAACAAAGAAGTCATTGAGGGAAGAAAAAACGAGAACTGAAAGCCACCCGCGAACCTGAAATGGAAATCGAGTATAATGAGCGGGTAAAGTGTTCAAAATCAAATTTATTTCCGAGTTAGGCAAGTGGGCGGAATCAGCAACGAAAAAAAAGGGGGGCACAAATAAAGAGAATCGAAAAAAGCGCGCAAAGTTCGAGAGTGCTTTTTGAAACAATGGCAATAATGGGGTGTTGTCGGGAGCCGGTTTTGTGCCCCCTGAGGGCGAGAAAGATTGGGTGAAGAGAAGGGGGTAAAAATGAGGAGTGAAGAGAAGAGGTTGAGAAGGGCAAACGGTGGGGCGGGGGGAGGAGAAGAGGACAAGGGAAGGGGAGGAGATGGTCAGTGCCGAGCGGGCATTGTGTATCGGACTGAAATACCTTTGCACACGAGATGAACAAGAACAAGAAGAACACGGACCGCACACACAACAATCGCATTCTCTCAACTAGGTATCCTGTTTTGTTTCGGTTAACCTCTTGATCTCAAATCAGCCTTTGTTTTGAAATTTTTTTGACCAGTATTACTCATTTTGTGTTAAAAAAAATGAAAACAAGCAAGATCTAAAGAAAAAATGATCAATGAGTCAGTAAAATACTTTTTTTTTTACATTGATTCACTATGATTTGTGTTCTTTTGTATCTTTCTTTTGTATGATAAACTTTTATAAAAATTATAAAATAAAAATTGAGCTAAATAGTATCAGAATAATAAGCATAAACGTTGGTTTTGATGAATTTCCATAAAGATAAGCGCCGTTGAAATATGTTCCAGCCTAAAGTACTGAGTAAACTCGTCATAACCCTTTTTTGAATTATGAAACAAACATCTTTAATGAATAGCATTGGGTTATTGCATTGAAATCCAACACAACAGCACACGTAACAAGATCCGGTTGGGCCATTCACCTGAATTACATTTTCAAGATGTAATTCAAAGTGTTTAGAGCAGGGGAGATCTGGTTAACATTTTGGCAAAGTTGACGGAACTTTTGACCATTTTAGAGCTATTTCCCACTTTGCAATGTATTATGTTTGCGGTAATTTATCAACAATAAAAAGTAGAAACGGGAAGTTTATAAAACGATCGGGAAAACGAGGTTAGTCTCATTTAAAAGGCTTGAAAGACAAGCATTTGAGTGAGCTATACTCTCAAACATATAGCATGGAAGTCGGTCTTGTGTACCTTCTTGTAAATGCTTCATTGAAACTTTCAATGCAATCAAAACTTTTGATTTATAGTTTTGATTTATAAAGTATGGAGCTTCGACCTTCGACCTTCGACCTTCGACCTTCCAACTTTTTGAATTAAACTATGGAATCCAGAACAAGAACTGAGATATTTTTTTGTTGTTAAATTATTTTTAATAAATAGTTGTTGATAAATTACCGCAAACATAAAACAACATATTGGACTTTATCTCTAAAATGGTCAAAAGTCTCGTCAACGCTACAAGAGCAAACATTTTTTCAGTACTGAGCTTTAATTTTCGATTGGAACTTCAATAAGAATGCTTTAAAAATCAAACTTCTTAACATGAAAATGTTTCAATTACAGCTCTTTGGTTTACGAAAACTTGATGAATGAAACTCGACCATTTGACATCCACCATCATTGATTGCTAGCCCACCGGATCCACAATGTGATGGCACTAAACCAAACGTCGTCTGTAGCTCACTTCCACAAAAATAACGAGTTGTTTGTGTAGTGACTGAGTAGCTAAAATATGTCGTTAGATCTTCTAGTGGTTTCATAAAATTTACCTAATAGCACACCATTGATTTTGCAAGCCTTGACACTGCTGAATGTCTAATCCAACGGCTGCACCCGCTTGAGTTTCACCTAGAAAACTTTTATAATGAAAAGATTTTTAAAGAGACCATGAAAGCATCCATAGTTTCTTCCATTGCAACTTGCGACTGTACATATCACATAGAAAAGATAAAAGAAATGGTGAAAGCACAGGAACATTTATGAATAGGATTGAAGGGAATGGCTTGGAAGGGAATGGCTTGGCGGAGGCTACACCGCATTCTCTCATAACAAACATGGCTATCCACAAAAAGCCATTCTCTGATTCATTCTCAGTCATAATAGTTGCTATTTTTCAATTTGACAAGCGAAAGCCCTGCTAGCATCGAAAGAAATGGTGATACTTCTTACTAGAAAAGGTCGCCAACTTAAGGTGGAATTTCAAAACGAGACCTATCCTAATTTGTTTAACGAAAACGGATTCGGCTTTCCGAATCCGTTTTCAGTTTTTCTAAATGACTTGCAAACACAAGGAATTTGGCTTAAAGCTTTTTCTTTATAAGTTTTTTCTTTCTTTCTTTTTCTTTTTCTTTCTTCCTCGTTTGCCTTGAAAATATCTTTCTGTGACCGAGAGGTAGTGTTCTCGGTTATAAAGTTTAAAAGTTTAAAATGTTGTCGACGAGGGAGTCGAACTCGGACTAAAAACTACCAAGAACACTTCGTAACCGAGAGAACTACCTCTCAGCCACAAGAATAGGTTTCCAGGGCAGTCCTATAAAGGGGTAGCTAAACTTTAAACCCAAATTCCTAATTCCAAATTCATACAAGTAATTTTTGTAACTAGAAGTTTGCTTCAATCTTCGTTCTGGTGAACGATCTGCTATAACACGACAAGCAATTAGTGAATGCAATACAGGTGTAAAGAATTTCTTGTAAAGAATTTCTTGTAAAGAATTTCCTGTAAAGAATTTTCCTATTAAAGTTTATTTTCACTTTATGCAACTTTTAGAAGAAAGATGGTGGCGATTCGAGAGTGGCCGGGAGAGGATAGAGGAATGGGGCGGGGCCCTAACCTCAACCTCTGTCCCTTCTCCCCATCCCCTCCCCTCCCCATCCCTCCCCTCCCCATCCCCTTCCCTCCCCCACCCAGCTTCTGTCCTCAGAAGTCGCCTCTCCATCCCTAAATGCTTTTGAGTAAAATCATTGTTTTAACTTCTTATTTATTTACTTACAAGCAACATTTTAGATCTTGACCTTTTACGTTCATCGATTTCATCTACATTCACTGTTTCATTTTCTCTTTCCAATCAACAATGCTAGCAGAGATTTCTGCCATTTTCCTTCTTCTTCGAATATCTGATGGTAGGCTTTTAGATCAAAAATGATCCTGAATTATTTAAAACTTTTACTCAAGTAGACTTATTCAAGGTACAACGGTAGCTTGATACAATTCAAGGCATAACTTTTTTTGAGCAAATGGAAAAAGAGCCGCGTATTGGAGTGCAATTAGATTTGGATGGGGGATTCGAATTGGGGGAACTCATCCTTGCGGTGGCCTTCATCCACCCTCATTCTCCCCCCAAGAAGTCTCATCTCACCCCTCTTTTCTCCTTAAAGAGCCTATGATCGGCAGTGAAGTGGTCAACGGGACTCAAGGGAATTCCCTCTTGTGGACATTTCCTCTATCTTTCCCCTTTTCACTTTAATGGACTTATTCAGAAATCCACCTCCATCCAATGTTCCATTTTTGTGCCAAACTTCAATTATTTCGCAAACTTTTCTCTTCGAAAAATCGTTGACAACAATGACAGCTTTCTAGTGGTCAGAAAAGAAAAGAAAAACAAATAAACAGGCAACGTTTTGATATCACAACGATCTTGCGCAGTCTCCCCAGCCACTCTGCAAACAATTCCGTTTCTCTTTACCAAATAAAATGATTCAATTCTTCTTTAAGCACAGAATTAATGATTGTCGGGAAAAAGGCTCGGTCTGAACAAGATTTTGAATCTATTCTTGAATTAGTGAAAATTTTGGGAATAGTTTAAAGACGCTATCGACGTCAAGCCAATTACGGTATTGCACAATTCAATTGGCTTTGTTGGCGAGGAGCTTAAGGATTGGTAAGGGGGAATGGATAGATATTTGAAGGGATGAGAAAGGGATTCCCATCAAGAACACTTGACACCAGCTGTCATTTAAGTAGAAAAGATTTCTCGAAATTGTTTTTTTTTTTACTTTTACTTTTAGATTCAAATTTATCCACAAAGTGACTAGTTGCCGAAATTTGCATAGATTAGTCGACAATGGAAAGAGTGCCGATTGAATTCTCATGAATGAATTTGTCGTCTATCTGGGGGAAACGAGCGATGAAATTAGCGGCTGATGGATGGGTGGGACACCTGGATGTGTTGAATAGGGAAAACGGGATTCTATAAGGGATTGGGGCAGATAGAGAGTGAAATTCGAGACTTTCTGATGAGCCCCTTTACGCTAATTGCCTCGATTTCTCCATTATTTTCCTTATCCGGGCATTTTTTTTGACTTTTCATGATATTAGGCTGTTCAGAAACTCTTTTAAAATCAAAAAATGAATAAATTGAACGTTTATTCCATTAGAAAGAACTATTTCTCTGCAAAATAACATTCTACACGTTATAAAGTTCCGGCGAAAAGTTTCACCGAAAACTTTCAGGAAGAAAATTACGTCCCGCGGGAAAACTATGAACATTTTACCGAAAAGATCAAAGGTGCAGACCAGAGACGCCGCTGGAACTTTTTCCAGAGCGTAGCATACCAAACTCTGCACATGCTCTGCACATGATCGCTACAGATCAGTGCAGACAGTGCTTCTCCTGTCGATTTTCTCCGTCAAAATTGGAATCATTGTTTGCAAAAGATTAAATGCAAATCATTAAATGCAAAACATTAAATGCAAATCAAGTAGATGATATGCAAAGTGATCTTATAGCTTCAAGTCCGATATTTACGCTTTATGGGTTACCTCAACGATAGGATTTTTGATCAGGTTTTGAATTCTGCAAGCTAAGCTTAGGTTTCTGGTGGGCCTAGGTGCCACTTTCTGGACAGTCTAATAACATTGTCAAATTGAATTAGAGATCTTTGCCAAATCTTGCCAAAATCTTTGCCATGGCTCCTCGAAAACAAACCCCAAACATATCCAAAAATAAACATATCCTGAATAAGCGACTCCTCTCGCGCACTTCCCAGATCCACCCCAAAGATCCCCCAAAGCATTCAACCAGCTGTGCCCATTCGATCTCTTTACCAAATCTCGAACTTTCTTCTCTTTCCAAATCCACTTCTCTTTCCAATGGTTGTTCGGGTGAACGGAAATGCAAAGTGCGAACGGATTCAACGCAACAAGTGCCTTTTCCCTTTTTGCAACCAATCCAATTTGCATACTAAATATCCCTTTCTTTTCTTTTGACAGCCGCGATAAGTCTTTCAAATTATTGAATCTGTTTCATTCGAAAAAAAAAAGCAATAGCTCTAGAAAAATAACTACATGTGTACATCGTACATTTCGGGGTCACATTTTCTAGTCGTGAGCGGATTTGCCTAAACAAAGTGGCTATTTTTCGTTACTATGCGAGTGTGTTGGCAATGAAAAGAAGAAGGGAAAAGGAAAGAAATGAGGAGATCCGTCGATTGGATGGATGCTCTCCTTTTATGGTGAGTGCTCTCTCGCGGAAACTCGTCTGATGGGCCGCAAAATCGTGCTCCCCCCAAACCCTTCCCGCCTAAAGTACCTCTCAATTTGTGCCCCTCTTTTGCCAAGAGACTCACTAGCGCTATTTTTAAACAAATTCTCGGAAAAGTCGCCTTTCAAAAGATCTGACCTCTCATTACAGCAGTACATAAAAACTCAACATGATTTTCAAAAAAAGATGGGGATGGGACAAATGCGACCTTTTTTTGCGCACCTGGACATTTGCACCTTTTTTTCTGGGAAAGGCCTTGAAAGGGCAAAGAGCCTAAAAAATGTTTTCATAAAGGGACGTATGCGTAGTTCCGAATTTCGGACAAATCAGACCTCGCTGACACGTCAAATTTGGGCTAAAAGGCAAAAACTACGCAACTTAACGCTTTTCCGCAGTTTTTGCGTTTTAGCCCAAATTTGACGTGTCAGCGAGGTCTGATTTGTCGAAATTCGGAATCTACGCATACGATTCCCTACTGTGGAAACATTTTTGAAGCTCTACGACCTTTCCTAAAGCCTTTTCCAGCAAAAAAAAAGGTGCGCAAATGTCCAGGTGCGCAAAAAAAAGGTCGCATTTGTCCCACCCCCAAAAAGGTTGATCATTCTTCAAGACTTAACTATGGACAATCTAGTGTTTTGTTTTGCCAAGTTTAAAGAGGAAAATCTAAGAAAGAAATAGAGTAGATTGTTGATCAAGATTGCCCACTATAGAGCTATAAAGTCGAGTACTCTGCTCAAAGAAGCCTTAAGATTTATCCAGTGAATGACCACTGGGATTCGGATTTCTTTTCAAAATCTTCTTTCAAAATCCTCTTTCAAAATCCTTTTCTCATAGATGCGATAACTATTTCTGTTTTTACTTTACCCATTCACTAGAAAAATCTTAAGTTAGTCGTAAAATTTCTGAAGAATCCTTGAGAAGCTAGCGCTTGAAAATGCAGACCATTCCCATACGATAAATAGGGGTGTTCGCAAAAAAAGAAAGAAGACTCTTTTAAAAAAAAACGGGCTTTTAGTTATGAATTTTTAAAGAATAGAGAAAAAGTGAACTGAAAAAACTGAAAGATTTCAGTGAAAAAGTTTTTAACTTTCAGCAGCGACACCTGAAGTGCTTTCATGCTTGCGCTTAGAGAAAAGTCCATTGGAATCACCGCATTCAAGGTATTTTGAGAGAAATATATAGAAATTCTTTGAAACAAGTTAAAATATTATTGATTTTTGTTAAGCTAATCTCAAATATCGATAAGAACAATAAGCTAATATCAGTCTTCTTTTAGAGTTGTACACGTTGAAGAGGATCGACCAGCCTATTTGCATTGCTCGGTGCCAGAAAATACAAATCACATGGTACTTTTTTTTCAAATCTTCACATTACATACTATTTTTGCTACTCTGTGTCTAAGTAGCAATCGGAAATCATCAAGCAAAAGCTATATGAAATGGGAAAACTTTTCGCGACTCGTCTCTCATTATACGAGCCAAGAATGCGTAATCGGAGTGCCCTCGCTTTCTTTTTCAAAAGATTCTCCCTTTTGACTCTTCAGGGTCACTCACTGCTTTTTCCAATATTTGCATGTTTGTTAAGAGACTAAGGGACTACTAAAGTCTCGTCTAATTTGCTCGTCTTTTCAATGAAAGTGATCCCCTTTCCTTTCACTTGCCTGTTGATTTAAGACAATGAGGCTGAAAGGAGAAGAAAAACAAGCGTATAATAAAAACCTTAGAGTCAAATAGCAAAAAAATAGCAAATATTTTTTTAATTTATCTAGGTTGCTTGGTCTCGAGCCTCGGATGCAGCTCTGCTCATCGCTGGTACTGAGACTTTTACGAGTGATTCACGATTTCAAGTAAACAAGCCTCTAGATCCTTTAAAAATTGTGTTTAGATCAGCATACGCGAAGCGGATTACGTCTTAATAATAAGGTAAACTTTATTTGAATAATAATATTCCCGTTATTCTATCAAATTTTGATTTGTTCCCTAAATCGGGAAGCAGAAAGAGAATTCTCTCATATGAACATATTGTTCAAAGTTCATTCAACCATGAAATCATTGCCTTCGCTTTCCCGGAGAGCTCGAGATCTGTTCCTGGGGATTTGAATGAATGAGAGATTCATAAAAATAACAAAATTTGTTTATCAATTTAGACAATCACTGCCAAAAGACTCGGGCTGTTACCTTTGTGAAGTGAACACTGAACCTGACAGCATAATTGTCCCTGTTTATTTGAATGTTTCTCGAAAAGGTAAAACTTTAATATTATACAATATTATTATAGTATTATTTAATATTTTAATCATCATATAATCATCATATAGTACTTTTTAAAATTTTTTTCTTTTGCTAGAACCGATAGTTCCCCAATTGATGCCCAGTGAGTTGAAAGGTGTCTGGTGTTTCGTGATTTCTTTGCCATCTTTGCTATCTTATAAGCTATGAAAATAGATTATAAAGATATAAATTAACAAATTAGAAACAAAAATTTCTAGAAAAACCAGGGAAATTGCTGGCAAATATGCATGGAAATGAAGTGGTGCTGAATTGCACCTTTTCGCTTGATGGAGGCGGTGGCGATGAAGAAGTTCGTTGTTTAGGAAAATCTGTGGAAAATGAGAAAACAGTTTGATATGTTAAAAGTTATATACCGTAAATGCTGTATTAGAACGACACCCTCTAATCGAATGACACCCCCCTGACCCCCTCGAAATCTTGATTTTAGACCCCCCCCCCCTTGTGGGAATTCTATGGATAGACCTGGACCTAAAACCTACTAAAAAAACCTACTAAAATTTATATCGGCAGTACAGGGTGCGGCAGAATTATAGGTGCAGAGAAGTTCCATTGGAATATGACCAAAAAACGAAAAATTTGCCACAAAAACAGTTTTAACATATTTATTGAACTTAAATTAACAACTTTTATTGATCATATTCGAATCTTCCTCCTTTGGCGTCGATGCAAAACTTGAGTCGCTTGGGAAAGGCGTCGACCGTGGCGACCAAGTAGGCGGCGTCCAGACCCTCCCAGGCTTTCAAGAGAGATTTCTTCAAACTTTCGAGGTTTTTGTGAGGTTTCTGACAGGCCTCGGCTTCAAGAACAGACCAGACCGAGAAATCCAATGGATTGAGGTCTGGGGAGCTTGGGGGCCACTCGTTGAATGCAATGAAGTCGGGAAAAGTCGCTTTGCAGAAATCCTGAACAATCTTGGCTTTGTGAGCGGGAGCACCATCTTGCTGGAAGGTCCAGATGCGATTTTGGAAGTGATTTTGAGCCCAGGGAACAAGTTCTTTCTTTTAGCATATCCAAGTACGTGTTCGCATTAACTTTGACTCCTTGTGGCACAAAAATCAGTGGTGTCTTGCCGGAAGCCGTCACACCGCCAAAAACCATGACTGAAGCTGGGTGGTCGCTGCGACCGACGGTAACATTTGGTTGAGTTTTCGACCAAACTCGATCTTTCTGCTTGTTCAGAATTTCTTCAATCGTAAAAATTTTCTCATCGGTGAACAAAATGTTCCTGTGGTCGATTCCGTTGAAACGAAGACGAAGGCTTTCACATCGATCTTTTCTCTTCAATTTGGCGTCTGCCGAAAGCAGAGCGGATTTGTTCTTCTTGTAGGACTTGAACTTGAGTTTGTCCTTGATAATTCGACGGATTGATCGATCGGATACACCCATATGTTTGGCAATTCTTCGAGCGGACTGATTGGGCTTCTTTCGCAGGCGATCCCTGACCTTCTTGATGTTGCCTTTCGTCACCACAGATGGACGAACACCTCCTCGCGGCCGATCAGACATTGATCCCAACTCGTTGTAGCGTTGAATGGCTCGGTTAACAACGTTTCGATGCACTCCCAACTTTCTTCCGATCACGGTCGCCGATTCACCCTTCCGATGAAGTTCCACGATCGATTGTCGATACGGGGAAGCGCGAACCATAGCCTGAAACTCAAAGTTATAAAAAGTTATAATTTACAAATACAAATTCAATCATAAAATAACAACAAAAACATAAATTCGAGTGCAAAATCAAGAGCGAAGGCTCGTTTTCCGTCTTTATGTCATGCACCTATAATTCTGCCGCACCCTGTAAAGTTTAAAACATTATTTTTGAAAAAAAACTATAAGGGTCCTCCACATGGATTTTTTTGGAGATTCAACATTCAACATTCAACATATCCTGGTTCACACTTATACGTAAACGTTCGAAAAGAAAACACATAATACCCAGAAAAACATTTCTATGATAAAGAGAAACGGCGAGTCTCTTAAGAAAAAACTGAATTTGAGGAAGACAGGCGACCTCTTTATAGGCCCGTCGTGCCATCGCGACGCGTCTTAGGCTACGGTACTTAGTGCCTTTTGGAAAGTATCGTATGGGAGGTTAAAAAAGAGATGCGGCTAGTTTTGGCAGAAAATAGTATTGTTGAGCTTTTTAGCTTCATGAAGTATAATTTCACTTTTAAACATGTTTTTTTGTACATTTTGGACAAAGGGCCATCATTTAAAATAGTTTTTAACGAATTTTAAATTTTTGATTTATTTGGTCCCCCTATTTTTTTGGATCGAACGATTTTGAGGGGTTTAAAAATAGAATGACATTCTAATACAGCATCTACGGTAACTATCAATATATTCCTACAGGTACATTGGCAAAAAGACGACAAAATCATCGATCTCAACAACACACAAAGTGAGTCTAAATTCGAGCGTTTTCCTCGTGATTGCGTTTTGTTTCTTGTTGTCTTGATCTCATTAAAAAGAAATTTAGAATATGTTTGGAAAGTGAAAAGAGAAGCAGGGATACTTGTTCATGAGGTGAATCGGGAAAGTTAGCCATGTTTTGTATCTGACTTTCTAGGTGGTGATCCGAGGAGCAAGCGATGCCGACGATGGAGAGTACGCGTGTGTGAGGGGACGACAGAAAGCCACCCAAATTGTTCATGTCAATCTCAGTGAGTTGCAAAAGGGTATTTGTCCAAAAGCTTTCGTTTGAATAACTGGTTTTTTGGAAATCTCACTGATTTTAGAAGCCGAAGCACAAACCTCTCGATCATTTGAAAGACGACTCACTCAAGCGATTTCTTTCGTTTCCCTAGGTTTCTTATTTGTATGAGTTTCCTCCTCATTATATCATTCTCATTTGTATAACTCAGGGATTTGCCATTTCTTTTCAATCATTCATATTTTGTTGTACATTTTCAAAACTTTCTTGCCGTTGAAATCTTGTATTTTTTTTTTCAAAGCTTTGTTTGAGACGATGAAAAGTGAAAATTCTTTCCTATTTACGGCTATCTTCTTAGAAATAGTGTTTTAAAAATGTTACCTATTAAAATATTTTCCTGTTGAACAAGAACAGAACTATGGAACAAGTTTTAATTCTTATAATTCTTGAAATTTCTTATGTCTTTCTTTAAAACGATGAGAACAGACTGTTCTCCACTCATTTTTGTTGCTTGAAATCTGAAATAAATTGTATTTTTTTTTGTAGTTTTGATAGAGTAAAACATTTTACTTGAAAATCGACCGAGTACCAATTTCGGTGAAAGGAGAAAAGTGTAGGGGAAATAATAGAAAACGGATGTAACGAAGAGTTGAGAAGGAATCACAATGTTTCGGCAAAGAAACGAAGAAATCAGAACGCGAAGAAGGGGGGTTTTAGAAGTGGTGAATAAGCTCCACAAATAAAACAAATATCGATAAGAGATATATAATAGATTTTCTCAATTATAGTTTTCCCAAGTTTAGGCTATTCAAAATGAAGAGATCTGGGATGCTGGGAGTTTGTAAATTTGTAAATTTGTATAATAAGAAAAGCCAGCATCCTTTTATTTGTAGTGTAAATAGGAAGAGATGTTTAGTGAAGAAATCGATGAATTTAGAGTTGGTTATCGATCGATATTGATAAGATTAGCATAAAATAGAAAACACTGATTGATCTAAGTTGATTTTATCTAAATTTTATCTTATTTTTTCTATTTTTTCTATTGTAATCGTTTTCTATTTGGCACTAAAATCCATCATAGAAAGGAAAACGATTCAAAGTATTCAAATAGTAAAGTTTTAAGCTTTTAAGCTTAGTTTTAAGCTTTTAAGCTTAGTTTTAAGCTTTTAAGCTTAGTTTTAAACTTTTAAGCTAAGCTTTAAGCTTTTAAGCTAAGCTTTAAGCTTTTAAGCTAAGCTTTAAACTTTTAAGCTAATCTTTTCCTCATCGATTTCTCTTAAACAATCCCTTAGCCAAGCTAACAAAAGCTTAAGAAACATTCATGTATTGATAGGTGAAACAAAAAAGGCGAAGAGCATTGACATAAGATGAAAGAAAAAGAAGAAAAAAACAATAAAGGAGGAAAATCTCGGTCAGAAGTCTCTAAGCTGACTAAGATTATGCCCAAATTGAATAAAGAAAAAAAAAACATAAACACACCGAGAAGTGATCTATCAATCAGCAAAGAGAAAAAACAATATGATGGGCACAAAAATGATGTAAACGAGGGCGGAAAAGTGTGATCAAGGCAAAAAGCTCTCAGGTTGAGCGCATCGAAAGTCATCGACTCCTACCAGCGAATTGAAATTTACAGAGTTTCAAAGGTTAGAGGTAAAAGAAGTCTTTTAAAAAAAGGATTACTCGAAGTTAGAACTTATTTGGTTGTAGCTAGAATGCGAATTCGAAATTCCCGAGTTGGGATGATAAAAATGTTTCATTTATAGGGTTCAAGTGGGGGAAGCAGATCTCTCGACAGAAATTTACACGCACATTCCGACTTATTATCAAAAGAAAAAGGAAAAGCTTTGATTTTCTATTAGCAATTTATAAAAGTAGAAAAAGAACGTTAATAATCGTCATCTTCACTGTCCTCGAGGCTTGCTGGGCCATTTTCGGGCGATGAGTGATCGTGATTGTTCTCTGAGTTTACCTAAAACAGGTTTAGAAGTTTCTATTTTTAAACCTAAAACAATCTGAAAAGGAAAAATCACAAGGTTGAGGTGGCCTAATGACATAAGCCATGTACCATACAATTTTACGTAGTATTATGACATCTTTCAGTTGATAACAAAGAAGATTAATACATGTGTCGCAATCTATAAAGTGAATGAGTGAAAAGAAGATTTCATAATACTTATCAAGCTAAAATAGAGCGAAAATCAAAATCAAAGAGGAAAGACCCGATACCTCGTTCTGTAGAACAAGACTCTTACCCACTACACCACAAGCTCACATTTTCGGACGGTGAAAGAAGCCTTAGATAGGTCCTTTTGGCCTCTAATTGTTTTGTTATTTTGTTTTTTATCAATTAAAAGGTCATAATACTGCGTAAAATCGTATTGTATATAGTTCATGTCATTTAGCCACCTCAGCCTTGTGACCTTCCCTTTTGAGTATTTACTTAAAAACTATCAAAAAAAAACGTACATGATTTTCCCGAGGACTGATCTGTTCTTGGTGATTTGGCGCCTTTCCACCGTATGGCTTCACCCAATCGTGTGTCAAACAATGCCTCGCCGTCGCTCTCTCCCCTTCATCAAATGCTAACATTGGCAACAAAAATGAAGCGAATTGTCGAGCCTGAATTGTACTTTGATTTCGATTTCGATGCTTTCATTTTACCTTTTCGAATGGCCACTCATACTTTTGTGTGAGAACTTCAACCAAAGACCAAGGTTTCAACTGCGTGATATGCATCAAGCGACCTTGCTGAAAATACTCGCATCTATAATTTTTGTTTTAAGTTTTTCTTTACCTTATTGAAGAAATCTTTCCAGTATTGACCCCGTTTGTAAACGGATGCTGGAATGCTGCCGAGCAACTCGATGATGTGAGCAAGATGATCCTCATCTCTTGAATAAGTTTCACCTTGATGTGGCTCAAAGAGATAGTCTCCTGTTGCTAATTCGAATGCCTGAAAGAAAATGATGTTAAAGTTTAAATAGCAAGAAACTAAAGTGTGTTCGATCAATTAATTAAAGGGTTAAAGTTGATCGATTTAAATTTTAATCAATTAATCGTTTTTTAAAACACATCCTCGCATTGGTCAGCTATTCAGCTAAGTTAAATTAAGGGATAAAAGGCCATGGTAAAATTTTGCGTTTATTTTTTATATTTTTTGCGCAACTCGCCATAACTTTCTTCTAAGCAAGCCAATCTTTATGATTTTGATGTCATTTTGTTGCACTTGTTGAGATCTACAAAATGACATCAAAATCATAAAGATTGGCTTACTTAGAAGAAAGTTATGGCGAATTACGCAAAAAATTTGGCGCAAAGTAGCTATTTTATAAATTTTGTCGCGAAGACGCGGAATGGTTAAAGATTGATCGATTCTTTTACGCATAAATCACATTTAGCAACTGTCTAGTTGTTTTCCGTGAATTTACTCATAAATTGTGATACTAAAGACGGGAAACTAGACTGTTTTGACACCTTCCTTAAAATAATTTGAAGATTGTGCATGAAAAGTATTATCGCATTCATTCTTCCCACCCTATATATATATTTTTTTATTTTCTCTTAATAAAGATGATTTCTATCGGTATATTCTAAAAAGATAAAATTTGAGAAAAATCAATTAATCGATAAGAAGAATCACTTTTTTGTGATCAAACGCAAATGAAAAATAATGTTTTTCTATTAAAAATTTGCATATGCATAAAATTTTGAATGTTTTCTCGACGAATATACGATCCTTTTTCTCAGAGGCGCGTTTTAGAAAACGTATTAATTGCGAGAAAGACACTTTACAAGAAACTGACCATGCATGCAGTGCTCCAAATGTCAGCTGGAGGCCCGTAACCAGCTCCAATCAAAACTTCGAGTGATCTGAAAGCTTCTTACTCTCTTAATCTTTTAAACAACTCACCGATATTGTCTTGTTTGAATGTCTTCAGTGAAATGATGATGAGTCCAGCAAGCGTTACCAAGATCGGCAAGCTTCAACAGAATGTATACACATTATTGTGCTAAGTGATCAAACCTTGACATCAATCTGACAGTTGGGATCGAAGAGATCGGGTCCAACGGGCGGCTTGGGAAGTACTGGAGGCGGTAAGCCGGCTGCTCGAGCAGCTTGTGCTGCTTGCAAGGCATCGAAAGCGTCTATAAACGATTGAATGAAAATCATTTCTGACACTTTTACCTGGTGGCACTCCGTCCATTGCTCCAGCTAATTCCCTTTCTGAGAGCGGTGTCAATGACTTTCGATCCAATGAAGCTGGACTCAATAACTAAAATTGCATTCATTACAAGAGTAATATTCATTACAAAAGTCATTACTCACATTATCCGGGACTTCTTTCTCCTCATCGCTGCTCACTTCTTCTACTTGATTGCTAACTTTTGTCGAGTTGCCATCCTAGAAAAAAAAGTTTTGTTCTTGATACTTTTTCATGCAAAATCACGCCTTGTAAAGTTAGCTCATGTCAGGAAAAGGAAAGTCAACAAGAAATCTCCAAAAATCATGCCCAAAAAAAAAGAGAAATTGATGTAAGCTGATTATTTGGTTACTCACGACAAGACCCATTTAACGGAAAGATTTTTCGGAGTTAATACGAACAAACATCACAACGAGGATCCCCATTTTTTGCAAGGGGGAAGCAAGACTTACGAGACGCCTAAAAGGGAAGTGAGGGGAGAGCGGTGATAAAGGCGATGTGAGAGCTGATGTTGATGCCGACACCACAGGCAACTCGCCCAATAGTGATGGTGGCGGCGGTGCGCCGCTTGTCCGCTGCAGCAATCGCTACAAAATTTGCACACCTTCTATTCATTTTCTCTTGTTTATAACCACTTACTACTCTATCCCATAAACAGCTAAACCTAATCGAGCATAGAGCCACAAAAATTCATCCAGAATGACGTACATGAATGATAAATGAATTTCAGGCAAGATGGAAACATTGCTTATAAAAAAAAGTTGCTCTTAAATCACCCAAAAATGTTAGAAAGCAAGAATTTAGATATTAGGCTGTTCAGAAAGTTTTTTTCGTTTATGCAAAATACCTTTGAGCTGCTTTGACTCATCTAAAAGCAAGAAAGCATATAGAGAACATTGTAAATTACCTGGTGAGTAGTTTGAATGACATGAGAGACAGCGTCTGCATCAACAGCCAATCCCTCAACATTGACTAGTTGTTGCTCGAGGAGCTCCCGTTGCTTCTTTCTCTTCTTTCGTAATCGTTTCTTCTTGTTCTTTGACATGGCACTAGCTGCCTGAAATTTTGGCTTTTTTTTTTAATGAACCAAAGATTACCTTTTCTCTGACATGTTTCGGTGCTGTGCTCACTGCTGACCCGCTCATTCGGAAATTCATCTTACTAGCCACTACCGCATGTTGAGCCATCACTTTTATCTGTAAAATTCTTTCAATTCTTTCAATTTTCTTTTCATCAAACGATAGGATTCTACAGATTACAATCTGTAGAATCCTTTGCTTTGCTTTGCTTTCCTTTCCTTTCTTTCCTTTCTTTCCTTTCCTCTCCTTTCCTCTCCTTTCCTTCCTTTCCTTTCCTTTCCTTTGCTCACCTCTTCATGTGACATCGTTACAAGAACGTTTTCCGGTTTGATATCCGTGTGTATGATTTCACATTTTTCATGAAGATAAGCAAGACCCTCAAGGACCTGAATTCATCTTAAACTTTGATTCTGTTATGAACTTTACCTGTTTGATAATCCGTCGCACTAGCTCTAATGGCAATCCGGTGTAATTGGTGCGTATAATCATTTTCAGCAGATTGCATCCAAGTACCTTTGATTTTTTGAATAGATTTTAATACTATTGCTTTTAAATACCTCAAAAACCATACAGACATGAGTGCCGTTGATTCCATTGACGTTAAACTCGTCAAGCAATTGTACGACTCGTTCCCGTCCAACGTCTCCTGCATCTGACTCTCGCACTGCCGTTAATAACTGAAATTTTAACTTCAATATCTCAATTGTTATCTTTCCTTTACCTTAATCTCATCAAGAGCAGCTTCTGTGTAGTGATCGGCTGATTTGACAATTTTCAACGCAACGAATCGCATCCCCGTTGTGTCCCAACAAAGCCATACTGTTGAGAAGTGACCCCATCCCAGTTTTCTTATCACGTGATATCTAAAAACTTTCTTTTCCAATATATATTAGCTTCATATTCTAATAAAAAGCATTTTCGACTTCCTCTTTTGTTACAAACTCATTTTCGTGTTCTTTTTAGTTCATAGCGGTCTATTACAGCAAAGTGTTGCCCCTCAGTGGGAGGGAAGAGTGACAGGCTCAGCGAACGGGTTGTATCACTTGACATACCGCGAAAAGAGAAAAGAAATATTACCCAACAAACTCAAACATTTTTCACGCAATTGCTTTCAGAAAATGTTTTTGGAGAAAAAAAATAAGCAAAGAAAGGACAAACCTTCCATTAAAGACATCTCCAATATTCACTGGATGATAGCCGCCTTTTCGGTAATCTTTTGGATCCTCTTGCTCCTCGTCGTCCGATCCCAAAACTTCTTCTTCGCGTGGCTGAAATGATTATGTTAAAAATGTTTTATTTTTGCATAAACCAAATCTTCGAACTCTTCTTGTTCAAATGGACGATCGGGGCTTTCACTTCGTCCTGAAGGAGATCGCGAGGCGTCCCCATTTTGCATGTTCACATCATCCAACTCATTTCGATCAACCTTTAACTAAAAACATTTGAAACTTGGAAATAAAATTAGTAAATTAAACATTTGCATAATGATTAGGTAATACCTTTTCTGAAAAACTGTGCGCGAGACCTTCTTGCGAAAATTCTTTCTTGTACTTTTGGGATCCTCCATTTTGCTCCGTTGGACTGTTCCTAAAAAAAAATTTTTGCTTTGTTTTTTTAAATTTCTTTGTTTATATTTGGTTTAGAATTTAAATTTAGATATTTAGTGTGTTTTAGGCAAATTTTGTGATCCCCGTACCGTAAAAAATAAGAATTCTCAGAAAGATCATCCGAATCGTCGTCTGATCCGAGTTCTTGTGAGGAAATGCTAGTGTCAGCTGACGAATCAACTTCTGGAAACTCGTCGGGAACTTGTCGATGACATTGGAAAGTAGCGGTAGCAAAAGTTGCCGTAACTTTGGTTTCTGACGCTTTTACCCGAGGAGCTGGCAGACTCACAACAAATTGATCGCTGAGTAGCTGCTTTTGCCCAAAACAGGCGGACGCTCTCCTCGAAGATTCCTCATCTGGAACCTCGATGAACACATTCCCGACAAAAGCCGCATTTTGATACTTTTCTTCTTCTTCACTCATCTTCGCTTTTTCAACGATTTGATTGAAGCATTTGTCCAATCTTTCCGTACTATCCAATTCAAGGAATTCTTCATTTGAGCTCGGCTTTTGAATTGATAAAGCACTATCACAAGAATAAGTAACAAAAATCCTGTTGTCAAAAAGAACTGATACAAAATGCGTACACTCGTCCTTTTTGAAAAGCAAATCCACTTCCGTAAAAATATTAGGGAAATCAACAGTGGCTATTAGAATGGAATCATTATCAGGTGTTGAAATAGATAGATGTTGATCATAGAAACAATTCTTTTCGAGTAGTTCCTCAACTTCTTCAGCTAACAAGCTTTCCTCGATTTCAGGGGAGTCAGGAGAATCGATAGTTTGATACCCATCAAGATTTTCATCGGTAAGACTGAAAAAAGAATGTTCAGCACTTCGATATGAAGACCCAGAAGGATGAGGATCGATAGTAAGTGGAGAAATGGTGTTTGTTGGGTCAACGAGAAGGCAATCCTCTGTAGGAGCCGGTTTTTGAAAGTATCGGCACAACCAGGCGACAAACATGATCACGAGACAGATATCATTGGGTGAAGCAAGAAATTCGAGCTCATCAAGGGAAAACGTGATTCGTCGACAATCAAAATCGAATCCCTTTCGATTAGCAAAAGGAAGAATTGATTGGAGAGATCAAGGCCTAAGTCGGACTCTCTTAGGCCCTCCGACACCCAATGAGCATCAATCGTCTTTGCTCAACGGGAGAAGCGTCAGCTGACAGCATATCCTAATACCATACGTTCATGGGCAAAAAAGATTGCGAAAAACTTGGAAAATACTCGGTGTCTGACCTCGAAGCGAGTATTTTTGGAAAGAAAGATCAACTTGGAGAGAAAAAGTTAAAAGAATCATCATAATTAAAGTGTTAGTAAGTAATTACTCGAGTAAAATTTGCATGAGTAATTTTTACTCGATTAAAAGACGTTTTTTCGTCGAGTAACTATGAGTAATCCTCTTTACACGACGAATAAATTCAATATCTTTACATTGGAAGAGAATTTCCCACCAAATCAGTTAAACGGCTGAGTATCTTTAAAAAGTGCCGTATATAATGCGGCGCTCTGATTTTTGCGCCATTTTTTTGGGGTAGGCTAGTTTCCGCAATTTTTTTTACGCAACAAGGTCATTTGCGCAACAGGGTCATTGGCGCAACTGGGTCATTTGCGCAACAGGGTCATTGGCGCAACTGGGTCATTTGCGCAACTCACCATAACTTTCTTCTAAGTCGGTCAATCTTTATGCTTTTGGTTTCATTTTGTAGATCTCAATAAGTGCAACAAAATAACACCAAAAGCATAAAGATTGGCCCACTTAGAAAAAAAGTTATGGCGAGTTGCGCAAAAAAAGTCGCGAAAACTAGCCTACCCCATTTTTTTGCAATAATTTTTGCTAAAAATACGGTAATTTTTTCCAAGTGTGCGTTTTAAAAAACGCATTACTCGCGAGGAAAACCCTCTACTCGTAATAATTATGCATCAAAATACAATTTAGAAGAGAAAACTTAAGTTTTTTTTGACTTTAGTTCAATAATTTTTAATTTTTCGTTTTAAAACTTACAGTTGTGTTGTATTTCCATTTAGTGGTGGTTCAGCTTTCTTCGCTACATTGTTGCCCTGAAAGTTTATGTATTATTGATTTCATCAAATGTGATTTAAGAAATTTCTTTCAAAAGCTTACCTTCTTTTTATTATTCTTTCGCTTTTTTTTCTTGACTAATGTCACCACTCGTTTATCATCATTTGATATCATACTGAAATTAAATTTTCATTGGTTTAAATTAAATCAAACATTCAAAAGAAAGCGAGAAAAGGAATCAGCGAGCAATCGTTTAATAGAATTTGTAAAGAAATTTGAAAAATGTCGATAATTGAGGTGGATAAGTGTTCAGAAAAAGTTGTAGTCAAAAATTTTGGTGAAAGAAGGGAAGACGCGAAGATTCTTTCGCACCTCGTAGCTCCAGGGAGATTCCTTGAAATTCCACAATCAATGTCATTTGGATGTGCATGTTTAGGGATACGGTAGCTTGTGTCCGATCTTGCCGCGACAACATTTGTCGCATCGCATTTTTCAAAGAGAAAAAACATAGATTTGCATAAAATTCCTCAAATTTCTTTTGAGATTTTTTTGGTTTCACGAAAAAAATTTTGAAAATATGACTTTTCGCTCAAAGTTCGCAAGCATCGATCATTTAGAAGCGCTCATTTGAACATGTTTATTTGTAAAAATGTTAATGAGTAAGTGTTGTGCACAAAAGCAATGAAAGACAACTGATATGACTAGAAAAATGGGCAATTATCGAGTTTTGAGCAAATCAATAGAGTGGATTGGTGGGTAGTATCCTTTTTTTTCGAAAATTCACTTTTTCTGGGGTAGCTTTTTATCCTGATCGAAAGCAAGAGCTTTTCAGTCAGCTCGAATATGTCCCACAGTATTTGAATCGGATTTGCAGCCATGTTTTTGTTGATTTGGTTCAAATCAGATAAAAACACGTTTTTTAGGGGCTACTTATAAAGGTTTCAAGGTTTATGGGTGGAACTTAACAAGTTAAACTTGATTAAACTTTGATTGTGAAGTGGATAGGCGTGACTTAATCAATTTGTTCAACCTAACGGCCCTCGCTAGGACCATGAAATGAAAAATACCAAAAAAGTGTGAAATATTTGCATTTAAACGCAAAAAACGCTTATTTTGAGTTTTTAATGCCAAAAAGTGGGGGTGGGACAAATGCGACCTTTTTTTTGCGCACCTGGACATTTGCGCACCTTTTTTTTGCTGGAAAAGGCCTAAGGGCAAGGCCGTAGAGCTTCAAAAATGTTTCCGTAGAAGGGAATCGTATGCGTAGATTCCGAATTTCGACAAATCAGACCTCGCTGACACGTCAAATTTGGGCTAAAAGGCAAAAACTACGCAACTTAACGCTTTTCCGCAGTTTTTGCCTTTTAGCCCAAATTTGACGTATCAGCGAGGTCTGATTTGTCGAAATTCGGAATCTACGCATACGATTTCCTTCTATGAAAACATTTTTGAAATATTTTCGAAGCTCTACGGCCTTGCCCTTAGGCCTTTTCCAGCAAAAAAAGGTGCGCATTTGTCCCACCCCCCAAAAAGTCGATATTTCATAATTAAATCTAGGTTAAAAAAACGTGAAATTCGTGATTAGCATAAAAAATTACCCGAGAAAAAGTGAAATTTTTGAAAAAAAGTTCCTCCCCAACTAGGATAGTACGAATTGGTGAACCCGTATTAGTGAAGTGACTTTTTCATGTAAATAGTGGTTTCAAGTTGAGTTTCGGGTTTGATTTTTGTGAAAGACGGAGGAGGAGGAGGGGGTGTCGGTATAGATGTCTTTGTGCTTTCAGTAGCCTCTTGAGATATAACTGGTTTCCTTTCGTCTATCCGAGTCTCTTCAACGTTTCCCTAAAATTTAGGTTAAAAGTTTGATCTTTACAATTCGTAATCACCAGTCGATTGATTAAATTGAGCATTGAAGGGGCGGCTGTGGTGTGAACGATCGATTGACATGTTGTGTACCCGCAGCGCTCATAAAAAAATTGTTTGTCTTCTGTGGATAAATAGATCTGAAAATTTTCATTTTTTGTAGAAAAACTACAGTAGATTCTTTTCTATATCTTTTCCTTTGACAAAACCGTTCGTTTTCTTTTACTAACCTCTGTGTATCCAAATGAGCGAATAAAATCTTCAAGCTGTATCATCAAAAACTTCCCGAGGCCTTTTCCTAAACATTTTTTGTCATTCTAGCTCAATAATTCGATAAAATAAAAAAGTTGCTAAACCAAATTTGCTTGAAAATGCTTTAGTTAGGAAATCGTCGAAATTTGCGAAAAAATTTTCATTTTTATTTCTCACCTCTGTCATTTTTGTCCACAATCACTGATTCGATCCAACAAGCGCCCTTCTTATTTGGTAAAGGGCAAAGACGAGCGTGTCCAATCAGTTTTTCGATCTACATAGGATATTTGTAGAAATACATATTTTTGTCGTTTACCTCTCCGGATCGGTCGATTAAAAGAAATGCCATTGGTGGCTCGGACCGACATGATTTTTCTTGCGAGTGCATCCTTGACCCTTCGCTTTTTGGCCAATCCTAAATTTTTTTATATACAGTTGATCCCTCTAAACTGCTTTACCTGATTTAAAAGTTGAATGCACGCCAAATTCAAATCCTGTCTTTTGATAAGGGGTAGCAAAATAAGATTTTCCATTAGAAATGGCAGTTTGCACAACAATAAGACGATAAGATACTTGAAGTTTTATTTAAGAAGTCATTTAAATTAGTCAAAAAAGTTTAACCGCCTCTGCTTTTTTAAAAAGAACTTTTCGCTTTACAACACCAAATGTTTTCTAAACGCGCTCATACTGTTGACAGATGTCTAATGTTCTAGCTTGTCTTCCGTCCAATTTTTCACTCTGTCTTCACTGATTTCAAAGGTTTCTATATTTTTTGAATTCCAGGGTGAACATCCGCCTGATTGGGTGAAGAAATGTTGATCTTCAGCTTGCTACGCTCTACAAATTACAATCGTAAGTTCTTTAATTTCAGCGCAATCTAGAAAAAGCGTTTATTGGTATTTAACAGTGTCTGATCTTTTGATTTAGAAGTTCTGTCCACTGCAGCAAAACTCGAGTCGAATCTTTCGCTTCGAGGAAAATTTCTGCAACAGGCACGATGCCTTGCGGTGCCTGGAGGGAAAGCTGTTTTCAAGCGCGATAAGCCACATCTGAATGTTGGAACGATTGGACATGTTGATCACGGAAAAACCACTCTCACTTCAGCTATCACAAAAGGTGCTTTTTAAAAGTTAATATCTTCATTTTACATGTTCTTCAGTGCTTGCTGCACAGAAAGGCGCTAAATTCCGTAAATATGAGGATATCGACAATGCACCTGAAGAAAAGGCTCGAGGTATCCTAGCAAATTTTCATATTTTGCATAAAGTTTAGGGATCACGATCAATGCTTTCCATCTCGAGTACGAGACAGCAAAAAGACATTATGCTCACATTGATTGCCCTGGACATGCCGATTACATCAAGAACATGATCACTGGAGCCGCTCAAATGGAGGGAGCCATCTTGGTAGTTGCGGCAACGGATGGAGCAATGCCACAGGTTTCAATTCAAGAAATTTTTTAATATTCCTAAACTTTAGACCCGCGAGCACTTGCTTCTTGCAAAACAAGTTGGAATTCCACTTCAAAATGTTGTTGTCTTTTTGAACAAGGTTGGTTTAATTTTAATTTTAAATGTTGCTTGGATACTTTGCTTAAATTTGTTTTGTTTAGATTGATGAAGTCCCCGATAAAGAAACACGAGAGCTTGTTGAAATGGAAATTCGAGAACTTCTGAACGAGTTTAAATATCCCGGTGATACAATCAAGGTCAGTTTGTCGGACGTCATGAAGTCTACATTTCATTATGCTTAGGTGATTCCTGGGTCGGCTCTTTCAGCATTGGAAGGGAAGAATCCGGATATTGGAGAAGCGGCCGTGAAACAATTGCTCAGTGTTTTGGACGATGACTTTGTGATCCCTGACCGCAACAGCAACGAGGAGCCGATGTTTGCTGCTGAACATGTTTATTCAATCAAAGGTGTGTTTTGCTGTGTTGATTTACTATCTAATTTTAGGTCGTGGGACCGTGATCACCGGAAAATTGGAGCGAGGTACTTTGAAGCGAGGAGACAAGATTGAAATCGTTGGTTGTGATCGTGAAAACCTTACTTCTGTAATATCCGGTGAGTTTTTCTTTTTGTCGTTTTTTGCTAATAGCAGATGTTCATGTTCTACTAAAAACACCATATATTTAGGATTGGAATCTTTCCATAAAACAGTCGAGCAAGCCTTCCCTGGAGACCAACTTGGAGTTCTTTTGAGAGGACTCGGCCCAAAGGTCAAATTCAATTTTTTTAAAACTTTTAAACGAAGTTACTTTTAGGATGTTCGACGTGGATGCTGCCTGTTGCCTGCTGGTCATAAGCACAAGCCCACCGACAAAGTCAAAGCACAAGTATGTTATTCACAGAATTAAGCGACTAGCATCCTTCAGCATTTATACCTACATTTATTGTTTAGCTATATGTTTTGAAGTCATCGGAAGGTGGAGGAAAGCTCCCAATTGCAAATTACTTCAACGAACACTTATTCTCACTCACTTGGGACACTGGCGCTTTGGTCAAAATTATTGGCAAAGATTTTATTATGCCAGGAGAAAGCGGAGAGTACGTATTCTTTACATATTAAACATTTTTAATTCTAGGGTGGAACTTATGCTTAACAACAAGATGTTTATCGAACCCCAACAGCGCTTTACGATTCGTCAGGTTGCTATGAAAACACAAGCTGTAATTTCTTTATTTAGGGATCAACCACTATTGGCACGGGAGTGTTTACAGATGTTCTTCCATCTCAGACTACTGAAGAAAAAGTAAGTGTGGCATTTTTTAAGTTTAAAGTTTTTAGTGCACTAGCGTTTTTGATGCCATCCTATTTAGGATGCAAAGGCACGTAGAAAGCTGATGAAGGCCGAAGCTGAGCGACTTGGCTTCAATCCATATGGTGAAGGACAAGAGCGCCGTCTCAAACTCGACCTAACGAGTGCACCAAAGGACAACCCTATGGCCAAGGCTTTTGCTGTTGAAGGTCAACAATAGATCTCATAAAATTGAGTTAAACAATTATCGAATGTGTTTGTTTGTTCCTAAAATCTAAAATCCTAAAATTGATGATTTTAGTTTAACACTTTAGCATTGGTAAATTATTTGTTTTCCTATCTAGATTTGATTGTTTAGTTATAGATTAGTGCTTGTGTTGTTACTATTGTTGTTTTCGTTGAAAAACAAAAATAAATCGTTCAAGATTTCTCATTCTTGTAAAAATGCACGTGAACAAAACAAAATGCGAAACAGGTGAAAGCGGTTGGTTAGTCGAATTGATTTGAGTACGGAGTTTCAAGGTCATGCGAACCCCCTCATTGATTTCAATACATATTCATTTTTACGTTTTTCAGTAGTTGTTTGTTTAAGATTTTTGGTAGGTGTTGATTTTGCCAAGCAGGGTATTTTTCAGTAAATCGGAGGATTAAATTTCACCGACTATAGATAGGAGAAGGATTTTTCGATCTTTCAAACGAAACACCTGTGGTTTCAGCTTTTATTTTTTATAGATCATGTACATAGTTTTCTTTAAAATTCACGATTTTCTCATCGTACATTAACATGTCTATAACTATTTTTGAACCAAATGCCAAATGCTCAAGATTTCCAAATGTATCGTGACTCATTGCCCTCAACAGGGATTAAAAATCTAAAACCGGTGGATTCAAATCAAACATCCCATTAGCGGTAATCCTCGGCGGTGGCCCTTGACGAACGAAAACATGATTGAGATGAGATCGACAGTGAGGTGAGGGGTTGTAATAAGGGGAAGGGGAGGGAGAATTGCGCAAAGTGTGCATAAATCGTCGAGAGTCGACCGGTCAGCTGCTATTTTTCCTTTTTTTTCTTCATCTCCTCATTTTCACAGCACCAACCACACTATTATCGTGTGGTTTTTTTTGAAGAAATCAAACGTTGATTTGTCTCAATCTTTGAACTCTATTTTTGTACTATTTTACTCTGAATCAGCTTTTTTGTATATGTTACATCCGATTAAGAATTTATCGAATCAATTGTGTAAAAGTCTGAAATTCGATTAAGAATACATTTCAAATAGGACGTCCGAATAAGAATAGATTCTTAAACGGACCTAACATATACCTATCTTCCTTATTTTGACCTTCTCCCATTGAAATCCTTATTTAAACTCTAGCTTCCCGCGAAAATTTTCGAGCGGCAACTCTAATCTGTTTTGGCATTTCGATCGATTGACTGACGATTTTTGTGGACAGGTTCCGGAGGAGAAATTAGCCCCCATTTCCTCTTTTCACCGCACCACATGCAGCCCCACTCTTTCATTTGTAAATAGAAAAAGTTAGACAGTTTTTGCTAGTTTTCATTTTTTTTACGGTTTACCTGCGACACCAATTACTATATACCGTAAATTGTCTGCAAAAGTTTCTTTAAACCTCACAATTTTTCTATCTACTACTTTGCTTTTTTCAATACTTTGGGTCTCTTACTTGGAAGAAACCAACTCTTTAAAGAATCGAGAGAAAAGGTGAAAATTGTGTGTGGCAGAAGGCTAGCAAAACGTAATTAGCTGAGGAGGCGCCGAGGGAGTGGCACGTTTTTGGGAGGCGAGAAGGGAAAGGAGGTGGAATGGGATGGACGGGAGAGGATGGGGTACATCCAACGACTTCTGACTTTCAATTTCATCCCCTTTCTCAACCACCACATCTCATCTAGAATAGGTCGTCTTTTATCCCATTGTTCTCATCTATTCAATAACTCAGAAAATACCATCCAAGCCTTTTTTCCTTGCTGAGAAATTTGAAAGCTGCTTTTTGAGTCACTTTTATATTGGCCTTTCCTTTTTAGCTTTATAAGCATAACAATCATTTCAATAGTTTTCTACATTGTTCAAACAAATTAGGGCAACGTACTAGTGCGTAGAATGCAATCTTCTGGAGTCACGCTAAGGAGAAAAAGTTTGAGAGAAGAAAAAAAAAGACGGTGGACCCTGTTGGTGGGAGGAGTGGACCCTGGGGAGTTCTTTTTTTGGGAGGAACTCTTCGATTCATCTCACACCTCTCCATTCAACCATCTCGAGTACGAGAACTTCATTTCTAGTTTCTTTTCTTTTCTAGCCAATTTCCTATTATTTTCATAAACGGCTCTAACTTGAAAATTCTTGTTTTAGTCATAAGCAAATGGTAAAGTTGATTCCGAAATGCAAGAAATATAGTTGAAATTTTAGGCTCATTTCCTCAAATACTTAATATGATAAAAATGAGTGCGTAAATGTGCTTTTCCCCGATTGTATTCGGCTACAAATTTAGCTACATTCAATCGGATTGACACCGAGTCTAATCGCTGAAATATCCTCACTCTTTCCTTTTCCCGACAAACCGAGATTTGTACAAAAAAAGGCTTAACAATATTCTACTCTCAAGCAGCTCATCGGTTTGCCAAAACATTTAAAGATTTACTGCTATCTTCTCAGAATATTTGTTTTCCCACTAGGATCTTCGTTGAATATCGGAAAACGTATGAATAGCCAACGAGGCTTTTCCTCTTTTTCGCCACAAGGAACGCGTCTTCTGGTCTCTCCAAAATTATCCTTTATTGTTTGTTGCAATTTTTTAAACACTAATTTATTAGCTTTTGTGTATAGTTTTGATTTTGGCTCTTTCCTATTACTAGATATCTTAAAAAATCGGGTACTTTAACGGTAAAACGGATACCTTAAGGAAGTGGTGATGCCCGACAATGAGTCCTTGACAACTTACTTTCCCGCGACAATTCTTCCAACAACAACATTAGCCGAATGCCCAAACAAAGTCCAATCCGACTCTTTCGCAAGTGCTGACTTTTTTCTAATCTTGGCTTGATCAGGGCTTGATCATTTTTGAGCATTGCTCTCGTCGAATGTCGACCTTTGAACATTTTTGTCGCATTGCTCCCAGAAAGCACTTGTCCAAAGCACTTAAAAGTTGGTTGGTGAATCGCTATCTAAGGTACCCGTTACCCGTTCAAAAAAACCCGTTTATTTTTAAGGTACCCGATTTTTGAAGTATCTATGAATAGGAAAGAACCTTAATTTTAGATGAGAATAGGCCATGGTCTCAATTTATTACTGGTGCTGACATTTTCGCTTGAAGTTGAGTCAAAGGGCGGACGAGGCACAGGACGCGGAAGATCTCGGTCATTTAGAGTCACTCAAAAACGAATGATCAAAAGGTAACAGCTAGGAGTACATGAAATTATTGAACAACTTTTAAAAGCTTTTAAATTTCATAAAGTTTTCAGAACAGCAAAGAGTGGCTCAATCGAAAGGACACAGGTTTTTCGCTCAGCTTTACTTGGAGCCGGTGCTGGGTACCTTGTGGCTAGGTTGGTGGAAAGAAAATCAAAATTTTCATCAGAAAACATCGAAATCAATGTTTCAAAGGTACATAATTTTAGCAAAGGCCGCTTCTACATTCAAAATCCGAGAGATCCGATTCTGTGAGTCAATGAAATGATTGTGATGAAAACGTTTTGCTAATCTAGATTTGAAGAAAGGAAGTTTTATTGGGATTCACAATATTATCCGATTAATGATACGCTTCCCGTTCAATGCGTGAATCCGATCGATCCACAAGTGAGGCAAAGAATAAGTACAAATCAATTCTATAGAATTTATATTTTAAAGTCAAACAAAATCTAACTTTAAAAATATAATTAATTTTTTTGTAATTTGAGGATCCACAATTGGGAAGGATTTACTTCTCAAATGAGAGCCATGCTCGTGAGATCGTTTGGGGATGCGAGGGTGGAGCTGAGTGTTGTGGATATGATTGTTGTATGGATGATGGCATCTTTTCATCGATACTGTAAGTGTTTCAAAGAAAAAAGAATATTTTTGAGTATAAAAAGAATATTTTTTGAGTATCAGGAAAGTGTCTAGCTTTTAGAAAATGGTTTTCATAAAGTCTAGACTTTCAAAAGCCATCGTATCATTTGCAAAGCTCAGTAATCAGTAATAGTAATACCACTTATACCCGACCGTTGCCGACTTGAGCGCAATGCCCGCCTGGTCGCAACGAGTAAGAGGGTCGCGGTGGTTTGCGTTGAAGGCTTTGGACGTGGGTCCAGCTGGAGCTTCCATCGGTGCAGATCTTGGTGGTAGTAGCAAATATTCAAGCGAGATCCTTGAAGACTGAAGTGGGGAAGGGTTCCACGTGAACAGCAGTTGAATGTGGGTCAGTCGATCCTAAGATACTGACGAAAGTCTTGTATCACTGAGAGCGGGAAGTCTCTTCTCTCTCGGCAATCGAAAGGGAAACGGGTTAATATTCCCGTACCCGGATACGGAGATTTGTACTCTTCTGAGTGCATCGGGCGGTAACGCAAATGAACTCGGTGACACCTAGCTAGGCCCGAGCCAGAGTTCTCTTCTCTGGTTAAGGAACGGACTCGCTGGAAACGGTTCAGCCGAAGATAGCGACGTTGTTTCCGTAAAGCGTCACGGTTTCTGTGGCGAAGATGCGAAGAAAACTGAAGATGAAATTAAGATAATTTTTCAAAATTCGTACATTTTAGAGCATTTTATTAACCTAACTCTAATCTGATCTAAAAGAGTCCCAATTTCTGGACTATTACTTTGCTGACTAATGAAATGGCGTAAAGAAAAAGAAAAGCAACAAAGTTATCTTCTAGTCGATTGGCCTTTGTGATTGTGCTGCTAGCGTTGATCGGTCTTCTTTTGATAGAATGTATCCGATGGATGATTTATTGTATCGCCCAATTCCGAACAAAGAACTCTTTCAATCCGGGTGAGTTTTTACCAAAAACTCTGCATCAATTTCAAATTTAGTTTCAACTCATATTTGAAAACAATTTCTCTTCAAAAATTCTTCAGTTTTTCCTTGATGCAGAGTTGATGTTGAAATTTTCCGATTTTCCCTCTTATCCTTTTTCAGTGCCTTTACTTTGATTGATTTTGTGATCGCCAGATTTCACGGGTTTTCTTCAATTGCCAAACTCACTTATATTTTTGTCCAATTTTCTATGATCTCGGACAATAAATCTCGTTTTTCTGTATTTGTTCCCGTACACAGATCAGTATAAAGAAAAGAAAACACAATGAGCAATGGCAAAATATTTTTTTTAGCAAGATGAGCTTTCTATTAGGTACATGCATAAGAAATGCGGATTTCAACATTTTCATAAATTTCCAACGATAGAAACCTGATATCGATGAATGTTATAAACTAGGTTATAAACTATGCTATAAACTATGTTATAAACGTGTTATAAACGTATTATAAATGATGAATGTTATAAACTATTTGAAAGTTGTAAATCTCCTCTACAAAATAGGCCAAAACGTGTTTCAATTGATCGAAGCATTGAAGAAATCTCGAGGGCGAAATGCGAGTGACCAAAAAAGGAATCGAGTCACTTTCGGGACAAGTTTAGTGTGGTCAAAATAGAGTTAGCTTCCCAAGATTGAAGATTTTTAAAAAAAGGATAACTATATATCACTTCATTAAAAAAGTCTAACGGAAATGCATTTACAGAAATTTAGATAGAGCGTAAGTTCAAAACTCTCAAAATTGTCAAAAAACCGGCTTTTTCACAAAAAAGAAAAATTATTGTAAAAATAAAGTTTTACCATGAAATGATCCGAACTCTTAATTATTTTGAATGATATTTGAAGGGCGCTCATTTTCCACTATATAGTCAAAACCGAACTCTTGTGAAAGTGGGGTTTTCAAAAAGTACCCTTTTTTGGTCACTCGCATTTCGCCCTCGAAATTTCTTCAATGCTTCGATCAATTGAAACACGTTTTAGCCTATTTTGTAAAGGAGATTTACAACTTTCAAATAGTTTTTAACATTCATCCTATTTTGTAAAGGAGATTTACAACTTTCAAATAGTTTTTAACATTCATCGTTTATAACACGTTTATAACACGTTTATAACATAGTTTATAACCTAGTTTATAACATAGTTTATAACCTAGTTTATGAAAATGTTGAAATCCGCATTTTTTATGCATGTACCTAATATACACTACTGGACAATGAAATATCATATTTGAAAAAAGATCGTCACTTTCGCGCCTCTATAACTCCCTTGTCTTTACAGTATTTCTAAATATTAATATTACCATTGTGTAGCCCTTGAAAAGAGCTTTCAGAAAAGGTAAACACTAATAGTTTAAACTCAAAGACAAGGGAGTTACAGACGCGCGAAAGTGACGATCGTTTTTCAAATATCATATTTCATTCTCCAGTACTGTAAGTCAAAAAATTTCAAGACTTTTAAAATAAAATGAAAAGAAAAGAAAACAGGATAAGGAATTATATAAATAACCATAAAATTTAGTGCTTTAAAAGGTATAAAGTCAATTTTTGCTTACAATTAAATATGCTTCGATTGGTTCGGTCTGAACTAGGCCAAACTGATTGTTTTTTTGTCAGTCAGTCAGTTTTTGTGAGTTAATTTCCATTTTCCCCGCCCCGGACTAGTGTTACAACAATTTAAGCTAACTTAAATTGATTTCGAATAACGTTTTTTTGTATCGAATAACGCTTTTTTTGCAAAGTGTATATTTCTTTATATGCCTAATATTTTAGAAATCACATGTAAATGAGATTCATTTACGCAACTAATCCACTTTTGACGAGACGCCCACAGAGAGGTCTGTTTTTGTAATTATTTCGATTTTTCGATTTTCCCGATTAATTTTTTAGATTTAACTTTATTTTTTGTAACTTTTAAAATAGATAATAAATTTCATTGACTGAATCATCCCACCTCGATCATAGGGCCCGTTTTCCCAATGTCACAAGATTGGAAAAAGATGGGCGAGGCTCTATGGATTTGGTCATAAATTGTTAAGTTTTTAAGTGTTTGAGCTTTTGAGGGGAACTGGGGAGGTGCGGTGAGAAATGATTCCTCCGCCCTCCCGCCGTCCCCCTCGACCCTCTATGATCCTCTATCTTTCCCATTTCTTTATCCATTTCCTCATTGGATCCCCCTTTACGGTTGGGACTTTGGCAAATAGCTGCTTTTCTGCTTTGCTTTTTTCAGTACCCTCAAAAGTTTAACTGTTTTTCGAAATTTGAATCGTTAAACCTGTAATTTTACTTTTAAACTATTAGTAACTTTTGAAAGACTATTTTAGCTCTTATTTTAGCTCTATTAGACTTTTTTAAAGCCTACAATAACTAACTAGACAATTCTTTAGACAACCAACGAGACAATTCTGTTTCTTCATTAGAAATTCTTTAGATTGCATCGTCTAGAGTTGCTTAAGTTTCGTTTTTCTCGAAAATTTACGTCTCCTCTTTATCTTTGTTGCTCGTGATTTATAGCTTGTCTTGTGCGTTTTGATATCTGAACGTGTGCCTCACCGTGGGGTGAGTGATGTTTTTGAGGAAAAGAGGCACCTGCTTGATCAACGCTTTTCGTGTGCCCGCTTGTTGTTCATCGTTTTCATCACTTCTTCGGCTTTTCAAGTTCCCGAAAATTTTTTCCAGACATTTCGCAGTCTAGTATTTGTGTGTGTATGTGATTATTGCCTCACTCAATGAACGACCACCCGGTAGCTCTAGCAGTAAGCCCCTCAAGCCGTTTCGCCTTTTCCGTATCATTTTACAGCCGTCTCTCCGCCCTGCCGCACTCAAAAGTAGCTGACGGCTGGGGTGGAGTGAGCGCGAGAGGTTTTGCGACGTTTCGACTCTCCTTTTTTCGGAGCCCTACTAGCCTTGCTCCTCCGAAAACATCGACTTTCATCTTATTTTCAATTTGCACTTCACCCAGCCTCTCAAGGGAAAAAAAATAGAACGACTATCTTTCTCATTGCAATTTTTATAGATTAACTCTCTAGAATTTCTTTTCTAAATCTTTGCACTCAGGCCTTTGCCTACACGGTGTCTTGAAATGTTCAAGAATTAGTCAAATAAGCCAGCCCATCTCGCAAATAGCATAAAATGTGGCGGCAAAGGGATGTCCGGGTAATTCGACACCAGTTCATCTCTTACAACATGTCTCGAAAGCGACTCGAAATTGTATCTTCTGCTTCTTCTTCTTCTGGGGGGAAGATCTCCCCCGATTTTTCGTCCTATCCAAGGTATCCAAAGCGGTCGCATGTCATCTCGCCTCCCGGCGACCTGGCGACGTTTTACACTTTTGTGTCTCCTTTCACTCCGTGAGAACTGAGGCCACTCGTCACGCTCGGCTCAAAACGCGGAACAGCCTCTGCTCCTCAGTCCCCGTCTTCTTCTTCTTCTTCTTCCTTTTCTTTCTTTTCTCTATTCCCAGCTCAAGCACATTTTTCGCGATTCGACCACTGCTTTTGCTTTTGTGTGGTCTCGTTAAAACCAATTGTACAACTAGATTTATGCCTTCTGTTCTCCATTTATCATTCACCCTTTCGCACACTTCACTCTCTAACTTTCAGTTTAGATTCAGTGCATTAAAGCTGTGACATGTCTTTTGTTTTTATTTTCATCGTAAACACGCTACCAAAAAAAAGAGAAAAATGCTATAGTTCATGAAGTTCAAAAGGAAATGAGGGCAGAAAAATTCGCGTTCGATAGCGCAATCTAGCGGTTCACGCGACAAATTAGCGTGTTGCATTTTTGAAGCATAATTGGGGCACGGGGCATCATCTTGCTCTTCTCTATTCCTTTTCTCTCGATCTCTTCACTTCCCAGAGGATCTGATTTGGCTGCGAGGAAATTGCACGCACTCTCGTCTTCTTATTCCTTTCTTAATTATCATGTAGAATTTTTTCTAGAATAAATTCAAATCCCATAAATCCTTAGTTGCTGACAATGTGTTGCACCTTTTTTTGGTAATCTTATGTTTGAAGTGTATTTCTGTCTCTCTCCGTTTCTCATTTCTTCAATTCTTCTCCGAAATCGGAGACGCACATCCCTGTCTATTTTCTTTGCTTATGATACAAGCTATATGAAAGAAGTGCTACATAAGTAAAGACTTCAATAGAAAAGATGCAAGAGTTGAGTGTCTGACAGGGCTTTTCCTCTAACTGAGTGCGGGAGGAGAAAAGTTCGAAGTGGCAATTCTCCGCCGAAATCGGAGACGCACATCTCTCCATCCCTCACCCCCTCGTCGATCAGAAGACAGAAGAAAAGCCAAAAATGCAGAAAAAAAGGATAGCAAAAGGCGCAAAAAGCACACCTTTTCGTGCCCTCAATGCGCATTTCCTTGTCTCAAACACATACACAAAACGATGGAAATAAAGGTAGCTCTTTTTTCGATATCTGATTTTCATCCCGGTTCATCCCAGGCCCACATTTTTCTTAGAATTCGATTTTTTTTCTCCTTTTCTACTCATTTTCTACTCATTTTGATCTCATAATAATAAATATTTAGTAGCAAAGAGCGACGCTTTCAATAGGAGAAATAGAAAGACTTTTTTTTTTGAGCTCACTCCAAAAAAGAAAACTCTCTTCTATTCAGCCCACTTTTATCGTTTGATTCATTTCGTTTTGTGTGACCCTGAATGAGTTCTTTGAATTCAAAGCTTTCTTCATTCCTCCAAAATTTCTTCCTTAGCCTTTAAAGCTTGCCAATCTGAGGCTAGTCTTTTTTTTTTGAAAGTCTTAAATCGATTTCTTTTTGCATTCAGCTTTCTTTCTACATTCAGCTACTTTTTCCTGGTGACGCTTATCGCTTTCCATTTCTAAAAATGGACCCAAATTGCGAGGTCTTTTCAAAAAAAAAAAAAAAAACGAGACCCTTTCCCCTATGAGAGATTTATTGGATCACAAATTTTGTTTTAAAGTTGTTTCTTGTTTTATATCCTTGGAAAATGTTTGTAATCAGAACTCAAGCATGGAAAACATTAAAATTCAGCTATTTTTGGAGATCATGAATTAAGAGAATGTCCCTTTGAGAAACAGGGAGGGAATGGAAGGTTAGATGAGAGAAAAGAAAAGAGAAGCGGCCGCTTAGTCCCCTTCAATGAGCGCTTTTGAATCGCTGAGTGCTGTGTGGATAATGTATGACGGAGCACCGAGAAGGGAAGAAACCCTTCTTTTTTTTTTCATCAAAATAGACTTCCCTTATCACTTCCACATTCGGTCTATCTACTTCTCAAAAATTATAATTATTAGATTGTGTTAGAACTCTTTCAAATCTCGCCTATACTTGTAACTTGTACAGGTGAGATTTTACACTTAAGAATACCGATTGTTGATGTAATTGAAACAGCAATTTGATGTAGAACTTGATAATCTGAACAAGAAAAAGAAAAGAGTGATCTAAAGTCTTTGAGTGTGAGTCTAAAATGTAAAATGTAAAACTATTTTTGAGTGTAGATCTGCTTGCCAGTTGTTGTATGTATATGTTGTGTCTGGTTTAGATTTTCGTCCGATTTAGATTCAATCGCTGAGTGCTGTGTTCAATCTAAATCGGACGTCCTATTTAGATTGAACTTATCGCGGACGTCCGATTTAGATTACAGTCTATATCGGACGTCCGATTTAGATTCAATCTAAATCTTATATAGATTGAACAATAATATAAACATGCTTAATATATGTTCTTAAGCGTTTTCTGTAGTTTTCTGCATTTTTCAAAGGTCTTTTATTGATTACAGTCTATATCGGACGTCCGATACAGATCGAACAATAATAAACGTGCTTAACATATGTTCTTAAGCGTTTTCTTTTCATAGTTGGGTTTTCTTTTCAGAAAAAGACAGTAACAGACCTTTGAAAAATGCAGAAAACTACAGAAAACGCTTAAGAACATATATTAAGCATGTTTATATTATTGTTCAATCTATATAAGATTTAGATTGAATCTAAATCGGACGTCCGATATAGACTGTCATCTAAATCGGACGTCCGATATCGACTGTCATCTAAATCGGACGTCTGCGATAAGTTCAATCTAAATCGGACACAACATATATATATGTATTTGTTTTCTTAATATTCTTGATGTCGTTCATAAAAATTGATTCGTTTATGAAATTGATTTCTCAATTTATTTAAATAAACGAAAATTAAGGGAAATAGAAAGAGATTTAAATAGATTTATATTCGGAAATCTTTTTCAAACAAAAAAGTTTGAAAACAAATTTGACCAAAGAGACCAAATGCAGTGAAATTTGCGGACAATTAGGCCTACGGGAAAAGGTCCGCACTTTAGAAAACACTTAGGTTAACAAATAAATAATCTGAGAATGATTTAAAACAAGTATTATGTTCCCAACACCACTATTTTCCCATCCAAATTAACCAGTGAATGTTTATAAACAAATTTTTCGGTTCTTTGTTGGTAGGACTCACAAATACCACTCTATTTCTTATCTGATAGACTTTTGAGATCAATAATGTGAATGGTTTCAACTTTTTTTTACACAACTTTTAAGAAAATAGGTGTGACGAGGGAATTCTTTGAGGGCTAACGATTGAAGGGTCTAGAAGTGGTCCCTAGCGGCACCTTTCTCCCCGTTTTACATCCTTTTTCATCTATTATTCTTCAAAACCGAATTTACGAACTAATACAAAGACCAACTCTATGGATTCTCGAGAATTTCACCTCTCTATCCCACTTTTTTTTTCGTCATCCACCTCTTTGAAATGTTATCGATAAAGTACTTGTCCCAAGATGTCCCAAGATGAACCCCTTGTCCTCCCCATTTTTCTTCTCATCGTCTAGAAATCCCCCCTCCGATCAGCATCCGTTGACTCGATTTACCGCCCGAAGATACTCCTCCTTTCCTTTCGAAATTCCTCTCTTTTTATCTATCAATGAACTCAACTAGTCGCCATTTTTTTTTCGCCTAACACTTTCGCACAACTTTCACATCTTTGCTTTTGTTAGGATCTCCGTTTTTGACTAATCCGCTCAATACTCGGCCTATTCATGATGCTTTCGAAGAGATTTCGCACAAAATCTCAACTCGGATGATTTTTGCGTAGAGGAATCGGCTTCTATTCATCGAATTATTCCTGGTTTTCTTTGGTCAACGAATTGAGAGAAAGAATGGATTATGGATCTAAGAGGGTTTGTTGGGGTGAGGCTTCTCTCGCTCGCCATCGCTCGTTCCTTTCCTCTTCCTTCGATCGGAGGACCACCGCTTCTCCTCCGATGCACATTCTCCCATTCACTAATGAATAGATTAGTTTTTTTTTGTTTGAATTGATTTTTCTCTATTCTCAAAATATGACTCTTTCCGGAAGAAAATCAAACACTGAAAGCCTTTATAAAGCCTTTAAAGTACACTACTGGACAATGAAATATCATAATTGAAAAAAGATCGTCACTTTTGCGCGTCTATAACTCCCTTGTCTTTACCGTATTTCTAAATATTAATATTACCATTGTGTAGCCCTTGAAAAGAGCTTTCAGAAAATGCATAACACTAATAGTTTAAACTTAAAGATAATGGAGTTACCGACACGCGAAAGTGACGGACGTTTTTCAAATATCATATTTCATTGTCCAGTACTGTATTTTAAAGGCTTTATAAAGGCTTTCAGTGTTTGATTTTCTTCGGGAAAGAGTCATATTTTGAGAGTGTACTTCCAGCTAGATTAAAGCCAATCTATTGGGTTGGAAAGAAAGTTCTCGGAAAAAGTTTGCACAGAGATTTCTCAAAAACCAAGCCATAAATTCTTCCCAGATTTTTTCATAAACTTGACAATATTTCGAAAAGTTTTTGACAAAAAAAATAAGAGATTTCTTCAGCTGAAATGACTTGGTCACTTTTTGAGTGAGCAGCCTTTAGACAAGTTTTTAATGGGTTAATGGATAGGCAATGGGTTCCACTCAAAACCTAAAAACAAGTACTTAAAATAGGGAAAGTTTTGTGATAAAAACAGATTTGATCTAATGCTTTTAACTTTTCAGTATGACCTAACAAACATTCAGCGCCAAGAAGATGACATCAAAAAATTATTTTCTTGAAATACAGCTTCTCTGTAAAAAATTTTTGGCCAAAAATAGAGATTATAGAGCGTATTGCTGATTTATGCTACCTTTATCTCATAAGGGATCGTTTTTCTGGTTCAAAAATTGAGCTGAATTTAAACTTGGAAAATCTCAAAAATCTAAGTTTTCAAAAATCTCTAAAATTTTATGGGAAAGCTGTACTCATTTTTTTACCACAAATTTATTACCATTAACCCAGGATTTTCCCCCGGGGAGCTTGCTGGTTATAAGAACACTTATAACCAGGCTTTGAAATTAATTTCTTGGAATCGACTTGTAAATAATAGAACAAAAATGTTCTTGATATTCGTGAATTCGTTTTTTAAGAAATTTGAAAATCAAACTTTTTCCGAGAACTTTCTTTCCAATCTAATATTAATTTAATCTATTATTAATTTAATATTTATTTAGTAACAAAAGTAATGTGTAGATGATTTATAAAGGTTTAGAAGTTAAGTAAAACCTGAATGGTGGGCACCCATGGATTGTGCTGAAGACGGAGTACCGATTTAGAAGAAAAGAGATCAAGGGCGCGATTATAAAACTAGATCTTTGACAAACCACTGAATTTTGGAGTCTGGATTTGATTGGAGAATCCCGAGAGACATTCGCCATTACAGCTATTTCACCTCGAGAAACTGCGTAAACTTAGAATTCGATTTTATTTATGATTTTTCTTTTTTTAAATGGCTTTTAACGAGTGCTTGTTTACGTGGACTCTGTTTTGTTTCAATTTGTCTCAATGAACTCTCTTTCCAACCTAATAGAAGCTCTTTCCAATCTAATAGAAGCTCTCCCCAACCTAATAGAAGATCTTTCCAACCTAGTAGAAGCTCTTTCCAATCTAATAGAAGCTCTCCCCAACCTAATAGAAGCTCTTTCCAATCTAATAGAAGCTCTCCCCAACCTAATAGAAGCTCTTTCCAATCTAATAGAAGCTCTCCCCAACCTAATAGAAGCTCTTTCCAATCTAATAGAAGCTCTCCCCAACCTAATAGAAGCTCTTTCCAATCTAATAGAAGCTCTCCCCAACCTAATAGAAGCTCTTTCCAATCTAATAGAAGCTCTCCCCAACCTAATAGAAGCTCTTTCCAATCTAATAGAAGCTCTCCCCAACCTAATAGAAGCTCTTTCCAACCTAATAGAAGCTCTCCCCAACCTAATAGAAGATCTTTCCAACCATTTATCCATAAATTTCACTTCTGATGTTTTTTAAGTAAGCTTTTGCGTGTTTACAAAGTATTAATCCCGCCTCTTTTTAAGCCTTCAAGCCTTCCGCTTTTTTTCCCCGACAACAGCAAATAGAAACTAATAAATTGAGGCCATATGGCTATGGGAATTTCTTTTTTTGAATTAATGACTTTAACATTGATCCAAACTCTTTCCAATCATCATTTTCTGGCCGCTTTTTTTTGTTGTTATGAAAAGTGTCCCTGTCTTTGTTGCCCTCAACTTTTCCCCTTCTCCATCTCCATTCTCTCACTTTTTTTGCGCTCTTTCATCCTTCACTACCCGCTCACCCCCACTTTTACCCATTGTTCTTGCATTTCTGATTTTCGCAACATAACCTTCCTACTTTTCTTTGCGACTTTGTCTCAATTATACTCTTGAAAAGTTTAACGAGTTCAACATGGCTCTACTTCATTTTATTGGCCAACCATTAGCTTTTTTTTCTTTTTTTTATGAGCTTCAGCTTTTCAGTGAGATCTCAAAGAGCGATAGGGGAAAAGAAAAACAAAATTAAAGATTTGAGTCTCGACTAGCGTGATGCTCGGCTTTACTCGACTCTTCACCACGACATGACCTATCTCTGCTGGTAAGCATCGATAAAACAATGAAAATCCATTTCCAGAAAGATTCTCTTTACCTTCAATTAGAGTACTTTCGAATGTTCGAATTTTTTTGCCAAATTAGCCCCGAATTTCCTTTTTCAAGCGAGCAAAAAGTGAACACTGGTTCTTGAATAGTAATAGTACTTCGTAAATGCATTTCTAAACGAATATTGTGATACAAACAATACAAGGAAGCCCTGAATATAGGGGAAAACCCATATAGATGAGAAAAAGAACCAATAATCTATAATCTAACCGATGGGATTGAAGGCTTGATCTCTCGACTAAGATACATGACTCCTAGCCAACTTAAGAAGTTGGCCATGAAAGAAGAATCTGTTCAGGGTCGTGTTCACGGCTTTTCTACTGCCAATTTTGCGCTCTGCAATCGTTTCGGAACGGTGACTTTTCTTAAGGAAAATTTCATAAAAAAAACTTTCAGATGCACTCGAAATAGTATCAATTTGGGAAAGTTGATCGACACGTTGCTTACCGATTACGATGTGCATTTGTTGCCAAATGCCGAGGGAGTCAACGTCACCATGGAGCTTCACGTCCAAGTTGGTTTCATAACATTTTTTACATTCATGCCATTAATCACTTTTTTCTTTGAAATTCGTGTTTCCACCAAGAAATCTATTATAATTCGTGTTTCCACCAAGAAATCTATTATTTAAATGCTTTTTGTAGATGTTAGACCTCATCACTCTCTTCTTTTTCTCTCAAGCTAAAAAATGGGAAAGACTTTAAGGGGAGACGACGTGGACCCTTGAGAAACACTTGTAAGTGCCGACTTTTTCTTTTTCCCAAGCCACAAATTTATTACCATTCTATGAATAACTCAGGATTTTCCCCCGGGGAACTTGCAACTTATAACCAGGCTTTGAAATTGAAGTTCCAAGCAATTGAATCCAAGCAATAATCCAAGCAATAATTCAAGCGATAATTCAAGCGAATCTTTAGAGTATATCGGGCATCTCTGAGATCACAGCCGATTTCTCGTTAGATGTGATGTACAGTGAGATTTGGGAGGATCCACGACTTTCCTTCAAGGTTCAATAAACTCGATTCTTTTCTATAGTCAACGTTTAGCATCTCAACGTCTGTACAACGAACATCACACTGAAGAGTGATTTCAGGAAACGGATATGGACCCCGGATACATGCATCATTAACAGGTTGAGCGCATTTTCTTGAGAAAAACTCTGATGAAATTCTGATGAATTTTCAGCAAAAGCTCTCACATTCATAGCTCACCCTCGGAAAATACGTTTGTAATTCTTTACGAGAATGGGCTTGTTTGGAGTAATTTCAGGTGATTTCTTTTATTCTTAAAAACAGGATAAACTTGCTGATTGCATTTTGTGTCAAAAAAAAAGTGTTGAAGCATTGCGTGAAAAGTGTCAATTTTGAGGAGAGCAAAAAGTGTCGATCAGGTGAAAATCGAAGAAAACGGGGCCAAAAAAACATCTCAAAAAGACGAAGAAATGCAGTTTGTCGGCCCGTTTTTCCACACAATTCGACAGGCGGGAGACTCTCGCTCATTTTGAGGCCAACACTCGGGAAAGTGACTGCAAGAAGGGGCTTTTCTTTCTCGATTACACCCACTTCTCAAAAGAGGATCGACAACGAGCAGCATCCCATCTTCTTGTCTCTCTCTTTCTCTTTCTTGCTTTCCTTATCTTCTCCGCCACATTGATAACTTGATCCTTTTGGTCTAAAACGCGTCATCTCTCCACAAAATGCTTCTCTCTCTCTCTTAGCTTTTTCTCTTCACGTGCCCTAACCTTCTCTAGCGCTGAGAAATTATTTGACTGCAGAAAAAAAAGAAAGTGTTAAATAAGAAAAAGTTTTTAGACTTCATACACAAGCTCCATGCAAAGTCGACTTGAAAATGTTCCCGTTCGATTCGTTGAGTTGTGAAGTGAGGAGAAATTTTGATGAGCTTTAAATTCAAGGTTTTTAGGTGATACTCGAATCGTATTCTTTCAATTCCGACGAGGTGCGGTTACTGTGGCATGCGACTCCTGTAACGTTAATGGAAAAGGTTCTATTTTTAGTGCTTTTTTAAAATAAAGTCAAGAGAAAGATAAGATTGTAAATTGCAGGTGGAGTTGCCCGATTTCGAGATGACAGGCTGGTCAACCGATCACGAAAGGCTCGGTTATCCAAATGGTATCTGGGATCGGGCAAAGGTTTGCAAAAGTTGCTCAAAAGTTGATTGACCGATTTCTAGGTGAAATTTGTGTTCGCTCGCCGCTATGGTTTCTACCTCTTCCAATCTTATTTCCCCACTTCTCTCACTGTCATTTCGAGTTGGGTCGGCTTTTTCTTTGATGTTCGAAGCGTCTCCGCTAGGTAAAGGCTATATAAAAAATGGTGAAAGATGAAAAAGTTCAGGATAACTCTCGGTGTTTCCTCACTACTCGCGTTGACTTTTCAATTCGGCAATGTTCTTCGACATTTACCTAGAGTCAGCTACATAAAGGTGAGAGAATTGTTTCAATTGAAAAGAAAACCCTTTCTATTATTAAGCTTTCTATTAGGCTTTCTATTAGGCTATTAAGCGTTTTGCATTTACATCCACTGACATTCACACTGCATCTCAGCCTCTTGTTGTCTTGCCTATTTCTAATAAGCAACTAGGCCACCCAGGAGGTGTCGAGGCTTCCGTTTCGGAGAGGCCATTCTGTGGAGCCTCAACGAGCCTCTTAGGGTTTCTTTTCTTTGACACTTGTCTCGAGAACTTTTATGTGAGGTGAAAAGTGGCAAGGTGGGTGAGGCAAGTGAGGGGACAGGAAACGGAAGTCTCTCAAAAGGTTCCCTATTTGCAACTTTCAATCTTTCCCTTCGAAACACTAAATAAATTCGCGAAATTGGATTCTGAGTGGTAAAGATCTAGAAATGGATCTAGAAATGAATCTAGAAATGAAATGGCAAAGATCTAGAAATGGATCTAGGAATGGATCTAGAAATGAAATGGTAAAGATCTAGAAATGGATCTAGAAATGAAATGGCAAAGCTCTAGAAATCTGTAGAAGGAGTCAAAGAAAATAGATGAATTTAGTGCCTCGATGTTTGGATGATATTCTCTGTGATCTTTATTTTTATGACACTTGTTGAATTGGCGATCGTGTGTCAATTGAATAGGTGAGCACACTGGCATTTTCAACTTTTATTAGATAATGGGAACGTTGGGGAAGTTGGGTGATTTGGGAAAGTTTTATTGGCTTTAGATGGGAACGAGAAAGACAAATTGGTTCGAAAGTTCTTGGTCATTGGCTCAATCAGATCCGGTAAGTATCTTATCTTTTTATTAGATAAGTAATCTTTAAGTGTAGCTAAAAATCAACTATTACTTTTGTTTTAGAAAAACCCGAAAAGAAGTAAAGCCATCAAATGGTGGTGGTGAGGGTGGAGGATTGCGGAAGAGGTTGCTAGGGCTTGGTGGAAACAAAGCACCACCAGCAACAACAGAACAACCAACTGAACAGGTAGGATTGAATTTGAAAAAAGATACGAAACAAAAAACAAACCCCGCATGGAATTTCCGTTTTCAGCCAAAGGAGAATGCAACCCCAGGCACTCACACCGTTCAACCAACCAATTTCGCCCCATTGTCCGCCAACAGTAAACTAATAGAAAATGTGCGTACTGTAATTCGATTAGAAAAATAATAGAAATAGAAATCGTAATAGAAATCGTAATAGAAATTGTAATAGATTAGATTTCTGATTTCTTTTCGTTTCTAGAATGCGGCTAATGAGGACGCTGAATGTGACGGCCGACCACCACGGAAAAAAGCCGAGTTCCGTGAAGCGGTGCAGAGAGTTTTCTACTTGTTTTGCCCTCCTGACAGGGATTGGACTGTCACTAGTGTACAGGTTTGTAAAGAAATTTCTTGATGTAAGATTTTCATTGATAAAGTAAATTGTGTGTATTCAAAAGAGAAGAGATCAAAGAGATTAAAAGAGAAGGATACGACTAAAACCTAAAACTTCATTTAGATCTAATGACAACAATTCTAATGACACTTCTAATGACACTTCTAATGTCGCTTCTAATGACAATGACACAACAATTCTAATGCCAACAATTCTAATGCCAACAATTCTAATGACAACAATAGATCTAATGACAAGATAGTACTTAAGATTAAAAAGAGTCAATCAAAAAAATCGTTTTCCTAATAGTATGCAAGCCCAGAGGAGGTCAGTTTTTTCTCACGAGCCTCTAGACCGATTTTGTTCGGGTTTTTTTTCTAAAAATTAGAGAAATTCGGCAGCCATTCTTTAGAAAAAAGCTGAACAAAATCGGAAATGATTTAGTACGGAAAAAATGACTACGCAAGGCTCCTCTGGATATGTATTTTAAAAAATCCGGTATTTGATTTAGGTTGACCGATGCTCAATGATTATGTTCCCACTTTCTTTCCTTGTCTTCAATATTACGTAAGTTCAAAAAATCCGAAAATACAATCAAAAAAATCATTTGCTTTATTTTAAAGTAAAATATCAGCAAAAAAAGAAACTTTAGCTACTGGTCAATATATTTTCTGAAAATGGATCGCCCAATGTGAGCTGCGAAAAAAAAAGGAAAATCTCGATCTAAAAAGAAAAGGAGAAAATCGTTTCCAATTCCTAATTTCCAATTTACAATATCTTTTTTTTTCTTTAAAAAATGTGCCAATTTTGGGAAAACTACGGATATATGCCTTCCGATATTTTCTTCCACGAGATTTACCTTTAGAAATTTGATCTATAGCTACACTACTGGACAATGAAATATCATATTTGAAAAACGATCGTCACTTTCGCGCGTCTGTAACTCCCTTGTCTTTACCGTATTTCTAAATATTAATATTACCATTGTGTAGCCCTTGAAAAGAGCTTTCAGAAAATGTATAACACTAATAGTTTAAACTCAAAGACAAGGGGGTTACCGAGGCGCGAAAGTGACGATCGTTTTTCAAATATCATATTTCATTGTCCAGTCACTGTATAAAAAGCTTTATTCAGAGTCAATTTTATCTACAAACTTTATCTAATTTTATCTTATAAATTATCTAAAACATCTAAAACAAAACAAATCTAAAACAAATTATCTAAATTATCTAAAACAAATTTTTTTTTCTCTTTATTCAGAGCTCACCTTTTTCTTGGATAAAGTTAACTTTTTCTTATAAATTTTCCGCTAAATTGGGCTAAATTGCTAAATAAAAAACCATTGGGTACAACTTTTGCTAAACAATGAATTTCTTTTCTTTTTTTCTCTTCAAACTGGTATTTTCCCGGGAAAGTTGAGTGAATAACTGAATATTTTCTAATAATTTCCCCATCGATGCCTTTTTAACGCGTTTTTTTGCCAAAGAATTATAGAAGAATTATTGTTTGTTTTTTTTTGAGCCAAAAAGCAAAAATTTGAAACTTTTCTTGCCAACATCTAGTATTTTGTCCCTTTTCAATGAGCTTTATCTAATCGTTTATCTAATCGTTTTCTTTTCGATGTAATAGAAAAAGAATTTTTATTTGAAAATCTGTATGAGAAAAAGAGAAAAAATGAGTTTATTCGTTGTACACAAGAAATAAAGTTTTGAAATTCTATTCAAAGGCAAAAACATTATAAAACATTATAAAACATTATAAAACGTTATAAAACATTATAAAACATTTATTAACAGGTATTGGGTCTGGTAAGGTGATGGTTTTTATTTCTTTTTCCCAGTGGCCGATTTGGTGCAACACATATAGTTTTGGAACTGAAATTTAGAGAAAACATTGTCTCTGAATGTAATTTAGATATTAAGAAATGTTATATGAATCTAATTTCACACAAACAAAGTCTAGAGATTGTTTAAAGTTTGATTAAAGTGGTCATTTTGATTCATCGACACAAGCGTTTTCTATTTTGCATTACTTACCTGTTTATATGTATTTTGGACATACTGTATTGATTCTAATAGAAGCACAGCCTCAAATAGAAGCAATTTTGTGGAAAAATTAAACAAATAGAAGCGCATGGGATTCTGTTAGCATAAATACGGTATCTATTCTCTAGATTATCGGACATTTGATCCACGTTTTGGCCCTTTTCCCATCTAACTTTGAGCTCAAATATCTTAATGTTGAGCTGTCCAATTTATAAATTATTGGTATCATTAGATGCGCCAAGACTTTCTCTGTCGATTGGTACAAAAACTATTGAAATTGGACAGCCCAACACCAAGAAATTTCAGCTCAAACTGGCCAATGGCAAAGGAGCGTTTCAAATGTCCCACAATGTTCTCACCTGATAATTGTACTCGCAAACGCTGTTGTACTGATCAGGGCAATAGTTGTAGAGACAGTTGATCGGTTGATTGTTTTGCAATGGCGCATAGTAGCCCGGTTTCGAGCACGTGTATTGTGTTGCTAGAAATTCTCCCAATTTAAAATATTTTTGTTTCTAATTGCTCAAAACAACTTACAGCCTCCATTCTGACATTGACCGTTGATTGGGTTACCGTTCATGCATTGACAAATGAAATTGTTGCACTGTGAGTTGCCAAGGCATTGCTGAAAAACGGCATAGTTTTATATACTTTGCTAACAAAGACAAATTACTTCTTTGACAAATTACCTGAGAATATTGACACGAGCTACCAATTTGAACCATTTGATAGCATTGATTGCCGATGAGAACAGCGTTAGTTCCACATTGGGAACTCTGAAAATGAAAGCTGCTAAAGTTAAGAAATATTCAGGATGAATTGGTTTTCGATTAGCATTTTTTTTCTTAGTAGATCTCACCTGTTGCTGTCGACAAACCGAATTCACATCGGGAAGCCAACCGCTAGGACAAGTGCATAACGAGTTTTGACACTGAAAATCTTGTTTTTAAATACAGGCAATCTTTACCGTTGCAAATGAGAGACATTCTTGATTGAAGCTGCAAGATTGACCAATAGAGCGAAGAGCTCGACATTGTCCATTTACAGAGCTGAAAGAACACAAAGTATTTTGTATTAGAGATTGGTGAATAAGTCTTTTCTTAGTTCACTTGGTGCATTTTTTGGTTTTAAACGAAAGTACGAAAAGAAACAAAAAAGAAATCCAAAGACTTAGTCACCAAACTAATTGTTGTTTAATGTCTGATTTCACTAACACCAATCCAGTCTGGCATTGCGTGATCCCGGTGGAACACTGATTTCCATCAAAAGATGATCCACCGTTGCAAATGCACAGATTCTGACATGAGGCTCCTAAAATTCGAAAAGATAAAACTATTTAAATTTCAAAACCAGTCGGACATTGCATCGAGATTGAGCAAGAGAAACCAATCGGCATTTTCGCGTAGCAAATGTTGTTAGAGAGCACCTAAACATTTTTTTGAGAAAATTTGAGTATTTTCGAGAAAACGGCTCACCTCATAGCTCTTACAATTTCCATTTGTCCCATTGTTGTAGCTGCAATATCCATTGCTTGGTTGACTGCCGACGGGACAAGCGCAGAAACTGTTTGAGCATGTCGATCCGCCTATGAGATTTTGTGAAACTTTCAACTGAAGCTTTACCGAGACACTGTTGTGCAAAGGTGCACGAGGATCCGATCGGCACCTGATTGTAGCAAAGTCCATTCACCAACACCTAGAAAAATCGAGGTTTTAAACAAATCTAGAATCTAAATCTAGACCTGATTCGATCCACAGTTACCACTGCCACTGCAAACGTTGTTTTGACAAGATCCTGAATGAATTGTTATCTTTATTCCACTATTGTTTACCTTGTGGACATTGTTGTGAGTAGAGACAGAAGCCGCCAGTCACCATCATGTTATAGCAAGCTCCATTGATCAAAACCTGGAATATTTCATTTACTTATGTCTTGATATTTTGTTAATATCTCAGTATCATCCAAGTATTCCACCTGTCCACTCGGGCAAAATGTTTGTCTTCCCACGGTACACAAGAAATTTTGGCAAGTTGCTTGTTGTTGGCATTGCTCATTGTACATACAATAGCTTCCAATCGGCACAGTGTTATAGCATTGATTATTGATCAAAACCTGAATATCACTAGATCAATCTTCATTTGTCTGTTTATACCTGTCCAACCGAGCAGCCTTGATTACTGCTTGATGGAATACAATAGCCATACATTGATGTGTAACCACTTTGACATTGACAAATCTACAGTTTGAAATTTGAAAGAAAGATCATAATTTGAACCTGATTCGAGCAAATCGAGCCACCCACACACTGGGTCGGAGCCGTGCAAGTGGCACCGGGCAAAGAATACGTGTAACACTGATTGTTGTAGAAGGTCTAGAAAAGCCAAAAAAAAAACTGGAATGTTTTAAAATATGATATAGTTGCTCTGAAATAATTCATGAAACTCCAAAAGTTTACACAGCAGAGTCAAAGCTACCTGCGTCATCGAGCAAGGCCCAGATGATTGCGCAATACAGTAGCCATTTAGGGCAGTCTTTCCACTTTGACACATACACATGCTTGATGAACATTGAGCTCCTTTAAATTTGACCTTTCGACCAACTGTAGCTTGAATCACCTTCAAGACATTGAACCGAAGAGACACAGAAAGCGCCCGGTGATGAATAGGACATGCATTGGCCGTTAACAGTCACCTATAGAAAACTATTATCCATAAAGTGACACTTGTTCCCACTTGTCCAAGCGGGCAATTGTTTGTGCTTCCTCCAAACGTGCATTGACCGTTCACATTTTGATAGCTAAATTTTGATTTTCAGAAAGTTTTCGAAACACATTTACCCGCTATTACAAGCACAGATAGATCCAGAACATTGCGCATTTGAGGGGCATTGTTGGCTGAAAAAGCATTGGCCGCCAGCAATCGATTGTTGGAAGCATTGTCCATTAACGTTTACCTAATAAGCTTTTTCAGAGATTTTAAATCCTAAATTTGGCCTTTTTAGCATAAATACGGTATCTATTCTCTAAATTTAGAGCTTAGGGGTTGACTTTTGTATTGCTTATACCATTAAGCTTTGCATGAATAAATGTATTAAAAAGAAAATCACCTGTCCACTTGGACATCCACCACCGCTATTTGTGCATTGACCATTAATAGGCTGATATCTTCAACGAAACAAAAAAATATTGATATTTGGACATAAAATTTTCATACCCAGAATTGCAACCACAGATCCCATTAAAGCAGTTTGCATTTGCTGGGCATTGTGCGGAGAAAGAGCATTGGCCATTGAGGAAAGATTGTTGCATGCAAACGCCATTCACGTTCACCTTTAAAAAGAGCTGAATTGGTCAGGTTACAACAAAAAACGATTGGCGAAACTTTGGCAAATGTTTGCTTTTCTATTTGACACAGCTTTACTTGTTTAAGATCAAAAAATCCAAATCCCCCACCTGTCCATTCGGGCATACGGTAGAACTTCCTCGAACACATTGACCATTATTGTTGTTGTTTGTGCCCATCGGACAAGTGCATTGCTGATTGAAGCAAGAGGAACCACCTACCGTACTTTATCAAACTATTTGGCGCATCCACTTACCAGCACATTGAATCGTATCCGAGCAGGAGCCGCCAATTTGAACAGTGCCTAAAGTCAAACTTATCAAGGCAATTGTTTACAGAGCACCAGTATTTGTGAGAGGACAGCAAGTTCCCGAACTGCAAGAATATCCGATAAGACAATTCGCGTCAGATGAACAAGTTTGTGGTTGTCCATTTGAGCCGATTTGAGGCGAGTTTGTGCCACATTCTAAAATAGGAATTTGAAGAATAACAAGAGAAAGTCACGTTGCGCTTGGATTCCACAACAAATAAATGTATTTCCACTAATAGCCATTTGACAGAAGTATCCGGGGCGCATAGAGCTACATGATGTCGGATTCTAAAAAGAGTATTTTTCAAGTACTGTAGACTAAAATACTTGTGGATTGCAAGTTACAGCTTGATTGTTGTTGAAGAGAGTCGTCAAACCGGAGCTGCATTGAAACTGAGCATTGGCCACTAAAAGATTCAATTAGTAACCATTTTATTTTACCCAATACCTTTTTCTAAAATAATTAGATACAAAAAAAGCAAGAAAAAGAACCCCAAGAAGATCAGCGCGAAATAAGGCAAAAATGCGTTTTCTATCGGATTTTTCTGGGACTACCTTTTTTAGATGCGGAAAATTGTGCTGATTCCGAATCTGAAGGAATTTTTCAAATCCCTCTGACAGAAATTTTTTAAATTTTGTTTTAGCGGTTTTTTGGTCATTTTGTATGGGAAATTTTGTGGTACCCTGCAGTTTGGGGCTCGTAACTCGACAACGAGGGTCTAGAACCAAAAACGAAGGGATAACGTTTTATTCTAGAGACTCTTACGAACATTTTGATGCAAGAATCATCAAATTTGCTCAACTCTACAAAAAGTTATAACATCTTTAAAGAAATTTTGCAAAAAAACTAAAACTAAAAATATAAGGGGAAACCGTGGCGCGCGGTCTAAGGTTTAAGGATCTCTGATCTAAGGCGCGCGACGTGAATCCCGCGCCAAAGTGCACCGGTTTGATTTGGTAGATTTTGTGCGTTTTAGTTGAAAGAAAATTGGTTAAGTTAATTTTATGTGGTACGCACAAAAAGATTTGAAGTCAATGGAGTAAAGGGGAGCCGAGAGAAACGAAACAAAACCATTTTAGAAATTGAAACAGAAAACAAAGGCGGAACAATAGAATGGAAAGGAAATGAAATGTGGGGAGACAGGTAACTTAACTTTAAAACGCGCTATAAAAAGAAGGATAGATTTTACAGAAGAAAAAACAAACTTATGCAGGACTCGGCTTACAAAAACCGGACAAAGGTTCCGATTCCATCATGAAATGTCGACAAATGAAAAGAATGGCAAAAAGGGAATTTTTGTGCGCGGTACGGTGCGTATCCGCACTTTAGAAAGTGCGCCGCGCCGCTTTCGCGCTAGTTCCTTTAAACCGCACGTAAATAGGATTCTAACTATTCAAAGATCGAGTAGAATTTGTTTTCTTCTTACCTTCTATAAGAAGTAGCACTATTAGAAATTGCATGATGGGTGTTATGAATTGAGAATGAAGTGATCGGATTGAAGGATGGGATTGAAGGATGGGATTGAATGATGAGAGAAATTGCCCCATTTACGAGAGACGTTCCCCCACCCATATTTGCCAAATCCACAAAAAAAGTGGGCCTAAATTTTTTCGAATCTCATTTTGAAATCCAAAAAGGGCACACGCATGTCATTGCGAATCGTACGGTTTTCCGAGAAACGAACCCAACAAAAGTGGGATGGTTAGAAAGGGAATTTCATGCACATTTCCCTGTACTATTTTATAAGAAATTTCTTCTTGATATTGGCTGATAATTGATCAAATTCCTTGACAATCTCCACGTCAACATGCCCCGGCATAGTTGCTTATTCATGGAGATCAACCGTTTGTGCAAACAAAGCACTGGCCTCCATCTCCAAAAATGTGAAGTCAAATGACTGACTAGGTTGAAAACGTTTTCGAAAGCAAAGTTTCAGCAAAATAGTTTGTGTGCACAAATTTGGAGTTAATGGGAAGCAACTCTTGCGAAAGATTTCCTCATTCACAAAAAACAAATCCCAAATCGGTTTTAGATTTCATGAGTTGAAAATAAGCAAGTCAAAAAAGTGATCAAAAGCAAAGTTTTAAGAATAAACATTATGAGTAAGCCGAAAATGTCTTCATTTGTTGAATTTCATGAATCATTTCCCCTTTTTTTTTTCCAATTTTTCCCTATTTTCATGATTTCTATTCTGTTTTTGCTTTGCTCTTTCTTAAACAAAAAAAAATGGATCATTTGAATTTTGATTTTTCTTCAATCACGAATAAGGAATTTCTTAAACTTTTCAATGTGACTTTCGAAAGTTTGGGATCAGTGGAGAAAAGGGTGGAAATGTTGACATGGATATTGGCAGGTTGGTCTGATAATAGGTGGAGGACAAGGTAGTGTAGTTGAGAATCGATTTGAGAGCTTGTACACTGATACAATTTCGTCACTTACCCAGCTACAGTATACTTATAGAGTTAATAATGCTGATTCCAACTTATAGAGTTGATGACGACACTGTTTTCCCTTGAAAATTTTAAAGCATTTAAACCCGAGTTACAATTGGATTAGTAGACTCAATAAAATGAATAGCTCCAGTCGATTCTTGATCCAAAAAACCGTCGGGTACAACTGAATATCTTCTCTTTCTTCATGTCTTATAGCTGAATATCTTCTTTTTTTCACTATGCCCAAATCTTTGGGATCAAATTTTGTTGTAATTTTGTAGTAATTTTGTATAGTAATGTTTCTACCCGATAAGTTACAAAGTTTCTAAATTGGTAAATCCTTTTTGACTGTCACAATTGTCACAAAAATTTTAGAGATACAAATAGAGCTTTAGAGCTTTTTAGAGCCAATTTCGAAAGATGAAGTTCGTTTTGTTCGTTTTGAGAAATCTAAAAGTTTTCTAGAGAAATCAGAAATATTCAAGGTCGACGTATCCGTTTCCAGGTCTCACAATTCTCGTCGCTCTCCTCACTCTCGCATGCATCATCTTCACAGCCGTTTTTGTGCTTGTTGTTCTGAAAGAATCGAAAAAGAGAAACCCGAATCCGGCCAGTCAAATCAATGCTGTTCAGCGCCCGCTTGTCGATCAAAATCATCTCCTCGAACGCCCCGAAAACAGCCGAAAAGCACTTGTGGGTTAAAATTTGGTGTCATCAATTTAAATGCTCAATTGCTTTTACCAGATCTCATTTCTTTTTTTCAATTTTCCTATTTTGAACGCCTTTCATCATAAAAATTTATTATTGCTTTCCCAAAAAAAAACAAATTCCATTAACGTCAATAACAAATGAAGAAATTTTGAAATTTGAAAAGTCAAATACCGTATTCTCTCTAATAGTAGTGCGCACTACTATTTTTTCAACCCCCTCCTGGACCGCAATACTATTAGAGAGTGCACTACTATTAGAGAGAATACGGTAATCTTTTTGTGAGCCTAAAACAGTTTTCAAAATTTCTCTTTCACTAGTTTTTCAAAAAAAGTTGTGACTAATTTTTGTGTTGTGATAAAGCTAATTTACCCACAATTCAAAAAAAAAATACATTAGATAAAGATATTTTTTTAAAAAATATATGAAAACAACTCGTACCGTTTTGGCCGAAACTTTGATGGGATTTGGGGGAGGAAAAGAGAAGGAGCTTGTGCTCATCAAATATCAAAAACTTGTGCTCATCAAATATCAAAAACTTGTGCTCATCAAATATCACAGACTTGGCTCAACAAAAAAAGAGATAAGGGCAAGTTTTCTTGAATTTATTATCCGGTCATCTTGGTGAAAGATTTCAAAAACAGAAAGGCACATTTCATAAGGGAATGCAAGAAAAAAACAAGAGACTCTAGCTTTCTGGATCAAAATTGAAGGGGATTTTGTGAAATGTAATGTAAAACCCAAGGCACAAATACACGTTTTCCGAAGAATAAAGGGAAAAAATGGGGGTAAATAAAGGCTAGAGATGGAAATTTGACTAGATGAAAGTAAATGGAGAAAATGGGAGAGAAAGCGAATTTCGGTTGAGGTGGATTTTATTGCACGTGAAGGCTTTTAGATTTTTGATTCTTAGATCATTTCTGCGTCTTTGTTCCCTCTTTGAATGCATCGTCTTCGCCCATATTCCTTCGGGCAGTCTTGTAAGCGGCATCGAGAAGTGTTTGCCCTTCGGCTACCCTAAATAAGAAAAATAATATTGTTTTTAAGGTTAAAATTTCGCTTGGACATTTGGTTTGTTTGAGCTTGAAGCTTGAATTGATTAGATGGACATGGTTTTAAGAGATATACTTAAGATTTCTTAAGCTCCAGAAAAATCAGAACGATTTACTCAATTTTGGTCAATTTTGGTCCTCTGAAGGCCAATTTAGGCCAATCTAGGCAATAATTGTGAGCCAATTAATCAGTAAATCGGTCTGAATACTCAGCTACAAATTTTCCTGACAAACCTGAGCGATCGATCGATGCCGAATGGTTTAAGATGGTAGATGAGATACTCAAGTACATACATCAGATTCGAATTCACGTAATGGAAAGAGATCGCGTAATCCGAACAACAATTTGGACCCTAGAAATCTAGATTAACTGAAGAAACATTTCAACTACCTGATCGAATGGATAGTAGATGTATTGCCAGAACCAGAAAGTCGGATCGACATGCCCAGGCAATAAATGATGCTCTGGGACAAAAGGCATGAATCTAAATTATGAAAATATACTTGCAAATTGGTAATTGTTATATGAAATTATTGTACTTCCGAGTTGTAAATGTTTCCACCTGTGATGTCCTTCCGCGTCTCGACTGTCACCGGCTTTTACTCCAATTTTCTCCAAACATTTCCCAATCTCAGCATCCTCGGCTCCACCATGATCTTGAGAACATTTCGTTGGATCGTTGACTCCTTCCGAAATGAATCTATAAGATCACTCCAATTATCCAATTGATTGCTTGATCCTTACTTTGAAAGAGCTTTCCTCGACAGCACATATCCAGCTCCTCCACTCATATAACCCTGCTTAGTGAACGGTTTGAACTTGCAACTAAAACACTTTTTCCATTTCAGTTTCACCTTCCAAACATACCCAAAATGAACTGGTTCATCGGGACTATGTGCTAACAGCATGAATCTCAAGTTTTCCATCACAACATACGTGTCATCGTCGGCTTTCAAGAACCAATCATACTCGTTCTAAAAATGAATGCCAAGTTTTCTCGTGGAATTGATTTCTCTACACTTACCAAATACTTGTCGTGAACAATCTTGAAAGCTGTTTTTGTCTTGGCCCAGAGGTAGTCTCTCCCTTCAGAAATATTCAGATTAATTGCGCCCAAATCAGCGTCATCCGCAGAGGACATGAAGATCAACTTGTTACATCTTTTTGCCCATGTTGCCTAAAATTCCTTAACCCAAATTTCTTTTTCTCTTAATTACCTTAACGTGTTTCGCTCGTTTATCATGATTTTGCTTTCCAGTCAAAATCCAGCAAAGCACTCGTACTTTTTTGTAAACTTCATCAGCAACCGCTCCTTCACCTAAATTAAGTTTAACTTTGCTTTGAGTTTAATAAGATTTTACCAATTTACCTTCATGATGATGTCCTGAATCATTTCCATGAAATTGAAGAGCATTCACTGGAGCATGACTATCATCAACACTGTCATCATCGTGTGCATCGTGGTGTCGATCGTGTGAGTTAATGGCCAGACGATCGGCTCGAGATAAGGAGAAACTTAAAGGAAATAGAATTATAGAATTGAAAACAAAATTTTCAAAACAAACCTGGTATCGTAGGTGCCACTGGAAGTGGTGAGAATCGAGATACAAAGCCCAATGAGCACCCCGATTGCTATGTAGAGCAACGGGGCAGCACGTGGAAGCGACACACCCGCCGCCATCACCCAAAAATGCGCATCTGTAAAGTGAATATTAAAGAAGAAAAAGAAAAAAACTTATCAAAAGCTGTCAAAGTCAAAAATAAACTTCAAATTTTAAAACACTTAAATCGAAAATTGAAAATCGAAAGTCGAAAATGAAGCTACTTATCGAGAAAGGGAAAATTTTGAAGGTAAAAACAGAAAATGAAATGGTTTGTCACATCGCACATGTTCAAGGCTGTAAATTCAAAATAGATTTGTGGGAAATGATTTGATGAAAAGGAGACTGTGAAAGTGGGGAAGAATGAGGGACAGCTATCCCAATATGAGATGTGTGCCGGATGGACACCTCAAGGCTCAAATAATGTGGCGCCAATGTGGCGAACCACATCGCCTTTCTCTAGATCTCTGTAGATCTATTTATCCAGTTGCATATCTCTTTACGCTAGAAAGCATTCGATTGTATAGCAAGAGGAATTTCTTGAAAAGCTTCACACAGCTCACAAAAGAAGTCAACGATTAAAATATGCAATTGATAAATTGTAAATGGATAAAATAAATGAATTTGTCAACGTCACTGTCAACGTTGAACTATAAATCAAAGGAAATATATAATTATAAGTGAATAAAGAAGAAGAATAAAGACTTGAAGAATAAAGACTTGGTGAAAAAGGTTGCGTAGAAGAAAACGAAAAAAGGAGAACTGGTAATTCTTAGCTGAGGGAGTGATGTGAAAGAGTTTTCCCCTCCACTCCAAGTATCCCTTTTCTCGCCTCCATAATGCATTCCATTCATCGAAGATTATCTCTTATCCTTTTGTTAACGCAAAAACCCTATCGCTTTAAAAACTACATAGTTTTTCTATTCTATTTTTTTTGTCCTATTGAAAGTTAAAGTTGAACTCTATAGTGAAACACGGGGTAGGCTAGTTTCCGCAACTTTTTTTGCGCAACAGGGTCATTTGCGCAACTGGGTCGTTTGCGCAACTCGCCATAACTTTCTTCTAAGTGGGCTAATCTTTATGATTTTGGTCTCATTTTGTAGATCTTATTGAGTTCAACAAAATGAGACCAAAATCATAAAGATTAGCCCACTTAGAAGAAAGTTATGCCGAGTTGCGCAAACGACCCAGTTGCGCAAATGACCCTGTTGCGCAAAAAAAGTTGCGGAAACTAGCCTACCCCTGAAACACAAATTGCTTTACAAACAATGTAGGAAGCAAAAATACGAGTAGAAATTGCGCAAAAGAGAAAAAAATCGCTAAAGTTGCAAAAAAAAAATGATTTTTGCGCAATAAGGCGGATTACGGTATTTAGTGCATTTTAGTGCGCGACCCCAAAATGTTTTCTCGGAAAATGCTTGCCAATAGTTTTTCTAGCATCTAAAAACGACTTTTTGTTGTATCTAGTAATAGAAAAGTTTGACATTTTAAAAACTTATGCTTGTAAAACTTGTTAAATTCCTGTCATAAATCAATTGAGATTCTAAAGAGATGAGTGTTGAATAATCGGAATACTCAACTCCCCTTAAACCCTTGAATCTCTCAAACCAATAACCGAAAGAGATCGACAAGAGCGAGTATTCTCGAGTCAAGGACATTTCCTCTTCTTTTTCCTCGAATTCTCTTCCCGATTCCAAATTAGCCTCAATAAATCCCGTTCATTAAAGCTAGGATCGATTTACTGGTGATAGGGTTCTTGTAATTATAGACTCCAGGAAAAATCTGGGAATAATGCGAAAGTCCAGGTGCCGAATACTAAAGTATTGTTAAGCTCAGTGAAAAATATCTAGATTTATCTAGATCTCAAGTAAAACCTGATTTTTGAAGCTGGTAAAATGGTTTTCCCGATTAAGCTTTCCCTTTTTTTTCTCATCGTTTCTGCCGGTCTTCCGTCGGTAAGTGTGAATCGATGTGCTAAGTAAACATTGTGATTCCCCTTCTAACAGCGGACAGAAACGCCCCTTGCGTGGAAAAAGGCTTATCAAGATGCTATCCCCTTTCAATCAATTTTTCTTTTTCTTTTTTTCTTCAAATTCTGAACTTCAATAGATACATTTTTCAAAAAGAAATCAAAAGAAAGATTTAATACTAAAGATTTAATACTAAATCAAAAGGGGAAATGAAAGAGATGGTGAATAAAAAGCATGAGAAGTGATGAATCGAATGAACAAGAACAAAAAGAAGTTCTAGAAATCAAGCCATCAAAATATAAAAGAGAAAACAGGAGATAAAAAGAATGATGGAGTGAAATGCTAAGAAATGAGAGGCAAATAACGTTGAGGAATCGTTTCCTTTGGAGTAGGCTTGGGTTCAATGGATTGGGGCCATTTGAGAAAAAGAAAAGGGAAAGGAAAAAGAAAAGTGGGAAAGAAATCGAGGCACAGATGGGCAATGTGGAGACCCAAGAGATGGTGGAGGGGAGGGGGGATGGGGGTGAGGCCGAGAGGGACCTCTCTGTTGTCCTGGACGCACTCTCTCCTTTCTTTTCTCTTTTATTAACCCCTTTCTTTTCCCTATGTGTCTATGCGACTAACCCTAAATGCATTCGCTTAGATCAATTGATGCCATGTGTACAAATGCTGAAGAAAACATGAAAATGAACAAGAAAACGAACAAGAAAACATGAACACTTTAAAAGCAAACATGGAAGGGAAATGGTAACACTAAAGAATACTAAAGAAGGTAACACTAAAGAACACTAAAGAAGGTAACACTAAAGAACCTAAATGGTAACACTAAAGAAAGGAAATGGTAATACTACATAAAGAACCAGCAGTGAAATTTCTCAAAGTAAAGAACTCTTTTTGTTGCTTATGGATGTTGAGATCGTAAAAAAACGGCAATAAATGATGGAAGAAAAAGCGAATAAAATGAATTGAAAGAATTAAGATGAATTGAGCGATTTGAGGCGCTTGAAGGGAGAAAGAAAAGACATTCGAACAAATTACACAGCCCCAAATCCATATGTGCATTCTACTCCCCAAGGGGGGATGCATAGGAAAGAGAATTTCTTCAAGAAAAAATGAAGGTGAAGGAAAATGGGGGAAATTGAAAGGCGACTGGAGACACAAGGAAGAGAGGAGATCTAAAGAAGATCCAAAGGAGAAGAAGACGAACGAGAGAGGTGTCTCTGGTTTTGCCCCTCGCTCCCCATACTTGTCATCTCTTCATCCATTCTTCCCCTCAAGCACCACAATTACCCACCACAAGGCGGTGCGTTTCCACCAATGGCAATGACACCATACAACAAAGCCGGTTGGTAATTGATTTGAAAACTTAATTGAGCGATAACCCGTCTTATAAAATCCAAAATTTGTTAATATCTTTTTAAAAAAAAATCGGTGTCACTCGATGAAAAGTGCGTGTGAAATCAAAGCCGGGTCACAAGAGGAAAATTGGGGTGTCTACCACGAGGGAAATGTGTATTGGAGGAAAGAGAAAACACTTGGAATGAAGAAGAGTGGAATAGGATAGACGGGGGAATGGGACTGCGTCACCGCTCCTTCACCACACAATGCACAACGACCCTTTTTGTGCAGGTTCGCGCCTTGTCCTCTCCTTCATCCTGAATGTCACCGCTTTTCACCTTTCCCCTCATCATCTATGACAATTCACAACACTTTGATCCAATGCCGACACTTTGATCCAATGCCGAGAGCTCAAGTTTAGAAAAACTCGATTTCTGTAAGCTGTAAAGATCGATTCACTTTTAAAGGATCAGCTAAAATAGAAAGAAAAGAAAGAAAAAGAAAGAAGAAAGAAGTCTGTTCAAAAAGATAAGACATGGATTGATTGACGAGAGAAAAGAGGGATGGACTGTGTTCTTTCTTGAAGCGATGGGTGTGTTCAAAACCCCTCTCAAAGTCGACTCTCCACCTTGTCACGGTCTTCTCCTTGTTCACTTTGATAAGCTTGAATTGTTCGTGGTACAAAGTTAGAGTCAGATCTAGAATCACAAAGTGAATGCTAATAAAGTTGAGATAAATAGAGATAAACGATGTCAAAAAGATTGTCCACAAACAGTAAAGATCGGCACCTCTTCAATCGTCTGTCACTTCGTTGCCGCTTTTTCTTTTCACCTATCTCTCTTTTCTTGTTTGTCTACCACAAAGTCCATCAAATCAAGTGCTTTAAAAAGTGTTCATTGTCAAGTTGTGTTAAATCTACAATCAACACCCATTTACAATTATTTGCTCATCATTATTTGCTAGAGTGTGTCATTTTTGTCTTGTCTTGACAGTTTCTAAACAAGTAAAGAAACTTGTTTAACTAAATAGTTTTCTAAAAACTCGATAAATTGTAACAATTTAAATGTTTATCATTTATAAAATCAGAATTCATAGAAATTTTCAAGAATTAGCTGAAGAAAGCACCCGTTTAGATAGGCGTAAAAAATTTGTTCACTTTGATAAGCTTGAATTGATCGTGGTACAAAGTTAGAGTAAGATCTAGAATCACAAAGTTAATGCTAATATTGATTTGATTTTGATTTTGATTTTGATTTCATTTGATTTGATCGAGAGTGAAGAGGGCACAAATAGAAAACCAAATATATACAAACAAGGCGACGTTTTTCTTGTGTTTGCCTCTTTTCAGAGATCTTTCACACCATAATCAAGTCCTTTCTCTGGGTCCAACAATGTTGTCAATCCAGCAACCTACAATCAGTTGTATTTGAATACACACTACTGGACAATGAAATATCATATTTGAAAAATGATCGTCACTTTCGCGCGTCTGTAACTCCCTTGTCTTTACCGTATTTCTAAATATTAATATTACCATTGTGTAGCCCTTGAAAAGAGCTTTCAGAAAATGTATAACACTAATAGTTTAAACTCAAAGACAAGGGAGTTACCGACACGAGAAAGTGACGATCGTTTTTCAAATATGATACCGTATTTTCTCTAATAGTAGTGCACCCTGAGCGTCGTCTAAATTGCTCGAAATCTCGAGAACCGCTTATCAGAACCTATCGATGTGGGGTCGGAAAATGTAGCTGACGATGAGATCTAGTGGGGGATTTGAGTGTTGAGCTTCTGCAAAAGCTTGGAAATCGTAAAATAGTCGCCAACTCGGCTCGCCGGGCTACTATTAGAGAGAATACGGTATTTCATTGTCCAATACAATATCTACATGGAAAACTTGATCACCTTGGAACGAATCCTTTCGATCGAATGAGATGTGCGATTTTTGTGAATCAAATAAGAGATTAACACAAAAATGATGAAAACCGGTACTAAATTGAGTTTTTGTTTTCTTTAAAATGACTTTTTCTCACTCATCATTGCTGTGGTGATATAAGCAGCTAATGGAAAGTCGATATTCGTGAATTTAATATAACAAATGATTCCGATTTCAACAAGAAATAGAATCAATCCGATACAAGTCGAGAAAAGCCATGAGAGTTTGATGAAAAAGCTGAATGTTTGAATGGGGGTTTTTTTGATGGTTTGTCAACATACGAAAGCTGAAGATGTGGTGAATCTTGAGTGGCACCAGTGGCCTCCATATACGGCAAAATACAAGTAGACATCATGAGAGCCAATAAATGCACAGAGACGAGTAAAGTGGTCACCTGTGCAATGATTTTTTAAAGGATTTACTTTTTTTCCCAAACCACTCCCAAAATTATGAGCAATGAGTGCGGCGTCTGCTCGTCGTAGTGCAATTCGACTAGAGCCACCTGTCAAAAATGGAAATTCTTGAATGCAGATGTTGATTCGATTTGTATTTCAATCCAAATCGTATATCTGATTTGAATTGAAACATTATTGCACAGCTGAAGCTACAGTACTGGACAATGAAATATGATATTTGAAAAACGATCGTCACTTTCGCGCGTCGGTAACTCCCTTGTCTTTGAGTTTAAACTATTAGTGTTATACATTTTCTGAAAGCTCTTTTCAAGGGCTACACAATGGTAATATTAATATTTAGAAATACGGTAAAGACAAGGGAGTTATAGACGCGCAAAAGTGACGATCTTTTTTCAATTATGATATTTCATTGTCCATTAGTGTATCATGTTTTTTTAAATCTTTTAATAATTTTCTAGAAATCTCATAGAAGTTTAACCTAGAACAACCTATTAAAATCAAATTTTGCCAAAAAAACCCACTTTCCTGCACTTTACTATGAATTTAAAGCAAAATCCCCATTTTTTTTTATTTAATCTGACAACTTTAACGTAAATTTAAAGAATCATAAACAATAAAATAAGTTTTAAATTAAGTAGACAATCAATAACTGGTTAAGTAGACAATGAAACTAAATCTTAAACAAACGATAATGAACTTGGCCTAAGCCTAAGCCTAAGCCTAAACAAAAACCTTTTTTTTCTTGCAACTAAGGCTGTGATGGCATCTAGAATTGCAAAGGAGACCATTTTTCTTGCAGATTAGAGATTTGCAGATGCAGATTTGCTGATTCTTGCAGATCCACATTCGACGAACATCCACATCGTTGAATTACTCGTAGAAGCCTGACTCCATCGTAAAACAACAACGGAAAATAGACGCAAACTTCATAAAAACATAAACAATAATGCAAAACGTATCAAAACGCGTGAATAAACTATTTTTTTTTGGCAAAATATGGTGCTAACTGGTTGTTCTAGGTTCCCAGAGTTCCCAGAGTTCTAGGTACTATGCAATAATGTTTCAATCAATCAGATATCCGATTTAGATATCAAAGTTGGATAGAACATATAAGATATGCTGTTGGAAGCTAGTTCATGAAAGTGCTACCATCGCAAAGCCGACAATCAGCGCCGATGTGTTCGAGGAAGATTTAAGCTGCGCCCGGCTCAACTTGTAATTGTATTCTTCAGCTAATGACAAAGGACCACGGTGTCTGAAGTTGGGTTATGAATATTAAAAAAACCGCTAAAAAAACCTCTCCATTTCTTCGTGTTTCTCAAAAAGCGATTGCGAGGAATGATTTTTGAGGCGATGAGCTTGTGAAAGTTGCGAGTATTTGTGCGATTGACCGTTCTTGTCAGAGCTTGATAAAAAGGTCTAAAAAATGTTGATATTTTGAAAGATGATAGTTGTGCAGAAAAGTAGCTCTTTTCTGTGAAATCTTATTTGATGCTTTGATTTTGAATACTGTATTTTCGGTAATAGTAGTGCAGTCTGTAATAGTAATGCAGGCTGTAATAGTAGTGCAGTCTGTAATAGTAATGCAGGCTGTAATAGTAGTGCAGTCTATAATAGTAGTGCAGTCTGTAATAGTAGTGCAGGCTGGAGGGGGTTGAAAAAATATTAGTGCGCACTACTATTAAGGAAAATACGGTATCTCTGATTCTCTTGTTCTTCTTCTAAAGATCGTTTGGGTGATAAAAAGGGACGGATCCCACTTTGTATTCTTTCTCCTTTGGCTTTGACACACTGAACCAACGATTGATTCTTTTTTATTGTATTTTCTCGCTAGACTAGTGATTGTGCTATATTTGGAATAAATCTCTAAATAATCATTGCCCCATACCCACTCACGCACTGCACAATAGTTGTGAAATGTGCAGTTTAAAATTGAATACTTTTCGACTTCTTTTCATTTTGCATTCAAAGATCGATTAGAAATTAAAACATTTTAGCTTTAAATAATAATAATCTTTGTTAAAAAATGAAAAGAAGAACATTCTAAAAGACAAAACAAACAAAACAAAAGACAAACCTAGATTACTTATGATTTTTAAATGCAAAACTGTGTCTAGTACCTGTGGTAAAAGTAGATGTTGTGCTCTTGCGCGTGATGGTTGCCAACCTTCGAAAACTGATCGAGTCTCAGTGATGGCACTGCAAGAAAAATGGCTCTGTTTATTTGATGAGACACTTAGAAAAAATAGGCGTTTAAAGCCTCCTTTTTTTTGAAAAACCAATAGGTTATGTTTGAAAGTATCGAAAAGAATCTCAAGGTGTGAAAAGGTTGCCTTTTTTTTCTCTTCTAAACATAAAACCTTATCAGCCAGACGCGTCTATTTAGCGACGAGAAAGCTTCAAGGATTCCCCCCTCCCGTCACCCAAAAATAAGCCCACTCTGAGCTTTTAAATACACCGTTTTACCTTTTAAAAAGAAAGAAAGAACGGTTAAGTGATTAGAAATTTTTCAGCGACAACTCGAAACACGGCTTGGCTTGAAATCTACCTTTTTTTCTATGATTTCATTTGTATTTTCACTTAAATTTATATCCAAATTTCTCAATTATTCACTATTAGCATGAATTTCATGTGAATAATCGCATTCAAGAGATAAGAAATTCACAAAACTCTCTTTGCTCACTCTCCCAGATCAAAAACCAACCAGCCAGGCCAGGCCAGGCCAAAATACATATATATCTTTTCTTTTTATTTCAGAAAACTTACATTATCCTTTAGATTCAAAAATTTCTTTAAAATCGATTCATATCAGAAAATTTTGAGGCTTTTCGAAATGCACAAAGGTTTTTTTTTTTGAGTCGCCGCATCGGACACGTCATTCTTGATTCAAAAACAAATAAATATCGATCAATGGAAAAAGAAGAGAGATGATAAATTGAGTGGAAATGGGCTAGAACTGACTAGAACTGAAAATAAAGGCTAGAACTGACTTTCTTCTGTCAAAACCATGCCATGTGAGCTGAACATCGTCACAAGAAGTTGAAGCAAGACGATCAAATTTGAGAAGAGGAGGATTCATGCCGCTTACCGATGGCGAATGAGAACGGGGCATTTTGAGAGTTGCTAAATTGCTCAGTTTCATTCTTAGATATTTATCAATTTAAAGTATTAATTTAAATTATTAATTTAAATTATTAAGAAAACCGAGAAAAAAGTCTTATTGCCAAGAAAAAGCCGTGAAAGACAAAGCTAGCATAGGGCAAAAGATTTGAAGCTCTACTTATCTCTTTACTCATCAAGGTTCTTTTAGTTTAAAAATTTAATAATTTAAATTATCAATTTAAATTTTTAAACTAAAAGAACTTTGATGAGTAAAGAGATAAGTAGAGCTTCAAATCTACTTAACTTTTGCCCTAGCTTTGTCTAGCTAGCTTTGTCTAGCTTTGTCTAGCTAGCTTTGTCTAGCTTTGTCTAGCTAGCTTTGTCTAGCTTTGTCTAGCTAGCTTTGTCTAGCTTTGTCTAGCTAGCTTTGTCTAGCTTTGTCTAGCTAGCTTTGTCTAGCTTTGTCTAGCTTTGTCTAGCTAGCTTTGTCTAGCTTTGTCTAGCTTTGTCTAGCTAGCTTTGTCTAGCTTTGTCTAGCTAGCTTTGTCTAGCTTTGTCTAGCTGTCTAGCGCTAGCTTTGTCTTTGACGACTTTTTCTTGGCAAAGTTTGGATCTAAATCTGTAGAAAGATTGAATAATTTTTAATATTTCTTAAAACCAAAAATCTTTTCTTCAGTATTTTTTAATATTTCTTAAAACTAAATATCTTAATCTTTTGTCGTTTGATAGTAAAAAGTTATTGGATAGATTTTATTTTTAAAAAAGTCATCGATCAAGAACAATAACAAAGAGAAATTTTCAGAAAACAGAAACAAAGATTCTTGAGAAGAAAACAGAAGCAATCAATGAATGGATTGAGTGTAATACCCAAAAAAGAAAGGCTTATCAAAGGCTATCAGTGTATTTTCGAAGATTCCACTCTCCTTTCACTGGCCTTCGTTATTGTTTTTCCCCCCCTCAAAGTCCTAAAGAAATTCTTACCCCTTTAACTCCATCTGGCAGATAATCTTTTCTTTTTTTTTCTACCAAACATCTTACAACCGGAAATAAATCTCTTTTTTTTTCTTTTTTCCGAAAATCGTTGACGTATTAGCATTTTTATCAATGAAATGATAAAAATTGAAATTGAAATGAAACAATCAAAATTCAACGATTCAAAGCCCGCATCACTGACGTAGCTGCTTGTTTAATCGAGGGAAGGCTTCGGAGCATCATATCAAGCATAGAGATTGAACCTTTTTCTAGAAAACGGACAAGAACTTAGTTTATTTTTAATTGAAAATTTTCCTATTAAAGAAATTGAGGTTCTACGTGGAGAACCTGAATTTCTTGGCTTTTCTTTTCTTCCGAAAATCATTGACGTATTAGCATTTTTTATCAATGAAACGATAAAAATTGAAATTAAAATGAAACGATAAAAATTGAAATTAAAATGAAACAATAAAAATTGAACGATTCAAAACCCGCATCACAAAACAAATTCCTGAATTTCATAAACAGATTTTTTAAAAAATGAAACTAAAAGCTTTAAATATTCTGAATATTTCCATGTGATGGGAGATTTTTTTCAGCATCGAAAAACTCATTCAAACCGGCTACCTAAAAAAATTTGAATACTTTTTCGATTATGAGCTATTACTTCACATGCATTACTGCAATTGATGTGATTAAAGGATTTTCAAAACAATATTCCCACATACCTTGTCTTTAATCCGCTCGAGTGAATGTGTGGTTCGACTTTTGTGAATCAAATATGAGAACACCACGAAAATGATCAAAACGGGAACTGAAATCGTTGTTGAAAAAATGTGTTTTCTTCCGTTTACAAACTGAGCATTGCGGTCGTGATGTAAGCGGCCAGATTGTAGCCAACGTTCACGAATTTCACGAAAAAGATCACCCCAATTTCGACGAGGAAAAGCAAAAGGCCGACACACGTTGAGAAAAGCCAAGAGAGCTCCACGTAGAACCTCAATTTCTTTAATAGCAAATTTTTCAATTAAAAATAAACTAAATTCTTGTCCGTTTTCTAGAAAAAAGCCCAATTTCTATGCTTGATAATATGATAATAATATAATAAGATTTTAAGCATGAATCTTTGAATAAATCATTGTCGATCTTTCACTGAATATCCTTGTCATGTTCTGACATTCAGAAGTGCTTGGTGAGAGAAATGAGATCTCGATCTAAGAGATCTAAGAGATCTCGATCATCCAAAAGTTTAGACCAATGGAACCCGAGTTCCAGGTGCTAGACTCAATCAAATGAATATCTCCAATCGATTTCCCGACCCCGAATCTTCTTATATTACAGATGAATAACTTCTTTTTTTTGCAATCTACAATACAAAAGAAGAATCACCAGATAAATATAAAGTGTTCTTAGTGCGGCCACGTAATCGCTCTCCATCTGGTACATCCTTCCGATAAATAGATGTTCCCTTTTCAAAAGACAAACGAACGGTGAGCGACTGATGAGCAAAACATTACTATGCATAGCTATGCCCAAATTCTTGATCAATTCTTTGAGCAAAGAACAGAACACCTCGAAGCCATTCTCCGAAGCCTTCCCTCGATTAAACAAGCAGCTAAACCCATTACGGCTACTCACTCAAAAACCCCCGGATAACGGACAAGATCTCAATTGTTTTTTACTTTAATCTGATATGTGGAGAGTCTTTCGTAGCACCGGCGGCCTCCATATACGGCAGAATACAAGTGGACATCATGAGAGCCAATAAATGCACAGATACGAGTAAAGTAGTCACCTAAAAACATGGGAATAATTAATGAACTTCGGCTGTATAGTTTTCGAAGCAATTTCGTTTTTTGATCACTTACCACTCCAAGTATGATGAGCAACGCTCGAGGTGTGTCGTCCTCATACTGCAGTTCGACTAGAGCCACCTAAATTGATCTGGCTTTGAAGGCATTATATTATAACCAACCATAGCAAAACCCGCGAGAAGTGCTGAAGTCCTTGATGAGGCTTTCAGTTGAGCTTTTGAGAGGTCATAAGTGTACTTCTCAGCCATCGTCAACTCACCTCGGTGACTAAAAAGTTAATTGAAAATGTTTTCCAAAAGAAATCTTTGTTTTTAGTTTTCAAAAGTGGTTACGAAAGTGTACCGTGTAGAGAGGGACCTTTGTAGTTCCTTTGGATGATTGTGCAAGTTGGATGAAGGCAAGAGACTCAACGCGGAAACCCATCGAACCGACTAGACTTTCACTACTCAATTCACGACTCAACAAAAAGCTTCTTTTCCAAATTCAATGTAATAGAAAGTGTGGAAGCAACAAAGACAAAGACAAAGAAGCTAGGCCAAAGAAAATGATAGACAGTATCCACCTGAGAGAGTGGAGCTCCGGTCACTGAAGAAGTGCCAGGCCGATCGGGCACTCGAGAACGTTTTGGCATAAGTGGCGAGCTTGCTTTTGCCTCATGTTCTTCGCAACTCTCATCTGGTAATCTATCCAATCGATCATCATATGAAACCGATGCGTGTTGGCTCAAGGCCATTAATGGAGCTCCAAGTTTTGGTGTTGGCTCAGAGCCATGCACTGAGGACATCCCTAAATAAGCAAAAAAAACATTGCAAGTGAGAAAAACTACAAAAGAGGCTCAGGAAATTGGTCAAGGCAACTCGATGAAAAGAGTGGCGAGGATCGGCGCACAAAAATCCCAATGCAGAAATCGATTTGTATCTAGCGATTGAAAAAAGGACTAAAGGGGTGAGAGCAAAAAGGAGACGCAACAAAAAATAAAGCAATTCGTCATCAAATGGAAAAAGAAGTGGGTTTTTTTGAAATATAGAAAATAACAAGGAATAAGTTGAACGATTCAAACGAGAATTAGAGAGGGTTTTTTTATGCGCTTCTGAACAACAACAGCTGATAAGAAATGGAAAATTATGGGAGTAAAAGTTTGGAATGGAAGAAGAGAAGATGAAAGCATCGACTCTTTCCTCTATGCGATCTGTCTCTGAAAAAGAGAAGTGAAAGATTGAAAGAAAGAGAAAGATGTGCAAACATGAGTCCTCTGTGAATCTTCCCGACGATTTTCATGCTCTACACACCCTTTCAATCCTCTATCGTCCGATAGAAAATTGTGAATTGAATGATTTCTCTCAAACAATTGTTTCCTATATTGTCTGCTTGCTAAAGCTATCGTAAGCTTGGATTTGCTTTATGAAGCCGATTTGCTTTATGAAGCCGAGATCTAGATAGAGTTGGATGAAAGATGAATGGCTGTTAGAGAAAGATGAATGGCTGTTAGAGGGTCAGCTGATAAAAGATGAAAGGTTGTCAAAGGTACAATACTTTCAAAATTGATAGAAGCCGAGATCTAGATAGAGTTGGATGAAAGATGAATGACTGTTAGAGGGTCAGCTGGTGATCTTTTGATGAAAGGTTGGCGATGGTACAACACTTTCAAAAATTGATACGTTTTAGAAAACAATTTGAGATGGACACACGGTCTAATTGTGAAAATCAGCCAAATGTACACCATCAGTCGATTTGTCTTTTCGTCAGAGTGACCTTGGTGAGCTAATCTTGCCATAAATCTCTGCAGTTGACAATCGGATAGATGTTGAAACGGGATTTCACGCCCATTTTCCCCGCAAAAAAAAGAAAAAATATGACATGATAAAAACGCTAAATATTTTAAGAATGTAAACAATTTTAAACAATAAATTCGATAATCGATTTGTAAAACTCACTGATCTTTCTCTTTGGTGACATAAACGATTTCTTTCGGTGCTTGAACAGAAGGCGGCGTTTGTGAGTTGAATGATGGCACTGTGTGCTATAAAAATGATATAAATAAAAGCAACTTAAACTTATAAATAAAAGCAAGCAATAAAAGCAACCAATTTTTCAAAAGACAACTATTTCTCACTTTAGTTTCCTTTAAAAACCGACTTGTGAGTGTAAAACAGAGTTCCCATTTCCACTGATTGCGCCAAGTGATCCAAGTGATGGTCGAATTGGCATTGCTGGCATTGCTTCTGAAAAAGAAAGAATGAGCATAAAACGGGCATAAAAAAAGCAAATTTTTCGGCTTTTCCTTTAGATTCAAGCTAATCTCTTAAACACTTAAAAGTTGAAAAAAGCTTAGATTCAAGCTAATCACTTTTAAAAGCTGTTTTTAGTTGAAGGCATTGACCTTTAATTTTTAACGAGAAGAAAGATTACCGTTTTACCTCTAGCCGTCATGAGAGTTTTATTCTCATTCGATTCATCCAAAGAATATTGTTGTCGAGTTAAAATCATTTTTCTCATCATAAATCAAAGATTTTAGAAAATAGCATTGATGAATTCATTAGAAAAAGTAGAAAAATTGATTGAAGATGATGATGAGGAGGAAAAAGGGCACAAGTAGATTCAAAGATTTCATAGAAAAGAAGATGGAAAAAGGATTGATGAAGAGAAGAAAAGAAAATGGAGGGAGAGATTCGAAGACGGGAAAGAGGCCAAAGAAAAGGGGCACAGCTGGAAGTGAACAACCCTGTAGGCATCGGCTGCTCTTTTTTACACCTCAAAACCATTTTCCGAAGCCTTCCTTCGATTAAACAAGCAGCTAAACCCATTACGGCTACTCATTTACACCCCCCACCCTCATTTTTCTCGATCAAATCCATCACCTAATGAGGAATTGATCAACAATAAACACTAAGAACTTTTCTTCAATCAAAAATGCTAAAATTGCTAAAATAAAAAGTTGTGCTGTTTTTAGTTGAAGGCATTGATCTTTAATTTTTACTTTCTACGATAGTTTAGTAGCTGCTTTGATTGAAAAATTTAGACTTTCTGGAAAGCCTAATACTTCCTTTTCTTCACAACTCAAAGTATCTTATTAGCACTATAATATTTTCGAAATACAATACTTGCTTTTACACATGAGTAAGCTTTATCTTTAGCTAAGCTTTATCTTCATCAAAGCTTATCTCTAGATAAGCTTTATGATCAAAGCTTTATTTTGATCAAAGCTTTATCTTCATCAAAGCTTTATCTCTAGATAAGCTTTAACTTTATCTAAGCTTTATCTTTATCTAAGCTTTATCTTCATCCAAGCTTTATCTTTTGAAATCAAACTCACTTTGTTGTTCGTTTCGCTGAAATCTCTTCTGATCGGGCGTTTTCCCCTTGGTGAAAAGGGGTCGAAAGTCGAAAATAAAGTTGTCGTCTGGAAAAAAAATCGAATTTTCCTCAAAAATTTATGTAAACTTTTTTATTTGTGCATCATAGAAGAAATTTATTTAACGTGCGTCATCGCTTTATGAAAAAAAATAAATGGTCTTTTGAACGGAAAATTTCTAATGAAATGGCAGTTTTTGAAACTTTTGGGAAATTAAAAAAATCGTCATTACTAAATGAAGTGAGAATAGAAAATTTAGAGAGAAAGAAACCGATTTTATCGAGTGCAGGCGAGCTGGCCGAGTTCCCCCAACCAGCCATGAGATTCGTGTTCTTGATTGGAGAAATGCGATGTTTCGGGACCAGAAAGACTTTGTTTTGTGATGAAGGTGGTTTCTCGTTTAGCTCTGAAATCGATTTCTTGGTCTAAATTTGAAATATTCATTCGAAATTCGTGATATTTAAGTTATTTTTATTTAAAGCGCTTTTAAAAACATCCTATAGACTTAAATTAAACTTTTAAAAAATCCTAACAAATAATTTCTGTCATTTTATCGTAAAGAAACCATTTTCGACTTCGTGAACGGCTTTCTCGAGTTCTTCAATTGCTTCGTTGGCAGCTTTTTTCAAACCAAAAGATGCTTTCATTTAGAAATCGACAAAAGGAAAAAAGGAAAACCCAAAATTCTTACAAAAATGGCAGATTTTTTGCCTGTTTAGTCAAAAAGGTCAACTCAAATATGTAAATGAAAAGCGAGAAAAACATGTTTGAAAACGACAAACATCACATAATACAAATAGAGACTTTTGACTTTTTTGAAAGATCAAAGCAAGTCCACAATGACTTGGTTGAAGAGATGAATTATGAAAGCGAATTATGAAGGGTCCACTACTGACTCAAAGGTTACGGTAGACACAGGGGCTACCGTAGTCCCCTCAAAATAAATGTTTAGCTGATAGTTTAAGTGTCATTCTGCTCAAGATTATCTCCTAAAAACGTTAAAGAATTTCAACGCACCGGGAGTGATGACCAAATCGGTGCAGCTAAGTGTCATCGGTAGAATTGTACAATCATCTGTACAATCATCATCGATGTTAGCTTCAAATCCTTTCTTTCCATTTATTCCATTTTTCCAATTCAAACTCGCCTTCGGTGTATGGAAAAGAGCCGGCGATGATGGCAATGACATCACTGAAAGTTCATCTTTTCATAAGCAATTAAAAAAATTGATGGAAAAACTTTAGTTATAACTTTAGTTTTAAATTTAGTTATAACTTTAGTTTTAAATTTAGTTTTAAATTTAGTTTTAAAGAATAGTGGGTTTACTTGATACTGTCCGGACCAAAGCTCAAAAGATAACCTTTATAAGATCAGCGACAAGTCTAAAATACTTTTCTGATGATCGTCTGTGAGACGAGTAAATAGTGGACGAATCAAAAAGGCGATTATCGAAAAAATGATTCGCTTGTAAAATCATAGGTAAATAGAGAAAAAAAGTGAAAAGACAAATTAATTATTTGTGAGAGAAAAGGAGGAAACGATCATTTGAGATCGATTTTAGTATTGAAACGAATCACCTCCTACTCAAAGCATAATCCAAACAACACAAGGATGATTAAGAAAGTTGCAAAAAAGTATTCTATAAAACATCGTTTACTTGTTTCTATTTCTGCAACTTAGGCAACTTTTTGCAAAAACAATTCTTGTAAGATTGAAAGAAAATTGCATTTAAATATATCAAAGATGATTTTTGATTAGGTCCTTGACTTTTAAAGCTAAAAATACGGGCTACGATCGCTCTTGTAGCTGAGACGAAATATAGGAATTTTGTGAAGAAAACGAAACGGTTTGCAAGGCAAAAGAATCCTCTGAAAGAAGGAAACTTTAAAGTTTTTCAGTTTCAAAAGGTTCTTTCCAGCTCTTCGCCACTTCCTGTTTCCAGGAAGTTTCCAGGAAGTGCCCCGAGTGCACCACGAGGAGGTGGCTGAACTTCGCACTCCGCCACCCTGTAGTCCGAAGACTCTTGGGATCCGAGGTCCACGTCTGGTCCTTGGCGATGGCACCGACTCCCGCAGCAAGAATGCTCAGCTTGCTAAGGTGCGCGCAGCGTAAGTAGGAGAATGCTCCGAAGTTACACTTTGTTGATACTAAAAGGGATTGATCTGATCCCCAGTCGGTTTAAGAACCTCACGGTTCCTCCAATGGGGTGTCCAAACTTCCGCCATCTAGACGACTGTCGAGTAGCGGACAGCTGACGGGAGCCGGAGCCCAAAGGGAGCATAATTGTAATCCGGTTACGAGCAACAGACCATTCTGCCTCCCTCCACGGGTGGCAGTGCGGAATAGTAGCGATTCCACGAACTTCAGCTGTATCCCTCACGGAAGACTGTGGATCTTTCCACAACATCCTTTCGGTCGAGAACTTGATGCTGCTCGGGGGTATTCGTACAATCGACCCGGGCCAGCCCATGGCTCCGGGCGCCGCCTTCCACGAATGGGTTAGGCATCGACAAAGCAAGAGAAGCAAGCTTCTTCAAACTGTGTCTCCAAAAATTTGCGATTTATACCCTTACAACCGGGGAGACCGATGCGCGAGTGGACGCCGAGAGAAGCCGAGAGAAGGTCGAAAGGGGTCCGTATCAGTAAAAGCCAGAAAGTGGGCGATTGTGCGCGCGCACAAAGAATACCCATAAACAATTTAGTTTTTCAGCTGTTTCTCAGCCATACTTTGATGGATCGGGCTCGTTTTTACGTCAAAAGATGCACCTGGAAATTCTCCATCGATTGGATTTAGGGTTTGTTTGGGAAAAGGTGAGTTTGAGTGGGTAAAAGCGAGATCGAAGCTTTTGACAGTGATTTCAATTCCATTTCAAGTGTTCATTAAGAAATTGAGTGCTCAAATCTGCAAGGATGATCCCAATTCTTTCAAAAACCACATTGATCATGTGTTTTGCTAATTTCTGGGTCAAAAAGGGCTCAAATTACTGTTTAAAATATTTCGAATTCCCGAAATCAACCCTTTTACTGCTTCAAAAAGAACCACATTTGTTCGCAACGATCTTTAAATTAAACGAGCTTCGATTAAACGATTAAACGATTAAATGATATATTCAAATGTATCATTTAGATACCCATAAACGTGCGAACTTGTGCTCGAAATACACAAGGACCTTGTTATGAAATGAGAGCTTCATTGACCCGATCAAGTTGCTGTTTGTAGAGGTCGGATGTGACTGTTTGGCCGGGTTGTAGAAGCTCAAAATAAACAAGGACCTTGTTATTCCACCATACTGAGAGCATGATCTTTTTCCCATGAATGTCCGGTTTCACGATCGGATTTGGCCGTTCTCCTGGTCCTAGTCATTTCATTTTTCGAATAGTATTATGATATATTCAAATATATATTATGATATATTCAAATATATCATTTAGATTAGAGCTCGTAGTTTTCGCTTGTTTTATAACCAGAGTATGTCGGAGTCCGAATGTGCAATTCGTTTTGATAAGATGATAAGATTGTTACCCACCCAGTAGTCATTGATCATTGATCATTGATCCTATTGATTACAGTTGTGCACATTCTCGCGATCAATTAATTAATAGATTAAAGTTGGAAGTTTCAAATTTTAATCGATTAATGGGTTTCTTTTATAACGCTTCCTCGGTTATAGAGCTAAGTTAAATTAAAATTTTAAACGCCGTGGCTTAGTTTTTTATATTTTATATAAAAAAACTAAAACTTGTTTCCTGTTTCTCATTAATTTTGTTCTCTTATGCTTTAAACAAAAGTCGGAAAGGCATTCATTTTTTTTCTGTTCTATTTTTTTTTTTGCTTAACACGTTGACAACATTGTCACCTGATGCTGTCTGACACATATTCGTTCGCCTGGGACATTGTCACCTGATGTCAGGTGACAGTACCAAAATTGATTTTTTTTGTGCATATTTATGTTTGCTGATGATGGATATTAAATAAGCAAGTAGGGTAGTATCTATATTCAACTTGGTCCCGGAAAATGTCGATTTAACCGTTGATTATTAAAATTTAAATTTTTTAGGTGACAATTTCAGGTGACATTTTTTGTCGAAAAAAAAAAACAACGTTGTCCCATGGGATTGTTTGTGCAAAAACGCCATTGTCGTCAACGTGTTAATAAAGAGGATGATTTCTATTGGGAATAGTGAAAGATTGGTGGAAAACGGGATTTTAGTTGTTTTGAAATCACTGATTTGCAATTACTCTCGAATTTATTTGAAAAGATGGGGAAATTGAACAATAAACACTTTTTATTTAGCCAAAACAAGCCATAGTCAAAGGCAATTAGTCAGTCAGCTTAAAGTCAATTAATCAACCATTTGTGTTGGCCTTTCTGTTCGCCAACGGCATTAGCAATGAAATCAAATCCTATCCATATAACCGCCCATTTGAACGCTTTAAAACTTATTTTTCGATTGAAAGATGTACAAAATTCTATTATTTATTATATTAGGTTTGTTAAGTCAAATCAAAATTTGTAAAGTAAACTTGTAAATCAAATTCAGGCACAAAGTTTATCCTCGAAGCCCAACACTGTGACAATGCTGCTGTACTTTTTTTTAAAAATGTTTTCAATTGTTTTTAATTTCTAGACTTTTCAATGCTTTGTGAAAGAATCGATGAAGATATTGAAAAAAGAAGCGAAATCTTTTGAGCAAAAGGACATTCATCGAGTGATTTGTCGGTAAGTGTTTTTGTTTGGCGAATTGCTACTGTTGCTAAAGTTAGTCATTGCTACAGTTAGTCAAAATTCAATACACAAGTTAAAATTCAAAGTTGGTGGATAAACTACCGTAATCAGCCACTAGACGATATTCAGTTCTCCGTTTGTCGTAGCTTGTGTAGTTAAAAACCCATTATTTAAGCTTTGCTTTAAGTCAGTCGTGGGCTCTCTTCTATTCATCCCTTGCTATTCATCCCTTTCTATTTATCCCTTTCACACGCAAGTGTTGAAGTAATTGTGAGAGGTTGCTCCAGCGAAGTTTGCCCTAATAAGGGAAATTTTTGATAAATTGTGCGTTTTCAAGACATCTACCATTGAACCACACCGAGACACGGTCTCACAAGAAATTATAATCTAGACTAGAGAACGTAATCCATTAATCTAGATTGAATATCATAATCTAGCCTGAATCTCATAATCTAGACTAGATACCGTAATCCGTTATTTAGGCTGAATATCATAATCTAGACTAAATATCCTCTAGACTAGATACCGTAATCCAGCTAATCTAGACTTATAAAGATCAAAGAATAAATATATTTCTTATATTTTAGGAAAATTGAAAAATGTATGTCATGATTTATTTGGAATCTATTGTAATCAATAATTGTAAAGTAATTTTTAGAAGCTGGGATTTAATGACGAGTCTTTGTCCATGCGCAGATCAATTGAAGGACTCTTTTCAAGGGATGCGATGCACTGGCAAGGATATCAATGAAAATTGTTCGTTTCGTAAATATAATAAAAGCTAGATTGAAATTTCCAAAATGACTTCCAAAATGACTTCCAAAATTCTCTTAGTTTTCATTTTTCACGATTGTTTTGTCACCGATTCGTCTGCACCGCTTCGAGCTTGTGAAATCAAACATTTCAATTGCACGTGAGCTCTTGACTCATATGTTTTAAAGCATCAACTTTTTAAAACATTCTTTTTTCAGAGCTCTAATCGATGTATTACATTGTAAACAGCGAGAATTCGAGAAAAAATGTCAAGGAGCAGCCGCTTTTGCTGATGTTACTTATAGAAAAGTAAGCCAAGATTTGTTATCAGACTTTGCATTTCATTTCATTTTGAAAGCAACAACTTTTAGGCGAAATTCAATCTGGAAAACTATGATGTGTGTCAAAATGCGGTGCTTACAGCCTTTGGACCGGTTATGACAAGCAATATGGGCACAATTATTGCAGGTATCTTAAACTAGAGTTCAAATTGAAGTAGAATTCATTTGATGTTCAAATTGTTCAAATTGATTTAGGATTTTTAAATTTCAAACTCCAGATCTAGGACAAGATCCAGATCTAGAACAAGATCTAGATCTAGAACAAGATCCAGATCTAGAGCAAGATCTAGATCTAGAACAAGATCTAGATCTAGAACAAGATCCAGATCTAGAGCAAGATCTAGATCTAGAACAAGATCTAGATCTGGAACAAGATCCAGATCTAGAGCAAGATCTAGATCTAGGACAAGTCTAGATCTAGAACAAGATCCAGATCTAGAGCAAGATCTAGATCTAGAACAAGATCTAGATCTAGAACAAGATCCAGATCTAGAGCAAGATCTAGATCTAGAACAAGATCTAGATCTAGAACAAGATCCAGATCTAGAGCAAGATCTAGATCTAGGACAAGATCTAGATCTAGAACAAGATCCAGATCTAGAACAAGATCCAGATCTAGAGCAAGATCTAGATCTAGAACAAGATCTAGATCTAGAACAAGATCTAGATCTAGAACAAGATCTAGATCTAGAGCAAGATCTAGATCTAGAGCAAGATCCAAATCTTGTCCACTGATGAATTCGACTTCTAGATTTTACTTAACACATTTTAAGCTAGTATCAAATTTGAAAACCATATTATTAGAGGAAAATTGAAAAAGAAAACAGTATGATAGCATGTTGTACTTGAAATAAACTTTTAGATACCGTCACTACTGTAATAGTACCCATCCCCCTCGTACAGTCGCGTAGTCGCAAAAGTTTTTTAGTATTTCATTTTTTTCAAAGCGCCCGTACTTTCAAAAAATAGCTGAAATTCAGGGCTACTTTTTGATACCTAAGCGCGCATTGTAGCATAAACCAGTGTCGAGAAAAACGCGTCCAAAGCTAGACTACGCAACACTCCGCGCCGTCATTATGGGGCTGGGGTACTATTACAGTAATTACGGTAAGTGTAATTGTAAATGTACAAACAATTCATTTCGATCTTCAGCTAACTCTAAGTAATTTCATTTCAACTCCTTTTATGCGAACATTTTCAGTTATTCTCTGTCTTCTTCTCGGCGCTGTCGGTGCGACTATTGCCTTCTATGTCTATCGCTATCGTCCAAACTCTTTCAGCTCTTTCACCGCTCTTTTACCTTTCAACAACTCGTGAAATCAATCGTATTTTGTTGTTAAAAATGTTAAACCAAAATCAATACTATTTATCTCAAAAATGTCTTGAAAAAAAAAGTGTTATCAAACGTCTTTTTACAATACGTTTCCACATCTTGATTTAATTCTCAAATTTCTGTGAATTTTCTTGAATGATTCGATAAATAACAATCTGAAAATGAAAGAATGACTAAAAATGGCACAATGGCACAATGTGCCAACTCTGATGTGTCACTTTTTTCGTTACTAACCAGGGAACCTTCCCAAGTTACCCGCGAGTTACAATATGAGGTAGGTGCAAAAAGAAAGGCCTGAAAATTACCTCTGCTTGTAAATTCTTTATGAAACCCTGTTGGGTAGCGTTTTTCTGCCATAAAATTCGGACCTGGAAAAGAGAAATTGTGTAGTGTAATTACGATAAAATTTGGTCATATTGGAAGTTGCTAGTTTGGAAGATTATTGTGTAAACGGGTTGTGGCTTTGGATATTGTCAAAGAAAAAGTCAAGCCTCCTAGGATCCTCAATAAAGGGCACAAAAAATCCCTTGAGAAAGGACGCGAAAAATTAGAGAAAATCAATGTGCCCTCATGGTGGATTGCAAGCGTCTGTCTCTCAATCCAAGGCTGGGTCGGAGGCGGGTTCGACCCAGCTTGCAGTCATTTTTTTGGCGCCCTTAGTTCCCAACTCAAATACTTATGAATAAAATCTTTAAAACCAACAGTTTTCTCGAGAAGTGTCTGGTAATTCTTGCTTTTTTTGCACGTCTTTTTTCGTTTTTCTTTTTTCTTCAAATTCTTCACGACTTTGTTGAGCGGATTGTCGATTTCTCATCTTTCGAATCTCTTTCTTTTCCATGGCATCCCCATTTGAACTTCTTTTCCTCGAGGTTCGAGAAGCTAAATCTATTTTAAACCAAGTAAAGCTTGCTTCTAATCTTTACTTTTAATATTTTATCTTTTTATGATGACTCAAAAGGGTTAGCCGATTTTCTGAACACCTACGAGCGAGTTCCGCGACGCTTTCTTGATCTTTTTTTGTGAACCGCACAAAGAATACGATTGATTAAGATCTGAAAATTGATTTAGGCTCATTTTTGAATGTTTTGACTCACTTCATTCTCGTTTTTATTCTCATTTTCATTCAACAAATCAGATCGCTTTTTGATAACACTCGAGATAACACTTTGAATGGGATTGAATACGAGATAACACTTTGAATGTGATTGAAAAGAATGTGAGAAAGGTGAGTTCAATCTCAACTTCGAAAAGGCAATACTTTGTTTCTTCTAAAAGCAAAAATTTTCGGTTTTTTTGCACAGTGACTCGCCGCCAGTTCGTCTTTTTGAAGCCGGTGTCATCATCAAGAGAGTGATCATCATTGAGGGGAATCCGCAAGTTCTTTTTCCAAAGGTATAAAAGATTAGGTACACTCGCGGTGCTCGGTGTCTCTTTCCTGAATTCAAATCTTGCTTTTAGTGCTTTTTTTCTCAAGTACTTACAACTGATTCCCAATGATATTTGTTTGAAGAAATTGCCTGAATGATAGATTGAATTGAGGATTGAATATTTCAATTTGCGTGAAGCCATTCGTCTATTACTCTTTGTTGAAAATGTATTGAAAATGAAATATCTTCCAAAATACAACGTTTTCTTATAAATAAAACAATTTTTGGTTGATAAATGAGTGATTCTGAACAAGAAGAAAAAGGGGCAAGCAAAATTGTATAAGAAAAGGAGGAAAAGGAGAAGAAAAGAGTGTGAGATGCCATCTCACATCTCGCAAAGAGTGTGTCAATGCCAGCACATCGGCAACGACGGATCAACACTTTTTTTAATGAGACAAAGAAGTATTTTTAGCAAAATACTGTTTTGGTTTTGATGAACATAAATAAAGAGTCGTTTTAAAATACATAAATAAAGTTTTATTGGGAGCAAATAAATATTGAAAGCAATGTGTCTTTATCTTCTAAATAGCTCAGAAAAAGATCAGCACAAATTAGAGATTTTGCTTGGAGATACAACAAACGAATCCCGCCAATCGCTTCCCCGATCCCAAAAACCCGTGGGTACAAACTTTTGCCTTCATATCTCATCTAAACAATGTTCACAGAACACAAGAAATTCCTTTTTTAAAGAGACCGCGTAATCGCTCGCCATCTGGCACAGGGCTTTCCCATAAAGGCGGTCCATCCCTCTCCTCGTCGGCAATCTGTTCTGGTAACACTGGCCGTATCCGGAGGGGGCAGTCCATTTTGGTCTGTACCGTGTCGTCGCCCATTTGGCGCAAAACTTCGGTACATGTGGGGGTGCTGGCCATTTTGGTCTTCACCGTGTCGACGCCCTCTCGGCGCAAAGCCACACAGAACAGGAGCCGTGAAGTGGCCAACTGACCGGGCGGGGATCCCAACTGGGGTCCTCGTCCAGGGCAACTGCCCCCCTCCCCCCTGGGTACTCCCAGGCCCCGTCCCCTCCCCCATCCCCATAGGTCCCCCATAGCTCCCCCCTAGGTCCCCATAGCTCCCCTCTCGGCGCAAAGCCACACGGAACAGGACCCGTGAAGTGGTCAAATGGCCGGACCGGGACCCCTTCCAGGGCAACTGCCCACCTCCCCCCTGGGTACTCCCAGGCCCGTCCCCCGGGCTGCTCGACGTCCAGCCACCTCCACGGTTATCCAAAATCCAAAATCCAGCGGATGTCAGCTTATCATTGAGTATTGGAGTGCCTTTATCTGTGAATTAGGTTGGTGAATTGAAAACTCCTGGACTTTGAACTAAAATTTATTCAACATAAAACCATGAATTCATTCCAAATAATCTCCATTATTATTGACGACTTCTGCCCATTTTACAGGCAATTTGCGGACTCCTCTTTCGTGGTAGGATTTTGGTCTGTGTGTGAGATAAGTGTGAGTCTCAAAAATTGAGGACTGAAGATGTCCCAGTTTGAGCACTTTCTTCAAAAGAAACCCATTTTGGTGTCAATAGAAAAGTTGTAGAGAATCAAAAATGAGGCTTATAGCCAAATTTCCAAAAAGATACACTTAGTAGTTTCGCTTAAAATGCAAGTTTTGTGAAAGTTTCGTAAATTTGGCATTTCTTGAAAACCAGTTTTTGAATCGTTCTGAAAATTTGGATATAAGCTTGATTTTCGATTCTCTACAACTTTCCCATTGATACCAAAATGGGTTTCTTTTGAAGAAAGTGTGAGAACTGTGACATATGACAATAGCCGGCAGTTTTCAATTCACCAATCCAATATTATCAAAAACTAAACGCAAACCCGAATTTCGATTTTTATTTCACACCAAAAGACGAAGAATTCAATGAAATTATGCTTTTAACGAAATCAATCATTAAGTTTCCTCTTCTAATTACTAATAGATAACGATACTATCTTTTTAAACGTTAATCCACTCACTCAACAAATTTGTTCTCATTATCGCTATTTATTGAAGCAAGATGCCCGCCCATTCGAACTAAAGCCGGCAGTTTTCAACTCACCAACCCAATAGATAGCTGTTGTCCTGAGCCAAGCCAAAAATGACTGGTCGTGAATGTGTTAAAAGCTCAACAACAAATTCTCAACTTGCTTTAATTCACATTCAATTGACCAACCCAATAGTTAGATTTCAATCTGTTTCCTATTATCTCTACAAAAATAATAATAATAATAATAATAATAATAATGATTTGATCTGTCTTCGCACTTAGCGCAGATCACAACCCGCTTCCACATTTACTGAGGCAGAAGTGTAGTTGTCGTAGCCGATGATACTCCGATGGCCGGGCTGGGGCGCTCGGAGGGGAACCCATGGGAGTCGAACCCACGACTAACCCGCGCCGACGTTGCTCAACTTGGCAGATCGGACGGGGTCGACCACAGACCCTTCCCTTTCTGGGCCCCCTATCTCTACAAAAATTGAAAAATAAAGAAACAAAAAAATTTCCCGAGAATCTTGCGAAAATAATGCACGATTATTACATGATTCGACTCAATAAGCAATCAGGATTGCGAGATGGTTTTCATTTATTGGGTTGATGGAAAAGTCCTTTCCGATTTTTTGGGAGAGTACCTTAAATTTGTCCAATTTTGTCGTTTTATAGCTCATCCTAAAGCTGAATTCAAGACGGATCGATTGGTAAAAAGCGTTTTGAGATATCTCTTTTCTAAAAGTTTTTACAGCTATTTTAGTAAAGGGATTTTATTTAGTAAGCCATCAACCCAATATATTAAGCTACAACCACGACGACTCCTCCTTTTGATTTTCAACGAATTAGACATTACTCCGACAGTGGATGATATCAGATAAACTATAAAGCCACGCATTGCAACGCCGATTTAAAAAAAACTTGTACGACGGGTTTCAAAATGATTATCATTTCTGGAATCAGCACAAAATTCTGCGTCGCAAGGTATATATTAGAAGAAATTTGATCAGAAAACGCATTTTCAACGGTGTGCAAAGGGCTATCACCGAAACTCAGTCAGAATTGACTCTCGAAGAAATTTGTGCAAATCAATAGACATGAAATTTGATAGCTTTGTATCAGGTCTAGCATTTTAAAGTTTGTTTTCGAAACGATTCTGAAATATCTGATTGAAAAGATTGCGTTACCCGTTGAAATTTTTGTTGATTTTCAGAATGCCATAGAAGTGATAGAAGAATTGTTGTGATTTTGAATTCGACGATCAAGTTGATCAACAAAATATGATGAACTTTGTGTATTGGGTACACACAAATTATATCATTTACATTTTGGATTGCTGGTGTGACAGTTATATGTATGTGTGTCATGTTTGACTATGCTCTATGGCATAGTCATGCTTGACTATGCTCTATGCTTGACTTGATATGTCGAGAAGAAAGATGGCAATCCGATGATCAAGTAAACAAAGAAAAACTTGTAAAAACAATTATTTTATCTAGAGAATTGAAGTAAATCCGTTTGGGGCCGATAGAAGATTTGCAATTCCTCCAAATACAACAATTAATACCACA